AAATGGTAGTTGCAGATCACTTCATGCTCTTCTGCCCACCCCCCCTGGACGTTTTTTTTTTTCTTCGTCTAGACCTAGAGTGACATTTCATGCGACTCCATTCTGAACGAAAATGGCGTATATCTGTGGGGTGGTGGTTCACTTCGTATATAAGTGTGGTATCCAGCGGTCCGCTTATAATATAAGGAAGAAAAAAGAGCGAAGAGAAAAAGCAAACAAGGCCAAACACACCCGAATGATGGTGAATCCTATATACCTAGTAGCAATTTACTCTGATACGTAGTGTGAAAAAAGCACTCCCAGTATTGCCATGTTGGCACCTATTCATTTCAATAGTCAGTCAGTCAGTCCCTGCCCTTTTTCTGCGGACCCTTTTAGGTATGCTGCGTATTATGCGACGGCCCTAGCAATCAAAATCAGGCGATTTTCAAGGGCTCCAAGTCAAGTTCGGGTCTGTGTTGGTCCATTCCTGGGACCCCCCTCCCCGGCACTCTCTCCTTGCAAAATGGATAGACGAGCGGGGGAGACAAGTTTCCAAAGCAGCAATCACAGCTCGGGAATTATGGTGCGTCGTTTTGTGTTCGGGCTGTATGGGAATTTTCTCGGCCTTTGGGAATGATGATGAGCCACTAACATGACTCGTTGCTATGGATGCGGCCTGCTGGCAGAGGAGACGTCAACAGGTATTGAGAGAGGAGAGGAAAGGATACCTGGTACCGGGAATATGCTCTTCTCGAGAGGGCTGCCTTGGTACGGCACTTCGTACCTGCAGATAACTTTTGGGACTTTGACATGATCCGCTTTTTACAACCGATCCGCACGATGTATTTAGGTCATCGTTTATGAAGAATGATAAGGCCTAAGCCATGCCCTGTGGGGTAGCGACATATTACACCAAACCGTCAGGGGGAATCCTGGTCCGGAGCACTAAATGCTGGCCAGGATAACCTCGAAGCCCTCGAAGCCCTCGAAGCCATCGTTTGTTCAGCTCGGCTACACGCTCTCTCTCTGCGAGGGGTGGAGAGCCGGGGCAGAAAAGAAAACGGCGCCTGGAAATAATATCAATACAGACAGTAGTATGTTTCCGCACACCGTAAAAAAGAAGTAGAACTAGGGGATGGCCGATTGTTGGTTATACAATAGCATCATCCATCTATGCAACGCCTCGCTTGGCAGGTTTGTGACCAAGATAGACTGCTTACCTGGGATCTACGAGGACGTAGCGCGTGTGCGTATATGAAATCTGTCTATGCTGCGAAATGGAGGGGTGGAGGGCGACAGAATGGGTCCCTACGCGCCTTGGTGCATGCACGCTGATGCATGGTACATCTCAGTATCGGCTTGTACTCCGTGGAATGATTGCCCTATCTGTGTGAGAAGTGACACATGACGTGGATGGTAGCACTTTGATTTCAAGACCGTTTTTCTTTTCCGGGGGGGAGAAGGCTTGGAAGGGTCCCGTTTAGCCGTTGCCGCGCTCCTTTTCGCTTTCCTGCGCCTGCAACTAGGGCTGGCAGGACCATCGATTTTGGCAGCCAAGGATTCCTTGACAGGATTCGCCAGACGGGGGCACGGATGGGCAAACGTGCCAGGCGGTTGCTCCGTACTCGTGCTTCTGCGTTAGTTCCAAACCACTTGGCCTCCGGGGTGCTATCGCCATGGACTCGGGCTGGCAAGACCGCTGTTGAATAACCTGTACGCGGATGGGCCACGTTCCGTGCTGGCCTGATTTGACATCGGCAGTTGTGTGCTTCTGCTATACCCCTTGGCTAGTCGCCATGGGAAACAGCGATAGTGTCACCCCTGAGATTTCCTCTGCCCAATGACGGCTCTGAGGGTGATCTGTATCTATACAGAGTAGGCAACGTGCTATCAAGGTTGGACCTGTACGGTTGCAAGTAAGTTTTGAAGGATGAAGCATAATACAGCCTAAACGGGGCAGGAGAAGAAAAACACATGGTACTATGCTGTAGCGATAGCGGCAAGCTGCGCTGTTCCCTATAGACAGAATAAGGATGCGATTTGAACGGCATCGTCTCTGGGCCTATACATTAGCCTCGGCGAAACCCTGGATGCGATGCGCTATGCGAAGAGCTGACTCGGCCTCGCTGACCTTTTGTGTGTCGTGTTCAATCCACGTCGGCAAATGGACCGACAAGGCGTCTCAAAGGCAGCTGGATGTCCATTCTGGGACGGCAACATGAAAAAGGAGGATAAAGCCTGCAGCTTGGATCCATTTCTAGTCAATCAACTCATGCAAAGTGGCACCGGGGATTTCTTTGCCAGGCTCCTTCATGTACTCACCGTTTGCCAAGCAAGGCAATCTTTGGTTATCAGGAATACCTGGAACTAGTTTAGTAGCTAGATTTATCCACACCCCGTGGTACCGGCAAAGGTGTATGTGAGAAGCCCGAAATGGCGAGTTGAAGGATGTCGATGGGAAGAGTGGCCATCTGTATGTAGTACCATGCTCCGCACCCGCTTCGTAAGGGTTTTTGGCGGTGTGTTTTCAAAAGACCATACATCCCCACCAATCTTTACTGTAGCATACGGGTCTCATCCCGAATGTTTGCCATGTTACAGTATGTATCTTTCCAGCCTGTAGTGAAGTCGTGCTGACGGGACTCAAAGTCAAAGCGTTCCAGCATTCGTAGACTAGCGGCTGATGAACAGGACTAGCCATGGGTAGGGCTAATAGCTTCTCTAGTTCCAACACTTTTTAGGTAGGGAGAAGAGTCTAGAGGGGTGCTAATGTTCTGGCTGCGCATTCCGAGGCCGAAGCGGATGGCTTCTGCGGGCGTCGAGCTCCCGTGGCAGCATCTCATGGGGGGGGATGGGGATTTGCGCCTCATGCTATGAGCCAATATAATGCTGGTACGTGTAAAGCAATGGGGATTAGTGCTCAAAACAAGATTAAAGACGACTTCTCGGCAACCATGGCATGTGTAGAGCGGGTCTTGTCCATGTAATGCAATGCTGGCAGCTGCAGCTCTGACGAAGTACAGTATACACATTGCCATCTCTCGTTGGTCGCCTGGTCCAACAAACTTGGAGGAGGATTAGCAGTTGCTCCCGTCACGATTGGCCACGCTCTCTGCGGGCCGTACGCCGTAGTTGCGGTTAAAGTGCTCCTAGCGTTCCGCATTGAGCTTTGAATGCATAGTCTTGGCCATCCTGCGGAGAAAGTGACTGGGGCTAATAATAGCTGCTGTTCTGCCCTTTCCTCAGCAGATCGCTATTTTGCCCAGATAGGTCTCAGCTGTTGCTCCAAAGGCTCGGTGTGACCCGAAGGAGTGATTTATTAGCACTCTCCTGTGCTCCGTGTCTAGCTGAAATTGCGCTGTTAGCCCGCAGGGATAAGACATGGCGGAAGATATATTCCGTAACGTACATCCATGCAAGTCCTCACCTACTACGCACATGCAAGGCTATCTTGTTTGACCACAAATCAGAGCGTCATGATGAGCAGAGCGGCGACATCCTATTCTTCAGTGATTTCTCGTCCGGAAGGATTCCACCACGGAGTATGCGCCGACTGACTTGGATCCAAGCTACACAGAATGTTCATGCTGATCGTCGGTGAAGATACGAAGGTTTTGATTCGAAGAGGACGTGTCAACTAGTACCTGTGAATGAAATATAAATGAGATCATGGCATTGATTCGAACCCGTCCACGCGGAGAACCTGGTGGTCTAGACAACGGCTCCACGTTTGCGCATAAGATGGCAACTCGTCATAGGTAGTATAGTGCTGTGAAACAGGCTGCTAGCTTGTTTCTTATCGGTGCTGTCATAAATGGCGGAAAATACTGGTATATAGGGGTATGTATATTGCTTTGTGGTCGACAGGATCGGCGATTGATGGCCAACTAAAGTCATGCATATTAATAGCCGCCACTAATAGTAGTACCAGCGTAATGTTGAGAGCGTCGCTGGGCTGGTCCAACCAGGGCAAATCGGAGAGCTGAATACGCTTGGCAGAACGTCCTCGACGCAAGACATCAGATTTCGGTACAAGTAGCCCAGCGTCATTGCCTCGAGCGATGGTAACATTGCTGTTGGCCCCAACATTTTTTCTTTTCTTTTCTTTTCTTTTTTTTCCGCAGTAAAGCTGAAACGCTGGTGGCGTTCAAGGGATCCGAAAACAGGCCCGGAACCAACACAGAGGATGATAAGATGCGATGCTCTGGAAGAGCCATATCTGCACCTGGTGAAGCGTTGGCCTTTTTGTCGGTCAAGTAATGAGTTGGCGATTAAGCCAGCAATGCAACTCCTCAGATGACCCAGCAGTACCAGTAATGCCTACATGCTAGCAGAGCACTCTATGATCCAAACTGCCCCTACAACGGGGCTCTACTACCGCTGCTGACCCCCAACTTGTTCTGGTCGGGTGGTGGTGGTTGTTGCCATCGGATGGGGTCGGTCTATGTACAGGACGACGCAGGACACTCGAATAAGCAACAGTAGCGAGCGGTGTTATTGAATCAACAAGAACCACTAGGATGAAACAAGGACGGCGGCATTTGCCCAATGATTGCACGATGCCCAGCATCGACAGAGGTTGTTTTATGTTTCAGCAGCCGTGCTCGAGCGGTCGTCGTGTTCCTGGTTAGTAATGTCTCAAATCCCCCCACATACGAGTGCAAAGGCTGGGAATAGCGATCTTGGGGTCATGGCGCCAGCCTCCAAGCTTCTCCACAGTGGCTTGAAACGCAAGCAAGGATAGTTGCCGGTTGTCCGGGATGGCGCAGCCAGGTGTTGCAAGCCTGCATCTCACTGGCAGAGAGGGTTCCCGCATCCACTGGCTCAACCGCCATGTCGGATTGACAGGTCTCACCCCTCGAGACATTGCAAGTCGTCGTTTAGTCGCAGTACCATGGTGGGAGTATAGCTTGTTGCGCCTCCACAGCCACCGCCACGGCCATCCAGTCAGCTGTGGTCTCGATCGATAGTTGTTGACGAAGCTGCCTCAACTCGGATGGATTCGATTTGCCCGCATGAGAGTGGTGCTATAGCTCTGTGGCCAGGATCAGCCTCGTTTGCCCGGCTACAGAGCGCCTCGGTTACCGGAAAGCGTTTCATGGCTTTTTTGCTATGTGGAGGACGTCCGCCAGCTAAACTAAGAGCTCGAGCCGTACCGCGTCCCACTAGAATTGTTGATCCGTTGGAGAAACTAATGAGCAACGAGCAGTTCTAGTGGCACTTCGTAGCCAAATCCAAATGCCTGTGAAAATGTCACGATGCCCTTGCCGGGTCTGTCTCTCGTCTGTTGCATCTGCTGCGTGCTCAGTGTCAGGGCGGCTAGAAACGCAAGCGTCTCCAGAGAGACACGCCGTCGAGCAGCGTTGTCCCAATGCTGCATCCTCGTCGCCCAAAAACATTCAATAGCGGCAATAAGCGTCAGCTCCCCGTTGGCCCAGCCGTATCAACCACGTATGTATTCGGCCAACCTCGTCCCGCGGCTTCGGATAAGAACTCAAGCCATGCCTGTAGTAAAGGCGTCGCCGCTGCCCTGGGCAGGAATCCGCCGTGAGTTGCTGGAACCAGTAGAGGATGCGGCTCTTATCCAGATCCAGCCCGCTGCACTTGTAAGAAGCCGACCAGCTGCGAAACTTTGCTCCATGGCGGCCACTAGTTCGGCGCACGAGCCTGCTTTAGGAAACGAATCTTGTGAAAGAAGCCGTTGGTGTTTAGTAAGATGAGATGGTGAGATGGCTCTGGGCTGAGGAGTTGAAGCGTCCAAGTACAGTACTGCCGCCAGTGTGGCTGGCAAAAGGTTGCATCACCCCAGCAAAAGCATCAATCCAATAAATCGGGTATTTACTACTAATAGTACTAAAAAAGGGCACAGGCGCTAGAGCACCTAATATAGCATTGGTGCCAGCTGGAGGTTCCAAGCACCTTCCTTCGCTCCCTGCCATTGCCCAGCCCTGAAGCATGGCTGTCACTGTCTCCTTCCCTTTGGCCCCGAGCTGCTGGAAGGGTGAATCCCGGGAGGTAGGCAGGCACTCATCTTACTGTAGGGACTCTGCAGTGCTCTACCCCGCCAGTTGGCATTGAGCTGCACTGGCCAAGTATCTCGTAGTCGCCGACGAGGCAGGAGTGCTACTGACAACAGGCACGCTCCTTCATCACACCGTACCTACTAGTAGGTAGCAGGAAGAGAGGAAGGTAGGTCTACGAAGCAGGCACAAGGCATTGAACTTGCCCTGGGGGGTGGACGCCTTTCACGGCCAAAACGGTATCCCCGAACTTGGCTGTGCAGAGATTCCTTCTTTCAAAGCAACAACACTCCCGCCCAATAGGAGATGTCAAGGGAGAGAGTCGCGGCATCTGGTGTCTGAGTTGATTAATTTGCTATCCACCATCTATCCAACCTTGGTGACGGACCATGGCCATAGTCCAATGCAGGGAGACAATCTTGGCCAACCGAGCTCACAAACAAGAAGCATCAGCAGTGCCAACACGCCCTCCAAAAAGGCGACTTCATGCAATGGCTCTCTCATCACGGCAAGTTCCTTCTCTGAGCCAAGGATGGAGCCAGCCGGGTCTCGTGACGGGGCACGCCTGCTGATCAGCGCATACAACAGCATTTAGCCATTTAGCGACAGCGAGCCAAAGCTACTATCCCTGCCTCTTGTTCCTGGCGACGATCTAGTCGTGCGTGCCCCGAACTGCAGTCTTTTATTACCTCACGGCTCCATAGTGGTGGTGTTGCCTTGTCGAAAGTGCTTCCAGAGCGCGGCTGTATCAAGACGAACTGAAACTATCTCTACCCTGGCCCGAAGTCAATGGCTGTCAAAGCCGGCAGTGGTTCATGGCTCATGGCACACTCCGTAAGAGTGGTACTGCCGATAACAACGTGGTCTAAGAGGGCGGATCAATTGGGTCAGTCCGCAACGGGCGCAGGCAGAACGTTCTTTTGCTTCCAACCTGCACGGCGGTTATTCCATTGGCCGTGGCTACCGGAAGGGGAGAGAAAAGGGGGGAAATTAAGAGGGCAGCTATTCGCGAGGCATCACGGTACGCCTTTGTGTGAGCTTGTCACAAGCCGATGGATTCTACCGCCACTGCTTGTATGCGGACGACCCAAAAGGTAGGTCATCTGCATCCTCGATGCTTCGTACTTTGCACATGTACGGCATTTGCCCGTGTCTCGAGCTATGACCTAACCAGCATCAGATTGGAGAGATCCAGTGTGATACTGTAGCAGGCAGCCCGCTCGCTACCAGTCTAGCCCGCAGAGCAGGACGCAATGTTTGATGCTGGCTCGCAAGCCTTCATTCCCTCGACAACCCCACCCTCTTTGTTCTCCATATTGCGTGGAGCTAGAGTTGCGGTATGTCTCACTTTTCTTGCTGGCAGCGGAATGGGATTGACGGCATAAAGTTTGCAAATCAAACACTCAACCCATGCCTTGTCTCAGAAGAGAGTTAAAAGCATGGAGCACTGCTGTCATCCATACACGAGCTTCGGGTAAAATACCACTAGCAGACGGACGGCTGTAGTAGCTATGGAATGGTCGCACTACCTGCTTTGCAAGCTCCGTTTTTCGTACCAATTATGTCTGATCCACAGCCCATTTTCTCCCTGAATAGATAGTCCTCCGCTCGGAGCACTAACTTGGAAGGATGCTAATGTTATTTAGGTTATGCAAAACCAAGGTTTGGAGACGCATTTAATTGGCATCTGCTTTGTTCTTGGCCTGATTTTGGATTTTTTTTCCCTTTTCCGTCTCACCGTTAGCCCCGTGGGCTACGCAATCCTCGCTGGCGCGACCAGGGCTATCCTGGAGCTGCCGCCTGTCACCCTGGACTGCCAGCCCTGGTACCCAGGTTTGAATGCCGCTATTAACTTCCCGAGCTTCCCATGCGGCACAGGCACGCTCGGGATATGCTGAGCCAACGAAAAGGCTCTGCCATCCATCTGGGTATCCATCCAAGAGAGGGAAGGGGAAGAGAGAGAAGGCGTGTTGGCTCGATATCTGGGTGGATACACTGGAGCTTTCCGAACTGCTCGTGCTCCAGAGCAAGAAGCGGCCAATGAGGCCGAGTGAATTGCTGGTGGCACCTGTGCGAGGACCACCACTTGCTGTACCTCATACGGAGATGAAGAAGGGTGATACTGGACTCGTGCGCGTAGAAGCAACAATTTCTGGTGAGAATGGGCTAGAGGCAACGCTACACGACGCAAGGATCGTGACCAAATCGAAGGAGATGCGTCAGCGCCGTCCCAACGCGCGCTGTCCTCTGAGAAAGTGCTGGCCTTGTGCGTTTAGCTCTTCCTGGAACATGGTGTTGTGGTTGGGCCAATGCTTGGCTCGAGCCTGAGCTGGGCAAAAGAAAGGCTACAACCCCTGCTGAGGGGGAACCTCCGGTACGCACAACTGAACTCTATCCCACTAGTACGCTCGACTTACAGCCGAGCGCCTTACTTGTGCAGACACGCGACTTTGCCGTCATGTCCCTGGTCCCTCTGGAGGAGGAGGTGGTGCTGCCACTTGTCTCGTACCGGCACCAAGCGGTGCTCCTGTGGTACTCGTGCTGGTCGGTGAGCCGCACAGCTTTGTTTCGCGTGCCGGATGGGATGGGATCAAGGGCTGTCTCTGATGCTCCCCAGGCAGTGCGGTGCCTCTAGTGTCCTGCACGCAGCTCCAGTGTCCAATATCCGCTTCTAGCCACTCGCAGAGCGAGCTGTGAAGCTCCCCAGATGCGCGGGGACGGGGGATGACGGCTAACAGTACACGCCTGCGTGCCTGTCTGATGATTACGAGTATGACTGTGACGATGCTGGGGCTTTCACATTTGTTGCGCCCGATACCCATACACCATACAGACGATCGACCCCCTTTGTTGGCCGATGGACCGCCAGCCAAGGGAGACGGGACCAATATACGGATCCAAGGCAATGCTAGCTGCGCAGCTTACACCGGCACCGAAGTCCGTATATGCTCGTACCTGACCTGCACACTGATGGAGTAGCGCAGCTGGCTGAAGGATGTCCAGGCCTCGCGCGTGTCAAGGCCGCCTCTTGCCTCTCTCTCTGACGATCTAGCAGCGGCTCGGCCTCTAGTGGCTCAACGGAGTACAGCACGGAGTGCGTTCCTGGGGGACGGAGTTTACTGGGTCGTCCGTGCTCGCGGCGCGTTCTCTCCACAGCTACACGGGGCTTAGAGGTTAAATCTTCTTGAGACGCAGTATCTGCAGCCGGGTGCTTGTAGTACAGCCAGCAACAAACACGCCTGGGCCTCTGGACTCGTCCTCTGCTACACATTGCGCAGAAGACCCTCACCAACCAAGGGCAGCCCACCTGCGCTATCCTGCCGGCACACCGCAGGCGATACCGTACCTACTGCCTACCTACCTCAGAGAAGCCTACAGTACCACGCTCATGCCTACTTGGAGACTCAGCGAGCTCGTACCCTGCCAGCCCGTGGCACCTCGAGCTGCTAAAAGGCACCGGCGCGGGTGACATGCCGACCTGGACGGCCGACGGATGGCGTGGATGTTGCTGAGCGTGGCCTAGGCCCTGGCCAGGTGGGTGTGCTGTGGCATTGGCGCACTACTGTACCGGCGGCGGACGCTAAGCTGCTGGCGCTGGCGCTGGAGTGCTGCCATGCCTCGAGTGGAGGGCAGCGTGAACCTTGGAGCTGTGCCTTGGCTGGGAGCGACGCGAGCGACCGCTAGCGCAGCCCAGCAGTGCTACGAGGGTTGGAGGGCTCGTACGGGGGACTAGCAGAAGCCCCAGCTGCAGCCGGAGCTGTTCCAGGTATCGCGCCAGGCGAGAACCCCAGCTTCGTGGCTCTAGGCTCGTGGCTCTAGGCTCGTGGCTCTATATGCTAGGCTCTGGGGCCTCAGCGGCGAGCACGTTGGCGGGCCGGACGATCTCTTGCTCTGCCCAAAGCTTCTGAGGCACTGACCTCGTTGTGATGAAACGAAGGGGAAAGAAAAAGTAAAACGTAGAAACGAAAGATGAGAGATGCGACGTGGCGTACTGGTGATAGAACTGGCCAAAAGCAAAGAAACGTATGCCTGCTCGTATGAATGAAAAGAGAGGCCGATATAAAAATAAAACACACCGTCGCGGGCTGCGTGCATCTGCCGCGCACAGAGGCCCGGCGATTGGCCCAGCGCTGTTGCTGCTGCTCCCTGCCTGCATCACCACCAGGCCAAGCCCGCCTTTTCGCTCTTACAGGCCTCATGCCCCATGCCTGGACCTGCCTTGCATTGCCTCGCCTTGCTTTGCCTCAACTGAACCGGCCTGGACTGCTTCACCTGCGGTTTCCTACATGTACCTGCCCCTCGGCGGTCGACCCTCGCCCGCACCCTCGTCCTCGTCGTCGTCCTCGAGTCTCCCATTCGCTCTGCTGCTGCTGCTGCTGCTGCTGCTGCTGCTTCTTCTTGTCTTTTTGCCCGGCAAACCAGGCACTCAGCTCAATCTTCTGCCGGCCTTCTCCTTGTCCTTGGTTGGATCCATCTCTCTCTTCTCTCTCTCTGCTCTCTCCGCGTGTCTCTCGCTGTCCATCTCGCTCGCTCGCTCGCTCTCCCTTCTCTCCCTGCTCGTCTCCTCCCATTGGCCCCGTCTTTGCCTCTTGACGTGCGACGCTGCTGACACGCCAGCCGTTGAACCCAAGAGCAGACTACCGTCCAAAGTGGACTGGCCAACAACCACAACGGCCGCGAGTAAGAAAGCGACAAGAGAGACAGACAACCCGCTGTCTTGTGCGGGGCCCGCAGCTGCCATCGTCCATCCTGGTGGTGTCTGGGCCTGGTGCTAATTGGGCCAATTGTGTCGACCTCTCTTGTGCCGCTTGGCTTGGATCTCATATCAACCGACACGTCCTTCATTCTGCGCCCTCTGCTCTTCATCCTGGGAACGCACTTCTCCCGGTGACTGCCGGCCACCTTGACTCTCGTTTCGCTTCGGCCTCGGATCCGACTTCTTCTTCTTGTCCTCCCTCCCTTGGCGGTTTTGTTAGAGTCCCAAAGATTCAGTGTAGCGATTTCCCTTTTTTAAAGAAAAAAAAAGTGGGAAAATCTTATCTCTGCGTTTGCGATATCCTGCTGAGTCTGTTCTGTCGCCGTGCTACCGCGCCGCACTCGTTCGTGCTTGGCAACACCACTGATAGCTAGGGATTGCAACACATGACGCCCACTGCTTGATCTCTCTGTGCCCTCGACCAAACCCGATCCAAGACGACTCTTGCTTATCTGCCCGGCTGCTTGGGATCTCTGTCCCGTCTTGGAGCAGTTCCGTGTTTGGAAACCAACGAGACACCCTACCTCTCCCTAGTCTTGGCCTGGTTCGCCCAACGCAATTGTCCATACTATAAAGCGATCGGCTGCGCCTTGCACAGATTCGTCTTCGAACACGGCTCACTGCCGGCCGGTAACGTTTGCCTCTGCTGCTCTTGACATCTTGCTGCAGGACGAGGTAGTTGGTTGCTCGCTGCATCTGCCTTCGACGCTTGCTATCAGAAGCCATCGTCGACATTGCCTCGTACATTCAACGCGACCCAAGTCGGCATCGCACGGCCCTCGTCTTCTCCGTCGACGCTACATCGGCTACGGTTGTTACACAGCATCGCCGATATATACATTATCGGGTATAACAGCATCTTGGTACACACACCCCCCAACTGCCAGCAGCGCCATCCCAAGAGATCCTGGCCTTTCACCGCATTCAATAATCCCCACGTATGGTCTGATCGCCTGGCTATTCGTTTCGCGAAAAAACCCATACGCCACTCTACTCGTGCTGTGCTGTGCTGTGCTGTGTTGTGCTGTCCTTTTCTATTTCTACAATCTTCTGCGCGACCTTTGAAGCACAGACTGGACATTCAGCAGTCTTGTCCACTTTCAGCAGAATCTTAGTAGCACTGCATTACCGGAGGGATTCTGTTTGATTCCACAAAGAGGTTGACGATAGTACAACGTGGCTGACCCTTGCCGTCAACTTCCGCCTCCTGGGTATCCCCTTCTTTGGCCTACGCAAACCGGAGTCGTACCAAGCAGAGCCGAACTTGGTGTTGAATCGCGCTGCTCGTTTAGGAGCCTTGATTGTTCACTTACATCTTTTGCCAGCGTACGCCTTCTTCATACTTGCTACGACCTAGACAACACTCTATCACTCCCTATTGCTACCAACCATGGTTCAGGATTGGACGCGGGATTCACTTCCCCGTCACCAGACGTTTCAGCCTCAGTATTATCCTACTGATGCTACGCGGCATCAATCTTTCTCATCAGAGAGATATACCTCTGATGTCGTTCAGCGACACCATCCCTTTCCACAGGAGCGCGTTGGCGTAGAAGCTGACAATGCTCGTTTCCAAGATGGCAACGACTCGCGTCGCCATTTGATGGTAAGTTCTATTACAAGGTGTCTCCGCCTCTTTGTTGTCGACGTCTTTTCTAACAATGCGTGAAAAACAGTCAATCGACGATGCGCTCAGAACGCATTGTGGCATTGTCGCCAAGCATTATTTTGTCACTGCTATTACCGAAGAAGGCGCCACCATGACCTTTGCCAACCCTACCACTGGACGCGGCATGACCGACACCACGATACGCCAATTCTTTGATGCCACCAAATACCGCCAGGTCATGGCCCGCATTGATTCAGGTTTGTGCCTCCCAATCTACAATATAAAAGTTTCCTTGCCGGTTGATTGCTGACTAGTGTGTCGAAAAGGCGCTGATCCTATACTGGACGATTACAATCTTGAAGACGGCTTCTACGGTCGTCCCGCTGCGCTCGGCCGCAGTCGAATGGACCGTCGCCGCAACTCTGCATTCGGAGAATGGAGTGGCAGTCCTGTTCGTCAAGGCCGCAAGCGCGTCAGAGGAGCACGGGCTATCAATGATGAGGACGATCTTCCCATGACTGTTTCATCTCGCAGGTGCATCAAGATTGGCGACTCGGCTGCTGTGTGGAGCTTTTACGAACAGCGCTTCAAGAACTGCCAGCAGACGGCCTGCAAACTCATTGCCAAGGCTTGGGTCAAGGCCGTGGAGCCCAAGAAGCAATCAACGCATCCTTACACTGGTAGCGATGAAAAGGCACCAGGATGGTGGCCGAAAGCGTGGGGTCCCACAAAGGACGACAAGGTCCGCCATAAAGAGCCCGATCATTTATACAAGCGAGGTTAGTCCAACTCTTGCTGGGACACATACAAGCGATTTCGCATGTGCTAATCGAGCGAAACAGAGCGTGTCCACCTTCTCGCCCACATCCTCAGGCTGGTTGTAGAACCCAACCACAAGCAGCATACTGAGATTCAGAAGCTTGGCCTGAATGTGAAGAAGCTTGATGAAACCACGAATGAGGCGCTGTCATCCTTCTTCATGGACAACGAGGCAAATGCCAAGAAGAAGCCGTTTCTTACTGAAATCTTCAAGGTAGCTCGGCTGGAGGAACGGTACAAGAATGGCGAAATCGGTAAGCTAGTAGCTACTCTTCTAGATCTGAGCTTTTGAAGTTCTCAATCCTGACATCAACAATGTATAGATGGCACAACTGAAGTCTATGTCATGGCAGAAGACAAGATGCCAGAGAGCTACGCTTCAGACCCTGAGGATGCTGGCTTTATCAAGGACGAAGAGGATCATGATGTATCCAGATCCAAACCTCCGGTTTCTCAGGGCTTGCCGCACCCAGTATCGGAGCCCAGCTCTGCCACGAGCATCCGTGGACCAGCCTTCATCAATGACCTAACGACACGGGCCAGTACATTCCCCCAGTCAATGATTTCGGAGATTCCCTCACAGCAGCATACATTTGTCGAGGGTAGCTCACTCTCTGTCCACAGCGGCCAAGCCGTACCCACCGCTACCACCGCAGCTGCAGCTGCTACTGGCAACCTTACCCTTGATCTGGTTGCCACCTCTCACGATGCCAGCCGGCGACCATCGGTGTTTAGCGACTACGCCAGCCCAGGAGGGAACCTGTACTCCCAGCAGTGGCCACAGGCCTCGGCAGCCACCAGTGGATCATCCATGTACCAGTATAGTCAGCAGCCAACGGCTGCGCAACCAGCAACATTTGTGAGCTCTGGGGTGCCCATCACACCTGGTCAGAGTTTCATGCCGAGCTCTTTTGATGCGCCGCATCGCAGTGAATACGACCCAAACGGCAACACGATTTTCAGATCGGGAGACCTGTCACAAACACCTCCCGTTAGCCAACAGCAAGGCTACAATTACGCAATGTCCAATGATGCGCGTGGAATGAGAGTCATGGCCCAAGTTGTGGATCCCGCTGGACATCGCCCTTCCTTACAGTAAAGGAAAGAGGGAGAGCGAGAGCGCAATGGGTCAGTGGTATCAGCAGGCTGCAGGCTGCAGGAGAGCGAGCCTGTGAAGCCTAGCTTATGCGTATAATGCTACGTACAGGGGCCTGGTCTCGGCAATACAGAGCGCGGTACGCACTGGAACGCATATTGACCAATAATTGTGATTTGATCTTTTATTCTATCCTATTTCCTTCATTTCCTTTCTTCCCATATTTGCTTGTTATCGAGTCGGTCTATCCTGGCGTTCAATGAACTTTTCAGCTGCCTGTGGGGGAGGATTCCTCTTTGACGAAATTGATGTCGTGGGCGATACAGGCGGACTTTGCTTATGCTTTATTCCTGGAGGCTTCTTTTTCCTTTCTTTCCGCCAATCTCCTGCAAGGACAGCGCTGTTCGGTTGAAGTGGTTTGCCAAGGGCAGTATACAGAGCATGGATGGGCGGTATGCTCTTGGCAAGACTGCCAATTCTCTTTTTGGTCTTTGATTTTTGTTTGGTCTATTTTTCTGTGCGGTTGTATGTCCTTTCATTGAGTGGATATGAGCCATTCTTGCCTCCAGTGGCAATATTTTCGATGAGATTTGTTTTTCTTTTCTTTTTGCAATTCATTCCAGTGTCCCAGCGATTCACAGGGCCTCCGACATTTATGGCTTGGTTACTGGAACCTCTTGAATACATGCCCACGCCTGACGGATAGCGATACTTGGAGGCTTTTCTTCAGAATTTTTTGAGGGGCTTTTTGCCCCATCTGAACGGAGTTTGTTTCTCATTTGTTTCTGTCGTCTAATCATGTCTGTGTTGGTGCAAGATGGAAATCTGGAGGGGGGGGGGGTTTATATGGAGTGGTTTATGGGGAATTACGTAGACTGAACAAAGCATAGCGAACTAAGCAAGCGATGCTATCTTTTCTTTTTTTTTGATCTCCCTCATTTCTCTCTCATTTCTCTTTCCTTTCAGTTTTCTCTTTTGGCTATCAGTTAGTTGGCTGGCGTCTCCTTTGCAAGAATAATTGTCTTTATAGGTTGATGGGGAGAGGCTACTAAAGCGAGAACTTTCTTTTGATACATGGGATAATTAACGTTTTCTTTAGCGACTACACGCATAAGAAGCGTAGTAAGATATATGAGCAATCTATCACACTGTTTGTTTTGTCTATGAAATTGATCTGCTTTGCTTTGCTCTTTTATGGAGGTTAAAAGCACTGGTGAAGTAAGTGGCGATTTGCGAGAAGCCGAACGTGAACATGGGCAAAATGTATACATGGATGGGAGTGTCAGGCCACATAGTATGTACAAGGAGGGGTGTGAATGGATGATGAGCTTGTTTTGAAGTACATAGACGGAGGTGAAAGAGTCATGCAGTGCGCAAGGGAGTTGGAGGGCGTGTTGAAAAGTGTACATGTAGTATTTGTATATGAGGCACATCCATCACGGAAAAGTGCCGAGCTGATGGCCACGAGTATTACGGGAAACAGTACAAGCAAGTACTTCTACTAGAAGAGGCCTGTTGTCTAGATTTGGCGTGCCCAACGAACCACTCTTACTAGTAGTTTTAGTTCCCACCTCGTCCGGGGATCAGATCGGCGGGAAGTCAAAAGAACGGAAGCGATGGGGGGGGAAGGGGGAGAAAAGTGATGTGATGTGATGTGGCACGATTATGATATGATACAAGTGACTGAAAGCTTGAAAGCTTGAAAACCTTGATTATATTTGGGGAGCATTGGGGGAGGAAACAAGCTGTTGGGCTCATGGGTTCATAAAGTGGCAAGGAGGATCTTCCGGGGGGGAGAAGTTGATTATATGGGGACAGGATAGGATACTTGCTAGGTTTGGAGCTAATACTCCGGTATTTGGTGGTAGGACTGTGGGTGTGTATGTACTTTGCATGTTATGGAGATGGATCAGGCAGCCGGAATTGACAAGTATTTTGGAGAGAGAGAGAGAGAGAGAGAAAAGTGATGTGTCATTTTGTTTCTGGATGCGAGGGGGGAAGCGTAAAGTAGGCTAAGCTTGGGAGGGGGGGGGGGGGGGGGGTTTCTTGTTGTACAGTACTACGTAGATGTATGAGGAAATCATGGGGATGAGAAGAACAATACAGATGACGGATACATGGGAAAAGCAAAGCTAGGTAGATGGGCAAGTTGGAGTTGACATGGATAGGAGCACAAGTACGTCGGTATGTACCTGTTGAGGCATACCAAGGGTTGTATATGCATGCGGTATCAGCAGTGGTATATAAGTAGTATAGCACTAATGCTGTATGTCTGAGTTGATGCGGGCAAAAGTGTGTGTGGACTAGGTCCATGGCAGATTGGGATTGGAGGACGAGCAGCGTGTTCAGCTGGCTAGGGGGGGTTTTTGATGGCTGAGAGGCCTAACATGGTAGCTAAACATAGAAAAGAGAGAAGGGAAAAGGGGGGGGGGAGAAGCTGAGAAGCTGAAGAAAAAGAAGAGGCTGGACGTTATTTTGCGCCGGATGCAGTATGTGGCTGTATACAGAGCAGTATGAGTGGTGGGAAGCTGTTGTTTAAGATTGGAATAAAATATGGCTCAGTTGTTGGGTATATACTGCTACATCTACATGGCTTCGTTGTTGGATATACTGCGGCTTACAGCAGGTACATTATGCGGAAGAAAGGGCGTTTTCTACTCGATGCTACCTAGAAAGCGTGCTTTAGCTTTTTCGTAAAGGGCAGGGGGTAAACAGATGACCGGGAAAACGACTGAATTTCCACGGCAAGCCGGGTCCCTCAACCCGCTGAGCCCTGAGATATCCATTGCATACAAACTATTGCCAACTATACCTAAACCAAAACAGCCCCAACAAGCCGTGTTTTTTCTTGCATTAGGATAAGTTGGCATTTGTAAAGTGCCAAAGGGGGCAATCGGTGCCGGTATCCATCGGTAGGGCAAGCAGTTACATACAAACAAACCTTGTCATGTCCATTAGTCAAGTTCTGACGGGCTATTTTTACGGAACACGGCTGTTTAGGTAGTTGTGTTGACATGCTGTCAGATTCCTAGACGCCCATGCTACTGTGACTTTTTGCAGTAGTCGTTTGCTTGAAATGTTTCGGAGTGGGGCAATGAATCGGGTATGAAATAAAAAAAAAAGTCGTATTAGCAAAACATGCTGCACTGAGAAAAGAAAAAAGAGGTCTTGGCCATGCAGCTCGCGTACAGTGAACCGAAAGACGAAGACGGTAACTGCACAGTATCAAGTTGTCGTATATCACTTTGTTTCTTACGATGCTTTGCCGGTAAAAACTGATCAAAAAAAAAAAAAAAAACCGGTCTAGATCTAACAATGTGCAAAAAACTAAACATCCTTAAGCAGTATAAATCGAGCGGTCTGGCCCGTCTCGCCTTACTTTTGAGCTGCATGTTTAATTGGATAGTTTGGAACTAGTAAGTAACAAGTAATTGCAACATCTTTACACAAGATGGGTGGGAGGAAAAAAGGAATTTGTCCGTCTATAATGTCTCTCTTTGAAGCGACTTAATAAGATGGTTTCACGGGGGGGAAGTTGAGAGTTTGCTCCGCATGTTCCGCGGATGTCGCAAATCGGAGAGACTCAAGGGAAGCGAGGTTCGCTTGTATATTACGCACAAGTACTTTGTAAGCTTGAGATTGGGGAGAAGCAGACCTTGTTCGGAATCCTGATGATGGATTTTAACCCGACACTTGGGACCTTGTCATAGGCTGGCTGTTTTCCCTGCATGATTGCGGTGTGCAAGTACAGTCCAGGAGATGGCAAAAGATGGATTGGTCAGTAGATATGATATTGATAGTTGTTGTATATGTCGTGTTTCCAGTGAAATCACTCTCAATTCATCGTCCCTATAAGAGTAAATTACTACAAGTAAAGGAAGTAGATACTAGATAGGCCATGTGCTGCGCCGCCGCCGTAAGCAGCTGAAAAGCAACCATCTCCTTTTTGTGTCCAATGAAACAAAACACACAGCAAAAACACACACACTGACAGAGAGTCATATCCCGGCAAAGCTACACATGCGCGAATAAAAAGGGCAAAAAGCAAAGACAAAATCAACCCCATGCCTCCCAAAATGTCACTGTCGTGAATATTGTGTCATTCACACCAAAAGTAGATACTAATAACGGGCTGATCTGTTTAGTTTACGGTATGTTGCTCTTCCCTCACTGCCATGTAACGCCAAAGCCCCCCCTGTACCCCTGTCTCTCCTCTCTCAGAAACCCCCCTGTCCCTTGTCAGAAAATAAGAGAGAAAACAGCGAGGGGGCCCTGGAAAAAAAACAAAGACGCTGGCCAATAGTCTAGCAAACGGAGCAGGCTCCGCGTTCTCCCCGTTGGCGGGCACCCCTCTTTCTCCCTTGGCAACAGGTGGAGGGTAGCATTGCATTGCTTCTTGTCTCTTTTCTTGTCCCTTGCTTGCGTGCGACGCGGCTTGCGAGCTGTGTGGGCGGTTGTTCACCACCTATACTGTCCCAGCTGCCAGTTCTTACTGGTGTGGTGTTTTTGCCCTGCTTGTCTTCGCCGTCATGTCTCGTCTTGTCCGGCTGAAGCACTAAATCTGGTCTTCCATTCGTGTATTCGTATTTCCCCCGTAAAACACTCGGCAAGTGTAAACGAAGAAGAAGTAGCAAAAGTCTCCTTACATCACCATTCATTACTCCTTTGCGCAAGCCCAAGCGGCAGATGCCTCCTCATCCTCGTCTTACAAGGAAATCAGGAGAGTGAAGCTGCTGGCAAAATAATCCTGTCAATTTCCCCTCTTTCAGCCGCTCGACGCCAGGCCCAGGTCCCCAAGCCAGCCAGCCACGTCGCCATGCTTCTTCTCTCTTCTCCCTCTTGATAGGGCCTCATGAAACGTGGCTACTGTGGGAATATCCAAAAGCAGCCTACTCTAGATGCACATCGTCTGCGTCAAACGAGCTATGCTGGCTGCCGCATAATGTTATTCCATACGGTGGTGACGCGGCATCCTTGGTTGCCGGTGCAAACGAGCTGAAAAAGAGAGCAAGGTTGCCGTCCTGTTGCCAAATACGGAGAGGAAAAGAAACGAGAAAAAAGAGACCCGGCTATGGATCATGGATATACAGCTCGGGAATAAGCCAGCTCTCTCTCTCCTGAAAACTTGAGATCTGAAAAGGCGCCGTCTGGGTCAGCCTGAAAGAAGAAGAAAGAGGAAAATCTTACATTCAACAACCATCCAGTGATCCGCGTCTCCCATTCAAAGCAACCACCTCCCATGTCCAATTCTCGTCACAAAGCATCGCCTCGGGCAGACAATCACACCTTGTCGCTTCCACTAGCTTCGCTGGGCTACCATTCACGGCATGCCCTCTTCGTCGGCCCCCAAAAAAGCACTCGGCCAACAAACTTGCTAACGCGAGACATGGACAGGGTCCAGCATCCAATCGCTTATTCTCGATGCTCTGTCGTGGTGGCCGCGCTCGACGGATGCCGGCTGCCTGAGATGCAATGCGCTACGCGTCTATCCTTGGTGACTCGCGGAAATGCAAGCTTTGCTTCCGCCACGAGCCCCCCCAACAACTAATTACTGCAAGTACTTGCTTGTAGATTGCCTCGTGGTGAAAAGGGAGACCTTAGTGGCACACCCCGGTCAACATCCCGTCGAGCGCGTTGAAGTGAGAAGTCCATAGAGGAGAGAATCACACAGATCAAAGAAAAGCTCACAGAAATAAAAAGAAAGATTAGAAAAGGGAGAGACATGAATGAAAAGAGGGCAATAACAGGTTGGGCATCATCAAGGATCGTACACATTATCTTGGTCCGTAAAATCGGACAGCGCTAACAACAAAAAAAGCTTTGCTAATTACGTAGAATGTTTCCCATGTAGCCCAAAGCCCAGCCAAGTCTCGTGCGTTTTGGACGCGCTCCAAGAAATGGCCATGCAGCTTAACCCCTCTCTAGTTCTCCAAAATGAATCCTACCAAACGCCAAGCTACTGGAAGAGTAAGTCTTCCAGTTGAGAAATGGTATCTCGCCCTAAAGCTAGGCCCAGTAAGAGTGAAAAAGAAACCGGAGTGAAAGGGGTGGAGAAAGGGTTGGATAGACATTGAGGAAATGGTAAATGAGAAAGAAAACGATTTAAAACGTAGTCATCATCATTGCCGAAGCGGAGAGTGGAAAAAAAAAAAGAGTCGGCAAAAGGCATGGATATTGATATAGCCTTGCAAAAAGAAGAAGAAACGGAAGAGGAAAGCAAGGTTCACGAGCCGACGTCTTTTTCGTGCTGCGTCTTGGCCTGTTGTGAAACGTAGTAAGCTTCGGACAAGCTTGAAAGAGAGCCTGTTAGAGATGCTGGAGGGTGGAAAATCACCAATGCATGCCCAGGTTCCTAACTCGACTGCATAGCGGGATTAGGCTCTTCCTTTGGTGCAGCCGGTGGCTCAAGTCCAGCTTGCTGTGCAACTCGCTTCCATGTTTCCAGCTCACGATAGAGCCTCTCGCACTCTTGCTTGAGCTTATCGTTGGATGCACTGAGTTCCGTTATAGCCTGCTCTGTGAGGAGCTTCTCCAGCGTCCATTTCTCAATGTTCTGCTGCTCGTTCTCCTTGAGTTGAGTGATGAAGCTCACGGCGCGCTGTAAAATTGAGCCCTTGTTCTTTTCGCAACCCGGCACAATCTTGGCCAGCTCGTTGATGCCTTCATTAATAGTCTCGCGACGTCGACGCTCCACTGCATTTTCTGTCAGTCCTCAAGGCTAGTCTACCAAATGCCAATGAATAGCTGTATTCTTACCTTCCTTGTGATTATCCTTGCGCATCTTGTGCCATTCCTCTGATCCGACACTCGGCTTAGGATTAGACGGAGGAGGCTGGATGACATATCTAGCGTGTGGAGGAGGAGGAGGAGGGTGAGTCTGAACACCGTTCGGGGGAGGTGGTAGGTTTTGGTTGACCGCTGAGTCCATCAGGGGATCAGTCTGCTGTGTGACGTCTGTGCTAAAAGGGGTATCGTGTTTGAATGCGTCTCCGTGGCCGTGGTCAGGGTCAACAGCCACCTGAGCAGAGAACTGCTCCTCGGTTGATGGCGGTACGTGAAGGGTCGGATACATGCCCAGGGCAGCCTGAGCTGTGCTCGTAGCATTGGAAGGGTCCGAGGCGTCGGTGTGATCCGCAGCGGCGGCCTGCTGGAGGGCATTGAAATCTGCAACATTGACGCCACTGGCCGCGGCCGCCTGCGAGGCCTCGATGGCGTTCTCGATGAAGGCGGCCGTGTCCGCCGGTGACGCTGACATGGCTGCGGGAGGAGCAGCACGCTTTGCGCGTCCAAGGATGGGGCTTTCTAATTCGCGCTTTCGTTTCTGCCCAGGAGAGCCTGGGAAGCCAGATAGGTCAGGGTGTTCAGATACAAGCGTGTCGGCCATCATCTCGCTTCTTCGAGTGGATGAGAGACGACTGTCCGCGAGCTACCGAGAGGAGTGCGTAGCCCTGGGAGCTGTTTTGGCCGAACAAGAGGACTTTATAGTCGAGAGTCCTGATAGCTGCAAGGTCTACGGTCAGAGCTGAAGCACATGCAGCCTTAAGCCTATTACTCTGGTTAGACAAAGACACTAGAAATACGAATGCTTGCAAGCATATATTAAGGAAGCGCCAAAAAGAAAAGTTTCAGTTTGGTATGTAGGGCCCTTGTCCATGCCCAGGACGGAAACTCATATCACTGGACGACAATGGTGACGGATGTAATGCAAGGCTGAGATCGATGTGGGCAGGGGTGCAGAGCCTGGTCACGGCCAAAGTCGAGCAGCAGCAAGCTCGCATTTGCTCAAACATTGAACCGAGACCGACGTGCACGATGCTAATGCAGCTCCTGCCGTGTGCGCTGAGACACCGGAAGCGATCCAAAGACAGCGAGCCGTTTGTTGGCGGCCGCGCATCTCATTCATCGCGGCTCACTCGAGCCCAGGGCGCAATCAACGAGCAGCAGGCGCATCATCGCCGACGCGACCACGACGCTTCGCTCTTCATCATCTGTGCAGGTGCAGGTGCAGGTGCACTGCGAAGTGCGAAGTGCGGGCAGGCGAAGATGACGACGACGACGACGACGACGACAATGGTGATTCAGCGCCGCCAAAACAACAGGCAGAATCAAGGGTGCAACAGGGCGTGATAGAGCCGATGCCAACGGATGCAGTGCACAGCAATGAGCTTCAGATGCGTCCCAACTGACGCGCGGGAACGGGCGGTGATGCTGCGGCTGATGATGCACAGCAAAGAGCAAAATGCAGAAGCAGACGGCTCTTGACGCATCTCTCGCGCAGCTGGTGCATCGTGCGCCCAGGCCCAGGACCTCGTTCTTGAAGCTAGATAGATGGGATAGGAAGGCATGCAAGCTTACCTTGACGATCGGTCATGTGCGTGCTAGAGCCAGACACTGCTGGAGCCAGATCACGGGTTTCTCACGTGTTTTGCGTTGTGATATCGTTTAAGTCGAGCGACAAAACCGCATCAAAGGGCTCAAAAAAGCTGAGAAAAAAATGGCATCAAGGAAGAGAGTGTCGCGACGCCTGCAGCTGAGAGTCCTGAGTGACAAAAACTGTTATTCTTACAAGGCGTAATTTTTCTGCTCTCCTCAGGACAACCAGATGTCTTGTTGCAAGAGAGGGAAGGAACGAGTCACGGGGAGGCGGGTCACGGGCGATAAAAGAGAAGAACCAGGAGCGATAGAAATCACTACCTGGTAGGCTAAGCCCCATTTAGGCTGCGAATTGCGGCCTGAGGCTGAAACTCAAGAGGCAAGACAGCGCCGGAAAGAGAGGGGAACGCAGGTACCTGGTACAAGGCCGCCCAGGAGCTGGGCTTGGGTGCTGCAGGCACTCAAGCTCTTAGCACCCGTTCCCTAGCGGTACCGAGGACTATTAGCGGTGGTGGCCAATCATCACGCGCGGCCTGGCACGCTGGCGCAGCGAATGGGGAGAAGCGCCGGCGCTTTTCTGGCCTGGGCTTGCGGTGCGCATGGGTGCCGGGGAAGGCTGGAGATTGGATGGATGGGCGAAACAGGTTGACAAGGCATTCGGCACATGATGCAGGAGTTCACCTTGTTGAGCACCGCTGACCGTCACCTGTATTTGCTCTGAATACCTCTGTGAATCTCTTGGCCCGGCTGGTGGGCACCAGGTTCTTGCACATGCCGAGTACGAGATGCGAGTCCTCTGTACTTGGAGCTTTCCAACGGTGGCGAGCGGGATAAACTCTGATAAGCTCGACAAGCAGGCTTGATACCCAGCTCTCAAGGTGTTGCCAAAGGAAAACAGCAGCCAACAACCGCTAAATCAAGCTGCCCTGCCGCCTCTGGTCGCGACCTTTTCCAACGGGCGGGGCATGAGTATCACCTGCTAGGGGGCTGATAAGCCTCGCATCATGCCTAAAGTACTCTATACCTCACCGAGCAGGCTTTATACGCTGCCCACGAAGCGAGCGTTGCAAAGATGCAAGGAATACCGGCTGGTACGGAAGACCCAGGCACAGCAAGCCTGCTTGCACGTATGCTCCGAGGTACTCGGATGTACTCGCTCATGCATCCCAAGCGCCGTGACAGACGCCGTGAACCGGCCTGATGGGCAGGCAGCGCGAATCACTTGACGGGGAGGTCGGGTGAGACTCTTGTTCAGCGGCCCCCAAGCTGACGGTGGTTGGTGAGCTGAGAGCGAGCACTCTGATGACGACGACGCCAACAGCGGTGATGAAGATGAGAGAAAAGAGACAGGATGAGGTAAACCCAGCATGTTCACTGCTCGATGCTGGCCTGTAGACTGAGATGCTTAACTGGAAGCATGCTGCCAAAGCCACGGTTCTCGCTCATGATGGTGCCCTCATCATCTATCACATTTTCAAGCCCTTCTCCCGCTTCTTCTAGTGAATCGCATTACTTTATCGCACATGACTTGAGTAGCCACAGGGATCAAGACGCCACATTCACTAGACGATGCAGTCTGACAATAACAAGGGTTGCAGCTCAGCAGATGCAACAGGCCTTTGGTTGCGCATCCCGTCTGTGCATTATGGGCTACAATGTAGAATGTAAACTTTGTATTAATGATCATGTGTGTACTTTTAAGTCGTCGCTTATGTGGCAAAAATGGACAGTTTCGTTGCTACTGACTTATTGTTGGATAAAATGCCTATAGATGCACGCCACATCGGCGAAGAGAATCATGATAACCAACATAGGGCAATTTCTTTACTTAAGCAATGCCGAACTGAAAAAAATACTACTGGATAGAATTATGACAGACAGTTCTATTGTCCTTCTCTTTTGTAGATCACGTGTGCTATCACCTATACTGAAGGAGCAAATCTAATCTATATATTTTCATTCCTTTATTTTCCCCAAAATCCCGTTTGGATTCCGGTCTCGATAGAGATGCGGGTGATTCTGTCGAAAGCGTTCGCGTTTGGAGCCCTACCTAGATATGGCTACGTTAAGAACGACGCCACATATTGGCCTCGTCTACGTGTCACGACCAACGGTTTGTATTTCGTTCATTATACTTGTATAGCATAATTCAACATTGACGCCGATTTTGCAATACTCGTAGTACTAATTCTATCCGATGCCTCTATTAACTCTACTGCCTCCGTTGCTGCTGCTGTTGCTTATGACATGTGGATGTTTGACGCTTAATACTCCATTAATTAACTACTGCACTGCGATAACACCGTGCTAGTCTTAACGTCTACACATAAATCACCTTTTAGTAACAAGTGTTTTTGATTTCCTACTGTGTACGTCTTTTCGCTTTGCAGTCGTTATTCTTTGCCTCCTCTCTTGATAGACTCCGTGTAAGCCAGCCGCTGCTGCAGTGTATCCACTTTTGAGATTAGTAGCGTATAGCCCGAGCTAGAGCTGCAGATAATTAGCAGCTGCATCAATTGGATTTATTTTCGCCTGGCCGGCCGTTCTCGCGAGAATCTATGAATTCACCAGCCAGTTGCCATGTTCATCGTTTCCATTGCTAAATTCATATAGAGCCTTTTGTGTTGGACTAAGCATACAGTCGCATCAAGTACATGTATTTCTGCACAAAATACCTACTGGTGTCTTTCATTGGCTTGCTTGTTGAGAACTCAAGGTTCGAGCTACCGTGCCTTTTGTGGGCACGTGCCGGTAGCTGCATTGGGAAATTTCCTTCTAGCTGCAATTGAGACAAAACCAAGTTTTTGCCTGCGGCAACGCCATGACGGAGACAGAAACCGCTGCGTGATTCAAGGATGGTCACCTCCTCTCCGCATCCCTTGCCTCAGAGAAGAAATTGTCGGCGCGTCTAAGGGACCTCCGAATTGCAAGCTCTGAACGCCGCAGAACACCACCTCGACCTAGATTTTCCGTCACGCCGCCGACATCGCGCGACATCGTCGTCATTGACTTTGGATCCAGAAGCTGCAGCAGCGTCCGCTTCAAACTTCAGCAGCCATGGCTCCTCCAACGCAGACTTTCAACCTGGACGTTGAAGCCATCTCTGGCATTTGCGGGTGAGCGTTAATGCTGCATAATACCAACTCAATTGCTGACTCTTCTCCCATCTAGGTCCATCTCCATTGCCTGCTGGGGTCAGTGACATCGCCGCCGTGCAACGACCTCTTGAACGCAACATTAACTGACTCTTCTCCAGTCGTCGTATTCTCTCCGCAAATCATACAAAACTTCCAACGAAGCAGCGCCGATGCTCTTTCGATTCAATTCATCATCATCTGGCTCTTGGGAGATGTCTTCAACATTCTCGGGGCGGTTCTGCAGGGAGTTCTCCCTACCATGGTACGCTACCATCTGCTCGCATGACCCCTACTGGAAGCTGATTTGTCCGTCTTTAGATCATCCTGGCGATATACTACACAATTGCCGACATTGTGCTTCTAGGCCAGCTCTTTTACTACCGTGGATTTACCTGGCGCGACGAGCCGACCCCTCCATCCCCGCCCAAGACGAATGGTAACGGCAACGCTTCTGCACCGGCAACCACCTCCGCCAATGTGGACGAGTATACAGCTCTGATTGCCAGAGTAGAGACTCATGGCCATCACAGCCACCATGACCGCCGTGGTCGGCGCGGATCAGACTGGTCTGGCTTTTCGCCGGCAGTACCGCATATTTCCGAGCCACCGACGATCCCGCAACCACCGCCGACAGCCTTGCAAACTACTGTTTGGAATTCTATTGTGATCCTCATGGTGTGCGCGTCTGGCGTTGCCGGATGGTTCCTGGGCGAAAAGGCCTCTGGCGGCGAGAAGTCTCCTTCCAATAGTAGTGATAATTTGGAGTTCAACACTTTGGGCCAAGTCTTTGGATACTTTTGCGCCGCTTTATACATTGCTTCTCGGCTGCCGCAGCTTATTCTCAACTGGAGGCGAAAAACAACCGAAGGCCTTAGCATGCTCTTCTTTTTGTTTGCCTGTCTTGGAAACGCCACCTATGTCTTGTCTATCGTTGCATATGCACCACACTGCGGCGAAGAAGCCTGCACTCCAGAGGAAGCGAGGCGGCTCTATGGTCGTTACATTCTCGTGAATCTGAGCTGGCTGGCTGGCAGCGCTATGACGCTCCTGTTAGACTTGGGTGTTTTTATCCAGTACTTTTTGTACAGGGTAGAAGATGACACTTCAGATGATGAGAATCGTGGCGATGACAACAGTGCTGTTGATGAGCATTACGACCAAAGGCCGCTTCTTGATCGGGGCGATTAAGAGACTCGTCTCAATTTTGGCTTGACGTGATCACATTTGCTTTGTAATACAAGTCGCTTCGTTTAGAGAAAGGGAGAAAGGGGTCAATGCCATTTTTCATGCTACGATAGCCTCTGGTATAGTTTCTTTTTCTGGGTATTTTTTTTTTTTTTGGGGGGGGGGGTTTTCCTTCACCTTTTTTTTGCGGTCTATTTGCCTTTTTTTTTCTTTTAGAATTTTGCCGGGAACAGAAAGATTGAGGAATATGGAAACATGCCTGGGCAACATATGGGCGATGGCAACATCGTGATCAAGGAGGTCAACAGGACAGCATAATGGGCAGGATTTTGTACAAATGCAACGGATTGATATTTCTGGCGAGATTTTAGTAGCTGAAAAAAAATTGTGAATACATGAATCTCAAAGCAGGCAAAATAGTTGATTAGATATGGTCGATGGATAAGCAGGATGAGGAGTCGAGGAGTAACAAATAGGAAAACGTAGCCTTTTCTTCTCCCAAGTAAGGAGTGCAAAAAAAGCAGAAGAAAGGAAAAGAGAGAGAATTCAAGAAAATTCAAATACCCACGAAGTAGGTGGAAAGAAAGCAAAGGCGTTACAGCCAGTGTCGACATCTGGGCGGTCAGACGAACGCAGCTGACATGAGATTTTGGACCTCTGCCACCCAAAGTTTGGCGCTCATGCTTTTCCACACCACTGGCCTCTTCTCTTCCTCACACACTCTCCAAATTCCTTTTCCATTGAAGCAGCTGATTCTTGTTGAGTGTTACGATTCGAATCTATCCTACTTCTGTTTATGGGTCGTCTCTACTTCTCTAGGAGTTTTTGCAGTTTACATGTTCTTTGACAATCTGGCCGTTCGTGCTTGTCTCCGACTTCGCGTTTGCTTTATCGCATGCTAACATAGAATTAGCATCTAATTGACGGCTATTCTGAACTAATCATCTATTGCTATTGTCACCACCAATATGCCTAAGAAGGCGGGCCCTTCGCTCCTCTGCGAGTGGATGGTCGGCACGAGTATTCAATCCGCTCTCGGACCTCCTCCTAAACCGCCAAAGCCCAAGCCTAGACCAAAGAAGCGCGATCTGATCAAGCTTCATGTGGCAACAGATGACGAATCCGGTGAAGATACCCTCACAATCACATACCCTCGATCAGACCGGCTTGACCAAAGCAAGGAAGCACCGGCTGCAGTGCCTGAGCCTGCCGCTCCAGAGCCTGAGCCTGAACCCGAGGTAGTCGAAGTAGTGAAAAGGGTTCGATTCGAGAAAGAACCCGCTTCAGCTGCAGCTACAATGCCGAAGAAATCCGCCATGAAGAAGAAGACTTTGGTGACTTTCTGTGAAGAAGAAGAGACGTCAGATTCAGGTGGAGATGCTGCTTCTACCTCTGCTTCTTCAGGGGAAGCGACTCCAGAGGCTAGTTCTTCCAATGAAAGCTCTGCTGCCGACACGTCTTCAGGTGGAGAAACTTCGTCTGACGAATCATCCAAGCCGTCCAAAGCGCCGAGGACAAAGAAATACTCCAAAAGCAGGAAAATAGAGAAGCCAGTCCAGAGTTCAGACAGCGAGGCAGACTCTGATCCTCACCCTACATGCAAATGCAAAGAGTGTACCACAGAGAGAAAGAAACGAGAGCAAGAATCTGTCTGTGAGAAGAAAAGGTGCAAGAAACTAGCAAAGCCTGAGACTGAGTCGGAATCCGAGACATCAGCAACTGAAGCAGAATCCTCGGCCGACGAGAAGCCTCCGCCATCGAAAAAGGCAAAGGAAAACAAGAAAGGGAAAAAGAAGGCTGAAGTATCTGATACTGAAGGCGAGACTTCGGAATCAGCAACAGAGGCCTCCGAGTCTGAGGATGCGTCAAAAAAGCCACAGGAAAAGAAAAAGAATAGAAACGAAAAGAGCGAGAAGAAGGCGGAATCTTCCAAAAATGAAGGAGAAGCTAAAACTGAAGAAGGCCAAAAAGACTCGAAAGAAAAAGAAGCAGAGGCTAAATCTGACGCAGGCAAGGGCAAGGAGAAGGAGAAGGACGAATCAAAAAAACCTACAGCTGAGACCGCTTCACTACCTTACGAAATAAAGCACTCAGACGGCCATCCTTATTCACACGCCCGCCCGCCCAATCTTATTGCTCCTATTCGCACCGAAAATATGCATATGGAGCGTGTTGTCGAAACAAAAGATGACCCTTTACCAAACGCATACTACGATGCCCTCCATAACGTAGTTCGAGTATACCATGGCTCAGTATATGGACAAAATGGGCACCACATGTTTGCAAATCGGGAGGGTACATCCGGATACCCGCATCACCACGGCGTGTCACATCAATCGCAGAACCCATATTACTCCAGCTACAACAACGTGATGCCTTTTGGGCCGCCGCCTCCTCCTCCACCACCACAGCAACAGTTTCCTCATCATGGATATGAGCACGTGCCGATTACTCAAGGTATGCCGATGCCAAGCTGGAACGCCATGGTACCGCCTCCCGGATACCCGCCGTACAACTACTACGGAGGACCAATGCCCCCCCCTTGGTACGAACAACAATTCAACAAGCAAGCTAGAGGTGCGCTTGACATGAATGGTACTTCAGATGGCAAGAGAGGCAAAAGTAAATCACAACAGCCAGATAACAATGTGATGCCAGAAGCAACAAAAGTAAGTATAAATCCGCTCTGCCATGCTCGTCGGAAATACTAACCTTATGAAGCCGAACCCATACTACACGAAAAGAGTGTCACCATTTAGCAACATGGGTAGCAACAAACCAGCTTCTAATGGTAAGCCACCGTCGAATTCTGGAAATTCGAACAATGGTGGTAAGGGTGATGTTCCCAATTGGGATACCTCTTCTCGGAGAAGCGTTGGAGCATGGGCGAACAGTAGTAATCAAGGCGGCGGTGCATGGGGTGATGCTGCTCCCGCTGATACGAATAATAATAACAACAACACGGGAGGTGGTGATCAATGGGGTGCCGGGGGCGGCAGCGGAGGAGACGCATGGAATACGACAAGCAACAATGACCAGTGGAATAACAACGCAGGAGGCGATCAATGGGGAGCAGGCAGTAATAATGGAGCATGGAACGGGTCTGGAAATGACCAAAATCCTCAGAGTTCTTGGAATACTGGCGATAATAATGTGAATACTGGCGGCGGTGCCACCTGGGGCGACAGTGCCGCAAACGATCAACAGCAAACGAACGATAACAACGGCAACTGGGGTAACCAAAATCAAGGCCAGTCAAGTTCTCCAGTAGGAGGAAACGAAACAACCTCCGCCATGATCGATAACAATGTCGCCCCCGTCGTGGTGACGACAGCTCCATCAGAGGAACAGTCCAAGATGCCGGGTAGTTGGTGTTCCGACCATGACGGGCAAGCGGCGTTTGTGAATCCGTCTCGACAGGAGTATCAGCCTCCGTCAGCGGTGCCGGAATGGGGAGATCCAAGTTTGGCGGCAAGTACGGGTGGACAAGTGAATTGGTGAGGTGATGAAAGGGAGTTGTCATGGTGTATCTAGGACTGGACTTGAAACTTGGAAGTTGTGGGATAAAGGATTTACAAAAAGAAAAAAAAAAAAAAGGCGGCCATTGAGGTTGGGCATTTGGGGCGGAGTGAGAAGCGTCAGTTAACCGTCTATCTGCAACAGTATTCTATTCACTGATCTTTTGCGAGACTTTTCTTCGTTGTACTTTATTAGCTAGAGCCATATACATATAATTATGCCTTTTGTACGGCCAGAGAGACGAATTGCATTCTCAGTGTTTAGCATTTTTGGTTCTTTTCAAGTTCTATATCTCACATTTACATATAATATTTGACTCCTTTTAGGATTAATCAATGATGCCTTGGTATCAGCTCAGGTTTGGTTTGATATCCTAACTAGAAGTTGGTAAAGAAGGCCGCAGCAGCAGTGAGCTGTGCTCCGGGATCTTATTTTACCGTTCCTTCTACCTACCTAGATGTATCATTAATTTCTTGTCGGGTGCCCAAGTCTCCTCATCACATCATCACCAGTAGCAAGTTGTTATTCAATCTGAGATACATTTTCCATTAAGGTTCTCGTCATGGCCTAACCCAGTGCATTATCTGTCTAACGTTAACCTATCCATTCAAGGACAGAATCCACCGATTTATTCCCATCCAACGCCTATGCGCCCAGCTTTAAGCAGTTTACCAACGAGATCAGTGCCGCAAACCATCCCAAAATCAGCAAATCAAAACATCAACAAGCAAAAAGTCGCCGTATCCTCAAGAAGGTGGCCCACGATGCTCTCAGCACTTCCATTCCTCTAGCCGCTTATACATCCACCCGCTCGTGTGCTTCAAGGACGTCTTTCTCTGGCTCATGCCAGGTGCATATCCTTGGCCATAGTACACCTTGTCGTCCATCTTGCACAGATCCTCGACGAAATTCCACTGCATGCACTTGGTCCAGCCCTGGCAGGCCGCCTCACATGCCTCGACTGACTCCCAGGCCTTGCTCCAGAGCGCCTCGTCGTATTTGCCGTTGTCGGGCCCCGGCTTTGCGGCCCACTCTCGGTTGCCCGAAGCGACCTCGTATACGCCGGAATAGTTGTCCCACCACTCGGCGTGCTCCTTGATGTTGGGCAGGATCATGGCGTTGAAGAAGTCGCGATGCAGAAGCGGCCCCTTGCTCCAGTCCCAGCGCTGCTCCACCTCGTAGTAGCGGGCGATGTCGCGGTTGTGCACCTTGTGCCACGACAGCAGCGGGCTGCACCAGTTGGCGCTGGCAAAGGCAAAGGCCCAATGGACCACGGGGTTGAAGCCAAAGGTGAACTTGCCGTCGCCGCCGTTCTCGCCAAACTTGACGCCGTGCTTCCGCAGCGCGTGGGCGAGCACCTGGTCACCGCAGCAGTGGTCGGCCGTGTACTGGTAATACTCCTCCGTCAGGCCCCCGTTCTCGTTGCCCTGCTTGCCAAAGGACTGCTCCCATGCGCCCCTGGACAGCGCAAAGCCGGCGCCGCCGTGGGCAAAGATGACGTCTGACTTGGCCGCATAGCTGCCCAGATAATGGGGCTCCTTCCAGTCGAATTTGGCGAGATAGCCCAGGACTCCGGGCAAAAAGAGGTATGCGTCGTCTTCCATGTAGATGTACCACTTGGCTTTGGGCCAGTTGTCGCCGGCATGCTGGATGAGCGGAATAAACTTGTACTTGTCGATGATCCAGCCTCCCACGGGGCCCCAGTCATCGCCATTGACTCCTGCGGCCTCGACATAGTAGTTGTTGGCCATGTACTCGGGCTGCTGGCGGTAGACGTCGAAATCAGGCTGAGCCTTGGCCGTGGAGGACATGTTTGCCAACACGTCGATGACGTTGAAGGCGCCAATCCGCTCGGGCAAATCAGAGTAGATGACGGTGCTGTCCATGGGAATGCGGTCTTGGTCGAGGGAAGTGGTGAGATGCACCAGCATGCGCTTCCACACGGTTGTGCCGCCAGTTTTGACAATCAGCAGGACGTCGTCCGTTGAGAGACCATTGTATGAAATGGCCTTGGCAGCTGCTTTGTCCTTGGCAGGACTCTTGTTGCTGCTGGTTGGCGCAACATATTCCACCTTTTCCGCGGGTGCCGCTGTCTCTACCTTTTCCACCTTTGCCTCTGTCTCTATCTTTTCCACCTTTGTGCCCAGGTCTACCACCCTCCGTTCACCATCCGCAAGTTCCACTTCTTCGACTACGATGCCCTTCTGTTTCGCAGCGTACGGAGTGTGTCCATAGTTCTCCAGCGAGGGATCGATGAGGCAGTAAAACAGAAAAAAACACGCGGCAATGATGACTGCCGGTATCAGCCGGTTGTTTTGGTATGTTACCAACATTGTGTCCTGGTAAAACAGCACAGCTGTGGCTCATTCACGCATTCGCCGCCGCCAGCCGCTCACAACTCAATTTTAGAAAAGAAGCTGGGGCTCGAGCGGTGGAAACAAGGTTGAAAATAAAGAAAAGAGAGGGCAAAGGACAAAGGTCCAGTGAGAGGGAAAGGAGAGCTCAGGGCGTTTGTCGATCTCTTTTCGGAGTGACAGGCCCGGGCCGGATCGTCAACTGCTGTTAGTCCACACATACTGTAAGTACAGTACCTACTCTGTATAAGTACTCGGGAATCTCGCATGTGCGAGAAAGGGCTTCGGCTGAGCAAGGTCCGTCACTGTCGCACAGGCTAACAACGAGTGCTAATTTGGGCCGTCTCCACGCCATCATTGTCTGGGACGATACGAGGCAGAGGCAACGGCAAACCCCTTTGGCGTGCATGACTCCCATCGCGCCAAGCAGATTCCGTCTCTTGATACTCGAGCGGAAGAGAGCCAATGCCTGCCAGCCTCATGGATAGCCCCTAGGATGGCTCCTTGAGCAGATTGCCAAAACAGGTAACTGCCGACTCAGGCATGCTCAGCCCCCTGACTAAAGTCGAATTCACACCAAAGTGGCGCCGGCGTCACAAGTTTGCCGCTGCCGACTTTACTTGCGTTCCACGGCGGACCAAGATGCCGCCCATTCTCTTTCTTCTTGCAGAGATGTTTTGATTTCTGTTTAGTCAAGATTTCTGTTTAGTTTTATGATTATATATATCTCGCTGTCGAGTTGCCTATAAAGGGGGAACGAGAACAGTTCGCTGATTTAAGCTGCTTACCAGGTTAACGTTACGACTAATAAAGACACTACGAAAAATGTGTGTGTTCCACAACATAGCTTCTAGCACGCTTCTGAGAGGTGGTCCATTCGGGAGATGGGCAAGGGTCTCACGGGATTCCCTAGCGACAACCAGACGCTTGGCTTCTCGTGTTGATTTTTTTCTCCGAGCCCTTTTTTCCTGGAGGATCTCTCACAATGTGGACTCAGCCCGTGTGTTGCCTGGCTGACTCAAATGGGCACGGCTCGCATAAGGTTCAAAATTTGCATTGCGGAGCTTGAGAGTTGACACTGTTTAGGGGCAAACTAGACCAACTGCAGCATTGTCCGATTGATCGAGATACGAAGGCCGGTATCACCAGCACCAACACGGAGGAGTATCTGAAACAACCTTGCATCTGCTGTCAGATCATGTCCACTGGGCGACTATGTAGTCCACGATGCGCGCAAAATCATGTTCGAACTCAGCTCAGCTGCCTCATTTGGTGCTATTCTGAACGAAAAAAATAGTTCGTATTAGTATCATGTTGCCCGCAAACAGCTACTACTAATTCGCGTTCTTCTTAGGCAAGTACCTGTAAGACGGCGAAGCTGAGGCCAAGCGCACAGGGGCCAGAATCCCTCGTCGTCTAAAAGAAGCAATAGCCGGGAAGCCCAACTTTCACCAATTACCGGCAGACGTTTTTTTGCTGCTGTCGACCCTTAAAAATCCCTCGGAAATAATCCTGGAAGCGCCCCCATTGCCTTAAGCCAAAGACAGCCCTAGTATGCTTGTCCGCCAAGAGAAGGTCAAGACGCTACTCGTGAAATTATACGGAGGTGCGGAAGCAGCGCCCCCCCAGACTAAGAAGAATCTGGCCATGTGAATGGAAAATACTATACAAACGAAAAAAATGCACAATAGAGACGAAGAAGAAGGAAACCCAGCTAGGCTGACGGGACGGGGAGTTGTAGCCTCAGCTGGGTATATCCCGTAATGAGAAGCTAACGCAACCTCGGCCTTATTACCAGCGAGGTAAGCAGGTTTTCTTCTTCTTTGGAATAAAAGATAGTTGTTACTCCTTGGAGTAGGTCAGTTGTTGGCTTCGACTAATCATCATCACTGTTGTTAGCACGCGAAGGCTCGGGTGGTATGTCACGTCGATAGGCTGTCCAGCGCCCAACTCGTTGTCTAATTTGACCTTGGTTGCCTGCGACTTGTCATTGTCACAACATAAGAAAAGCAGCGTCTATTGTTGGCGGACCTGCTTTCTCCCCCTCCTTACTTTTAACTTTCTCCTCTTCCCTTTCTTTTTCTACCTTGTCGTTTCAGACTAGAAAAGTGCATTTTGAAGTTTTCTTCAGCCACTCGTTTATCCTGCGCTTGTCTTTCGCTTAGACGCTCTTTTCCACTCAGCTTAGGCTATCCCAGCCTTTAGCTCTCTCACAACTCGCCCATTATGATGGACTCTTTCCAGGAAGGGTCTGGTCCCCAAGTCGTGACCAAGGGACGCCATACAACACTGCTTCGCATGTTGATGAACGTTATCGGCTGTTTAATTAGCATCCCTGCCTACTGGGCCATCACCGTGCACTGTCACTATCCCGTCACTCTGGATCTCGTCTTTACAATCCTCCTCACCGAGCTAAACCGGCTTGTGAACGAAGGTCGCAGGATTCAGTTTTACGATGAAGAGTCTCCTGAGCCTCTTCTTCCTCCGCGAGACGAAAAATACCTTGTTACTCCACGAGACGAAAAATTCCTTCCTACTCCACAAGATGAGGGCTACAGCTCTTACACCTCTACTCCTTACAATGAGAAGAATTTGAGCTTCATGGAGTCACAGATTGTGCCGCAGTCAAGGTTGGACAGCATGGCTGCTGTTGTGGGATGGCGTGAAGATCCTGCGCTGTTTACCAGAGCGCTGGAGAGTTACAAGAATGCCAAGCACTGTACTTTTATGCTGATTGGCATTGACGGAGATGACGCGGCGGATCGTGACATGGTTGACGTCTTTAACATTGTAAGTGTGGAAGCGTATAAGCACATGTATACGCAGTATCTTTGCTGGAAATGGAAGGAGATCAAGGTCAACTAACAAGATGAAAACAGGTATTTCCCACTCAGTCCAAAGTGATCCACGTCCCCCAGCCATTGGGCGAGGTGGCAGAGCAGTTCCTCGCCAAGCACATTGCCATTTGCAAGCAAAACGGCCAGCCCATCAACATGGAGGAGTGCCATGATATCGCAATGAGACACTGCTTCCAGCTTGCCCGGACCATTATCGAACAGGAGGGCATCAACCTCAGCAACGTGCGCCACATCTGCCTCCGCCAACGGCACATGCACAAGAAGGGCATCATGTTCACCACTTTTGTCTTTGCGTTGGTCATTGCAGATGTCTTGGGCATTGAGTTTCTGTGGTCGTCGGACTCGGATACTTTGGTGCTGCCCAACTCGATCCATAAGACGGTTGATGCCATTGCTCAGGATCCCACCATTGGAGGTGCCAGCTCTGGTCTGATTGTCCACAACGGACACGAGACTGCCGTGACCAATCTGGCCGCCACGGTCTACTGGGGCGAGCTGTATCTGACGCGCTCCTCACCCGCCTTCACCGCAACGAGTGACTGCCAAAGCGGCCCCAGCACCGTGTTCCGTCTGGCTGCGCTGCCGGCCATCTTGATCCCCTGGTACCTCCAAACCCTGCTCGGCAAGCGCATGATTATCAACGAAGACCGCCATCTCACCACCAATCTCCTTAAACGCGGCTGGGGCGTCGTATTCGCTTCAGACGTCCTCGCGGCCACGGACACACCGACGACGCTCGCCCGCTGGCTCAAGCAACAGGTCCGCTGGGCGCGCGCCACGCACATTGAATCGCTCCTCCAGCCCAAAGTCTACCTCATCACGCACCCTCTGCTCTTCTACAGCATGAGCAAGCGTGAGCTCGGCCCGCTCATCGCCCTCATCGCCACGATGTGGTACTTTATCACGGGCGAGCAGCTCATCATCGTCTTCATGGCCGACCTGTTTGTGCGCGTGGTGGCCAGCGCCCTGTACAACCTCCTGCGCAACCCCCATCGCCTGGAGCGCGCATCTCTCAAGTGGATCATCCCGGGCATGTTCTTCTACCACATCCCGCTGCCGGGCGTGCACGTCTGGAGCCTATTTACGCTGACGGCGGACGGCTGGGGCACCAGCATGCGCAACAACAGCGAGATGGCCAAGAAGGACAGCGTGAGGCAGGCGTGGTGGGAGACGGGCTTCTTTGTGGGCTGGATGGCCGTCGTTGCTGGGTGTGTGGCGAGATGGCTGGCGACGTATCACGGGTTGTCGAGCGGAGAGCTGTTGTTGGCCATGGTGTTGGCCTCAGGGGCAGCGGCGGCAGTGGCGTGGAGATTTACCATTTACCAAATGTCATGATGGAGACGAGCGATGCTTTTGATTTACAGCTTGAATTGCATATAATAATATATAGAAGTACGACCAGGATATAGACATGGGATAGACGGGGATATCAAAATGGCAATCTCTTTGATTGCAGGGCTAATGAATGAGATTTATGTAAATTAGGTATTCTCTTATAATTCTACAATATTGTCTTGTTGCAAGAATTGTATTTTCCGTTGAAATTATGGAATTCTGTTAGTACAGCTAGTCTTGGCGTTTTGTTGGTGGCGTGTCTCAAGTGGCGCTTGTTTTAATTGAAAACGCGAAACTACGTCACAAGACGCGTTTGAGTTGTCAACCCGCGTAAATAGGTAAAATAATAATGGTGCTCCGTATGGAGTGATGAAAAGAGGGGATAAGGCTGACGTTTTATTTCTTTCATAGAGCAGGAAGAGAGAAAAAAGTGTCTTTTTTTCTGCAACTGTTGCCCTTTAATCGAATTCATTCTCCTCTCAAACTTGGGATAAAAGCAGCCCCACCTCCCCACCTGACAGATTCATCTCCATCAAATCTCAAATTCACTTAAAACCAAGCAACATCATCATCACCAAAAAACGTTTACAAAAAGGAAATTAAAGAATTATTTTTTAAAAAAAAAAAAATGTCCGCCGTCCCATCCCCCGAAGTCCGCGCCACCATCGCCGAGAAGCTCGTCGCCCGCAGCCAGCGGCGGGCTCTTTTACATCTGGGACTTTGTCAAGCGCACCGAGTACATGCTTTCCGAGGTGGAGGGCATTCAGACGCCGGGGTATGAGTTTCAGCATGCGGGGCAGATTAAAATCAGTATGTTGTCTTCTCTCTATATATATATAATACCAGTATGAGTGTGAAGAGATGATAATTAACACCACACAGCAAAACGCGGACCAGCAGCCGCGCAGGAACTCTTCAACGACGTCTTCACGCGCTCCGTCACGATTGACCAGCTCATTGGCGGCCCGCCCATGATGCGCAACATGATGGGCATGGGAGGGGATATTCCGCCTGAAGCTGCGGCGGCGAGCAAGGCTGTTTTGGAGGCGTTTCCCAAGAATTAAGAGAGGGGGTTTTGGGAAAATTCGAAAATGCCCTGGTGAAATAAAATGGAAGGGGGAAGGGATGGAAATGTGCAGTGGCAAGATACCATATTCTATAAGAAAGTAAGAAACAGATACACATACAGCAAAAGACCGTGTTGCACTTTTGGTGGAAAGAAAACATCCATCGGACACACTGCAAGCACACATCTCACGCAACGAAAAAGGTCAAAGAAGGTGTTGAATTCTTCGAGAAATTGGAGGCGAAATTTGTCCTCATCAATCCTATGCTTAAAACATCTAATGTAACGTCTCCCTACGTCATGCCCAACCAATTCCCTCCATTGACAAAGCGCCGATATGCTCAAGTATTCCAAAAAAAAAATGAGAGAAAAGAATGATAATAAAAAAAAAAAACCAAAGAGGTGACCAAAAAATGTCCATGACCAGAGATGAAACGCCCATGGTATCGTTATAATGCATATATGCCAATCTCACTACTCCAAAAAGAGCCAAAGCAAAAGAATAAAAAAAAAAAAAACCACGATGGAAATTCCACTACAAGTCCGTTATGAGTTCAGTTCCAGTTCCAGTTCAAGTTCCGTTAGACGTTTTCCAGTATGAGATAAACAACTGTTGAGTAATGAAAGAGGGAGACGAGAAAGAAAGACAAAGCATTGCAAATGGCACATCTGTGAAGAAGAAAATGGCTCTGGCAATGCTTGCTTCCCTTGTTTGCCGTCATTACAGTCCGCCCCAGCGACCTTTTGACTTGCTCTTGGCCAGCCGTCGTCCAATGTTGCCAAAGCAAAGACAGGTGCAGAACAAGACGCTAACGATCCAGATGCTCGCTTCAATCGTCTCGTGGCTGGCAATGCTGTTGAGCGCCGTCGTCAGATCCGTGTAAGACGCCATGGACGGGATGCCGTTGCTGCTGATGTTTTGCGCAGCGGGCGCGGGAATCATGTCCGGATTGACGCCCCAAACGAGGACGGAGCCGGCGAGCCCTACGCCCGCAGACAGAATCAAGGCAGAGACGGATCGGTCGATGAGCCACCAGAGCACGAAGCTGGCCAGAGCCACGGCCACTGAGAGCTGCATACTGGAGCTCCAGGCAAGGCGACGCTGCACCACAATCACATGTTAGTACGTCATACGACTCCACATCGAATGGCACGGTTGAGACAACTTACTACTGCAAACGCGACGCCAACAAAGACGCCGACTGCTCGCACCACCAGCGCCCAGTCCGTCTCTGACGCAGTCGCTTTTGTGGTATCTGACAGGGGTTCCGCGGGCTCGACCACGGCTTGTTCGTCGGCGCCAAAAAGGCCGTCCCACAGGCCGTCAAACCACGGCTGCAGCGCGCCCAGCGCAACACCCGTCAGCCCAAAGCCCCACAGCGCAAGATATGATCCGTTGTATCGCGGGACGGCGCTGCTGGCCTCGGTCAGCTGGAGTAGCTGCGGCTCCTGGTGCAGGTGCGTGACCAGCACGCCGTATCCAGCACCGAGCACAAACAGCACCACGGCACGCGACACCAGCGAAACGGCAGCCCCGGCAGGTGTCACGGGCTGCTTCACTGGAGTCGCCTCGGCGGGCTTGTACGACATGCGTCGGCGCGGGAGGTTGGATCGATCGCGCATCAGCTCGTAGGTGGCCTGGCTGATGCTTTCTCGTCGCTTGACCGGCGTCTCGGCTCCCGTCCCCCATGGCGTGTGCAGCTCCTCGCCGTCCTCAACGCCATTGAAGACGTCGTCTTGGTCGTCGCAGTCGTATATGCCCGCCAATGTCGAGGAATTGAGGTTTGCGGTGGACTGTGACTGGGTGAGGGCGGGCGGCGAGTCGGGCGGCGAGGGACGCGAGCCGAGGAGGCCAGAGTTGATCAATTCGCGGCGGAAGCGGGCGAGCTGGATCTCTTCTTCTCGGCGCTGCTCTTCGCTGTCGCTCTCGTCATCTTGAGGCGGCGTGAGGCTCTGGGGCGGCGTGGAACACTTGAGGTCGAAGACAAAGGGCCGGCGAGGGATGGGTCGAAGCAAGGGAGGCCCGTCGCGAGAAGCGTCTGCAGTATCCATTGCGGTAGTGGTGTTGGTGTTGGTGTTGGTTGTGATGGCGAGAAAATGCCAGAGTCAAGAGAAGGAGACAAGAAGTTGCTGTATGCAATCGATTGTATGCGTAGAGTGTCTGTAGCAAGCAAAAGGAGGAGAATAGAGCAGAGATGAGATGATCAAAGCTCCCACGTCAAGGGTGCCCGTGACTCTTTGCTCTGCCTCTCTGCTTACTTGATGCAGCTCCAGCTCCAGATTCAGCTTCAGCTCCACCGCCAAGGCTGGGGCTGTTGAGCGTTCCGGATGCGTGCGGCGCAATGCAATGCAATGGACTGATTAAGCTCCGGGCCGGTGGATCCGAGGAGGCGAAAAAGGGGATCGGGCGATGCAGGTGTTGTGATGATGATGTTTTGGTGTTTTTTTTTTTCCGACGCTGCAGATAGTACGAGACCCTGAAAATTGGTTAGGCTAAATATATCACATGAAAGAGTCAAAGCGGAAGCTAGACAATCAAACAGTAGCTGGATAAAGAGAAAGAGAGAGAGAAAAGTGGCTCTGGTATGACGGAGAATATTGGGCTCGGCAGTGGGCAGTTTTTCCTGACGATTCCACTTCTGGGTCCATCTCAGATGGCCGAAAACGAATGCGAGACGGGCATTTGTTGAATTCCCTTTGCTTCCGTTGACGTTTTCTATTGTTGGGGGGGGGGGTTTTCTTTCTTTCTTTTTCCCTTCTTTTTCCGGCTTTCAGTGCTGTTTGCAACTTACCGATTGCTTGGTGTTGGCGTTGTGTACCGTGAAGCTGCAACGCACAGGGGGCGGATACAGATCCGTGGGGAATGGATGCAGCTGAAATGCGATGCAGACGGATCGAGGTTTTTGACAGGCGGAGTCGATTCTTTATTCTTAGGCGGCAGTGCGACCTGGACGACGCACGTGGAGAGTATTTGATATGAATGAGTCAGTTGAATGCCCGAAATGCAGTGGCGAGCAGGAATCAACAAGAAGCAAGACAGAATAAAGGGAGAGAGGGAGAGGCAGAGACAAGAAAGTAATCAGTAAAAGAAAGAGACACGATGAGGGGCAGCAGTCGACGCCTTTAACGGAATCCGATGCAATGCCAGGCCGCGTGTTTTCAACGGCTCGCAACTGAAACTCTCTTGTCTCTGCTCTCCTCTGGAACGCTCTGAATTCATGCACTGCATTCCCGCTTGCGTTCTTTTGGCGCCCACCGCAAGCCCATCCATGCCAGTGCCCATCCATGTCTCCTCCTCAACAAAAATACCCGAACCGTGACAACTCACTTGAGGCGTAAGGCACAGCACATGTGACTAGGCCGAGGAGGGCAATATTAGAGACGCCTACACGAGCTCAGGGCGGGTGATGCTTGGCTGACAGTGCGAATTGGTGCTTCTTTGCTTTGATGAAGACCTGGTTCAGACGATGATGCTCTAGATGTTGAATACCAGGCAAATAAGCCATTATGATTTCTTCAAATACGTGCCATCTCGAGCCACCTAGTTGCTGGATATTATCGTAGCAGTCACGGCAATAGAAATCGCAGCAATATCCGCAGAGACAGCTACCATACCTGGCATATGTACATGTCTTGCTTTTAGCGGCAGGTCTTTCTTCAACGGCTACACAGTATCCATTTCACAGCACCTTTAGGCGCCCATCCCTGCAACCCCCTTGAACTCTCCAATGCCCAGCTCCGGATCTACAATTACTGCTCACATCCATAAAACAATTCAATTCATCCCCGTAAAAAGTAGATACTTATATATAGCACAATTTTTCGTCTTTCTTAATTCTCCTTGAAACAAAATGTTTACAGCACCCATGATTCATCCACCGCAACGGCTGAAACTGCATTTACCCCCAGGATTCGCATGTACTTAATTAATAGTGCCTCACGCATTACAAAAAACAAAAACAGGCAAAAATCGCCCCTCGAATAAGAGAAACACACATACACTCACACACACATGTCAGCTGGGTTGCATCTTCTCCGCACCTAGTCTACCGAACCCGCATATTCAGCCAAACCCAACCCCTCAGTCGCACAAAAAAGTCAATCACGGGCTCGAGAGCTTTTAAAGTTGCCGCCGCCAAAGGCAAATAAACCCAAACCTAATCCCCAGTCTAAACTCGAATAAACAATATCCTATTGCTGTAATACAAGCCAAATACCTCACCAAACAGCACCAAAACTCTCAATAACCTACACCCAACTCAAGCTCCAATACTCCTAATTTTCTCCTCACTTCTCACCTGCACTGCATACACCTCGACACCATGGCACAAACTGATAGGCACAGCACATCCACCAAAAAAGCTAACCACTGCACCACTCTTTTAGTTTTCAACGAGTCAGAAGCGCTGCATTTTCAATTTTCTGCTCGTGTGACATGTGAACACCCCGCATTTTTCATTGCTTCTCCAGTTCCATCAGAGCTTACTTGTACAAGTAGGGGGCCCCTTTCGGAAGACCCCATCGGAATCGGTCTTGGTTGGCTGCTTTTTTAGCACGCACTGTATCGCAGTAAAACGAGCATCACCAGTGCCTTTACACTTGACCGTCTTGCATGTGAAAAAAGCGCTCTTCAAGATGATCAACAAAAAACCAAGACCTTTCGACTTATACCGCTACACAACCCCAATACCCAAAAAGCAAGCCTGTCTTACCACTCTATTTATTCCAACCGAGCTCTCGTCCTCCCCAAAAACGCCACCCGGTGCTAACAATCTGCAAGTCATACACCACCCAAAAACCCCAGCCAACACCATCCACCATCCCTGGCCAAAGAACCCTTGTTGTCGTGTGCCTGAGTGCGGGCGTGGCGCTTCGTTGAAGATTATCTAAAACTCAATTTTTAAACCACGCTTTCGATTTAAAAAAGGGAGAAGAGGGTGAATCCTGCATAAGCGAGCTCTCCTATTGATTTTGCTTCCCGGCTTTATTCGTCTCAAGGCTAGAAGAAGAAAAAAGGCATCGAATATGCTGTGGTCCGATTTGTTCACATGTTTGAAAGAAGGGAGACAGAAGGATTTACACGTATCATTTTGTGGTATCATTTTGCACCACAAAAATTAAGAGTGATTTGCTCAAACATTAACCGTACCTGTATTGTCTGTCGTAGCCGTAAAAATGTGACGGAGCCTGATGAATGAAACCCCAGCAGTAGGTAGCTATCAAGCACTTACAAGAGGCTGCGTCTCTGCCCAAACAAGCAAACCAACCCTTCAACAGCCCCCCAATTGCCCTCCACCCATGATCCAAGCATACGCTCTTTGCGCATCATCTGAGAAACGACATCCTTACTCTTCGTCATCCTCTTCATCATCCTCTTCATCATCCTCTTCATCATCCTCTTCATCATCCTCTTCACCATCTTCATCCATCACTCTAGACTTAGGAACGGGAATCGAGGTGCGACTAAGCAATCGAGCTATGTAGTCTAAAAGTACTTCATCGTTATTAGCCATCACTGCCAGTCAAATGCTCAAACAAAACAAGGCAAATATACTTACATGCAATATCTCGTCCAAAAGCATGATGGCCACTGTCGTATTCCACACAAGTGACGCCAGCAATATTCAATCGCATCTGCGCCCTCTCAAACTCTTCTTGGCCAAGATCCAGCACCACCGTTTTGAGCTGTGGAAAGCGTCCCCACCTCACCGCATTTGCCAGTTTCTCTACTCCATTCCACCTTTCCGGTACATGTCGTAATCCGATGAGGGTGAGTGATTTGGGCAGCAGCCTAGTGAAATCGTCAACATGGCGAAACCTAGACACTCGCACCAACAACTCTTCAAGTGCTTTGAATTTGTCAAAGCTGCCGAAATAACCTCTCATATCACGTTGGTTGTCTCCAAGACGAGAAAAGGGACAATATTCGTGAAATCCAGCATTCACATGCTTCAACGTGCTTTTCCGCTGCGCGAGTATCGCCTGCATCTCTTCCCATGTAAATCTCAACACGTCCTGCTTGACCTTGAGGTAGTGGTCGAACCTAGGGCTGCACTACTCGAAACGCTCCAGTTTTGGACAGGACATGACCAGCCTCTTCAAGCTCGCTGCCGTCATGTTGCTCTGAGCGAGATTGAGAGAGCGTAGCTCGTAAAGAGGTAGAAACTGCGTGGTGCCCCCGCAGAAATTCACGTCCAGCCTCTCTAGACGCGGCATCATGCCCAACAAGTCGCCCAAGCAGCCCAGATTGAGTTTGCAGTTGCGGTAGTCATGGTGACTTAAATACAAGTATCTCACCGAGCTCAACGTAACGGATTTCGCGAATAGCTTTCCAAGGACAAATTTTGTTTCGCCTCTGCGCGCCGGGACCGTAATGAATAACGCCGTCACCCAGGGGAGGAGAGCGACTGTAAACTCCAACATCCAAAGTTCTCGCTCAAACACATTTACCCAAATCTTTTGCAGCCAGTTGTCGAACAGCCCAGAGGCATCATGAAGATTAAACTGGGCCGCCAAGGGTACAAACAACGTACGAAAGATGTTTATTGTCACCGGAGATTCCGTACATCTATCGTTGCTGAAGTTTCGCACCAGGTCAGCCAGGTCTGGCCGTTCAAAAAGCGTCCGTAGTAGAGGGAGGGTGCCACCAATAGGATGGACATCGTGGAACATGACCTGCTGAGCAATATCAACAAATATTCGGCTTGTCAGGCTGAGAGCTTTCAGGTCCCCCGTCTCGCTGCGATCAAACGGAGAATCAAGCCATGATTCTGGGTCTGAACAGTGCCTGCACTTGTATCTGCATATTTTCTAGATGAGCTCGTTTGACAGAGACAGAAAGCCGACCGCCATTGGAGGGCGACTTCTGGTATGAATAGATACTTTCCCTTGCAGCGATATGGAGCGACAGATGATAAGTGCACAAGCTTGGCGATGCGTGGAAGAATGCTGCTTGTAAGAAATATGAATAGCGAACAAATGAAGGAGATGAGAAGAAGAGGAGGAGGGGGGGGGGGGAAGAAATGTGCGCAATACTACATCAGAAGTAGCTGCCTACCGCTGCAGATGATGCGACACTGGGCATTTAGGGAAGCTATGGTCGTCTGTCATCTCCATTGCGGCTACCTCACCGAAATTCACATCACCAGAGTTTGGCCAACAAAGACTGGACTCCTTAACTTGCTGATAACAGCACAAAAAGCCAGAGAATGGGTTCTGATGGATGATTGTAACCGCAAAAAGGATTCTAGATATTCAATCAACAAATATTGGGTGTAATAGCTAAATCGTAAAAAGCATTTAGGTATTCAGCCAACTCCACCCCTATTTATGCATTACATATATACAACCTCCATATACTTAATCCGCATCATCCCACCAACAATCAAAAATCAACTCCTTCACTCATCATCCTCCTCGCTATCATCCTCATCATCCTCATCCTCCACCCCCTCGTCCTCACTATCCTCCACCCCCTCCGGCCTCTCCAGCATCAAAAACGCCGCCATGCACGTAACCCGATTATGCGTCACCAACGTCCCCCCCAATACACCCACAGGCTTCTCCTCTACCTTGTCCTTCTTCGCCAAATCTCGCAGCTCGTCCACCTGCACCGTCCACAGCCTAATCTTTCCATCACTGCTCGCTCCCACCACGTACAGCGTCCCAGGGTTAGCCGTGCTAGGTATGATGACAAAGTCCTTGATTCTGCCCGAAACGCCCTCTCCACCGATGAAGCCAACAAGCTTAGCCACAGGAAGATTCGCCGCCGCCTCTGATTCCTCAGGCTTCGCCAGGTCGTCCGCCTTTGTCGAGAAGAACATGATGCGCCCATTCTCAGTCGCCACAGCCAGCAGCGCCTCTCCCGTCTCCTCATCCAGCGTGACATAGCTAATGTGGTGAATCTTGACCTTTGTCGTCGGCATAACCCGGCACTTGGGCACGCTGTCCATGCCAAAGACTACAACATCCCGGTCAAATCCAACCGCGAACTCGTCCGCGCCGTCGGCTGTTCCCCAGACCACTCTCCGCGCCTCGCCGCTCGAGTGCTTGGACTCTCCAATCTCCCTCAGCATCTCCTTGCTGAAACTCAGCACGCCCGCCTTCTTTCCCGTAACGAGATTCCACAGTCGCATACACCTCTCGCCCTTGCCGACGCTAATCATGAGCTTCATGCTCGGATGGATCGCAAAGTCGTTGACGCCAGCCGGGGTGCCTCCAAACGGCGCAGTATCACCCGTCGGTCGGCCATGCGCGGTCGGCTTCGGCGTCTTGATATTGCTCAGCATAGACCAATCTCGCGTGCGTGTTACGGCAATCGTCGAATCGTCGCTGCCTGACAGCAGTTTTGACCTCGTGGGGAACGCCAGCGCCGTAATCGTAGAGTCGTGATGCAGCAGCGTTCCCAGCTCTCTGTTCTTGGAGTTCTCCAGGATCGGTCTCGGCGCAACGCCAGCCAGCATATCGCCCTTCTTCTTGCTCGGGGGATACGCCGACAGGTTATATACGTGGATTCGCTCGTCCGTGCTACCCGTGGCGAGCAAGACTTTTTGCGTCTGGCCCGGGGCGGGAGCCGAAGGGGGGGACACGGCGACGCATCGGACGGCTGATGAGTGCGCATTGAAGAGGAATGTATCCGCGAATTCGACGTCGCCTTTGGTGCCAATTGCGGCTGTCAGTCCATGGAGCACTCGGTCGTATGATCCCGCGACAATCTGAATGGTTTCCTCCACAAAGGTTGTGTTTTTCGGCGCTGATTTCGTCTTTGTCTCTTCCACGACCTTGGTCTTTGAACTCTTCTTTGTAGGTTTCGACTTTTCTTCCACAATTTTTGATTTCTTGGCGGTTACAGGCTCCACAGCCGGTTCGCTGGTGGCAGCCGCTTGTCTCTTTCTCTTGGCCATCTTGCGTTGTGATGTTCTGAGTTTTATGGTTTACCAAGCAAGATTCAATCCAAAATCCAGAGGCTGCCTCTCTCACAATGGGAAAAAAAATATAGTGGGTACCTGCAGCGCGATAAGATAAGCTACCTCATGTTTGCTCTTAGCGCATAACGGTGGTTTAATGCATAGGTACTTCCACATGTCACTACAGCCGCTTTCTACGAAGAAGAGAATACAGGTCCAAGAGGCAAAGAAAAAGAGGGAGAGAGTACATACTGTATCTCCATACCCGGCGTTATGCTCCCGTATATGCTCAAATATATAATGTTGTATCAGCTTTGCAAAAATTCAACCCCGATGCCTGTTTTTTGCTCGACAAAGTGGAAAAATAACAACAGTAGAGTAAGTTAAAAGAAACATGAAAAGTAAAGAACAAATCTCTATCAGTTCGGCCCATCTCTCTCGTGGCCGCCATCTCGGCTTAATTCTATAGTGCTTAGACTGGGGAAGCGTTTTGTAAAGTCCTCCACGTAGTCGTCCCTGTCGTTTGCAGTCATCTCTAGCATTGGCTGCCCAGGGAGATCAATTGCTATCAGGCGCTCGAATGATTGCTCATCTCTCTCCTTTGTTGGTGAGGAGGTCTGCCGTCCTCCTCCTGTGGGTATATTATTCAGGTGAACGGGCTTCCTGGGGGCTGCCGGCTTGGCTACACTCTTGCCCGATACGCTCGCAGAAGCGGATGCCGAGCCAGTGGCTTGTCTGGCGTCGCTCAGCGAGCTGTCGCTTCGTCGTGGGTCTACCACGACGGGCTTTGCAGCTACAATTGGCTTGCGCTTTACCTCAGGGCGCGGCTTCTCCGCCTCGTTCGGTGCTGGCTCAGAGTCCGTGTATTTGCCATAACCATGGGCGGTGCGGGGCACGTTTGATGGCTTCTGTTCTTCGCTTAAAAGACTCTGGACCCTGTTTTGTATGCTGGCAGCTCGCGCCGCTCCCATGGGCTTGGGAGCTACGCTTGGTCTGGGTTTGGACGGTGAACCGCCTTCAGCAACCCGGCGTCGATATTCTGCTTGCGCAGCCTCGACTCTAGCTTCCTCCTCTTCCAGCTGGCGACGCTCCATCTCACGACGCATCTCAGCCGTCATATGGCCACGGCCTTCCCCGTCTGTATCGCTCCTATCATCTGCTGCTTCCGAGCCTTGGATGGGTGTCAGCGTACGACGTCCCTGCTCCTTACCAGATGATGAAGGTCTAAAATCTGACTCGTTGTCAGATGGAGCATTATTCTCAAACTTCTTGAAAGCACCACCAAACTTGCCAGAAAGCAAGTTCTTGGACGTGGATGCCGTTGTCTCAGGCTTTTGCACAGGTCGATCTTGATCGTAGTCTTTGACCTCGAAGCTTCTCGAGCTTCGAGCCTGTTCTTTCAAGCTCACACCGCCGTCATTATTATTGCGACCTGTGTTGGAACTCGACAGTGGGAGATGCCACGATGAGTGGCGGTTAACTGAAGACTGTCGGCTGGGAGGCTTGGACGCGTTTTCCCTTTCTCGCAGATATTCCAGAGTACTGGGTTCAAACGTGGAGCTGACAGGTCGCTGTTTGAGGCCAAGGTTTCCGGCAGAGGACCTGATATCTATTAAATCCTCTTGGGAGCTGAGATTATCCAGTGACGTCCTAGATGAAGCAACTGTGCTCTGGCTAAGCCGTGGCTGAACAGACGAAGACCTCGTGTTTGCTGACGCCCAGTTTCCACCAGAAATCCGCTTGGCAGTATTCTGCCCTGTAAGGGCCGCCGCGCGAGGTGTTTCGCGGGGAGTTTCCACATCAAGAGAGCGTCTGCTTCTGTCAAAGTCCACTTGTCGATCCTTCTCCGAGGGAGATGCTTCAGTCATTGTCCCAATAGAAACGTATGAGGAGTTTGCAGTCTTGTTGGCAATAGCCTTGAGCTCAGGGTTGCTTGTTATGATCGACTGAGCCCGACTAACTCCGGACTGTGTCGCAGATAAGGGCGCCAGTTTTGGGAGGGGTTTGGTATCCAGAGTGGATTGTGAGATGTCGAGAGGAGGGCGAGAGGATATTGGCGCCACAGAGTGTGGTCTCTGGACGGGGGTTGGCGCAGGGCTTCTAGAGGATGCAAATGCTTCATCAGCCAGCCGTTCAGCGACCTTGACACCCAAATCTCTCTGAGGACGAGGCGAGATTGGCCCCGAATCAAAATTAAAAGTCTTTTGATCTTGGAGCAAGGAGAATTCATCCAGACGCGGGAACCGGGCTGAGAGTTCGTCAGGCTCTGCCCGGCGAACAGTCGCGGCGGCTGCAATGGCCTTTGAGTCCAAAGCAGCAAATGGATCACCACTGTTGACCTTTGCAGGGACAGGTGTTCGAGATGGTGAAGGATTCGGGCGACCTCTCCTCATTGGTATAATATCTGGAAGGGCCTGCTGTTCCTTGACGGGCGCTGCAAAGACAGCACCAACGACGGGTGGCTGATGTGATTTCGGCTCGACGGCGGCTCGTTGGGTAGCTCTAGGTTCTGCGCTCTGCTGTCCCGAGTAGATCTGAGATGATTGTCAATGATATTATTCCCAAGTATGTGGCGAGCAAGAAAGGACTGACATCATGTATCGGTATTTCTCGGTTCTGCATGGCACAGGCCTCCTTCAAGACTTGATATATGTTGGGTCTTGACTGATGGTTCTCCTTCAGCATCATGGCTAGAATTTGCAATTCGAGTTAGTGGGTTGCTATTTAGAATCATTAACAAGTCAAAAGGCTCGGCTGGTTCGTACCAATCAGGCTCTTCAGCCTATCTGAAAACACGGGGTAGCTGGGATATCTGTAGCTCGCATTCAAGATGGCCAGCTGCCCCTGGTCCTCAAAGGGGGTTGTGTAGTAGCAGAGCTTGTACAAGAGAACGCCCAGCGCCCAGATATCCGACTTTTCATTGATTGGCTGTTTTCGGTAGACGTCTACCATTTCGGGGCTTCGGTATTGTAGCGTTGTGTGTTTCTGAATATCCTCGTCCATCAGGCGACAATCGACCACCGTCGTCGGGGCCGGTCGCGGGGGCGCGGCGGAGCCAAAGTCACAGAGCTTGAACCTTTTCTTGGCAGGGCCATTGGTGATGAGGACGTTTTCGACCTTCAAGTCTCGGTGCAGCAGCGCGGGCTTGAGGTAGTGCATGCAGGCAACGCCCTCGGCGATGTCAGCAAAGATGTTGATGATCTCGGGCTCGGTCAGGCGGTGCTGCAGCCGGGTGTTCATAAAGTCAATCAGACCGCCCCCATTGCAGAATTCCATGAGCAAAAACACCTCGAACCCTCCGCCCTTGAGCTCTGACGCGTGGGAATCGATATATGTGACAATGGCCTCGTGCCCCTTTAGTCGCTTCATCGTCTCGACTTCGGTTCGCATGCCCCGCAGGGCCTCCTTATCGGGCACGGCGACTCGCTTCAGCACGGCCAGGTCGGTGCCGTCGACGGCCTTGGGCAGCTTGACGAGATAGACGTGCGCGAAGCCTCCCTCGGAAAGGTATTTCTGGATCTGCACCCGGTGGTTGCCGACCTGGATCTTGGTCCCTGGGGCAAAGGTGCCGGCCGGTGGCATCACCGCCGCGGCCTGGGGATATCCAGCATGGGGATGGTGAGCCACCGGGGCGGCCATTCGATGGCCGTGGGCAGCCATTCTGGACGGTCAACCGCTCGTCTATCGGTTCCCGAGATGGTGATCGTGGAGCAAAGCTCGGGGGCCCTGAGAGCGTCGGCGGTGGTAAGGACAAAGCCCAGCGTGCCCTTTTTCTGCTGCCTTTGGGGGGTGACGTACCGGGAACGCTGCTAATGGTGCTAGGGCGGAGGGGCGTGGTAAGGAGATGGGCTATACGGCTATACCATCAAGACATTGGCGAGCAGAGGCACAAATCCAGACAAGGCGCAGTCGATTCTCGCAGTTCCCAAGAGCGATTATCACGAAAAGAGGCGCACAGGCCGTGAACGTTATTCAACTATGGCGAGGACAAACGGCCCTGGAGACTTAAGACGCCGGTAAGATGGTTGTAGCCTCGCTCTCCCCCCATAGAAACCCCTTGGTCAGACTCCACGCCTTCTGGAGATGATCGGAGTATCGTCGGCTAATTGCTGGCGCAGCGCAGTGCCAGCAGTTGCGCCATAGTGAATGGGACGTGGCCTCTAATATTGCATTTAGGCATCACTGAATCTGGTCATTGCAAGTCATTTCGCGGCCACGTCCATATCTGGGTGTGAATGCCAGATGCTGAAGCCTGCTGGAGGCCAAGCTTTGCCAAACCTGGACCGCGGAGAATGTCGCCAGCGCCATCGGGGGGACTCGAAAGATGGGGAAATGCTGTTGGACGGCAAGAGATTCGCTTGGCACCGTGGCTGACCACCATGACTGGGTGAGACGATAGCGAAAGTTGTCTACTGCCGGGCCGCGTGATCTGGGTTGATGCTTGTTAAAGTCTAGAGATCAAGTCACGATGGCGATCTAACAATTGGATGCGGCTTTTTTTTTTTTTTACTAGACCCAGCGTATCGATATAAGAAGTGCACATGATCGTAAGAGATGGATACCACTTGTGTCGTTGTATTAGACAATGCCGGCAAGGTTAAAAGGGGATGCGTGCTGCCTTGTTTAAGCATGAATGTGAGTTGGGCACGGAATGGCGATGGCTCGACAATCTTAAATCGAAGTTTGGTGCGTCCCACTATGTGATTACAGGTAACTTTTATTAACAAGGCATGAAGCATGCGAGACATTCAAAGGACTTTTAAACTTGTCCACGACGCTTTATTTAATCAATCTTGGAAACGCTCGTGTACTTTTAATCTGGAGCTGTACTCGCCTATATGTCTGTATGAGGCATGTGAAACTACAGACGCCGTCTCCCTTCCTCTTTAGATGAAGATTCTAGGATTTCATTGGCAATGTCGCAGACTGAATGTGCGATCTTCAGGGTCCGCGGGCTCCGTTGACGCAATGGCACAGAAACTCTTGCATGCACAAAAAACACAGAGTGGCATCTCTACATGTATTTTACTAGACGTGAAGTGCTTACCAGGAACTTGCCCGAGAGGTTCCAAAAGCACTGCCAGGTACGTACATTCTGTCAGTGACATGCCCGGCCCTTTTGGCTTTGCCAGCGGTGGCGACGCGAGCAGCAGATCCTCCATGCTATTTCATCAGGAACCCGCTGCTATTTTTACAAAGTTTGCCTCCCTGACGTAGGTTGACGAAAGCCTCCCAGCCGTGACTAGCTACTTTTCGACTCGTTTAAACTTGCTATATGCCATCAGTGAAAGAACAGACTTTTTGTGTTGTAGACACAAAAGGATGTCGGATGCTCATCGGCGCAAGGCCGAGAAGCCGACAGCCAGCACATAGCCACCATTTCAATGGAGCCATTCTGGATCCCGTTTGCTACTTGTACATGCGCCTTGGAGATGTGCGCATACGCCTGAGTAAGTAACATCGTGTGCAGTAGGTACTCTGTAGGGGAAATAAATGATGATTTTCAGGGATTCTGCTTTGTCTTTTATTTTATTGTATTTTATTTTATCCAATGCAACGAAAAATAGTCTTATTAATGTCCGAGCTTGTCGTCCATGGGGCTGAGACGTCTTACAACGAATGAGAACAAAAAAAAGACAACTGCCAGCTTGATAGATTCCAGTCATCTTCACCGTTTCTTATCAGCTCAGGCCGCCTCTCTCCACAGCAGCTGTATTCAAGTTTTTTTTTTTTTTCTCGACTATTAGCTGCTAGCGGGCTGTATGGTTCTGCTAGCTTCAATGCGTAATGTATGCGTTGTGGCTGCTGCTTAGCATCAGATCTTTATTCTTGTGACACTTTGGGACCAAGTATACGTGGCGGTACGTCGCATTGTCTAGAATTGGATGCCCCTGAAAGTAACAAAAACGTTGTCCGTGAATGTTGGGCGCTTGTTTGCGCGCCTGGACAGACGGCCGTGCCCTTTCAGCTGCCTCTTTGCCTTTTCTAGAACAAGGAAGAATGCCGAGCACGGCAGCTTGTATTCGTAAAAGCCACCGCCCGTAATGAAAATCGACATGTGGATTGCCTGTCAAAGTCGGGGAAGCCATCCATCTCCACATTGATATACAGTATTCCAAACTTCGATATTCGTCCATCATGGGAGGCCGCTCACTTCAACGACTCCCCAATCTCTCACAACGCCGACTTCCATGCCATGCCCATGCCCGCACACCGTCTCCAAGCTTCCTTCACTCGACTCCCAAACATCGCTAGCCCAACTCCAAAACCACCCCCGTATCGATCATCTCCAGAGCCGCCCTCGGCCAATCAGCTCGTCGCATGCTGAGTACCGCTCGGCTCATTCGTGCCGTGCAAACCGCCAGCCCCCATGTCGTCGTGTCCCAGGAAACCAAGCCCGGCGCCAACAAGTTGCCAATTGCCCAGAATGCGCTCCAACACAAGCATAGCTGCTGTTTCGACTAGACGCGAAGCGGTAGCATTGACGTAGCATTTGCGGATCCCCCCGTACTGTACCTTTTTTTCCTGATGATGTTATTTTTCCTGTTTTTTTTTCTGGTAGCTCTCCACGAATAAAGCAACCATTCCGCGACAAGTGCAGAATGTGATGTATACTTTGTCTACACTTTGCCCGTAACAGAAATGGCATGTTGGTGGCATTGAGGATCAGCCTGCTGGGCTAGTTGGCATTAGTACTAGCAATAAGCTGATGCTGCGCCCCTGCGTGAGTCCTGAGTGATGCTACGTAGGTGTTTGGGAAAGCTGTTCACTCCCACGATGGGGTTTTGTCTCTTTTCCCGAGTTATAAGAGACCCAGCAGACCCTCCACCCACTTGGCCTTTTCTCCTTCTCTCTTCTACCTCATAAACGGCATAAGAAAAAAAAACACTTTCGTTACCTTTTTCTTCTTCACATAATATCCTACGGTTTTAAACGCCTCTTCGCTTTTCTCACAAAACCACAATAATGTCTTCTCCTCAGCCCCAGATGGTCGCCCAGCAGATGACTGCCGAGGCCCCGGCGCGAGTTAGCTCCGAGCAGCCGGTAGGTGTTTGCCAAGCCATGCCCGCATGATGGGAGCAAGATTCAAAAGCTTCATATGCATCGTGGACATGGATGAATGAATGGAAAAGAAACAGTCTGCTAACCCCGGCTTTTTTCATCTGCTTTAGCGTCCCGTTGAGCCCATGAGCGTCGACGCCGAGGCCACCAACATGCGTGGTGGTGGTGAGGGTGTAAGTGTTCACCCAAGCTTTGCTATTCAGTCCTATACAAAACCATCCTGAAGCCAATCATGCAAATACACCTCATTTATATTCTGCTTCTTCTTTCTAACTTGTACGCTTCCAGGAAATCTGCTGCGGTATCTGCGCCGGTCTCGCCTGCTTCGAGTGCTGCGAATGCTGCTGCTAAGCGCTCAATACCCTTGGAAATCAACAATCACGATTGGACGGAGGGAGAGGTTCAAATGAATGATTAATAAATTTGATGTTGGGGGGTAGAGCATGAGAAAGAACTCGGCAGTTGTTCTCTTTCTTTCTGGCCACGGTTCGGCGCCGTCTTGGTCCATTTTTTTTTTCTAATGATGTGATATCCCCATACTATTCAAGCCTGAGGGAGAATAGAGCAAATACCCATAAACATTTTACAATATCAAGAAATTACATCTTTTGACTCATTTATTCCACCTGGCACATTTCTTTTTTTCTCTTAAAGCTTACTTCTTTTCACATGTCATTAAACCACAATCTCTGCTAGCTTCTTAACCACATCGTCATAGTAGGTCCCCGACAGCCGCGAAGCGACCTCATCAGCCGTCTCATCATCGCCCGGCTCCAGCCCGAGCTCCCGCTCGCCCACCAAGCACCGCCTCGCCGCCTCCTCAAACTTCTCGCCCATCTCGGCCCCGAGATCAGCAATCCGCTCGGGGGCCAGCAAGTCGCCGCGCACCTGCCGAACCACGTCCGACTGGCCCTGGGCGAGCCTCATCTCAATGCCGAGCACGCCCTCGACGGGCTTCCAGTGCGCCAGCTCCACCAAGATGACGCCCAGGCTGTAGATGTCGAAGCTCTTCTTGGACCGCTCGCGGAGCTTGCCCCGGTTGGCCTGGGCGCGTGGGTGGCGGTACAGGTCGTGCTCGGCGTCGACGCCGGGGATATCCGTCACCTCTTCGGGGCCGCCTGGGCGGGAGAAGTCGAAGCCCGAGAGGTAGACTTGGCTGTAGTCGACGTGGCCCGTCCTTGTCTTGAAGAAGAGCATGTTGTGGCTGCGGATGCCCTTGTGCAGCCAGTTGACTGCGTGGAGATAGAGCAGGCAGTTGCTGAGAGCGTGCGCGAGCTTGATGCGGTCGGTGACTCTGGGCTTGCGTACCGTGGCATCCAGGAGCAGTTCTCGCAAGGACACTGGCGGTAGAGTATCGTGCACATCTTGACTGTCTGGCCGTTCGAACACCAGACCCAGTCGCCGGTCCAAGATGTCGACGTCGTCTTCTGGGACGTCGGGATCTGCTTTATCGAAGAAGCCAATGCAATGAGGCGTCCGGAAGGCTTCTGGCTTGGGGCTGTGGTGAAGTAGACAGGCCAGCTTCCGCACTCTGTCGACAATCTCTGCTTTGGACAGGCAGCCGTTGTTGCCCGCATTATCGTAGTCTTTCCATTCGATCCACACCTTCTTCTTCCCTTGGGCAGTCTTCAAGATGGCCTCGCACCGCGGATCCTCAGATTCGTCCGTGCTGGGGTCCAGTTCTATGAGATACTTGGGAAGCTGCACAAGGCGCTGTTCCCCCGGCTTAGCCAGCTCGAGAAAGCCCACCACGGCATCGTCTATCAGAGCTGGGGTATCCGACTTTGGGTCAATGGTCTCGTTGAACGCCTTGAACTTTGCCAGCCGGGAAAGCTGCTTTAGCTCGGCCACATTTGCCTCCCTCTCGATGTTGGATAGTCGCGTCCGTGCTGGCGCACCAGGCAGGTTCCGTATCTCAAGCTGATCCTTGAGGGCCAGCACAAGATGGCTGAGGTCGGCAATCTTATGGTGAAGCAGCAAGACGCCCCGGTTTGTATCCTGAACGGTGTGGCGGATCTCAACCTGCAGCGAGTGGTCCAGGATATCCATCATGGTGTCATTCAAGAGCGTAAACTTGGCAAGCAGCTGCTCGAACCCTTCCTTATCAAAGGACACCCATTTAAATCTCTTCAGACCCTCTTGTGACTTTTGCTTGAGGCCCATCATTGCTTTTTTTATAAACAGGCGCTTCTTCTCCGATATAGGGAAGCTAGCCTGCTTGGCATCCAGCTCGGGAGAGACCAGGAACTCGCCATCGTCGCGAAAGGGAGTCAAGTTGCTATGCTTGTTTTGATACGCAATGAACTCGTCAAACAGGCATTGAACCTGCACCAGCAGGTCCAAAACCGTCTGGCGGTGCAGATGGAAGACGTTTGAATTCAGGATGCGCTCCTGGTTCTCCGTGTTCACGTCCAGCAGGCCAGACGTCTCGCTCCAGGCAAAGAGGCGCTGCTGCTCCAGGCGCAGGCGCAGATTGAGGTGTTTACAGTCGTCTTCATAGCCGAGAGCGGTTACAAGAAGCTGAATGCCTTGATTCCAGCATCATTTAAGAAAAAAAAGTTAACAGGTTTGCACCATGGAGTTATATTACATAGGCCATTTGTCATGACATGCCTTGGATACAGCCGGTATAGACTTGCAGGCCCAGGGATGCAACACCAAGAGCCAGACCCGCCGCCGACACGGGATCCATCAAAAAGGGCTGGGTAGACTGTGTTATCTCTTCTTCTTCTGCGATCCCGCCAAAGGAATATTCCCCAAACGGCGTACCGTGCAGGGTGGCTTGTTGTTGGGCGGTGGTCGTATTTGGAGGCTGCGCTACCTGATGCTGGATTGGGCATACGATCAATGATTACCATCTCAACTAGCAATTGATGTGTGTGTGAGGGGAAGGGCTAGCGAATCTGGCCTGCGACACGGGCTGGGTGGGGATGGAGCGGACGAGGACCGAGCCCGAGCCATGGCGAATCGTGGACCGAGCCGATGGACGGGGCGAGGCAGGGGACGAGTGTCTCGGATATAGAGCATCTAGCGGGTGGTGATGGTGAGGGTAGTAGCTGGAGACAGAACGATGCTGCTGTAATGGGGCCTCTATGAATGAGAATTAGAGGATAGGTGGAAGAAAAGATTGATGGTAGAATAAGAGTGCGCGGAGCACAGCTTGAACCATCTTCAATCTTGCTCTCCTGTCTTATGATATGGATGCTTTGACATCCCCCCTATGAACCACGAGCAGTTGGCATGCCAGGCCACAATCTAGTTGATATAAAAGCACAATTGATCAGTCACAAAAGGAGGAAACTAGCTGTTTCCCTTCGCTGGACGGAGCAATCAGCCCGAGGTCAAACCGTGAGACATGAAGCTCCCGACAAAAAGACGCCAGATACCTACCCAGGCAAATGAATGGATCGATTTCGATTCGCCTCTCTGGCCTGTTTCCCCTCTCTCCTTGTTCGCGGTGGGTAGCACATAAGGCTTAGCCTCCTTGTCCTATATATTGCTTCCACTACCGCTGATAGCAACTTCTCCTAGCTCTACGACGGACAAACCGTAGCCAGAGGGCTAGCAACATGTGGCGTTGCGCTTCAAGCCTCGGCGCCTGAAATTGCACGTACACTGTGAGACGGTGACACTCGCAGTCGGGACGATGCAGCGCTGCCATTGGCCTCTGAGACGGCGGCATCTCTGCATCTAATTTCACGCACTGCATTAGTTTGGAGACACGGGCTGCTCAGATGATTGGTGGTCAGTCTGGTTTCTTCTCTCAAGTAATTTTGTTTTCCTTGGTCAATAGTTTGTGTGCTCCCTGCAGTTGGTGCCAGACCTGCATGGATGTATCGCCAGTCACTGATAGAGAGCCTGGCTTTGCCTCATGGGGCAGACTCGCAGATAGTGGTGGGCTTGACAGCCTGTGGCCTCCCACTTCCGGACCCGCGGATAGCGGTCAGGTCTAGGCAATGCCAGTTACGGGAAAAGGTCTTGGGTCGGGAGCCGAGAGCAGATGGCCCTGATGAACGAATCAGCACCCGTACTAGGTAGGTATTGTGAAGCTGTAGTCGCTGTAGGTATGAGCATACCTTGTCCCGTCTTTCATCTTGCCTCCGCGGACTTGCCGGCACCATAAAAAAGCATGTTTTCTGCGTGGACGTGTGTTTCAGCTGAATATCATGCCGACTGTGAAAAAAACGGCTTCTCCCGGAGCTTGACGCCTACCGTCTTATTTCCGTCATCCAGTTGTAGATAGTTGTAGCCTCGCCAGCCGTGTTGCGTGCCTATCCGTCTATACCGTCCATACAGTTTCATACGGGAAACATGGCTGTACTCGCTCCCGATCTGGCCCAACGACTAACATCTGACTGGCGCAACGGTTCGATGGACCTCGCTCAGCGCTCTCACGCACGCTGCCTCGCCAAAACTGCGGAGAGGGCTCCGCGATGGCGTCCAACCAAAGCAGGGCGGCGGCGCTGCATGGGGCTAGATCGCAGCCCCGAGGGCGAACTTGTGCACCTTCTGGCGATTTAGCCTGGCCCTGTCTGACAATTACCGGGTCGCATGTCATTCGCGGCGTGGCATCTGGCTGGCGGCAGCAGCAGTGCCTGTATAACGGAGGCTTTTTGTTTTCTGGGGGTTGAAGCACAGGTTGTACATGGAAGAAAATCGTAGACAAGAGAAGACACGAAATCGGCCCGTGGCCCGGCGGGCGTTGTTTGATAAGCAGCAATTCCATTGCAATCCAAAATTGGCGATCCAACAGCACTTGAGCCGGCCTCGATTAGCAAGCCAAAGTGCCAGATGCATCGTCCAACCTTGTTTTAATGTCTCAGGTACATCTTACGCAACACGCCCCCGTACCCTCTACCTGTCTCAAACCATCGCTTTATTCGCCTTTTTCTCTTTTCTTTTGTCACTTTTTTTCTTCACTCCTTTTTTTCTAGACACAGACCTGGTTAATTTCCGTTCAAGCGGTGAGAATCGGAAGCAAAACAACAAGTCATTCTGCTTCCATAGCTTTACCACGGAGTTTTAGGTCGGTAGGCCATCTTGTCAATCCTTCCCTCAACCAACAACGGCAATAGAGAGAGACACAATCTCAGGCACAGCCGCAGTGCCAAGTCACGCAGCAACACGGTACGGTAGCATTCATTTCCAGGCAATCCGTTTCCGTTTCCAGCTGCTGCTGCGTGCTGCGAGTACCTGCTACTGCGGAGTTGCAGGGCCGGGAGTCCCTGGACTTGGCCGCAGCATCCTTTGCCCGCGCCGTTTGAACCATAAGACTTCAATTCCCCACCCCAGAACCTCCTCCCCTGAGCGAACGTTCAACCAACCCGAGTATCTCGTCCTTCTGCTTCTGTCTCGTCGCCTGTCTGCGACCAGCATCAATACGAAAACAAAAGCAAAACTCGCAGCGCGTCCTGCAACCGCTATTTATCAACCATGATGGCGAGTGGCCATGGCGTGCAGCAGCCACCGGCTGGGACCCTGTCGCCTCCTGATTCTTCGTCATCCGCATCTCAGTCGCCGATTTCCCCGACGCATGGAGTCCGGATGGCTCAAGCAGTCGCCGACGTGCCCGACACTGGCCTCGCCAGCAAGCCCGAAGACCCAGCCAAGGCCTCCGAGATCAAAGAAGACGGCGACGGCCCCTCGCGCGAGTCGGCCGTTTCTGCCGCCTGCCTGGCCTGCGTAAGTGGACGATCCTCCTTCATTTATTCCTCGCCGACCTCGCTTGGAAGCAGCATGACAGTCTTTGGCTTTTGCCTTTTTTTTGCTTTTTCTGCCATTGTAACCCCCCAAGCAACAACTGGCTGCGCATTGCTGCAGAGCTCCATTTCGATGCAGTCATGTAGGAATACGCCGTTTCGAAAAAAAAACAAAGTAAAGGGAAATTGTGTTCGAGGTGTGCAATCGCTTCCGAGCCAGAAACTCTCGCTGTCTGACTGGACCCCGATTGTCACCTTCATGAAGCTGTTGCCAAGCAAAAAGAACAGAAAACACACACCCATCCAGCCATTTGTTTCCCCTGCATCGTTGCATAATGGACCAGAAATTTGCTAACTCGGGCTCCTCGCTTCGGCTGCATAGCGGAGCAAACATCTCAAATGCGACGGCCAGTCCCCATGCTCGCGATGCGTTGGCTCCAACTTCGAATGCATCTACGTAGCTTCTCGACGCGGCTACAAGGGCCCTCGCCGAGGAACCGCCCAGAACCCAAACAAACGCCATGCCACCTCTCCTCCGGACACCGACTCCATCAGCATCGCGCCGTCCGAGTGCCCCATGCTGCTGGGCGCCGGAGTCTCCAGCGCCATGTCGGTGCCCGTGCCGTCGAACCCAATGTCCATCCACGGCTTCAGCCCCAGCTTGATGCCCGAGGCGTCTCCAGCAGCATCTTACCAAGACACCCCGGGCGTCTCGCAAGCTCAGTTGTACAGGTCATATTGTAGCATCAACGGCATTGAGCCGAACGGCCTGGTGACGGGTACCCACCTCCCTTTCCCCGCTCACTTTCCCATGCAGACCCTCCAGGAGAGGTGCATCGACTCATTCTACCGTTACTTTCATGGATCGCACCCTTTTGTGCTGCCCAGGGAGCACCTGCTGCCGCTTGCCAATGGGACGACCCTTGACCCACTGATGGCCGTGATCCGATGGGTGGGATCGCTCTTCATCGATGTCGGCAAATCAAGGCCGAGTCTGTACGATGACGCCATGCGTCTTCTGGACGACTTGAGCTTTCCTCAGGACGGATTCAAGGTCCAGGCCATGATGCTGTCCATCGTTGCCCTGGACGGCTGCTGTGAAAACACAAAGGCAGCCGAGCTGCTTGGCCGCACCGAGACACTGGCCCTCCAGATTGGTCTTAACAAGGGGCATTTTGCTTCTCTAAATGGGCGGGGCAACCCAGTGCTGGAGGAGAGTTGGCGGCGAACATGGTGGGATCTGTTCATCATTGACGGCATGATTGCCGGCGTTCATCGAATGACCAATTTCTTGCTCTATGATGTCCCTACGGATGTCAACCTTCCATGCGAGGAATCGCAGTATTTTGCAGGGGTGAGCTACATTATCCTAATTTTTTTTTTTTTTCTGCACAAGAGTCCAGGACTTGTTCAACTAACTTTTCCTATAGCACATACCTCCACCTATGACCTTGGAAGAGCTAGAAGACCGGGACTTTTCTGGTGATGAGCGCCGATTCTCTTCCTTTGCGTACAGGATTCTCTGTGGACGAAACCTGGGTAGATTTATGAGGACACCTCCCATCTATGGGCCAGAGGATGAAAATTTGGGTCGCATCGAGGCCCTTCTTACCAACTGGCGACTCCATTTGCCAGAGGATAAGAAGGACTCGTTAACAGCCAACGGCCAACTGGATGAGATGATGTTCCAGGCGCATATGATGATGTACGCTACGTCGATCCTGCTTCACCAACCTCATTCGCAGCTCGACTCGTCGCCCTCTCAGAAAATCACCTCCTGCGCACCGTATCAGCTCGTTCCGGCTGGAGACCTCTTCAACAAGCATACAAAGCACACAATTGCATCGGCAAACGGCATCAGCAAGTTGATTACGCACCGAGTGCCACTGCTGTCTCACACTCATTTCTTCACCTGCGTCATCACCCTCTCTTCAATTGTGCATCTCAATAAGTGGGCGCTCTTCTTCATTCAACACGACGATGACGACCTGAGACAGCAGATTCGTCTCAATATCGGCGCCTTGAATGAGCTATCCGCCGTATGGGGCGCTGCGGACAGAGCTCGGGGGCAGGTAAAGGGCGTTGCCCAGGAGATTTATCACATCAAGAAAGAGCAGCAGAAGAATCCTCAGTTCTGGCTTGGTTTCACTCAAGAGGATGTTATCAACAGCATTGCTGCTGATGAATCCATCATCAGCAACTTTGATGACATGACGCCACCGCATTTGCTCGGCTAAAGTCGAAAAGAAGAAGAGGGGAAAACATCACGTAGATACGATGGGCTATATTTGGTGCAAGGCATTAGCTTGAAGAATACCTACCTGGCAACTAAACCAAGGAGGTCTGCATTTGGGGGAACTTGAAAATTTTACAATGAATAAGCGTTGAATAGGGCTTCAGAGCGTTGGTCGTCGAGGCGTCATTGTAATGATGGCCTCTTTGTATTGGGATATAATTTTGGGTATTTAGGATAAGTTTGTATAGTAATGATTATGAATGAGAATTTGATTTGGCTGTCTTTTGATTATGTGGTGTATTTTACGTAGACAGAAATCACAGCTTGGCGTCAGCATCGTCAATTTATAGTGAACCTGGTAGTGTAGTAAGCTAAGATTATGCATAAATTGCTGAGATTATGGTTTTCACATGCCATCGCGGGAGGCATCCTTGGCAGGACGGGAAAATGACGGCTGATGAGCTTTTAGAATTTGCAGGTGAAACCTAATTATTTGATTCTATAGTCTTTACGTAAAACCGAATCTCGTATTCTCAGTGGCAGTGGTTGGTGAAATTATAGGGTAGACTGTGATGCACGAGTAAACAAGCGGCTTTGTACGAATTGCTGCATGGCAAAATGCACGAAGCACGGGTAGCAATATGCACAGTACATATCAACTGCTCCACAATGCATGTGGCAAACGGAAGCCAACTCTCCTGTTTCCCAGATGCACCGAGTCGATCAATGAGTTGGCAGACCGTTTCTTTTTAGACCGCCAAATCGGACCCCTTAAGCAGACAGCCTTCGGGGAACGAAAGAGTCACCGCTGTCGTCTTACATGTTTGCCGAGGAGTTTATTCGCATTGCGATACAGTATTAACCAATCAAAAAGAGAGAGATTGTGAAGTGGAAGCAGAGAACACAGGGAGAGAGCATATGCAGACAGCATGGAGAGTTCCAGAAGGTTACCGCTTCTGATGGACGAGGGCTATTATTAGCTTGCCGCGAATGGCTTGGACCAAAAGCAGGAACGGGCGAGGCGGGCTGAACAGATGTGCTAGTATCACAAAATCTGCTTCTTTAAAAAGTAACATCAGCCGGAGAGTGGACTCTTCCCCTTGTTGACATTGAGAAAAGCTACGCGGTGTACGAAGTAGGGGTTTTTTGGGACGCCGTGGCGCCGTGCCATTGGATCGGCCTGCAGATGCCAAAATCCATGCAGCCAAGGTGTTCAAAGCCAAAGGCACAAATATGGTTTCTGGTTTTCATGAGACTAACATTGGGAGATGGTAGTATTATGTAGTGCTACAGCTTGTCCAAATAACGTGGCATCATGCAGCTGAACGCGCGGCTAAAAACAACAGAATCAATAGAGGATGATGCGCATCTCAAGGCGACGAGCTAAAACTTCACACCAGCCTCCCGCTGACGGAAAAGTGGCTCCTCGTACCTGCTAGCTGGCGGATGAGGCGGTGCAGTCACATGACGCGTATCCAATGAAAGCCCTGTAATTGCATTACCTAAGGCTGTTTGGCGCTGCCAGGTCTACAAAGGTACATCCCGTCGCCCCGTGCAACGGGAAGCTGCGCCGATGTGGGGGTGGCCCTTGCTCCTGCCAGGCCTCGTATGGGTGGCTGGTCACTTTAGCCAAAGAGCTGCAGGTTGCTAAAATCGCAGCAATTGAGACGTTTCTTCATCTTGCATCCTTTTTTTGCGCGGGAGGCCGTTTTCATGGTGATTTTGCCGTCTTTTGAAGCCCGGATTGCGATTTCGCGACGTTGTGAGATCGGCTCGATTTGATTGTCTTCACAACTCCGACCTGGTGATAGTACCTGCATATCTTTGGTCTTCGCGACTCCAAACCCCCCACATTGAACGACTTACAGACATTCCTCATTCCTTTTCGCGGCGCCTGATCGCACGACACGGACGCTCCCGCGACACCCCACGACGAATACGATTGTTCTGGCTGGGCGATAAGGCGATAAGGCAGAGGGAGTCGCAGGCGCACCGCAGAGGAGTCGGCTTAACATACTTCGCGTCGCACTCTGCTTGGGGTCCAGATCGCCAAAACTTGCCGCTTACGTTTTCGTCGCCGCCGTCATGGCGCCGGCACCAGACCAACTCTCCTCGCCTGGTTCTGTGAGCTATGACTCCGATACCATGGTGGTGGGAGATGGAACGTGGGATTTCACCAAAAACACGTTCCTTCTCTCCAACTTGCAAGGGACTGATTTTGACACAATGAGATACAATGGTTAGAATAGAAACACGGTCTTGGACTGTCTTGGGGGTCGCTTGTCTAACCGTTTTGACACAGGAATGGGAAATCGCTTCTCCACCGTTCACCAATACCATACCATTATTCTGGCTCACGGCATTATGGCTGCCATGGTCTTTCTATTCCTGGTACCCCTGTCTGTGATGCTTGCGAGATTCTACACGAGAGAGCCTGCTCATGCGATGCGATACCATGCGCGGCTGGGCGTTTTCTCCGGCTTACTTCTGGTAGCAGCATTCATATTACCCTTCTTCGCAGTTGGACCAAGCCGATCTCTATCGAACCCGCACCATGGAATTGGAGTTGCCATCTTTGTCATGTTCGTTGTTCAGCTCGTGGGGGGTCGATTGATTCAGCATATCATGAAGAGTCGCTCTCTTCGCGTAACACTTCATAATTGGTTAGGCAGAGCTGCAGCCCTCCTTGGAATTATTCAGGTGCCCCTCGGACTTACCCTCTACGGATCGCCAAAAGTTCTTTTTATCTTATACGCGGTTTGGATGGGCTTCCTTCTCGCAGTCTATTTTGTTCTCGACTACCGGGCCGAGGGACGCCATGAGCGATACATCCCAGCGGGGCGCTCTGAAGCGGGCAACACTCGCATCACGGAATCCGAGTACTACTCTGAACACAGGGAGCACGAGAATTCTCCCCTGAAATGGCTGGGACCCTTGGCGGCTGGCGCTGGAATATTTGCTCTGATGAGAGGACGCAAGAAAGAGCATGACGACGACCGCAGCCGAGCCCGCACACGGTCGCCATCCATGACGAGAAGCCATGGACCAACGGTAATCTCATCACGGCCAAGCTACTTCTCCGAAAAGTACTCTGATCTTCCGGCACAACGAAGTGGTGGAGGAGGTTTCTTCGGCAAGGCATTGGGCGGTGCGGCTGCCGCTTTTGGTGCTGGAAAGGTCTTTTCTAACTTTATGGATCGTCGCGACCGGCGAGACGAAGAGTATTCTGCTGTATCTACTGAAACTCCTCACCGCAACAGGTCGATACGCGCTGCAACAGTAAGCGAATTCAACAGCGAGTATACTGATGATGTGTCAACCATTCCACCATCTCGCCATCCTGCTCCCACTCAAACTGCTTCCGCCTATGGAGGTCGGAGCTCATCTCCACGACGCTCCAACGTTCGCAGCAACATTTCGAGAGGAGATATGATGGATGAATCTGAATACTCGTCGTACGTTTCTCCATCACGACGACCGCGTGATGAGCCTTCTGGCGGCGGCGGTTTTGCCAAGGGAGTGCTTGCTACTTTGGGAGTTGGATGGTTCGCCAAGAAGTTTGCCGACAGACGTGCCAAAAAGGAAGAAGAGGATCGGCTGAGGGAGGAAGAGGAGATGCGGTCCGGCACTCAGTTCTCCTCCAGGTACAGCAACACCGAATATCAATCTCCAGTCCGAAGGGACTCTCGTCGTCCGCCTCAAAGGCGCAGCACCGTGACAGGAACCGAGTATTCAGATGGAACGGAATCTACGTTTGACACCCAGACCGAGCTTTCCACCATGCCTCCAAAGGGACCGCGGAATACGGCTGCTGGAGTACGACCCAGCACTTCTGCGTTGACCTCTGATGAAATGTCGTCGCCACCGAGGCGGGGCGAGCGTCTGTCCATGCCTACCATGCCTAGTGATCCCCATGGCATATTACACCGTGCCGAAGTTGAATCCGAAGTGACTTCGCTTGCCGACCGACCTCAGGGGCGCCATTCTTCAAGACGGCAAATGGATAGCGAGAGAGCTGCGGCCGAAGCGGCTGCCCGTGCTAGCAGCCTGGCAGCCAGGGAACAGCGAGGACGCGGCGGATCAAGCCTGGCGAGCGGGCCCGCAAGACCGCGTGATGACAAGGAACATGTCAGACTGCGAAAGGTTACTGAGGAGGAGACCTTGGCACAGACGAGCCGGGGCCGAAGAGATTCTCAATCAAGCCTTTCGGCACTCGAGTCTCCTACCAAGAATCGACGGTACCGCAGAGACGACAGCAAGAGGAGGGCGGAATCGGCAGCCGAAAGCCGAGTCGAAAGCAGCCGAGTCGGCAGCAGCAGAGTCCAAGATGATGCCAGCCGCGTAGGGCCAATGAATCCGCCGAACCCATCACTGGCCAAGGGCAGACGTGGTAGGGATTCAGGTTATAACTCGGGCCAACCTCCTGCCCAGCAATCCGGCCAACCTGGACCTTCATTCTTACAACCGCCCGGCCAGAATCTACCAAATCCTTCAATCACTAGTGTTGGCAGCCATGGTACTTGGAGTGGCATGGAAAGCGAAGTGCCAACCGAGGTCCCAACCGCACCGCGAAACCCGCCACAAAGCACGCCACATCAACCGCCGCCAGCTGACGACAAGGGCAACGAGTCCGCGGCAGACAATAGGCGAAGGCGACGTGCGGAGCGACGACGAGCCAGCGGCAGTCGTCCTTCCGGAACGGAGAATACGTACGATACTAGCACGTACGATGAGAATGATATGTTCTAGAGAGAGAGAGAGAGAGAAGAGTATCTCAACGACTATACTTTTTCTCACTCGTCTAGGGTGATGTGACGAGATATGGTCAAGGCAGCACATATGCTTCCGTTAATTTTAAGAACATACCCGGTGATGCTTGCGTATATATACACGAGATTGGGGTGGAATATGTTTGGCGATTTTTCTTTTCTTTTCTTTGGTGGGATGCTGCATATATATGTGCAATGAGTCGTAGGATACCTTTCCTTTTCTTATCAAAAAAGGCGTTTGGGATGGCATTCTAAAGAACTCTGCATTTTGCTGCATTTGATTGGTAATGTGTGTTTATTTTTTCTCTTCTTTCCTTTTTTTTTTTTACGCTTCTTTCTCTGAACGGATGATGAATGGGATGGATATGATGGGATGGGAATGCTTGAGATGAATGGGAAATTTATTCTCTTCTTTTTGTCAAAGATTGATGGATGGATGGATGGATGGATGGATGGATGGATGGATGGGTTAGAGATGAAGGCAAATTTACGTATATGAGTGTATGTATGTTTAGATGAAAATACAGATGAATGGGAGGAAAGCGGCAAAGACAGTTTTGGTGGGAAGGGAGGCTTTTTATGTTATTTATTGATAGTACGCACGTTACGAATTAAATATGCCTTTATTTATTTTAATTATTGTTCCTTGTCATTGCCTGCTTCAACAGATGCGAGTCTGTTAACGATATACCGCTGTTAGATATTCGATGGACTGCTCCAATAACGTAATATGGCGCTGCCGGCAAAAGCTAGGCTCGATTCTTCACATATCCATGCCCAAGACGTCATCCCACGAGATGCTAGAAATTCCATCCCAATTCCGGCTGCAACCTGAACCAGCCCCAATTGTCACCGCTTTCTCGTCTTTTTCCACGGAGGTTGCGAGGCAATTGATAGCGCCGGCCACTGCCGGAATCTCTGGAAACCTAAAATGTCTCAGGGCTCTGCAGAATAATTCAACCACTCGTCGTTAAGCTCCACAGCAGCTTCCAGCCAACCCGCTTTGCGCTAAGCAGCTTAATGTGGCTCTGCTGGGGAACACCGTAGCTCGACCCAAAAGGCTATCTCGGCATCTTTTTTATTTTTTTTTCCCTCTTCTCCTGATATTCCAGCATTTTTAATCTATATGCTTTTTATCTCCTCTCCTTTCTTCTTCCTTTTCAATTGCGTCTTTTCCGTCACTCCCCTTCTCGCCAGCCAATTGAACAAATTCACCCAAAGAGGCCAATGGCCTGCGTCTTGACTGCGACTCGCAGATAATCAACCAGCCATGCCTCCGAAAAGCTCAAAGGCCATGGACGGCCTCGACTTCAAGGCCATTTCAAAGCAATTCGCAAAGGCAAAGGCCGCCCGCGAGGCCAGAGAAGCGCAAGAGGCCGAGGCCACAGCCAAGGGCCTGCCCACCGAGAAGGAACAGACGGCCATCCTCGAGGCGCAGCGGGATAAGCTCAACAAGAAGCGGCAAAGGGCCTACGAGAGACGCTGGTGGTGGACGACGGGCTTCTGGACGTTCCTCTTCGCCGTCCATGCCGTGGGCATCTGGCTCTTCTCCAGCGGCTTCCTGCTGACGAGGCTGGTGCTGGAGGACAAATCCAGCTGTGCCGCGCCGCCGGTCGAGGGCCTGGCCGCGAGCCTGGCCGCGCTGGATGTGCAAAAGGGGTGCTGGCATCCGAAGCAGTTTGACCGCGCCGTCGTGATCCTGATTGACGCCCTGCGATACGACTTTACCATTCCCGAGGATCCGGCCGCGGCGCACGCCTTCCACAACTCGCTGCCCTTCCTGTACGACACGGCTGTCAAGACGCCCCAGAATGCCTTCCTGCGGCCCTTTATTGCCGACCCGCCGACGACGACGCTGCAGAGGCTCAAGGGCTTGACGACGGGGACGCTGCCGACCTTTATCGATGCGGGTAGCAACTTTGCTGGAACCGCCATTGACGAGGACAACTTGCTGATGCAGCTGAGGGACGCGGGCAAGAAGATTGCGCATCTGGGAGACGACACTTGGTGGTCTCTGTTCCCGGGCCACTTTGAGCCCAATATCAGCAAGCCCTATGATAGCTTCAATGTTTGGGACCTGCACACGGTCGACAACGGAGTCATGGACAACATCTTTCCGCTTTTGGAGGCGTCCAAGGAGGGACAGTGGGATCTCCTCATTGGCCACTGCTTGGGCGTTGACCATGCTGGACACCGCTATGGTCCTGATCACTCCGCCATGACCGCCAAACTGCAGCAGATGAACGAATTCATCACCAAAGTTGCGGGATCCATTGACGACGACACGCTCCTCATAGTCATGGGTGACCACGGCATGGATGGAAAAGGCGATCACGGAGGCGAGAGCGACGATGAAGTCGAGGCTGCTCTGTGGATGTATTCCAAGCGATCCTTTTTCGGCAGAACATCGTCTGAGTTTGTCACTCCACCGGCTACTGCCAAGATTCGCCCTGTTAACCAGATTGATCTTGTGCCAACCCTTGCGCTGCTTCTGGGCATTCCTATCCCGTTCAATAACCTCGGAAAGCCGATTGAAGAGGCCTTTGCGGGACAAAAGGGCAACAACTGGGCTAATCTTGCTGCTGTTTCGCGACTGGCCTCTGCCGGAATCGAGAGATATCGACAGTCGTACTTCAAGGCCCGTGGTATCCACCAGACAACAGAGACCGGCTCTCCCGCTGCTCTCTGGGAATTGGCCAACAAGGCCGGATTGAAGGACAAGGTCGCCTACGATGCTTTTACCAAGTTTGAAGATGAGGCTCTTCAGGTCTACAAGGGCCTGTGGGCTCGGTTTGACGTCCCCAGGATAGTGGCTGGCGTCTTTGTTACTGCTGTTGGCCTTGTGATGCTTGTCATGTACGCATCGAAACCCGCAGACGAGGAGTTTGTGGTTGCCAATGACGCTGAACTCGATTATGCCGAGAGGCGATTGGAGCTTATGAATTTGAACCAGGAAGACAAGGAGGAACACCCGGATCAGGGTTACCACCGGAGTCTTTTGGGTGGATTGGCCGACGCTCGAGTGCTCTTCGTCGTGGGTGTTTTGGTTGCCGTGGGAGTTTACCGCCAGCAGCCTTTGGACGGCCTCGCAGCCCTGACTGTGACATTGCTGATCACTGGTGTCATCTCATCGCTTTCTACCGCCGGCAAGACGCTTGCCAACATTCTCCCCAAGACCTTTTGGGGCTGGCTGTCCGTTGTCCTTACTCTCAGCCATTCCATCGGATTTGCCTCCAACTCGTACACGATCTGGGAGGACTCGATCCTGTTGTTCTTCATGGCAACATTTGGAGTCGCTGTGCTCATCTCGTCGTTCCGCATCGAATCCAAGGTTGACCGCACAATGGCCATCTACCACACAGTCACATTCATCCTTCTCGGACGCTTGGCATCGTACTCCAAGCTTTGCCGCGAGGAGCAGATGCCCTACTGCACTTCGACTTACTACTCGTCTGTCACGTCCTCTACATCGGCTCCCTGGCAGCTTGTCATTCCCTTTGCTGTCTTCATCATCCTGCCGGATGTCATCAAGGCATTCCTGATTCCCTCGAAATCGTACGAGAGCCTGGCACCTACGTGGATCGGATATGCCTTCCGCGGCAGTTTATTCCTGTCTGCTCTATACTGGACTATTGATTCTGCCAACAACGGCGGATGGCTTGCCGAGCGATTCTCCGAGAGCACTCTCAAATCAACTGGGGTGTACTTGGCGCAGATTATCCTGGCGCTCTCTCTGATTGTCGGATCGACGTCGTTTGCCTGGGCACCGCCAAACATTTCCATCTTGTCGACACAGTCCAAGACTGGGCAGCTGGTGACGATTCTCGGATACGGCAACGCCATGGGTGCGCGATACCTCTACCTCCCGCTCAACCTGCTCGCCGCCTGCATCCTCCTCACAAAGCCCATGGGCTCGGGAGCCCTGGCCATTATGATGTGGCAGATCCTCTGCCTGGTCGAAATCATCGACCTCAACCAGCTCAAATCCGAGGCCATCGGCCCCGTCATGCTGGCCATCCTGGGCAACTTTTACTTCTTCAAAACCGGCCACCAGGCCGTCCTCTCCAGCATCCAATGGGACAGCGCCTTCATCCCCCTCTTCTCCATCCGCTACCCCTGGTCCCCTCTCGCCGTCGGCCTCAACACCTTTGCCGGCCAAATCATCGCCGCCGCCTCGGTGCCCCTCGTCGTGCTCTGGAAGGTCGGCCCCAAACAGCGCGGCGTGCTCGAGAAGTCTGCGCGCGCGCTGGCCGTCTTCATTGCGTACTTTGCCGTCGAGGCCCTTGCCACGATGAGCTGGGCGGGCTGGCTGCGGAGACATCTCATGCTGTACCGCGTGTTTTGCCCGCGCTTCATGCTGGCCGCGCTGTTGCTGCTGGCGATGGACCTGGTGGGCGTGTTGGTGTCGTTGGTGGGCGTGAGGACGAATACGATGGCGGTTTGCGAGGTGTTTGGGTGGGTGGAGTAGGAAAAAGATGAATTACTGCTTGTGCTACTACCTGTCTAATGAGTTATCTGTATCGCATATAAGAGGTGGGGGAAGTTTGGTTGTTAATTTGACATGTGGACATTTGGATAAAAAAAGTTTGAGCATGTTAGGTTGATCTAGGTAGATGAAAATAAACTTAATCAGAATAAAAAATATTTAAAAAAAAATCAATACAATTCAAAGCAAACGGCGGCGCTTGAGTAAATCGATTATATCAAAAGTGGCCTGAAAATTATTGCATTGTAAGATGTTTCCAAAAAGCTAATATAAAGTACACCTGATGAAAAAGAAAAAAAGGAGAAGGAAACGAAAGGTAGAAGAGACGTTAAAAAAAAAAAGGCCTCCGCATTCCACCACCGCAAATAGTATTTTCTTAATACAAAAAAAAGGAGACAAGTAGAAAAAAGAAAGAATATTAATTAGTCAGGCCGCGGCATTCTCCCGGGATATCTATCGTACAACACATGAGCTTTGTACGGAGTTTTTGTTTAATCACCTCACGCACATATATAGGTATATGCTCTTTCCTTTCCTCCTTTTGTAGGGGAATCCATCCATTAGACGTTGCATTATATAAGGAAAAAGAGACAAAAAAAAAAGGACAGGAAACTGAAATTCGCACAGGAAGCGAGGATATTTGGTTACAAGGAGAAGTAAAGAAAAGAGAGAAAAGAACAGAAAAAAGGGTCAAAAGCTCTTTTGCTATGAAGCAGCTGGCTTATCCCCGTCTTTGTCTTTGCTCTGCTCCTTTGGCCTTGAGGCAAGCGATGTTGAAGAAGCAGATTTCTTGGCTGACGAGGAAAGTGTTGAGGTTCTTGTTGATGACGAAGAGCGTGTTGTTGAAGTGGTAGTTGTTTTTCTCGTGACTGAAGGTGAGGGCGGGGCAACAGTAGATGAAGACACCTTTCTTGTTATCGAAGCAGATCTTGCCGCTGAGGGTGTGCGCGTTGTCGAAGTAGAGCGTGTAGTGGGTATTCTTGTAGTTGATGTAGACCGCGCTACTGAAGGTGTTCTAGTTGTGGAGGTTGATCTTGCCGTTGAAGACGTCCTTGTAGTTGAAGTTGATCTCGCTGTTGTAGTTGTCCTTGTTGTTGACGTGGATCTAGCTGCTGAAGGTGTTCTTGTTGTCGAAGTAGATCTTGCTGCAGAAGGTGTTCTTGTTGTCGAAGTAGATCTTGCTGTTGAGGTCGATCTTGCCACAGAGGGAGTCCTCGTCGTCGAGGTAGATCTCGCCGTTGACGAAGATCTTGCTGTCGACGCGGACCTCGCTACCGAAGAAGAAGTAGATTTTGTTGCTGAAGAAGAAGAAGCGGAAACCTTTCTGACGGATGGTGAAGAGGACAAGGAAGAGGTGGCGGCGGGCTTCTTGGCCGAAGACAGAGACGCGGCGGGCTTTCTTATTGACGAAGCTAGAGCTGACGCTTTGGCTTGAGGCTTCGTCTTTTCTTTACTCTGGTCTCGCGCTTTGTCCTCTTTAGAAGCAAGAGAATGCGAAGAATCTTTATCTTTGCTCTCTTTATCCCTGGTCGACTTCTTAGTATTTTCGTCCGATTGGGCGGACGCGTCTGGGGCGGGATCGGGATCCGGGGCGGGTTGTGAAGCAGTGACGCCTCCGTCTTCAGATATATGCTCACCCTTCTCGTTTGTGTGTTCCTCCACTTCCTCTGGCTGTGCCTTTTTCTTCTCATCGGCATAGTCGGTATCGGTATCATTATTGCGATTGTTTTCGGCCTCTTCTTCGTCCTCTTCCTTGACCTTTTCGAGTTCCTCGCGTACCTCGTGCTCAGACACTTCATCTTGGTCTTTGGCTACTTCCGCCTCCTTTGCGTCTGGCTCAGCTTCCTTGGTCTTTTCTTCGTCAACCTTCTCTTCAGCCTTCTTCTCCTCAACTTCGGGCTTCTCAGTCTTATCTTCTTTGACTTCAGCTTCGTCTTTGCTAGGGGCCTCTTCTTTGGCTTGCTCAATCTCCTTTTCAGCTTCTTCTTTCTTCTCAACCTCTGGTTCACTGGTCTTCTCTGCCTTGGTTTCCTCTACCTTGGCGGGAACCTCTTGAACCTTGGTTTCCTCTACCTTGGTCTCTTCGACCTTGGGCTCTTCAACCTTGGGCTCTTCGACCTTGGGCTCTTCGACCTTGGGCTCTTCAACCTTGGGCTCTTCAACCTTGGGCTCTTCAACCTTGGGCTCTTCGACCTTGGGCTCTTCAACCTTGGCTGGTTCCTCTGTCTTCTCAGCCTCTGGTTGCTTGACCTCCTCTACCTTGGCTGATTCCTCCTTCGTCTCGGCCTCTGGTTCTTTAGTCTCTTCGACATGGGTATCCTCTACCTTGGGCTCTTCGACTTTGGTCTCCTCTGCCTTGGTCTCCTCTGCCTTGGTCTCTTCAACCGTGGGCTCTTCAACCGCGGGCTCTTCAACCTTGGCTGGTTCCACAATCTTCTCAGCCTCTGGTTCTTTAGTCTCCTCTACCTTGGCCGGTTCCTCTGCTGGCTCCTTGGTCTCTTCGCTCGCTTCTGTCTTCTCCTCCTTTGTCTCGTCTTTCGGCTCCTCCGTCTTCTTCCCGTGCACCTTTTCCCGAAGAGCGTTCAGGCGAAGCTCCTTAGCCTTTGCCGCAGCTTCATCGGCGACCGATCGCACAGACTCAACGCTGGCTCTCGGCATTGAACCAACCTTGGGCTCGGGAACGGGTCCAGGGGGAGGCGGAGGCGCAGCGGCAGCGGCAGGTGCATCGGCAGCAGCCTTTGCTTCAGTGGCCGCCGCCGCCGCAGCCTTGGCGACAGCAGACTTCTTGACCGTCTTCTTCTTCTTGACCGGCTCTGGATATTTGTGCTCGATGTCGGGGATGGTGCTTTCGTCGTAGTAAATCTTGACGTGCTGCTTCAGCTCGCCATATTCGTTCCACTCTTCGATTTCCACGATATCCTATAGTTCCACAGTCAGACATTAACAGCCGTTATAAGGAAGACAAGGCAGATAAGCAGAGGCAGAGAAATAATGCCGCCTACCCCTAGAACCAGCCCCTCCTGCACCAGCGCCGGAAACTTCCTCGCCCTGCCATTCTCGTCCTTGCCGGCTCGGCGGCCCCAAAGCATGCGCGCCTTGTCATCGGTGGCGATGTCGATGGCCTTGAACGGGACTTTGTTGGCGCGCAGGATCGTCTCGAGGCGTGAGGTCGCGGTGACGATGTGTGAGGAGCCCGCAGTCAGGGAGGTGTAGATGTACAGCGCGGGATCAGTCGAGTAGGACGCCATGATGCATGTGCCGTGCTCAGCAGAAAACAAACACGCAAAACGCTGGAAGAAGAAGAAGAAAGCGGCTACAGAAGGTCAAGCGAAAGAATGGATGCGTTGAATTCGAGAATACAGATACAGGGCAGAGGGGTTGATACTGAGGCTGGTGCCGGTACAGGAAGCATCAGCTGTTACGATGGAGTACAAAGGCCAGAGGACAGAGCACTGGCTGTGGAGCATCACAGGAGGTGGAAGCTACAGACAGTTGCAGTTGGAGGCTTGTGGAGGCGGGGTTCTGCTGTACTTCTAGTGACTGTAGCAGCCGCCGCGGGATCGAGAGCGCTGTGGCGGGCAAAAAAGGGGTCGATTGCAGCGGAAACTGTGATGGGCAGCGCTAAGCCGGGCCGTAATTTGGCCTGCAAGGGACCTGTAAATTGCAGCTTCGTTTTGGGCTTCGTACTGGACGCTTCTGGCACCATCACCATGTCGAGATTCTGGTGCCATGACGCATTTGGACATGTCTTTCCACGGCTGGCTTCTTTGTAGTTCGTATTCAATTATTGTGATTACAAGTAGGTATTTTTTTCAGCTGCGATGGAGGCAAGCTAGTCCGGTGGGCAGTTGAAAGAGGCATAATGAGGGAATCGGGGTTGAAACAGAACGAAACAATAGTTGGCGGCTAACAAGAAGCTACCTGACGGTAAAACAACAAGCATTGCAAGGGCAATGCAGAGCAGTCACGATTGATACTGTACAACAGATAAACACGACTTACACCAGAAAGAAGCAAAAGAGAAAGAACACAGCACCATCGTCGGCCTCTTCAAAGAGCAGCGCTTCTATTTATGGAATGCTGCTATTAATACCGCTGATTATGCCAAAGCAAAAGACAGAGCGGCTCACTCTAGTCAACCGTGCCTGAGGCTTCCACGCGAGCTGAGAAAATAAGCTTGGACAAAACACACCGCTTTTGGCCTGCCAAATTATGGAGCACCGAAGACTTCGCGCCGCCACCACAAGCTGCCCATGCCATGCCATGCCATGCAGGGCCAACTCCACTAAACGAAAAATTCGCAATTGGGTGGCGTCGATGGCAACGCTGCCAGCTGGGTCCAAAGCTCTTGTTGCCTTGCAGAAGCTCAAGAGGCCCGAGTCAGCCACCCAAATTCGTTTGAGTCAGCCCTGCGTTGGCCACCCGTGCAGAGACTAACCGTCCAACACAGTATCAAAAAAGGAGCGCCGACCGTCTTACAAGCCTAACGACGACCTCAGCGGGCGGGGACGCAAATTCTAATTGCCTGTGGGGGACGAATGGCCTGAGAACCCTCAATTTGAGTGCCCGGCCTCGTGTTTGGCGCCGCCGGTGTTTGGCTCGAGGCGCGCGCAAAGGGCTGAGGCCAGGGGTCGGCAAACCTACACATTAGGGGTCGAAATGAGGCCGCCCTTAATTCCCTGCATAGGCTCCGGGCGACGTGAGCCTGAAACGCGCAAACGACCGTCCCTGACCACGGCTGCTAGCCCAGAGCCAATTTCGTGAGAGCAGAGCGAGGGCAAGGCCAAAGGCCCAAGCGGACAAGGCCCAAGCGGATGAGGGATTATGTGCGACAACACACTGTGTTGGGCTTCGAGAAGCAAGATCCAATGGGAGAAAAGCCTCAAGTGAGAGCCATGGGAAGAAAACTTTTCTTCTGCGCCCTGCTCGGAGTAATATGTACCCAACATAGCTGCTGAGGTTGCATCAGTCCAGCGCTGCCGGCAAAGCATATCGAGCTCAGCACATGGCCAATCCCGGCTCGCGGATGTCAGAATAGCCCAGCGGAAAGGAGGGTCAATGGATCTAGGATGCGCTTCCGGAGCCATTTATGCAAGGTACCGCGAGATGGCCAGTGAGATGCTGGCCCACGGTCCACCATCGGGTGCTTGTTGCGCGGCCGTGTCCAATCACAACATGTGCCTGGATGCGCCAGCTGTTGCTCCTCCACAAGCCGCTCAATGGTCTGCGCCATCCCAGGCACACCGGTCTGGCTTCCTACGTGGCCGCTGCCTGGTGGAACTGTCAGAGATTTCCAGCCGGCAGACAATCAAGACAAAAGGGAATCAGGCCCCCTCCCGCTCTCGCCTTTCTCTTTTCCCTCTCTTCACTCACCACCACACTCTCTTTAAATCCAACTACAGGCTGTCTAGACGACACTGCTTCACGCAAACCCACCCTCTCTTACCAACCAATTTGCGCATATCAGCCCGGTGCTCCTTCGCCCAACGCCCTCATTCGGTAATCAATTTCACGAATCAGAAACCTCAAACCCACCAAAATGCAGTTCTCCACGCTCTTCACTCTTGCCGCCGGCGCTGCCGTTGCCGCTGCTCAGAGCACCTCCACTCTGACCTCGACGACCACCTCCATCGTCACCATCACCCAGTGCCCTGAGACCGTCACAAACTGCCCTTACCGCACTCCTACCGCTCCTGCGACCACCAGCGAGGCTGTCACCACCTCTGCTGCTCCCACCACCTCGGCCGCTGAGACCACTGCTGTCCCGACTTCCAGCCACCTCCCCATCTGGACCGTCTCCAACAGCACCTCTGCCACTGCTGCTGGCACCAACCCCGTCGGCACCACTGCTCCCACCACCATTGTCACCGTTCCCGCTGGCACTGGCGCTGGCTCTGGCGCTGTTCCTACCGGCCCCTCTGGCTCTGGCGCTGGTGCTCCCACTGGCATTCCCTCTGTGCCCACCAGCGGCGCCGCCAAGATGGTTCAGTCCGGCTCCATCGTTGCCGCCGTGGCTGCTGCCTTTGCCCTGGTCTTCTAAGCTCGCAGCTTGCTGTTCCACGACTTTTAGATATTCTATTCTGTCACTCTTTTACCTTACAAAGGAAATTTATTCTACGGGGAAGGACGTTTGGTGGCTTTTTTGAATCGGCGGATACAAGGAAGGTGAATAGATTACGAATGAGTTTGGGTCGATACCCGGTGTTTTTCTTGGACTTCACTTCTACGCTCTGGATGAGCGGGCTGGTTGCTTCTTGACGAGCAGTCGTCGAAAGCACCAGATGGGCGCATGGATGCAGCAATGGGTAGTTTTGGTGCCCCTTGACTGCGGCGAACGCTTTTACTTTTTTTTTTCTTTTGGGATCGGCCTTGGCCGGGCCGTCTTTTTGGGACGAGACATGAACAAAAAGCATTTTTGATACCTTTGCATTACAATGAAAATCCCAAATGTCATGATAATCTTGTGCTACTCTTCAATTGTCAACTGCCGTACGCGTGATTACCTAGGTCAAACTGTAAATCTAGAGGGTGACAGCCATAGCCAGCGCTACAGGTATTCGGCCCCATTGGGTTCTCTCTCTTTGGTAAGAAGCATGTGAAAGTCTGTCGATTTGATTTGATTGCTCATTACATGGTAGATGTGATGTTACGTCGCGATTAGTAACTTGCCGAGATGTCTGGTCCAAGTACCGTCTGCCTACCTATTTAGGTAGAGATAACAAAACTTCATCGTCCGCCTCACTTCCATCAACATATTGCTATATACACATCACTTCATAACGGAGCTCAATGCAAATTAAACCGAAATTAATCACTCCAATCGAAAAAAAAGGTCCCCTTCACATGCGGAATTCCGAATTTTTAAACCTTTTTTTTTTTTCAAGGGCAAATAAGGGGGCTAAAGACTGGCTTTTTTAATACCAACTGCCTAAAAGTGTTTGTGTTGCCTTTGAATTGTTTTCTTTTCTTTTCTTTCTATGATGCTATCTGACAACCGCTAAAGCGACGATCACCCTTTTCTTCTAAATCATGTTATTTTCTCTCTTCCGCTTTTGCCGTATTACCCATTTTGCTTGCTGAGGTCCTATTTCTCAGACCTCCCTTTTTGAGGAAAAAAAAAAAATAAATAAATAAATAAATAAACCCCCCCCCCCCCCCCCGAAGGCTGTTTCTTCTATACGTACTAGTTTTCTCAACTCTCCCCCAAAACAGTTGTTTAAGTAAAATATTCAGACTTCCAACTCCATTCATGCGAGGAATGAGAAAACAAAAAAAATGGATCCCGAATTTTTTTGACAGCCTAGAAACTTCGAAAAAAAAAAAAAAAAAACCAGGGGAGGGAGGTAGAGGGGCTTGTTTAGACGAAATTTCCCTTTTCCCCTCATATTGTTTTTTTGCTAGTAACTGCTAGTAACTGCAAGTAAATTCAACTTTTTCTACTCCACTACTCCGCCTTTTCCACAACTAAAAGAGAAAAACACTTTCCCATACAGGGGAATATCCCTTCACCGTTGCCTGCGGCCCGAAGACTCCTGGTAAAAGCATGGCAATTTCAAATCAACGTTTGCTGTGAAGAGGGAGAAAAAAAAAAGCTAGCATGAGTCAGTCGGTAAGGGTGCCATGGAGATACGAGTGGTTCGACGCATGCGTGGGGTTCTGGGGCATGTTAATATTGATTTGCTTGTCTCAAGTATGGTACGAAAAACAAAGCGATGTGACATTATCATGATATCTCGGTATAGGGACATTAAAGCAATAAACAAGGGAGTAGAACCAGGCCAAGGAGCCTGGCTTTCTAAGCAGAATATCGTCAGTATTAGCTATCCTATAACAAATAACTCGCATCTATATATTAGGTTGTCGAATGAAGTCGTTTTCCACCCAAAACAAAAAGAAAGGCTGAAAGCAGAAGAAAAATGTTACCGGCCGTTTTGTCATTACTCCTCTTGTTCGCGTCTGGCAACAGGGCTAGAACGTTCCAACCAGTGCTGTATTCGTGACCTCATGATTGAGAATTGTAGATGAAGAGAAGGCGTAAGTAAAAGAAAGTTCAAGGGGTCCGTCTGGTGCCGTGTCCGTCGTAATATCCATCGTGCTCCTTCATCGTATGTATGCCCCTTAATGGATACCCGAATTCCTCCACCATGTGCCTTTTGCAAGGCGCAAGTCTAAAAATTGCGTCAGAACGTTTAGTATATCCGAGATTCCAATATATTCCAACCAAAAGAAAATCCAGCAAGTAGAAAGAGAAGGAAAGAAAACAGGTCCAAAGGAAAATGAAGACAGAAGAAAAGGACTGAGAAAGAGGTCGGGGCTACAGAGAGTAAGCCAGCGGCAAAAAGCATAGGTAATCCACCGACTGGGATTTACATCTTCCCCAGATGTTCTCGTAAACCACCCCTCTTTGCCCGTGGAGCTCCTCTCGGCGTGTTCCTCAGAGTTCATGCACCCATGCGTGTTTTTTTAGACAAGCCTTGGCAGAGGGGTCCCCAAGGTGGACATTTTCAAGCCAGCTTCATGGTTCAGCGCATGTCTCGGCAGCGTTTTAATGGTCTTCGGGATTAACCGTTTTGCTTCCTCTCATGCCAGTCCCACCAGGGCCCGCTCAATGGCCCTCCGTACCAAAAGTCAATTCTGCTTGACACGCACAGCCACGGGAGGGCTTCTCCTTGTCTCGCTCTGCCATGTCGGATTGGGAACTTTGCCGGCAAAGAGGGCCAACGTCAACGCCGCGTTAGGAGCATGGCTGGCCGTTGGCAACGGCGTAGGCGCACGCCGTACAGAGAGAGCAGTTGGAGTCTGCCAAAAACGGGCAATCGTGTGTCACGGCATGAGCGCATTTCTTATTTGAGAATGACAGGATGCCGGGGGGGAGTGGTGTTCCATAATCATAGGATACACGAGCGCCCCCTTCTATTGGCTCGTGTGATGGCAACAGAGGTGAAGTTGGTGGGCTGACTCGACGTAGGTCTGTCTCGGAGAAGGTTTTCATCTTGACAAGTAAGAAAAAAGGATATAATGTATGGGTCTTTGGGTTCTTAGCCGGGTTGCTAATTCGCCTTCCTAGTTCCAAAAGAATATAACAACTTGCGTGCAGAGTACACAGAAGAGACTTTTTTGAACAACTGCTAAAGTAGATGGAGAATGTTTCAGGAGATGTCTAGACCGATTGATTGTGGGGGCAAAAGAACAAAACAGAAGTGTCCAATGGGCTAGCAGCACAAATAGCGAGAGACGTGTTGGCGACTTTGACTGAGAGAATCTGGGATATGACTGGCTTTATTTAAGTTTCCACGAGCAACCCAGAACAACCACTGGCCCTTAATAACAGCAAATGGGAGTCAAGGGTATGTAGAAGGGAAGATTAGAGGCAGGGCACATGAGCACATGCCGGGGCGCTTGTATGAACAGCATACAGCAAGGCTGTTTGTTTACGTATGCTAATAACAGTAGCTCTTACGCAGCACAGCAATCTGTCAAGCTCCACCTGCAGCAAGTAAGTACATGGCAGTAGGGCTGAGAACATAACAAGGCGTCAAAGCAAGTGACCGGGAGCATGACCGGGAGCATGACTGGGAGCATGACTGAGAGCAGGGCTGGGGGCAGGGCTGGGAGTGTGATACAAGGTGAGAGGAGTGCGGTGTACAAGCACTGGGGGAATAAACAGTGATGGAACCTTTCTAGCCTATGCTAGCTTTAGCATAGAGGGCCACGGTGTTGACAACCGGGTCCCTGGTATCTGAATCTCTGTGTGGGCGCGGCGTGTGGACATGGCTGTGCGTGTAGGTGTAGGTGTAGGTGCAGGTGCAGGTGTAGGTATAAGAGCAATGAATCAGCGCGAGAGAGCGAAGGAAAACAGACGATCGCCTGAGGCCGAGAGAGGCAAAAGGAAAAAAAAATAGTGTGATGTGTGCATGAGAGTATCCGGGACCACACGCCCCTCCATCACGGCGTCTTTGTCGTAGTCGAACCACGCCTCTGTGACGTACCGTTGAAGCGGCTTGACAAAAGGGAAATTAGGAATATAGATGCCTGGAGGGAGACGGATCCGGGCCTGTGGTTGATTATACTGGGGTAGCAGGATTATCCCGAGCTAGAGACAGGGTTGGCAGCAGCCTTTTCGATAAGGGTGTTCAGCTCATAAATGCTGTTGCCAAATACGTACATGCGAGGTGTCAGTGCATGTTGCCCATACGTTGGGTGATGCTCGTGATGTGACGAAATGGGATCTAGTCACCACCCCTCCTCGTGCTCCCCTCTTTTCGGGAGGCCTATTTGTGTCTGTCGCCAGATAGAGGCACATTCTCCCACTCGGGCGCCTTCTGCATGGCCCTCGATTTCTGACAGACGGTGGTACATCTCGGCCAAAGCAGGTCCTGCAGACTAGCTGCATATACATCCGCCACTCATGGACCGAGACGGTTGACCGTGTGGCGCCGTGGTGAGTACGGGAAGCTTTACATTTGGGTCACGTTCGTAGGAGCTTGTCATCAATGCCAGAATCCTTGGATTCCATAGCCACAAAGCGACCCCGGACTAAACGGCGAAGCAAGTTGCCTCACCGGGCTGGCCATATTGGGAAGGGCTTGTTCCCCATAGGTAGATCGAGAAGGGGCAGCCTGTGCCGAATGGTCTGCCCAAGGATGGAGAGACGACGCCGTGGCACCGGCTATAGCTCGCCTGCCTCGGGCGAGGATGGGTGGTGGTAGCTAAAAAGTAATTGGATATCAAGGCTCCGTCGTCGGCCAATGGGATGCCATGCACATAGTCAGTGAACGGTCCTGGACAGCCTAGTTCGACAGCGCCGTCGATTCGAACACATTCCGAAGATGCCACGGGTAGCCCGACCGAAAGCCGGCCGTAGAACATGGAGCAGAGGCGCCACAAGAAAGCTTTAGCGAGCCAGGCACAGAAGGATTCCTCGTCTTGCCGAGCCGAAAAAAAGTTTGGTGAGGTTGGTAATAGCGCGGCGCGAGCTCCGTCAGGCTCCTCCAATGAATGGCAAAAGGATCAGCCAACAATCCTCACAGCCGCCTGCAATTGCGATCTAAGACAAATACCAGGGGGCCCATTGTACACTTGTACGATGAGATCTATGGACCATTGTGCAATGCGTTTTAGCTAGCATGAAGCCTCTTTCTCTCTAAACGTAGTCGCTGCCTGCCCGCGGTTGACCCGTTTGACGTGGGTAGCGGTTCGTGTGGTATCTAACGGATCCGGGCATAAGATGACCGTACGATATGAGGTTATACCTGTAAAGTGCTCTATACTGTGTGAGCCAATGCCATTGTCTCCTCATCTCTCCCCCAAATGGGAGAGGCCGGAACAGGCTCTGCCTTCAGCTGTGCTTATCCTGGGCTGGAGAGGTTCGATTCTCGCGCTCGGGACCGACAATCGATACTACCTCACCTGCTATTGGGCATGTTCCCGGTGGATTCTGACAGGCTTCGGGCTTCTTCAACGATGGCTCTCCGCAAAAAGTGACCCCCATTCCAATGGCGGAACCGCCGTCGCATTGCATGTTTCACACCCACGCAGCCGATTCTCGTTTTTCTAGAAGCGATGCTGCAGAACGGCTGGGGGCACGGGAAAAGACTGGGACGAGGCGATGTGGCGTAGAAGCGGGAGAGAAGGAAGGAAGAAGGATCGAAAAGGGGAACTGACTGCAGAACCGCGGGATACAGCGCCCAAAATCTAGAATCCAGAGCACAAAGTCAGAAATCAGAAGTCAGAAGTTAGAGATGAGAAGGCATCAAGGCGCGAAGTTGAAGATCGGAGGACAGTCGCCGGCGGTCCGGAGCGGCCAAGCAACTGACTCTGATGACGACACAGCCTGACGGATGTCTTTGAGCGGCCGCAGCTGCCATATGATTAGGCTTGGCATGCGCTTTTAATAGCGTCAAAAGACAGAATGCGCTGAGCTACGAGGTGTTGGGTAGGTATCGGGTAGGTATTGGGGTCTAGTTGATGCCTTAAACGGCTACTTACCTCTCCTTTGCCCAGGGGTTGCGTGAAACCGGCAGTAGCAACGTGCTGTGGACGGAAGGCTGCTCGACTAAGCAAAAAGCGAGGCAAGTGCTTCTTATTTGAGTATATGCCGTATCGCTTGGAAGGCGCGCCTCGGGTTCCCATGGACCATGCTCTCTTTGGCTGATTGATGACTCAAAGCCCAAACACCGAATCCATGTCCTGACTCGGCACCTTGGCTTGAGACTTGGACGTTTCGACGCCTGAGGATGGTCGACGACCACGGGTTCTGGCATTCCGGCATTTTGGCATTTTGGCATTCTCGCCTTCTCGTCATCTCTGCTTTGTGCTTATCCTGGGATGCACGCCAACATCGGACGACGAGGCTTGTGACCAAACTACGACCAGCTGGTACTAGAGCCTGCGGGTGGCTTCACTTCTGGGCCAGGCTGTCGGTACCACAGGGCGGTTTGCATATCCAGTTCCCATTGAGATGCTGTGCCTGTCTTAGTGCGCAGGTCAACGCGCGCTGATGCGAGAAGCACATCGTCAGCTACCCGGACCCCTGCGCCTTGTCTGATCATTCTCCAGCTTGCGAAGATGCGGGCGTTTGCGTTGATCTACGGCACTGCCGCGTTGCCGCCATGTCGGTCCCAACACCAGCACCAGCACCAGCACCAGCACCAGCACCAGCACCAGCACCAGCACCAGCACCAACAGCGGCGCGGATCGAGGCATGAGCGTTGAGAACAACCCTAGCCAACGAAGCTACCTTGCATATCGGACTCAGGACTGTACTGCAAGCATGCAAGTCGCAGCATTCCGCAGATGCCCGGGTTTGCGAGCGGCTGGAGACGATTCGGGCAGCATGCTGCTGATGCTTTGATCAACACGACGTCTCCGGCCGGGACGGATTCGTGCCGTGTTTCTGCAACTCGTGCCCGTCCTCAAGATACGCATTTGATGCTCTATGTTATGTGATTGGACGAGCGATTGCTGGCTCGGGCCTTTCAAACAAGGATCATCCTGTCTGCGCCATTCAGGGTCACTGGCTCCGGCACACAAACGCCCTCCACATCTCACGAGCATAATCAGGTTTATAGGCGCGGAGCAACAACTCACATCTTTCGCTCGACGAGTGCTGGATACGCAGGAATTTGGCTAGCTAGGAAAAGGCATCTTTGGAGCAACATGTTCAACGAAAGTGGCAAACACCGACAATACGCCTGCATGCACATGTTCGTCCCCCGTTTCGCCTCACGTTGCCATGTCAGTCGTACTGCTAACGCATCGCCAAATATGCGAGCAACACACCCAACAGCCCAAAAACAAGACGAGGCTAAGGTGCTGACCATAGCCCCAGTTCACTTTAGCGAGGATGCCGCCCACCTGCCGCTGCGGCTGTCGCCAGGGTTCCCGCCGCCATCGCCACCGCCGTAAGAGCAGATCTCCGGATCCCGAAGTGCCGTTTTCAGTGTGGGTAGCAGGAGAGATTGATTCCTTGCTCCATCGAACCATCTGTTCCGTCCTATTTTCGCCCTTTCGCCATAATTCCGCGATTCTTGCAGATCCAAGACGCTGAGCAGCACACGAGTGCTAGCGTGCTGCCCTGGAGCTTGTGTGTATAATCAAATTACCTGCAGATGCTAATAATGGATTTAAGCGTTACCGTCCCACCCCGGCAGTGGTTGCAATCATCTAGTACTTCTTGTGTTATGCTGCTGACTCTGCCTATACGGGCCCCATGATCTGTCTCAATATATTTCTTAGCGTCTCCTAACAATGATTTTGCTGCTGACTGCTTCTAGAGCCTCATAGACGCATTTACGGCAAAGACCCGTGTGGAGACATGGACCCCAATTGCGTTATTCTGAGAGGTTTACTGCTAGCCGTCATCGTTGCTGTCTTCTCAAATCATTTTAGATGCTACAGATCACCACAGACGACGTCACTTCTGCTTCAAGCTGCAAAAGGAAAAGGGAAGGCTAACCAACTCATACAACCGTTTACCGATAAATCTGAGATAGTTGGTCAACGTGGGCGACGTATCTTGCCTGCGGGGGCTGATACCCCAGTCTTTGTCTCGTATGCTGACTTAGACCTTCTAATCAGAGTAGGTAGAGATTCAGCATCTTGTGCGACCCTGCCTTGTGTGCAATATGCGGAAATGTCTCGGCAGTTCCAAACATCATGCATAGCTCTCTCTATCATATAGAAAATGTCTATGCACATACAACACCACTGGTGATTTTGCACGCATATACCAGCCGTGCTTGACAATTGGATTGGACGCTCCTGATTCAGGAGATCTACCCCTGACGCCACCGTTCAACTTTTTCAAATCATCTAGCCTCTTGTCCAATTTCCTGGTTGGATCACGAAGGATCAGGCCTAACGAACCGCTCTGGCAGATGATACAACCAGTGAATTCACTAATGCATTGGAACCCTACAAAAAGCGACCATGAAAAATCAGCCACAGTAAAAGGAGGAGGATTCAAATAACTGGAGAACTTCTTGAAGAGAAGGATTGAAGCTCTTAACAGTCCAACCAGAACATTGGACGTAAAGAAAGCCTCGCAATAAGGCAACTTTCTGGGATATTCAATTGAGGGATACTACTGACAATGTCTCGGCAAACAATTAATCGGCAAACGTTTTCAAAGTTAGTATACTTATTATGCGCAGACCGGCCTTGATGGATGGATATAAACCTTGTGGGATTTCGATGGTGAGAGCCGCCGTGGTAAAACTCATCATCAGGTCTCAATGCATCACTAATCCATCGACAATCTGACATGCATTTGACGTGGCCCAGATGAGCGACCGTCCTCATGCACGACTGGACCAATACATGCTTGTCATGGCCTGAGCCGCACCATACTCACCCATGCTGCATATACTCATTCCCCGGCTTTGGTTACTCATCTCACGCCCTCCCCAATTGGGTCCAGATCAGGCGAAGTTAAACGATGCACGAATGTGTTCACTTGATGCTAAACCCCCAAAGTTTCCTCACCAGCGCAACATTATTGGTTAAAGTTGAAAGGCTCAGCCGGCTTGTACCGCCACACGGGATTGCTGGTCTGCCTCGACGTTTTTTTTTACCATTCAAGGAAAATGGCTCAAACGTCAAGAAGTGGCGGCTTTACAAAATTATCGTCTCGGATACAGAGTATGACAGTCGAAGATACGTTCACTTACCCGACACTGCAAGTCAACTCCGAAAGCTTAATGTCTACTGAGGCCAGATCGAACTACCTACATGTGTAGGTTGATACCATACGCAAGACGTCCCTAGACATAGGAATACTGCCCAGAATGGTGTACCATTGTTTGGCTGTCTTCATGCTTGCAAGAAGCATGGAGTTTCCGTATTGTCACTTTGATTTAAGCGGCTTGGTCTGTACGATTTGGCGTATTTTCTCTCGCAGGCGGGCAGTTAGACCGTTCATGCTTCTTTGGCAATACATCGTTACCCCAACAAATTGAAGCCGTTCTCGAGCAAGTCGCCTATTTACTGCCGGCGGCCGCCTTGTTTCAGAGTTTCACAAGCGCGACTGATAGACAACAGCTAGTGCTGCAATAGTCTTGTTGCGAGCCGTCGCTCAAATGTTTCCAAATAAAGCGCTCCGTCCCGTCCCTCGTCTCCGAGAGACTACGTAATCGCCCTTACCGCGCGCGATGGAGGGAAAATCTTCCTGACTCCCCGGGATGATGCTTATCTTATTACTACTTTGAAGTGCTAGACTTGATTTATGCTCGCTTCTCACCACCACCTTCAGCTAGCTCTCGTACCCATACCGGCGAGGCTTGTTGTACCAGGCCACCTGGTAATAGTAACACGCTTTCCTATGCGTGCCCTTGGAACTCGGCTCTGCGCGCCATCCCCGCAAGCTATCTGAATCTATCAAAGAGTGGCTCGTGTTACTATCGATCGCATGCTAGTGCGTTGTTGTATCTCGTATTTTGACCTCGTTTCTTGTTTCGAGTCATGCTGGTAGCTCGCGTTGAGCGAGCATGACATATGGCTTACAGAAGGAGACGGCAAGGGACAAGGAAAAAAAAAAGCAGGATTAACAAAAGTAATTGTGAGGCTGAGAAGAGGGTAAGTCAGAGTGCTCTTACACCCATGCACTCGCTTGCCGAATGCAGACTCTTACGCCGGCAGTCGTCAATTATCGCTTATATAATTGCTGACTATTATACACAATCCGTGAATAAGAGAGTAATACGGGATAGGAGGGTAATACGGCCTTGCATGAGGGAGTTATACTAATTTGGATTTACTTGCAAGATACTTGAGGCTCCTCTCTCTCGGCCAAGTGAAAAGAGAACACAAGGATTCCGAGAATACTACCGGGGGAACCTGTGACAACATTGAAAGGAAGATGTTATCCAGGCGGAGAAATACACCAAAGGCGGATCTCTGGATTCGCAGATTGGGCATCTCTGTTCGTCGTGATATCCTGCTGGGCAGTCGTCGCTTGCCACTCTGCTAGCTCCGCTGCGGCAAAGTGATATCTCAGGTGATTATAAATCTACACAAATTCTCAGCTTTCTTTGATATCGAATCGATGACTGTTCTCGTTTCATTATCAAAGATCGTGTGACTCTGTTCTTGACTTGATATGGAGCCATCTTTCAACTCCTATGGCCAAAATGCCGGGATCGATGCCCGGATCCGAAGAAGCTGACCTCTGCTGCTGAAGTACAGCGCGAGAATTGCCCTTTTCGGGCTTGTAACAAGGAGGTGTTCGCTTCATACAAGGCTTGGTAAGGCGGGAGGAAATACATATTGATAGTACGGAGCCCTATGCCGCGCTTTGCTTTTGCTGATGCGCTCCGGTCCGTGCCCCGGGAGAGGGGTTGAGGTACCCCCCTCCTTGCTGCGGGCAGAGTCAACGCTTCTGGAATGCAACGGGGTGCATAAAAGAGCGGAGCATGATCGCCCGCTTGCCAGCTTTCCTAGGAGCCTCAATATCCGGAATCCGGGGATGAAGAGGTTTAGCGAGGATCTTCGGGTGTATGACTCCTAGGCCAGGATGACAGATTGCTGATGCCGTTATCTATATCTTTTGATGCTTGAACAATGGGCATGCCTTTATGCATTGGCACAATACTGACTAGTGCCCCGGATAGTGAGTGTCTGTGCGGAAATCTGACAGGATGCGGCCGACTCCGGGCGGGAATTGGGAACCGGACGGTATCAACGAGGATCCTCGGATTTGGTTGGCTGGCGATGAACGGCTGAACGGGGAGTCATCACCAAAGATAAAGGAATCCCGGTGGCCTCACCGGGGTGTGTGTCCCTTCCATCACAAGACCTCTCCGAACTCCGAACCAGCTGTTTCCTAAGGGCGGATTGCCTAGCCACAATTCAAGTGGTTCATGATGTTACCCTGCTTGAGGGGTGATGTGACTGGGGTTTTAGAAGAATGCGTGTTCGTATGTCAGCTGGACCAAGAAAAGGTTTGAGGAGAGATGTCCCGTTGCCTCAAAACGGATATTTCCAGGAGAACAAGACTCTGCGTTTTTACAACAGAGGTGAGGTGTGCATTGATATCGTATCCTGAATTTCTCCATCTCGCGATGAGCTGTTCATTATCCGATCCCTGAGGGGAAGAACCGTTCGGAAATAGGTAGGCTTACTTGCGTATAAAGGAATTTGACCAGGTTGAAAAGAGCCCCGTGACACACACAACTTGTCTTGACGGGAGAGAGGTTTTGGAAAAGCTGACGCCATTGCCACACAATATTATTCTTTTCTCCTCTTTTTCTCTTTTTTCGACTACCAGCGTATCGGTACGAAGACAAGGTAGGAGTGTCAATAGCAAAAAAAAAAAAAAAAAGGAACCCCTTGCGACTTCAGACTTGCCGAAGCAGGGTTTACAGATTAGCCGTAGCTTGGTAATTTTACGTATATCAACGGATAAAACCTGTTGAGAGGTCACGAGAAGGAAGGTGTCTTATTTCCTGCAAGATACTAACACGGATGTCAGTGTGGGATGAATTAAAAAAGAAGAGGGAGATGGTGGACCTTGATGGGTAGATACCTGTATCTGGATGGGCAAGTTTTGAACTCGCAACTTGATAACATGGTACCAGTACCTTACTGATAATCCAAGTACTGCGTACTACTAGGGTATAAGTGGCGGCAGGCCTGCAGAGACGGCTTCTCGTGCTGGGCCAAAACTCTGATGGAAGGCGTCGCGATTAGTGTAAGCCATTTGTCTGCAACGCCCGTGGTTTCCTGGGAGCTGGTCCCTTGTTTGTTTATTCTACAATGGCATGGCCAGGTGAGGTGGGCGGTTGACAGCGATCATTTTCGCAGATGCAGATGCTTATCGACGATGAAGTGGCATGATAAGGACGGATAGCCTAACTCAATGGGGCATCCTGCTCGCTGCTGCGTTTGTGCCTCGGCGTAGGAAGAGCTTGGCGAGGAGCTGAAAGTTGCAGCGTCGTAGAGGACCATTCCTGCATATCAACGTCACCGCCTGCAGTGGATGGAGACAGCACAGCCAGCCACCCAAGAGAGCAGAATGCTCGGTATATACAGAGACATTATGGATAGATGGCCAGTTCAAGAAAAAGGGGGGAGTGGATAGGCAGTGCCCTTAGCGAGCGCATCTCAGCCGGCAACTGCGCAGCACTGAGGGGTTCATGCGGAGCTGCTCCGACGCGTCGCCCTCTGTAGTCGAGGTGAGGTGAGCTGGTTCACGGCCTGAGTCGTTTGCATCTTGTTCTTGTGGCGTCAGCTGGAGCTGCGTTAGCGGTCTTGCCGCAGCGCTGTACCGGCTGCTATTCCTCGGCTGCTACTCCTCGGCAGCGCGCCACTGCTGCGCCGCAGATACGGCTCCCAGCCCGCCCGGCCGCCTAGACGCTGCTGCCCCTCACCGCCCCTCCGCTAAGCAGGCCAAGCTCAAACAACGGGCTTTTTTTTTCTTTCCCCTCCCTTGGAAACGACGAGCTGCGATACGAAAGGACGGGCAATTGTGATAGCAGATCCCAATTGGAAGTGGTACCAATTCGAGTGGAGGTCCCTTTTTTTCTGCCCTCTTTTTGCTCCACCGCTTTTGGAGGAGCCAACAAGAGGAGGATCTGGCCAGAAGTCCTTCAAGTTTGCTGCCCGCCTTTGTTTTGCCCTTCTGTCACCAACACACCAACCTTTTTCTCTTGACCGTTTTCCACCGCCAATTGGTTTTGGCCACGAAAAACGTCGTCAAGATGTCCAAGCCCACGAGTGTGACGGGCAGTGAGAGCGAGTTTGAGTTCATTGAGACTCCCAAGCCCACTGCCCCTACTTTTGAGAAGGATGAAGATTGCGGTGTCCGCACCACCAAGGTATGATGATCTGATTTGGCTGCATGACGTGTTCTTGGCGAAGCTCCCCCAGGATGTATGTATGTGAAGAGATGGAGAGAGGAATTGCTTGCTGCTGCTGCTGCTGCTGCTGCTTCTGCATTCTCTGCTCTTCACTCTGCGTGCATTCTTCCAAAGCGTCTCCAATTGCCCTCACAGATGATGAACTAGTGAGCTGATTGCTTGTCCCTCCATCTAGTACCCCTCCATCAAGAATGCTCCTCTCCCAGCTGATGGACCGGGCTCCGACTCCTTCAACAACAAGATCCTCTTCTCCATCCTGTTTGGCGTTCCCTTCTGGCTGAAGTGGAAGGTTGGCGGTGGCCTCAAGACCTTCATCTTCTTCGCCATCCTCTTTGATCTGCCCATCCTGGCGGGCTGGTGGCTTGTCATCTCCGCCATCTCCCCCCGCAAGACCACAAAGGCCAAGTACCCCGGCCGTCCCGTTGAGTACTACCTCGAGTTCAAGAAGGAGGCCGACCGTGCCAAGTACCATGGCACCAACAAGATCCCCATGGAGACCTTCCACGAGATGTACTTTGACGGTGACGTCGACTTCAAGGGCGACTGCCTCGAGGTCCTCGAGTACCGCCACGACTGGGCTAGCTTCCGCTTCACCGTCAGCCTGATCAAGTACTTTTTGCTGGGCATGATTCCCGAGCTCATCATGCACACTCGTTCTCAGGGTAAGCTTCTCTTACACCAATTGACAAGAGCTAAAACATGTGCTAACATGCTTCGTCCCCACTACGCAGATGAGGAGCAGGTCCGAGACCACTATGACCGCGGTGATGACTTTTACGGCTGGTTCCTCGGTCCTCGCATGATCTACACCTCTGGTATCATCTCTGACATCAACTCTGAGGAGAGCCTCGAGCAGCTCCAGGACAACAAGTTGACTGTTGTCTGCGAGAAGATTGAGCTCAAGAAGGACGAGAGACTGCTGGATATTGGCTGCGGCTGGGGCACCCTCGCCCGATTTGCCAGCGAGAACTACGGCGCCAAGGTTACCGGTATCACTCTTGGTCGCAACCAGACCGCCTGGGGCAACAGCGCCATGCGCAAGGTTGGCGTCCCCGAGGAGCAAAGCAAGATTCTCTGCATGGACTACCGCGACATTCCTGTTCCCGAGGGCCGCTACAACAAGATCACCTGTCTTGAGATGGCCGAGCACGTCGGTGTCCGTCACTTTGGAAGCTTCCTTGGCCAGGTCTACAACATGCTTGATGACGATGGTGTCTTCTTCCTGCAGATTGCCGGTCTCCGAAAGGCTTGGCAGTACGAGGATCTGATCTGGGGTCTGTTCATGAACAAGTACATCTTCCCCGGTGCCGATGCTTCTACCCCTCTCGGCTGGGTCATTGACAAGCTGGAGGGTGCTGGCTTTGAGGTCAAGAATGTCGATACCATTGGTGTTCACTACTCTTCTACTCTCTGGAAGTGGTACCGCAACTGGATGGGCAACCGTGACAAGGTTGAGGCCAAGTACGGCAAGCGATGGTTCCGCGTAAGTTTTCTGTCATTTGTAAAAAGTAGATGTTGCGAATACTGATCTTGTGTCACAGATTTGGGAGTACTTCTTGGCCTACTCTACCATCATCTCTCGACAGGGCTCTGCCACCTGCTTCCAGATTGTGCTGGTCAAGAACATCAACTCCACCCACCGAGTTGAGGGTATCCCCAGCCAGTTCAACCTGTCTGGAGCTTACGACAACTCTGAGGCTGACATCAAGGCGTGGGGCGCTAAGAACAACGTCATCTCCTCCACTGCCTTTACCTCTTAAGTGGGTAGAGAAATGGTGATGATTTGTCTCTATAGACTGAAACTTTTCAAACCGCTGGTTTTCTCTTTTGGACAGATGCACCGAGATTTTTTTGTCATTGGGTGACAATAATTGGTGTCTTGGAGCCTTTTCCCTTTTTCATCTAGAGCTAGAGAATGAATGTCTACTGGTTCATATGGGAGCTGGTTTAGGTTGGGCGGTGAGCAGTTGTTTTAATGACAGTCACGACATGACCTTTATGTTTATGAATGGTTATGGGACAAGAACAAAACGGATAAAATAATGGTATGTCTGGGGTATTCAAGGGTATTGAAAAAAGAAGATGGCAAACTTTTTGATGTCACCATGGGGTGCATGAGATTTGCAAGATTTAGTATGAATAGAATGAATGAATCTGAAACGGAAAATAAAAAGAGAAACAGAAAAAAAAAAGATGTCCAGACTTTGGGGGCTTGTAGCTTGGTAGACGTTTGTTGGTTTTTAAACTTGATGAATTGCTGCGTTAAGCAAAGTGTATGCGCAATCATACATGGCAAGTGTATGTGAACAAATGTGGTTAATTGTAAGTAAGTTGTTGGCTGAGTTGGGATTATTTTGCTTCAACATGACATGTTGCCCGCTTGGAGACACACCTGCGGAGCTAGTAAGATTCTTAAAATTATTTTCGCTGCCCGGCTTACACGGTCGCAGTGGTTACTCTTTTTTGCCGTTCCATAAGATTTGATTACAGATGTTTATTTTTTTGCTTACGAGGTTTTATGAGATGTGCAGTGAGATGGGAATGTAAGGTGCCGCTCTTAGCCGCCTGTGATGACGGTGGTTTTAAAGCCGAGGTGATTTGGTATCGATAAGGATGATGGATGTTGAGTTGCGATTATCACCAGCCAGCTACATTGCAATTCAACTCTTCATCTTGACCAAATTGTTTATTTTCAGAAGCAGATAAAACACAAACTTATATACACATAAGCTCATACCGATACATATTTACAATGCAGCCCAGAGGGTTGAGGGTGGCAGGACCACTCCGCCATCAACGGCCGTCCAAATCACCAATCCCTTCTTCTATAACAGCCGCGGCATCAAACCATTTCTCAACATCATCCAAATATACCCCCGTCAACATCCAAGAAATGAAATCTCGCCCCCCCAAAATCATCCGCGACTACCTCACCCCCATGCCCTCCCACCTCCTCACCACCACGCTCTCAGACCTGCTCCACGCACCACCGCCGCTGTCTTCATCGCTGCTCATGTCGTCGGAGAGACACCTTCCGCAGGGCCACCACTTGGTGTATTTCCCGCTGCAGACGGCGGCGAGCGGGTTGGCGTTTGACGGGGCGGATCGGGATCATGCGCCGAGCGGGGAGTTTACAAAGAGGCTTTGGGCTGGGGGGGAGGTGCGGTTTGGGGGGGGTCAAGGGCTGGTGCTTGATGGGAGGGCGTGGGTGTGTAGGGAGGAGATTGGGGATGTGAGGGTCAAGGGCGGTGGGAAGTGGGATGAAAGGGTGTTTGTGGATTTGTGGAGGAGGTATGGGCTTGGGCATGGGGTTGGGGAGAGGAGCTGGGATGTTGAGGAGAGGAGGACGTTGGTGTTTATGCGCAAGGGGGCGGAAGAGGTAGCTGCTGCTGCTGCTGCTGCTCCGAGAATCATTAAATGTGAGTTGTGATGAAGAAGAGACAAAACAACGAGAATATGATTCTAACTTGCTATTTTTATAGACCCTCACCCCCCTACACACTCTATCTCTCTCATCCCCACGCCTTCCCACCTCTTCCACTTCTCAGCACTCACATTCAACGCCCACTCCATCCACCTCGACCCCGGCTACGCGAGATGGCAAGACGGGCACAAGACGATTCTCGTGCACGGGCCGTTGACGCTGGCTCTTATGCTGCGCGTGCTCAACGACCATGTTGCTGGTGCTGGAAGAGGGCTGGTCAAGTCTATCGTGTATAGGAATTACGCGCCGCTGTATGTTGGCGAGGAGATGACTGTTTGCGTGAGGCGGGTGAGGGACGAGGAGTGGGATGTTTGGGTGCAAGGGCCAGAGGGGGGGATGGCGGCCAAGGGGAGTGTTGTGGTGGATGCGAGCAAGATGTAGGAACGAATGTGTATTGGTAGTTGTATGCATTTGAATTTTCCCTCTTCTTCCATCTATATAGAAACTTTCACCATTATATGTATATGTATATATGCATCTGTATGAGCATTTAAAAAAATCAACCCCCCCCCCCCCCCCCCTACATGAATCTTAACTTGCTTTTTCCCCTTCACTTCTCCTTCATCCTCACTCATACAAGTCTTCATCATCACTCGCCGTCCCGTCCTGGAATCCCATCACCGCCTTCCCCTTGCCCTTACCATTGACCCGCTCCTCATCCGCCTCAAGCTCATCATCCGTCGTCGCAACAGCTTTTCCTTTACCCTTGCCTTTGCTCGACGACGCTGACCGACCAGCAGCACTACTGCCCGATCTCGTCGAAGAAGCCGGTCTCTTGCCGCGATCTACCAACTGCTGCTGCTGCTGCTGCTGCTGCTGCTGCTTCTGCTTATCGGGCCCGCCTCCTTCAAACAGCGCCCTCACCTTTTCATAATGCGCCAGCTCGCCCGCGCTCACACTGGGAATCAGCTCCTCGTGCGCGCCGATGAAGTCCTCCTCCATGACCATGACGGCAATGTCCGCGGGCGTGGCGAAGTGATCGAAAAAGTAGGCCGTCGAGACCTCGTGCTTGGCGGCCGGGTCGGCGTTGAGGGCGCGCACCTTTGCGTCCACGGCGGCGGCCTGGCGCGTGACGGCCTTTAGCATGGCGTCGCTGCAGAGGGCGTAGAAGTCGGCGCCGGTGTAGGTAAAGGGCAGGCGCTGCGAGACGGAGGCGAGGGAGACAGAGGGGTGGAGGGTGAATCTGTGGATGTTAGCATATAAATGATCTGATTTGGAGGTATAAATGGAGATGAAAGGGGGCAACATACTTTCGAGTGAGTGCCTCCAAAATGGTCTGTTGCTTCTCGTGAGTGTCCGAAACACCAAGATACAGCATCTTATCGAATCGGCCGGGACGCAGCAACGCCGGATCCAGCAAATCGGGCCTGTTGGTCGCTCCAATGACAAAGACGCCTCCGGCATCCTCCCCGCCTGACATGCCGTCCAGCTCAGCCAGCAGCTGCGACACGATACGGTCCATGACGCCGCCGCTGTCTCCCTGGTTTCCTCTCTTGGGCGCCACGGAATCCAGCTCGTCGAAGAAGACGACGCAGGGGCGCGCGTCGCGGGCGCGCTGGAAGACGCGCCGCACGTTGGCTTCGGATTCACCAATGTACATGTTGAGCAGCTCGGGGCCCTTGACGCTGAAGAAGTTGAGGCTGTACTCGGTGGCAATGGCCTTTGCGAGTAAAGTCTTTCCTGTGCCGGGGGGCCCGTAGAAGAGAATGCCGGAACGCTTCTTCATGCCCTTGGCGAAGAGCTCGGGGCGTTCCAGGGGCAGCTGGATGGTCTCTGTGATGGCGTCCTTGACGTTGCCGAGGCCACCGACGTCGTCCCATGTGACGTTGGGGATCTTGGGGGCGCCGATGGAGTCGGAGAAGTTCTTGCGCGCGGCCTCGACGGCGACGTCAAAGTCGGCGGCTGTGAGGCAGCGCGCGGAGGATCCGCCGGCCACTTGGACGTCTCGCATCGTCACGGCCATGGAGCTGGTGACGCCGGATTTGGCAGAGAGCGCCTCGAGACGGGAGCGCTTGGCTACGGAGGCGCGTTCGACGACGTCGAGCAGGTCGCCGGCCACCAGGGCAGCTGTCTTGAGAGCAATGGCGTTGAGGTCAATGGCCGGCTCGAGGGACACGCCGCGGTCTTCGATGACGGCCCTGAGGATGGCCTCTCGCTCGGCTTCATCAGGGGCGCCCATTTCGAGCTCGTGGGTGAAGAGGGCGCGGACGCCGTCGGGTACCTTGTCGACCTCGTTGGTGGTGGCAATGAGCACGCGAACGTCCTCTAGTATCTCCTTGATTGAAGCCTCTATTCTGTCGGCCGTCAGCGCCTCAACGTGTTGGATGAGGAGCGCGCAGCAGTCTGGGCCACAGCTGATGGCTCGCTCTGCGCGTGTTCTCAGGAAGCCTTCTGTCTTGACGTCGCTCCCGCTGCCTCCTCCTTCGCTTATGATGTCGTAGGCGTCAATGGTGAATGTGTGCAGGCCAATGTCGCTGCAGGCATCCTTTGCCATTGTTGTCTTTCCAATGTTGCGATGTGAGGATGTGAGCAGGATGACAACGGGGGGCATCTTCAAGTGAACAGCCCTTTGGCTCGTTGCCGCGGCCAACAGCTCTCGTAGCTGGCGTCTCAGGGGAGGAACGTGTACTTGGTCACGATCTGCCAACTGCGGAGGGCCGCCGTCTGGTCCCCGTTGCGGCGTCTTCTTGAGGCCGAGATAGTAAGGCCAGGTGCTGTCTTTGATGCCGGGGATCCGGCTTGTCTCGAATCCTGAGCCGTGCATGGCGACAGTCGTGCTGTCGATGCAAGCAACGGTCCCCCACATGGATTCAGCCCCGTCCTCGTCCTCGTCTGATTTCTGCACCTGGATATGGCCAACTTTGAACCATGCAACGCTGTCGAGGTGTGAAATAGCCTCTCCTCCAGATTCGGTTGATCGTGCTGTCAGAGCCACCACGTCGTCAACCTCGGAGCCGCCCGCACCGGGAGCCTCCTGGAGCGCCCGGCCCAACTGCGCATCTACCGGCACGGCAATCAAGTCTCCCTGCCGGACAAGGCGTAGTTTATGCGCAAAATAGCGTTTTAGCCCGCCCAGCACGGCGGTTTGATACGCTCTTTCGGCAGAAATGGGGTTTCTTATGTGGTGTATGGCAATGTCTTTGGCATATGGGGGCTGAGAGGCGCTTGCGAACCTGGGCAGCGTACCCTTGCCTTGATAGGTAGATTTCTTTAGTGCCGATATACGCAAATAGGAGGCTCCATCGATATTCGCAATCAAGATGGGCGAGGCATAAGCTGCCGGGCTGGAAGGCCGCTGGACCTGCGATTCGAAAAAGGAGGTCCGCCGATCACCCTTTCTTGAGCTGTTGATGCGAGTGACGGGGCGCTGAGAGTAGCCCTCTGGCAGGCCATATACCCGAACAGGTCGCCAGTTGGACACTTCAAAGTCTGGGTGGTTGAAACTGCCCAGTCCAAACGCGCCAAATCCATTCAGGGGAGGTTCCTCTGCGGCCTCAATGCGGACCCAGTCGCCGGAGAAGCACCCAATCTTGGAGAGGGACGCCACATCAACGTAGATGCGCGCCTCTTCATCGTCTTCGGGGGATGGTTTGGGATGCAACAGGCCAGAGGGAATTTGTTTCCTCAGACCATGCACCTTGAATAGCCGCCCTCGCGACCGATCAGGGCGAGCAGTGGTGGATGTAAAATTGGAAAAGACTGAGCCCGGGGTAGCCAAGCCGTTGGTTTTTCTGCCGCGGAGAGTGCCGGCCGTCATTGGCGTTCCAGGCCCCAGCGAGTTCATCGAGTTTGTCGTTGGCAGCGTAGGGGCCTCTAGCGAGATGACTTCGTCCATTGAATCATCCGAAAGCTCCTCGTCTTGCTCTGAGCCCGAGAAATCGGTGTCCGTCTCTGTAGCTGCCACCGCGTCGTCGGTAACGGCGTCGGGCCGGTCGCGCTCTTCGGCAGCCGAGAAGAACTGGTCGTTGGTGCCGTCCTCGTCGTCATTGCCGTTGAGCTGCTGGTCAGAGGTCATTGATGCCGCCGGACGGGCCTGTCTCCGGTGGATGCCCCTCCCTCTCATCAGCACAATCTTTGTAGATTCCGTCAGGATGCCCTGGGCCACGGGCTCGCAAAGCATAATCTTGCCCGGGTTCGGCGGCAGGTGCGTGACGGGATGCGGCGGCAGAGGCAGCGGGAACAAGTCGCCGGAATGGACAATCTTGAGGGTGCTGAGAGCTGCCCTGAGCGCCGTGGCCACACGCTCCTCGGGCGTCATGTTGGCAACGTCCTTTGCATTGGGGCTCGTCGGATGGTCCTTGTAAAAGGTGCCCTCGCCGCTCTCCAGCCGTTTTGTCAATTCACTTTCCAGGTTGACAAAGACCGTGTCCAGCGGAAGGGGGGCCACGTCGAGGACGAGGATCTCAATGCCGCTGCGGCTGTGGCTGGACAGCTTCGAAGGGGCCACCTGTTGCAGGGTCATGGCGAAGCTCTGAAGCGCCGACGACGAGGGCGAGAACTGGATGGTCGAGTGGGACAAGTCGCCAGACCGTAGAACCGGAACGACGGACCAGGCCATTTCGACGGGATTCGCATTCGGGGCCCATGGCGCGACGGCAACGTGGTGGACATCGTCGACGAGCTCGTCGTTGGGATCTGGGCGTGTCGTTAGGATCGATCTCGTTCAGCAGCAGCAGGATACATCTGTCTGCTCATGCGCATTGCCGTCAGGTTGGCTTACCATTTGCGAGATGCGGGAAGAGGTCGGAAAACAAGTCGTCCGACAAGAAGCCAACGTCGCCCTTGGTGCGGTCGTCGAGCACGAGTCTGGCGGTGATGGCCGGCTTGTCCTGACGCCGCCTGCGGTTCCGTCTCTTGTGCGACACGACAGGCGCTCCGTCTGAGACAGCCATGTTGGAACGGTTTCTGGAGCTTTTTTTTTTTTTTTTTTTTCTTCGGTGCAAGATGCACGGCGGTTCGGTTCGAGGAGGGGGGCGAAGTCGGCGCAAGGAGCCGTCGGTTGGCTGTAGAAAGGAGTTGTCGGGTTTCTTAGATTTCGCAGTTTAAACAAGCACCCCGCGGCCGCTGGATCATGGCGCTGGCAGCAGACAAGAGACGCGGGCAGGACAGTCAAAGACGGCTGAGGAAAGAAGATCGGCGGGATCGCAGACAATTGGACTCGGCGCGTGTTGGGCGCGCTGCGATGCGATGCGATGCTGCTGAGCTGAGCTGAGCTGAGCTGGGAATCAGAGCGGCCTGCATGCAGATGCCAGGCGTGTTCGTGTCGCTGCAGATGCCACTAAGCGCCTGTGGCTCGGCTGTAGCCGTGGCAGCCTCGGCATTGGGGGACTGAGAACCCCAGATTTGCGCTCAGCTCTCCTGACTATGGACTGCTCCACCGGGACGGCGTTGCCAAGGCATTGGCGGCTACAGGCAATGGATTATATGTAAGCAATTTGTAGATTCACAAGACATTGGATGATTTTGATATTTAGAATTAATAGCGGCGAAAGTGCAGCATACTGCTATGCTATTGCCATGCAACTTACACCGAGCTACTAGCGCCAATCGCCCTATCTGGGACCGAGGAACCAGGAACGGGTAGAGTCTACACAAACTGAATAGCATTGTTATAAAGTGCATATCTACGTACATCATATACCATCTTTGGATGCTTAATGCTGCTTCGTTAAAGGCGCCGTATGGATTTTTAATCTGTAGATAGAACTCGACTATTTAATACACGTACTCCCCTTTCAAGTCAGCACTGCCACCACCAAGGCGAAAGCCAAGGACTGAATCAAGTGTGTCTCACAAGCTAAAAAAAAAAAAATTAAAAAATCCGCAAACAGATATTACACTGCGTGGAGAAAAGGGGAATGATATTATGGAGCTCGCTAACAGGGATCGTCTCTTCTTGATTCGCAACTCGATTGCGTCACATATCCTAAATGGCTTTCCAATGTAGGCAACTTCTGGAAAACCGGTTCTACGGGGTTCCTAGATTTAGATCTCAGTTTTTTTTCCACTCCCTTCTCTCTTCGCTCACCGCATTTTATCTCGATGTTTTGCATGTTGGAGTTTTTTGTCCCATATGCACGTCTGAGAATAACCGCATGAGCTTTTTGTCTATACGCTCGTTTGTCAGATACAGACTTTATTCTCGACAAAAATCATCTTTTTGTGTATTTTACACTTGAGCAGAGTAATAGAGACCAATTTAGCAGCGACTGGCTAGTGGCATGATCTACAAATTGATGTCATTGTTCTCTACTGTTGCTGGCGAGGGTCTGCGACGATAACAACGATACCCTACAAACAAGGCTCTATTCCTCGGTCTATAAGAGACAAAGTTGAAACAAAAATTCACAGACAAAGCAACTCACCATTAATAGCTGCCCATTGGTTAGAAATGGGCCACGAAGATCCCCTAAGCACAGCAGAGCGCGGCGTCATTTCGCCCCCGTCGACGGCATCCGAGGTCGCACAGCAGGCGGTTGCGTTCACAAAACAGTCCGAGAAACTGTCGCATCAGCGGTCAGACGACTCTTCGCCGGCCGTCGCTGTCCAGGCAGACTTTGTCACACCGCAGGATCCCGTCATCGTCACTTCGGATGGCAACCGTTTGCCGGGCGTGCCTCTAGATGAAGCTCACAAGCTGAATGTGCTGCGCGAGGACTTGACGCAGACACTGTCGCAAGAAGCAGAGACGCAATCGGGAGCCGAGAATCAGGAGAAAGCGTCAGGCTCAGGCCACCACAATGGAGAAGACGCTCGAAAAAACCATCATGGGGCCGAGAGCCATGATGAACCGTCTTGGCAGCAGTCGGAGCAAGAAACGTTGAAGCGGACCATGCCTCCGTCGCACACAAACCCCTTGTTTCCACCTTTGCCGCTGTACGGCCCGCCGTCTTGGCTACGGAACATCCAATGCTACTTATTTCGGGCAACGTCGTTTGTTCTGAGCCTGGAATTCCTTGGCGTGATTGTGCTCGGTTCGCTGTTTACGTCCATCCCGGGCTGGTGTAAGAGGTTGTTTCTGCCGGGTCAGGATAAGAAGCGGCCGTTTCACGAGGAGGAGCTCCAAAACGCCGCCAGAAGAAAAGAAAAGGAAAACGAATGGGATCCTAGAGGAGCGCAGAGAGATGTTGACGTCGAAAACGAAACAATAGTGGACGAATATCCGCCAAAAGAGGGCGGCAAAGACCCCATTATCTGCAATGTCGGCTACTATGCGCGCAGAGTTGGTCTCGACGTGGAGGAGTTTGAAGTCGAGACGGAAGATGGCTTCGTCATAGACCTTTGGCACGTCTACGATCCCAAGGAATACACCCCCTTAGACAAGACGAGCAGAGAGAAACTCGGCCCAACAATCTTCGACGGCCCAGCCTCGGGCTCGGAAGATTCAAGCAAGAAGCGCAAGTTCCCCGTGCTGCTGATGCACGGCTTGCTGCAGAGCTCCGGGGCCTATTGCTGCAACGACGACCAGAGCCTGGCGTTTTGGCTCTGCAAATCGGGATTCGACGTGTGGCTGGGCAACAACCGCTGCGGCTTCAAGCCAAAGCACGTCCTGCTCGAGTACAGCGATCCGCGCATGTGGTGCTGGAACATCCGGCAGATGGGCGTCTTTGACCTGCCGGCGCTCGTCTCGCGCGTCCTGCACGAAACCGGCTTCGCAAAGATTGGCCTCGTCTGCCACTCGCAGGGGACCACGCAGACGCTCGTCGCGCTGGCAAAGGAGCAGCGCCCCGACCTGGGCGAGAAGCTGACCGTCTTCTGCGCGCTGGCTCCGGCGGCCTACGCGGGACCGCTCATCGGCAAGATGTACTTTAAGTTTATGCGCATCATCTCGCCGGCCATGTTCCGGCTCATGTTTGGCATCCACGCCTTTATCCCCTTCATGATGCAGATGCACGCGCTGCTGGACCCGCGGCTGTACGGCTGGCTGGGCTACAAGGTCTTTTCGTTCCTGTTTGGCTGGACGGACGAGCGCTGGGACCGCGGGCTGCGGGATCGCATGTTCCAGTTTGCGCCCGTCTATGTCAGCGCCGAGTCGATGCGGTGGTGGCTGGGGCGCGAGTGCTTTGCGCAGCACAAGTGCATCTTGGCGACCAAGGAGGTTCTGAAGGCTGAAGAGAGCATGGACGCTGATGCGGTGCCGGATCCGGAGGCAGAGCGTGCTGGAGCTCATGAGGAAGCATCACCATCATCATCGCAAGCCAAGCATCAGCAGCAGCAGCAGCAGCAGCATCGACGACGCCACCACATCAAGGGCTCTACCGCGTGGTACAACGAGCAGGTGCCTCCGTTCGCGCTGTGGATTTGCGGCGACGATCAGCTGGTGGACGGCCAGCGCCTTCTTAAACGCTTCGAGGCCGGCCGCGAGCCGCACGTGCGGGTGGTGCACAGCAAGACGATTGCCGAGTACCAGCACCTGGACGTCATCTGGTCCATGGATGCGCCCGACCAGGTATTTCGAGAAATCCGCGAGGTGCTGTGGAAGACGTGCGGCGCCGCTCGGGACGTTTGCAGGATCCCGGAGGGCTGCGATGCCGTGCAAGAGTGGGTACCAGCCGAGGCTGTGGAGACGATGGAGTTGATGGAGTCGAGCAGTGGCAGCAGCGGCGGCGAATAGGGAGTTGTTTATGCCTTTTTTTTTTACCTTGGGAATTTCTTTGTTTTTACCTTGGTATGATACCCTGGGGGTTATTTGACATGATTCATTCGATGGGCTGGGGGTAGGTCAAGTTGGTCAATCTGTTCTCTTCTTGGCTGGGACTACCTACCTATTTTTGGTCCAAAAAGGGGGGTGGGAGTTTGTCTAATAAAATAGGAGTTTGGATTTGAATGGATGCTATGCAATGGGCTAGGTTTAAGAGCTTGGATATATATTGCCCAAAGACTTTAATCCTAGATGGCTGCTGATTTGTGTTTTTTTCCATGTATATAGAGTATATACTTGAAAACGTCTTGGATTTTTACACTGCTTGTTCCACCTATGCAGCTACATCTGTATATCGCAACACGGCAGAAGCGACAGCAGTGGCAATACTGGCAAAGCGTGGCAGCTAGCGTGTGTAGCTATATGCAAAGTGATATCAACCTTGAGGGCATATATGTCTTTATAGTGTACGGACTTGGGCTGTCTGAATCAAGAAGTGTAAATCCGCGGAGTTCTTTTTTTGCGAATAGCCGTCGGACAGTTTACCGTAAGCATGCATTCCGTAAGCAAATAGGCGCGGGAATAGCTCGGTCTTGAAAGCTCGAAAGGCCGCATATGCGCGTTCAGAGGCAGATAAATTCTGCTTATTACCGCCATGTGCCGAATTTCTTTGAGTTGGGAAAGCTGCTAATGTCGGTTCTCTGACAGATAGGCCGCCAGGCTGCAATTGCACTTGCGAGTGCTGAATAGGCATTCCCAAACTAGTATACGTATTAGCAGCACTATTCTTGGTACACTGGCGGATTGGTAATTGCTTAGAGGCCTATGTGCTGTGCAGTAGCTGGGACTATCGTGACTTGATTCGCCGGAGCTGGCTCGCCTTGTCCTTATTTCTCACTCTTGTTTTCGCGAAACTCATAAGTGTAAGATCCTGCTGCTTCGTACGAATTCAGATAGTGCGGTAGCTTCTATGCGGACAAGTGACACTTGGCATGCAACGTCCGTGGCACCCACCCAACATATACTGATAGTACCTCTGATTGCAGTGTGTGTATCTATATTGCTTCATTGCACAGCTACAGAGTATCGTACTCATACTGATTTATTTGCCTTCATTACCCAATGCTCAAAGATAGATTTCCCCTTATATGTTGACGCTTCCCCGCATTTCTGCTCCAACTGCTCCAACACAGGGGCAAAAAATGACCCCAACGCCGGCTCAAGCCTTCTCCACAAGACCCGTCACGGCGCCGAGGTCCAAAGCAGAAAAGACTCCACCGCAACCTCCCCTGTATTCTCCGAGGATCCGATGGGCACCAACCTGTGGCACTTTAAACAGTTGATTCCCAGCGTAAAAGCTGGCAAAGGCTGGGCTACACGCGTAGTTTGCGCCATATGGCCCGCTAAGACTAGGGCGCCCGGAAAAGGGGATCCATTGAATGAGCTTAAACCTATGTCGGCGGCGATGCGGCATGGAGTTGAATTAGGTCGTCGACTGCCAGGCATACAAAGTGCAAAAGTTGCCGGGGGTGGGATGCGTGTTACGGCTCTTGTTCGTCCCACTAGCATAATTCCATTTAAATAACTGCGCTGCCTCCGCCGTGGTGGGCATCCCGTCCTATTGCGATCAGCTTATCTGTTCGATTTGTAACCCAAGAGTTAAAAAGACGAGACTTTGGCGTTCCAACGTCAGCGCTTTGGGATTACATTTTTTGCGGCTTCTCTTTTTTTGGTGGCCAGATTTATTTTTAAAGTAGTAGACATCTTCATTGGCTCTTCTTTTTCTTTTTGCCCTCCGTAACAGCATCTGAACGGACAGCAGAGATTGTCTTCTCACCACCACAATGCCTATCTCCTCGCTATTCACACCGGTCAAGGTCCCAGACGCCGATACATGGACGCACTACGTGGAGGCGCCCAGGAATTACCCTGCCGACAAGCGTTAGTATATTCGAGCACAAACTCCTTCTCTACAATCAGCCCAGCTAACGTCTTGCTCATCATTTCATCAGCCATCTTTGTCGATTGTGACACTGGCAAATCTTACTCTCACAGCGACGTCAAGCGCCTGGCCCTTGAATTCGGCAAGGGCCTCAGCCATGTGCTCAACTGGAAAAAGGGCCATGTCATGGGCCTCTTCACGCCCAACAACATTGACGTGCCGGTAGTCAACTTCGCCGTCCACTGGGCCGGCGGCGTGGCGAGCCCTGCCAATCCCACGTACACGCCCGAGGAGCTGGCGCAGCAGCTCAAAGACTCTGGCGCAAAGGCTCTCATTACGCAGAAGCCGTTCTTGGACATTGCGCGCAAGGCGGCGGCGCTGGCGGGCTTGTCGGCGGAGAGGATCTTGCTGCTGGGAGAGGGCCGGGATGAGACGGGAGTTCATAGGCATTGGACGGATATCACTGCCAGGGGGGCAAAGGTGCAGCCTCAGAAGGCGGTGATTGACCCCAAGAAGGATCTGGCGTATCTCGTCTACAGCTCGGTAAGCGTGGAACTATACCAGAATGAAGCTGCAGTTAAAGGGGAGGGCTAACGATTCTATGTTGTTAATAGGGAACCACCGGACTACCCAAGGGCGTGATGCTCACCCATTACAACATCGTTGCTCAAGCCATGCAGATGGGCCGCGAGGAGAAGCTCCTGAACTACGACTCCGACTCCCAACTTGGCCTTCTTCCATTTTTCCACATCTACGTAAGTCTGCTTCTCCCAAAATATATGTCTCTGTGCTCACACAGTCCAGGGCTTAATGGTCGTGTTGGGCACAACCATGAGCGTCGGCGTCACCTGCATCGTCCTGCCCAAGTTCGACGTCGAAAAGGCCTGCCGCCTCATCCAGGACCACCGCCTCACCTTCATGTACGTGCCGCCGCCCGTCGTGCTCGCCCTGGGCAAGCACCCAGTCGTGTCAAAGTACGACTTGTCGTCGATGCGCTGGATCAACTCGGCCGCCGCGCCGCTGAGCAAGGAGCTGGCCGTGGCGGTCTGGGATCGCCTAAAGATTGGCGTCAAGCAGGGCTATGGCCTTTCCGAGACGTCGCCTGCGTGCATGGTGCAGCTGTCGGAGGAGTGGATGAAGTTCCAGGGCTCGGTGGGAAGGCTGTTTCCCAATATGGAGGCCAAGATTGTGGATGAGGACGGCAAGGAGCTGGGTTATAACGAGGTGAGTGAAGGGATTCTTTTCCTTTTTTTTCTTCTCCTTTTTGTGGCATCCTAATGACATGAATATTTCTTAGGCCGGCGAACTTCTCCTGAAAGGACCAAACGTTTTCCCGGGGTATTGGAACAGGCCTGACCTCCACAGCGAAACCTTTACCGACGGCTGGTACCGAACAGGCGACATCTTCTACTGCTGTCCCCAGGGCCATTTCTACATTACAGATCGCAAGAAGGAGCTCATCAAGTACAGTACGTTTTCTCCCCAATCCAACTATTATCCAAGACTTTACTCAAGACTAATTATTGTCCACTTCCAGAGGGCTTCCAAGTCCCCCCTGCAGAGCTCGAATCCAAGCTCCACGGCCGCGAAGACATCGCCGACGTCTGCGTCATTGGCGTCTGGGACAAGGAGCAGCACACCGAGATCCCGCGCGCCTACGTCGTGCTCAAGCCCGGCGTCGCGGAGACAGAGGCCACGGCCAAGGACATCATCGAGTGGCTCAATGCCAAAGTTGCGCCGCCCAAGAAGCTGCGCGGGGGCGTGCGCTTCATCAAGGAGGTGCCCAAGTCGCAGGCGGGCAAGATTCTGCGGAGGGTGCTGAAGGAGCAGGCCAAGAAGGAGGATGAGGCGGAGACGCCAAAGGCGAAGCTGTGAGGGGGTGGATGGGCGCGCGAGCAAAAGCGGGCGTTGGGAGGGCTGTGGTGTGTATTGATATATCAATGTATTTTATTTGTTTGAAATTCTTTACATATTATTGTACAATTTGGGTCGTGTATGACCCATTCGATGCCCCCATCTAGTATCCAATCGACAAGCCTACATGAATGAGATTCCGTCTCGTCTATCCGTGTATATATATCCCGGTGCTTATAGCAGTAAATGATCCCACCAGATTGTACAACTGATCCTAATGTCATCAGCCTGATTTTGAATAGGCGAAATCATCCCATTCTCTCCGCCTCTTCTAGCAGCTTCTCAATGCTGAATCTCGGGTCGCCGTTGGTAAACCACTCCAATAGCTTTTGCCTCTCTTCCGCCCTCTCTTTCCTCTGTCCGTCCAGCTCGTCGCCCTTTTGCTCCCATCCACCGTAGAATCGCTGCAAGCACATGACCAGCCACTTTGCGTGGTCCGGCTGCACATTCCTCCCCTCCATGACCTGTCCCTGCATCAAAACCAGGCCCTTATCCTTTATCAAGTCGAGGTGATGCGTCACCGTGGTGTGTGGCTGCGCAAACTCGCCTCGGGCCTTGTACTCGGCCAGCTGCGTGAACAGCACCGTGCTGGTCTTGGACGCCGCGTCAAAGGTCCACTGCATAAAGTGCATTTCCGCGCCTTGGCTCTCGTGCGGCACCGGGAGCACGAAGTAGGGGTTGCTGCGGGCGAGAGAGTCCATCGCTTGGTATGCCGGCGCGGGGATGACGGCGCATAGAGTCTGCGGTGAGGAGGCGTGGCGGAGGCGCCAGATGGCTGTGAGTTCCTTCTCGGGTAGCTCGGCGACCTTTTCGAGGTCGAGGATATCGTCGAGAGGCTTGATGGCGGGCTTTTCGCTTGATGAAGAGGCCTTTTTCGGAGTAGGCTTTAAGGGCGACGACGAGGGCGCATTGGGTTGTGAGACTGGTGTACCCTCGGTCTGGGGAATGGCAGTTCCTGTCAACTCTTCCACGATTGGGGGCACATCCACGGCGTCCTTCTTGCGCTGCTCCTGTATCTTGTCCGCGTATGCCGCTTTGAGGTCGTCGATGCTTCCGTGGCCCTCCTGCGATGCCTTTTTGTGAAGCTTCTCGCGGTACTTTTCGAGAATCACCTGCGAGGGCTGCGTCGTCAGGAATCGAACATCGTGGACTTGCGCCCAGCGACGCTGCTGCACGGCGCCACGAGCAGCGCAGCGCACCGACCTGGTCGCAAATTGTCGCAGCGTCGGTATTCGAATCATGGCTAAGAGAGTGTGTGACAAAAGTCGGAGACCAATTGGTCGTGCAAAGGGCAAGATTTTTCTCCGACGAAGCTCCAAGAAGCTCTCCAATCGATATGCGAATGCGGGATTCTTCCGTCATCGCCAAAAAGTGGATCCCGAATCTTTAACAGAGCAAAAAAACACCCCACCATGGCCGATACTATTCCTTTTGGCGGGACCGGAATTCTGCGTTTTTGGTGCAACGTTTACAAATCCATACAAATCCATTCCGTCGAGAAGCTTGGCTTGTCCGAGAAAACACCCTGAAACGACGCCGCTGGGACGGAAAATTGGAACCAGGAAGCTCGATCCTTGTCCGTGGAGAGCAAGAGGCGGTGTATTCCCCGGTAGCAGGATTTGGTGATTGCTCATATCTATACCCCGCCATATCGGAAGCTGTTCGGTGCATCAGGCAAAGGGGGATTCAACAACAGGCGGAATCCCATTTTTGTTGGCCTTGCAGGTTTCGACTGTCTATCTTGTTCTTGTCTAAACACCGTCTGCGAGGAGAAGAGCCATGGCCGACTTTCGGCAGCTGGCCCTCGACTTTGTCCTCGAAGATGATGAGGCTAAACTAACAGAGTTGGCCCAGAGGGCGGCCAAAGGTGCGTCATGATGGTCTACAAATCTCCTTGGGATTATGAATTATAGAGTTTCTAACGTCTTCTCTTGCTTCAGAACTCGAGAACACAGCGGGTTCCAACCCTGTTGCTCGGTGGGTAGAGGCTGTGCAGCCATGGATGCCTGGGAACAAGGAGGCCGAAGATTCACAAGAAACTCCAGATTGGACATCAAGAGCTAAAGGTGAGGATCAATTGACTTTCTCTTGTCTTCCGCCGTTTGATTTTGTGCTAAAAAGTGAATTATTTAGCTTTGGAGTTCCTGTCTCGTACACTGGACTTTGTGAAGCCAGACCTCTTCAAAGCAGCTCAAGGTAGGCTTTAACTTTAAGGAAAATCCCGGCACTGTCGCATTCCCCTTTACTTACAATACGTCTAGTGAAACTATTAATTGCCTTTTTTGGCGCCATGCTTGACATTGACCACAAAGCCGGCGTTCTGGCTTCAGCTTCCGCCTTGTCTCGAATCATTGCAATGAAATGGTTTCAGCCAGCCAGCGGTTATGATATCATTGAAAAAGTATGCGCTATGAAAGAAGACTTCCAGAGACAGACTCCCAAGACTCGTCTTGCGGTTTACGAGCTGCTGAGATCACTCTTGACTGCCCCTGAAGTTGCAAGCAATCTGAAGCAAAAGGACGGCGCCTCTTGCTCATATCTGCTTAATTTGCTAGAGCTGTGCCGGAATGAGAGGGATCCAGATTGTTTAATCGTCTGGTTCGACATTCTGAGAAACTTTCTCCAGCAGTACGACCCTTCAGATGAAGTTGTTGAGAAAGTCTTTGCTGCTTTCAAGGCGTATTACCCCATTACCCTACCGCGACTGTCTCAAAGCGGCATCACCCCGGAGGATCTCAAGTCTCAGCTTCGAAAGTGCTTCTCATCAACATACCGTCTTGCCTCTCACTCTTTGCCTTTCCTGGTAGGCAAACTTGACCAAGGTGATGGCGTCACGGTAAATGTCAAGGTACGTTGACCTCTACTTTCTTGCTTGGAATTGTTAAATCTCACATATTCTAGGTTGATGTTTTGAAAACTATAAAAGAGTGCCTTGAAGAATACACAAACCCAGAGCAGTCCATTATCCCATACGTTGGCCGGATCTGGGGCAGCCTCAAATATGAAGTCCGAAATGGAGAAATCGAAGATGCTATTTGGGCCACCCTTGAAGTGCTCAAGACCCTCGCCACAAAGCTAAAGGACGATAATCTCCGCAACTACACCCTAGATGTGACGCGCGACTGCGTTACCGACTTATCGAACCCGATGTACACGACTCAGGCTGGCCGTCTTATTGTCAGTGTTCTTAGTGCAAACCCTACTGCCTTTGTTCTCATGGTTGCGCCAACGGTTACGCATCTGAAGGAGAACTTGCGGCGTCCAAAATCAGCGACTCATACGCAAGATCTGTTCAAAATACTCAATGTCATCTTGGAGACGCGATTGCTGCTGTCGCAGACTCAGATGACGGATGAGCAAAAAAGCGATTTTGCTGCCGTTGATGGCGTCTTTAAGAATCTTTATAGCGACGTGTACAGCTCTCCCATCACAGCTTCAAGCGAACAGAGTGCCAGTGAGGATGACATCAAAATTGCAGTGGAAGCTGTTCAGGGCGTTGGTGCGCTGGTCTCCCAAAGAGCTATACAATTTGGATCGGAGAGCGACGCTGCACTGCTTCTTCCCAAAGCACTGTGCTCTGAAATTGGCCTATATGTGTTCTACATTGCCCTGCATGGATTTGACAGCAGTTATCCGTGCTCGGGCTCAGATGATCTGCTAAACGAGACAGCAAAGGCTCTGTTTAGGATCAACCAAGCTCACCCAGCAGGTTTCAGGCCTCTGATTGATTGGTTCGTGACGGTCATCCACGGTAGCCGTCAAGATGGAAGCGACGAAGCCAGCGAAAAGATCCAGAAAGTAGCTGCTCTATTAGCTTACGTCGGATGCTCCGAGCTATCCAAATCACCCATCGATACGAGACGCCATTTCTTGTATCTAATTCATGTCATGACCACGGAATTAGATATAGCGATTAAAACAAATGCCAGCAAAAAGGTTTGGTGTGCGCTACTTGTCGGCATTCAGACCGCTTCCCGCTATTTCAACGACGCTTGCTTGAAGCATAGCCCCGAGAAAGACCAGGCATTCGATGGTACCATGTGGCTGTATCGAGTCAGCTACAAGTTCCCCGAACTGAAAGCATTTGTAGAAGAAAAGGAAGAGCAAGAGGGTATTACGCCAAGTTACGACACCGCAGCACCATCAAAGGAACTAACTGCTACTGCACTTCGAAACGACTTTTTGCTCATTGGCCTTGCTATTGTTCGAGGCCTCTATCGCCGAGCCACTACCACAGTTGGCCCTATTGCTGGGTCTACGAAGCCCGCACTTCAGCTATGTGATAGCTTGTCGAGCTTGGATGACTCGTCCGAGTACCGATATCTTCACCTTGTTTCTGACTTTGCCAGTTTTGTCCTTCGCGAGATGGGCGAAACCCAGCAGGTCACGCTTAAACTCGACCATTACCTTTTGAACCTGTTCCAGGATGAAATCATACCGGTTCCCATTACCCTACCCGAGGAGGGGAGAAGGCTCAGTTTGGACAAATACACGGATGAAGGGGGGTCTGCATGGGGATGGTTGACTGAAAAGACGGTCAATACTCTTTATTACGGCCTCTTGGAGGCTATGAGGCCGTCGGTTATTGCAAAGCTGGTAAGATTTCCCGCGTACCTGCTTTGGCCTCTTTCTCTATTTTCATCTGCGGCTAACACTTTATATAGTTTGATTATGGTATTGCTCAAGAGCTTCTGATCAGCAGCACCTTGAGCGCCTCCATCACTCAGAACCCAGTCACAAGGCCGGTAACGAGGTCCATCTTGACAATTTTGGCCAATAAATACAAGGTGGAGGATCTCAGCTACGTGATGGCCAGGCTGGAGGGCCGATTGGAATCTGCTCTGCACAATGCCCAGAACTCTTCAGACAGCGATGATGCTTCTCGCTACTTGGAGCAAGTTTCGTCCATTTACGCAATTGTCAGTGGTATTGTACGTCGGCCAGGCGGCAAACAAGCCCGAGGCTTGATTCAACAACTTCGCGACGCTCCCCGAAATGCAGCTACGGGCCATCTTCTGGCGCGGAGAATGGAAATGATTGTTGCGCCGCAGCAGTTTTTGTCAAAGGATAGCTTTGCTGTGGTGAAGCCGCTTTGGACGCAAAAGCTGTATTTTGACTTGGTCAAGCCCATGCTGGAAATCGCTGTCAGCCAAGATTCCGAGGCTGAGAGCCAGCTCATCAAGACAAACTACAGGATTGGCGTTTTGTCCATGATCAAGCACATGCCCTTTTCCATTTGGGAAGACGACTCTGTCGAGATTCTACGCGCATCAGTGGTGCTGTCTCAAACCCTAGGCGCGGGACCCGATACCCTGCCCGCGCTGCAGATACTCAAGACCATACTAGCAGAATCATCCGACAAAGCCCAAGACTACATCAAGAGCCTGATCAACATCTCACTGCCCTGCTTCTCTCTCAAGGTCGCCGCAGAGCGCAAGCTGCCAGACTGGCTGCCCTCCAGCTACGTCCCAGCAAGGATCCGCCCCGACACCGAAGCCGAATGCGGCAGACTGGCCCTGGAAATCGTCGGTGCGCTACCACGACTGTTCGAATCGACCTACGTGGTGCCCTTTGTGCCACAGGTACGGAGGGAACTGTCTCTGGCGTGCGGCCATCCTGTCCGGGACGTGCGCAGACTGGCGAGAGTGGCCCGTAAGGCGTGGACGGAAATGAATTGAAGCAGGCTCATGATGAAACGCAGACAAACATTTGGATTATGCACAAAACAATGGGCGCAGGGGACAAGGGACGATGTTTATAGAATTTTCTAAACGAGCATTGACTGGTGTTGGATCTTGGAGACCAGATACTTATCGTGTACTATATAGAAGGTGACACCGTCTGATTGGTTTATTTTCTGATACACTGCGATTATAGAACCACCTTTCTTACCCGAGCGTTCTTGTTTGAAGGGCGCAGCAACATTAAAATCTATGATACTCTCGCGGAATACGAACATTCATGATGGACGACAAGCTTATCATCCGAGCTCTGTCGTCTAGAGACGCAGCAAAATGGAGAATATGCCGCAACCGTCTCTATTTAGCACAGCTATTGAGCGTCTGGGTATCCGAGCGTCCAGGCAAAACCTCCAAGTGTCTATTGTTCTCAGTCTAGCGTCTCATTCATCCAAGCCACGAGCCCCGTGAAGATGCGGGGACGCAGCCAATTGTTTGCCGGAAAAGTGCCCAGTAAGAACCAACAGCAGGAACCGGCAAGTCCATCATCCAGCATTTGAGGCCCATGGCTGTTTCGATCATTTTATTAGGAAGGGATTGTCCGGGCCATTCCAATGTGCGGGGGAGAAGATTATATAGGGACCTATAAAGACGGGAAGAGCTCGGCAAGCCCCCCTCCGATAATACTGCATTTGGGGCAATTGGAGAAGATCAAGCTTATTAACATATTTATTGGAGCAGATCTCTCGCTATTTAACCTTCTTTTTCAGAAGGTTTCTTCTACGCCAATGTTTGATTATCTAGCATTCGAACTCTGGCTCAACCTCGAAAGATCGTTCCGCAACACACAATGGATCGCTCGCTCAGCATGGAGGAGGCTGCGTCGCCTTCGCAGGTCAACGACAACCACGTCGCCGCGGCTTATCCTGCGGGTCAAAAGAAGAAGATCCTATGCGTCAATCAGCAGCACCGGCAGCACGAGGGCTCTTCTGCTCAGCAGCAGCAGCAATTGATGAGCAGCAGCCCCGAGAGGGAGCCGTACATGGAGCTGGAGAGGAGGGGCAGCAATGAATCTGCGGCGCGGCGGAGGCCTTCGCATTCGGGGTCGGGATTCCTCGGGACGATGCGATGAATATTTTACCGATTGATTTTTTCATGTTTCACATTTTTACGAATTTTGATACAGTAGTCGAGAAGAGGCTCTTTTTTTTTTTCCCTTTTGCTTCGTCGACAATGGATTGTGTTTTGCGGCCCGATTTACATGGTGTTTTTGATGGGGGGGTTTATAAGTGGGCGATGATGTCAGTGTGCATTTCTCTGAGGAGACGGGACGGATCTGGGATCGGATGTTTGTGCTACCACGGGCTGGGAGCTGATTGGCCTGGATGGATGATTTGGCGATGCTGCCATTATGATGATTTGGTTTTTTTGCGTCTGGATGAGGAGGCGATGAGTTCTGCTAGAGATTGAGTGCTGATGCATCTTTTTTAATTGGTTGATGGGGTATAGATGCTGCGGGTATATGCATACGAGTTACCCTTACAAATACGTCAATGAAGTTCTTGCCAAATCAATACCACCGCCAGATGCAGGTCAAAATGTTGTAATTTATATACCTACCATTCTAAAAATATACAATAATTAACATCACCTTTCATATCCATCTCCCTCCAAGCCGCGTCTTCCACACAACGTATCCCGCATATCCCGCCGCCGCCATCAACACCATCCGGCCAACACCCACCAGCAAATTATTCCTCGCCCGCCTCAGAGCCTTCTCCCTGCCCTTTGCCTGGTTCTTCTTGAACGTTTCCCGATCATTAGCACGCGGGAATGGCGCCTCCACCATCTCCCCCGTCTCTCCATCCCGCACCATCGGAACAGGCACTTGGAGATACGCGCAGAGAGGCCCCCATCCCTCCTGAATCTCGTACTCGATGCGCCGCTCCTCGGGTATCTCGTCCCTGAAGCGCTGGTAGGTGCTCGTGTACCACGCAATGGCCTTTTTCTTTTCCGTGCGGTGATCGTACCGAAAGGCAAGCCCAGACATGGCCCTGCCGAACTGCGCAAAGGCTCGCGTTGCAGGGTCAAATGCGAAGCAGAAGAGCATCCCCAGCTTGGCCAGCCGCGACGTCGGCCTCACAGACGTCATGATGGACTCGGACACGCTGCAGTACCAGTCCTCTGGGGCGCGGTTGAGGATGATGACTTTTGCCTCTGGGTACATGGCTGCGAGCTCGACGCCAAAGAGCGCCGGGGGCACGTCGACGCAGGACTGGCAGTGGCCGAGGACGGCGTCGAAGTCGGCCTTTGAGATTGTGCCTTTGCCGTCGCCGAAGTGGGCTTCGATGAGGCGGATCCATTTGGGGGCTTCTTGTTGGGGGTTTTCGAGAATGTCTTGCATGTGGTAGCAGTTGCTGAAGCCGAGCTGCTCGAGCGCTATTCGCATGCCTGGCAGATGTTTAGGATCGTGGGATATAAAAAGAGTAAAACTTGGTTGTATGACTTACTTAGGGTTCCTGTTCGCTGGACGCCGCAGACGATGACTCGCATGGGAACGACGCGATCTGGTGTGTTGGCCATGGCGAGACGGTTTATTAGAGAATTATGATTATACGAGGCAGTAAGATGTGAGTATCAATTAAATAATACGAGGGAAAATAAGAAGGAAAATAGGAAGAGGTGGTTCAAAGCTGCATTGCACTTGAATCTTGTCGCGGTAGGGGGAGCATTTATAGGTTGAGACGAGAGATCCCGTTTAGGCAAGTCGGGTTTAATTGAGTTCCCATTTCCCCCGCTACTGTCGGTACCTGTAATATCTCGATCTCCTCCAAGGGCACTACCCGCGGTCGGGAAATATGCTTTACACGGTGAAAAGGCAAAAAAAAAAAAAAAAAGTTGATTCTGGATTTGTTCTACAGAGTTCCCGATTCAGACCATCGTCCGATGTAGAGTAACCCAGTTCTTCGGGACCGAGCTGTGATGAGATGAGCATTTTGCTGCTGACGGGGCCGATCCTACTGCTACCTACTGCGGCTGCTTGTAAAATCTCATGCCTTTCAATTATTTTTGAGGCTCGCTCGTCTATTGGTGGGAAATGAGATATTTATAGGTCTTCCTATCTTTTGTGAGCGTTGCATCGTGGTATAGGATTTCCTGACTGCCTCTATATTTGACTTACAGTCCCGCTTTGGATATGGCCCCCACGGTAATGGCCCGAATAGCGAGATGCGAGGTGTGGCTTCAAATATGTTGCTAAAGAGATGTGTGAGTGTAGCACATACATCTAATTTTTTCTTTCTTCTTCTTCCGCTTAATACATTTTTCCGGTTGTCCTTGGCATTCAGCCTGCTTTTCTTATGTTATGACTTCTAGATGCACACATGCGCTCCAGGGTGAGCTCTAATGTCTAAGTGTTTTAGAAACATGTTGATGCAGCAAGTGAAAGGAGCCAGTTAACTCAGTATTATCGCATTCAATAATATTTTTTAAAAGAAAGAAAAGCTCTTTTTCAGGAATTGATATACCTGAAGCTCATATCACGTCCACTGCTTTGCTTACTTGGTCCTGTACTCTCGTGGACAAGCTTGGCTTATAGAGCAAACTACGGTGCTTACAGGGCAGATGGCATCTTCCCAACGCAAGTCACATTCTTGCCCTAGAATGAAAAAAGCATCAAGCTTTATAATGAGATATTCGCTAGCTCCTCTTTTAATTCTTGAAATACACCCAGTCATTCTCTGGCCGTTACCCTTTTCCAGATTGTCTCTCTCTTACGCCTTTCGTTGCCTCCCTCCTTCTGATGCGTCTACTCCCGTAGCTGCGCCGTTGTTCGCCGCCAGAATCGCATCCAACAGTTCAGGGTTCGCATTCAGCATGTCCTGGGATTCTGACTTGATGCGTCTGGGGTCCAGCTTGCCGATCACGGGGACTGATGTGGCCAGGATCTGCTGGAATGGCACGGCCACAAAGTAGCCGCTCTCGTCGAAGAAGGAGGCGAATGGCTTGGCCACCTCGATGATGCGTGACTTGGCGGATTTGTCTGTGATGGTAATGGAGAGTCTATACGTGGGATCCAGCTTCTTTGTTGTGCTGACTACTGTGATCTGATGCGATTCCCTTGTTAGTTGCTGCACTGGCGTCGTTTCATGGCATGGCTTCCAAGTTACCTTTTCTCCAGACGGCGTGGTCCCCTGGTATACCACGCCCTTTTCCACAAACATCATCCAGAATGTCAGAGCACCGTTTAGAAGCGTGTAGAGGCCCACCGCGATGGCTGTGTAGATCTTGGTGTCCTCAAAGCCCAGCTTGTAGTCCCATGCGAAACATGCCGCGCAGATGACGAACGCAGTGTATCCCAGTCCCAGCCGCACGTCGCTCAGGAAATGTGTCTGCTTGAATTTTAGAGAGTTGAGGTAGTTGGGAATCGCATCGTCGGCCGTGTTCTTGAGATCTGTGGCCACGGTGTCAGAATAAGAAGCTTGACCAATTGAACGCCTAAAAATGAAGCATCAAACAAGTTGAATCTTACCGGCGAGATTGTATAGCGAAATCTTTTCTGCAGCCATGATTTCGGTTGTGTTTGATTGAATCGCGAGTATCGCAAGGCGCTGGCTGGTGTAAGTTAAGGCAGAGGTGGCCTGTAGTTTACTTTTGTAGTGGCTTCGTTAGTGCTGCGCGCCGATCGTGGGGTGGTCCAGCAGCTGTGCCGGAAATATGGGGCGCGACGGCTGCCGGCGGTAGGATACTCCGTAATAGCTGTCCTCCACCTCAATCATTCCCAGCTCTCCCATTGACGGCACATCTCGTAGCCTCTCACCCCTCTATCGCAGCACCATTGCCAACCGCTGACGGCGTCGCATTGGATTCGACCGCGGCTGATCGGCCAAGCAAACCACCACCATGGCGCAAATTCCAGCCCAGACCCTGCACAGGGACCCCCAGCTCTTGTACGTGTCCCCCGCGGCGTAGCTCCAGCTGGCACAGCTAACGTGATGCTTCTGCTCATAGCTACTGGATCCTGATCCCCATCACCATTGTCATGGTCCTGACAGGCGTCCTCCGCCACTATGCGTCCGTCCTCATGACAACCACCCCGAAGAAGGCCGACATCAAGACCATCCGCGAGCAGCGTGCTCTCGCCCACGGCGCCAACCTGAGGAACAACTACCACGTTCTGTCGCGCAAGGCCTTTGAGACTCGCCGAGACTTTTTGATTGATGGATTTGAATCCGGTGCCTACTTGAAGAACCCGCAGCAAAAGGGCCAGCCTCCGGCGAACCCGCTGTCGGATCCGAATGCCATGGAGGGCATGATGGGCATGATGAAGAACAACATGGCCATGATTATCCCCAACACATTGATCATGAGCTGGGTCAATGCCTTTTTCAGCGGATACGTCATCAGTATGTCGTGGATATTCTTGCTGGGGTGATGACTCTTTGTGCTGACTACGCGCAGTGAAACTGCCCTTCCCCATTACCATCAAATTTAAGAGCATGCTGCAGGCTGGTGTCCAGACCAAAGACATGGACCCTCGCTGGATGTCCAGTATTAGTTGGTACTTTTTGTGTATTTTCGGTCTCCAGTTTGTCTATGTCTTTCTCCTCGGTAGCGATAATGGTACGTTCATACACGATGCCCTCTTTATATAAAGCACACGAAAACAGGCTCTAACAACCTACTAGCCGCTAGCCAAATTGCCCAGCAGATGCAGGCCCAGCAGATGCCCGTCGGCCCCATGGCCCCTGGCCAGGATCCCAGCAAGATGTTCAAGGCCGAGGCTGAAAACCTGGCTGTCATTGAGCACTACTCCGTCTTGGACGGCGTCGAGGAGCGACTCCTGGAGAGGATCAAAGTATAGAATATTTCTAGATTTTCTTTTCAGAAAAGACGGACATGATATTATAAATAAATTGTACCCCTTGAACGCCTCTAATAATACCATTAAGCACCATCCCACCATAAGCATACTCCGAGACCTTCAGCCGCCATGCTGCCCTTGATCTTGTAGGGAGTCTTTGCCGGCGTGTCTTCAGCTGCAGTAGGCCCGGCAGGGGTTTGGTCGTGCCATTCTTCGTCGATAACCTGGAAACGAACCATTTCATGGTTATCGTAAAATAGGCGTTCTTCATCAAAGTTCCATATCCAAATTTGCTCGCTATGATTACTATTTGGGTTGTCAGGGCCTGTGACACTTTGACCGTTGAGTCACGAGTGAGAAGGAGAACGAGACTCACTATTCAGCCCCCTGGGGTAGCTCCTCATATGGCACGAAGATGTCGTCAAAGAAGTCTGTTCTCAAGTGTATTCCAGAAGGAGTCGAGCTGCGTATTCTGCCAAGCATGACCTCGCCCTTGAAAGGTCTAAAGACTATCATTCGAAACTCGACTGGTTTTGTGTAAGCATATTGAAACAGCTGCAGAAAGGAGGGGATGTTACTGCATCATACCATTGACATTGACCAAGCCTGTTCCATGGCCTATCAGACCCTCAGACGTCCATAAGACGTCGTATAATGATATACATAGTCCGATTTTTTGAACCACCTGTTCCGAAAGATGAGTTTTAGCTGGTTCCCGCTTTTCCTGGCATCAAACACGCAGCACAAACACTGACCTTGTTTGCGTACTTTGCATTAATGTTATCCTCTATTGCCACGATGCTGTGTTTTGAGAAGTCTTCTGGAGAGATCTGCACCAGATCGGAAAATTTGGTCTATGACTCTGAGGGTTAGTGATGCTATACGAAATACGCACTCATAGATTTCGACTTGCGGCGACGTACCAGGATAAACATTTTTCTAGATTTTCACAAAAAAAAGTTCAATCGCCTTTCTCAGCAGTGAATCATAAGCGGCAGCGACAAATAAAGAACCATCACGGATGAGAGGCTGTCGTCAGGTGCATTTCATTACGGCGCCTCAAGTAGCAGCAGCTCTCACCAGTAATCGATTGTGCATCTTATAGTTTGGAAATACGTACAAAAAAGTCAAAAAGCTCGGCGAAATGCTTGTTGAACAGATTGGAGCTAGTCCGACACTGGCTAGCATCGCGGCACCTCGCTCCGGATACACTCTCACCGCCTTCTACAATCGGACTAGCGCACCCATTGCCCAGTGGCACTTCATTTTCTGGGAAAGTCAGGCATCGTCGAACATCTCGCCGTCGACTCTCTCATCTCAGACGTCCCTGAGCAGCGTCTTTGCCACCAACATCCAGGTCTATCCGTTTTGTAGCCTGGAATATCCTTGGATCGCATCAATTCGTCATTTCTGTTTCTCAATTTGATTTCTTACCTGGTTTATCCTTGTCGAGTTCCTCCTCCTGCTTTGCAACTCCCCGTCGAGTCCGAGAAGTCTCGAAGTCCGACACTCTTTCGCCATCCTCTGCATCCGCCTCCTGCTCGGATACTCCAGCAGCCGATGCTGCCTGTCATTGTTTGACTTTCCTGCAAAGCATCCAGAACCGTTCCAATTCTCTTCTACATGAACCTATAAGCAATGTCGACGTACAATTACGCACCACCTCCCCCTCCGCCTCCCACCTCCGGCGGCGCCAGCTTCGGGCAGTCGAGTTCGGCCCCGTATGGCCAGAGTCGCGGTGGTGGATCAGGCAGTCGTCGAGGCGGCCACTATCACGGAGGCCGTGGCGACTATCACAACTCGCAGCCGCGATACGAATACACTGGGCAGCCATACCCAGCCCAACACGCAGTGCCTTACGGCAGCTCTCACCCGCCGGCGAACAGCTATCCGGCTGCTCAGCCGCAGTGGACTCCAGACCATGGCCATGCTCCCGCACACCACGCACATCCGCATGCTCCTGTACCGCTCTCCGCAACAAACTATCACCCAAACTATGCTCCCCAGCCTTATGCTCCGTCTCAATACCCCCAGCAGGCCCCTTATGCTGCCCCTCAGCCTTACCCCTATCAAGCCCCCCCTCCTCCACCCAGCCAGGCGCAGTGGAGCGGTCAAGCGGCTCATCAGACATACGGGAATAGCAGAGGTCGCGGAGGAGGCTACGGTGACCGTGGAGGCCACAAGCCGTCTCAGGGCGTGCCTCCCGTCCGCCACAGCCATGAATATGATGCGGCACCTCCTCCGATAGTTGGCAGCTTCCCTCAGTCATACCCCCCCGATCATCGCGTTGTGCATTATCCTCCACCCCAATATGCTTATGCAGCGCCCCCGCCTCCTCCCGTTGCCGCTCGTCACCCAGAATCTTCACACGGCCAGTATCCTCGCCGAGGACGTGGTGGGCACAGAGATGGCCATGGCAAGGGGCGGGGTAGCCATCACTCCCATCATCATGGGGCCAACGATAAGCCACGCCTACCAAAGCCGTCCAATAATAATTTGGATAACGCTTCAAAGCCTGACAAGTCCGAGTCTCCTTCAGTTGGTAAAAAGAAGAAGAGAAAGACCAATACGCTGGGCCTAACCCCAGGAGTTGACTCGGAAACAGAAGATGATGAGGGGGAGGAGAAGACCCTCACCGAGCTAATTGGTCAAGAAACTCTCAAGTGAGTAATCCAATCTTGTCTACTCATGTGCGATATCCGTATTAACCACGTTTACTGAATTTAGTATTAGCGATGTTGCGGCTTTTATCGCCGAACGAAAGAAAAAGTTCCCCACCAGAGCGCGCATCGAAGCCAAAAAGGCCGCCGAGTTGGCGCGAAAAGAAGAGGACAAGGCTGCCTCTCTAGAGAAGGAAGCTGATAGATTGAGAAAGCAACTGCGAAGAGTCGAGTTTTCCATTAAGAGAAAGCGAGAGCAGGGTGATGAGGGTGACGAAATGCGGGAGCCCTCTGATGACTCGTCTGACGATGAGCCAGAAGTCATGTCTAGCCGCACTCAAACCGCACCACCTCCCTCTTCCTCAGCCAAGAAGGCTGATATCACTAGGCATTGCAAATATTATTCTACCGGTGGAACTTGCGGGAAGAAGGGCAAGTGCCGCTTCGTCCATGATCCCCAAGCTAGAGAAGCGGCGATCAAAGAACGCGAGGCCAACAATGGTCGTTTGACTATCCAGCAGCGGTTAATCTTGAACGACAAGGAGCAAGAAGATTTGGCTATCCTTCAATCCATCCAATATCTTCGCGAGAAAGGCCTCATGAATACTGCTGGAGCTTCGGCGGCGGCTCCCCTCAGTAACGAAGAAAAGAAACTCGCAGCCAAGTCCGCTTCCACATCCACACCAGTGCCCACATCTACGCTCACTTCGACATCTGCGCCCGCTTCTGTTTCTACGCTGCCACCTTCTACGTCCAGCCTCCCTGCTATCCCACCACAGCCCGCTAAGCGCGAACCACCTCGCAGAAGCAACCCGCCTCCCTCCATCATCCCCACCGCTAATAGTATCAGCGCTCAGGGGGTGAAGCACTATCAGGGCTGGCTCCTGAAACCGTACGGAAGCTCAAGTGGGAAGCAGTCACGGAGCGATGATTTACCTTGACTGGGCTGTTTGAATGCGCATAAACACCCATTTTCATAACATTCTCCTCAAAACTATCTGAATAAGCCAAACTCGGATATTTATCTACACATTCTACACGATATTAGATATCGTTCCCAAAAACCTGTGTGCATTTTCTATTTTTATTGGTTCTGCTCTTGTTTCAGAGTGTGCTTGCTGTTTTTTTTATACAAAAGAAAAATACTCATTGGGCGGAGTTTGCTTGACAGTCTTGCAAGTGTGACAAATGTCGACCTGGGGACAAAAGGCGGCGCCAACTGGCTGCTAGGATCTTGAACATGGGCTCGGCTGGATGCCTTGAGAAGCCAGTTCTAACCCAGCTGGGACTATTCACACGCATCATTCTTCGACACCACTCATGTTTTTTTTTGTCAATATTTGGTCTGGTGATTCCCTGAAGGCTTGCTTGTCTCTCTATGCAGCTCAACTCGTTTGGGCGCGAAGAGAGACAAGAAGTTGTCTGCCTTTACAATAACTAACGATTTTCTCTCTTTCTCATTAACAATTTATAGGATTCAGTTGATTGGGTCGAAAAAATAACTTTTTTTTTTTTTTTTAAAAAAAAAAAGAAAAGGCAAGGATAAATTTGTTATTTACTATATGTTATATAAAGGCTGGCGAAACTTGTTTCCTCTATTCTTTTCGTTCGAATACATTCTTCTTAGCTGCTCAAAGTTATGGTTCATAGGTTCACGGTAGTCAATACGATTATTATTTTCCCATTAGCATTTTGCTTATAGATATATATCAGAAGCATGATTGACAATTATACACATTGGGTGACCGTCTTTGTCAAGAAAAATATAAAAGGATAAAAGCTAGCTCTAACTCGCAAATTGTCCAATTCCAGACACTGCAGCCAAGTCCTTGTTTTTGCGCCATAGAATGCAAATCCAGCCTTCCAAGAAACACCGTTGACAGAATATAAAAAGCCAAACAAAAATCAGAAAAGAGAAGGAGAAAAGAGAGAAAGAGAGACACATGAAAAGAGCACAAAATAGCAAAGCGCGAAAAAAAAGAAGAAAAATATTACCAGAAACAATCCACCAAATATAAAAGCCTTGTGGAATACCACAAGACTTTTTTTCCTTCTTCTAATGATGAAACTCCGTCGCTAAATGACTCGGACAAAGCGGTCTGCCATTTCCTTCTGTTGCAAGCTGCCTAAACGCTCATTCCCCCCCTTCAATCTTTTAGCTTTCCCCAACGCCTATTTGCTTCCATTCTTCATTAAATTCAGCTTTAATGCCTATCCTCGTTTCGAATCATCAAGTAGCGAATCCCCTTTTTGTCGCGTAACGTAAATAGTCAGAGAGAAAATGTTGTAGTGAAGGCGAATCGCGCACTAAAGATGGTTATATCGTCAGGGGACTGCAGAAACGCAAGTCACTCTCTTTTCTCATTCTGCTTTCTGAGCCTTCTTCTCGCTCAACGTCGATTAGCGCGGAGAGCATCGAGGGCCTTGCGCTTCCTCTCCTCCTTTGCCATTTTGAGCGACTGTTCAAGCTTCTGCTCCCGGTCATCTTCGCGCCGGGCAATTCGCTCCGCCATCCGCTCTTCGCCGTCGATGTCGTCCAGGCCGGCTTCCATGTCAGATGATCCATCTGATGCATAATCATAGCGTTGGCCATCGTCTTCTGCGTCATCATAGTCGATAAAGTCATCCATGTCTTCGTCGTAATCGTCCTCATACCGTGATCTTCTGTTCGAGCTGGGTCTGGGAGGAGGGGCATTGAGAAGGGCTCCGCCTCTTGGGGCGTTGCCCTTCTTTAACGCAGCGCCCGGCTTGGGACGTGCCGTTCCGGTGTAGCCGGTGGTTGCTGACGCTGCCTTCTTAACTTTCTTCTCTGGCTCTGGCACAGAAGCCTTCCTGGAAGATGCCGCTGCCTTGGAAGGCTGTCGAGAAGCAGCGCCGTTTCGGTCACTCTTTGAGGATGCATTCCCATTGGTGCCATTGCGCTGTCCCGGCTTGGCTGATCCCTTGTACCCAGTCCCAGTCGAGGGTTTCCTGCCTTGAGCGCCCAAAGGTGCAGCCTTGACATCACTCCTCTCTTTATCCTTCTTTATAGCTCCTCCCTCAGCCTTTTTGTGCTGGATTTTCCCGACCTGGCCCATAACGGCTTGTGCCCGTTGGGCTCGGGCAAGGATCTCCGCATACGAGCCCTTCTTCGGAGGAGCTTTGGGCTTGCTTGGGTCGGCTGGGGGTGGCGGTGGTTGTCTACTGGCAACTACTGGCCTAGCCGGTCGACTCGCAGAATTGATAGGCTTTGGAGGGATCGGCGCCGGTCTTGACAGAGTAGAGTTCGCGGGCCGCTGTGGTAGTTTTGCAGGGTGTGCGAATAGACGCGGTGTCTTTGAGTCATTCCTTGTAAGATCATCGTCGGCCTTTCGTTTAGTAGAAGCGCTCTGCGGTCGTTGAACGGCTGGCGCAGGGTTGTCCGAGGACTTTCCGCCACTGATCTGGGCCAGAAGATCTCCGATCTGGTAGTATGTATTAGCCACTGTGCCTATTGATGCCCAAAGGTGGCCAAACGGGAGAAAAAGGAAAGGAAAGGCGACTTACCGGCATCGTGTCTATCGCGAAACTTCTAGTCCTTCAAAATCGAGATTATTCCAGCTAAATTTCTCACGTAGCCCTCCCAAGTCGATTACACGCGGCGATGCATAGATAACGTCGCTCCTCGGCTCTTCCAGCACGGAGGAATCGAATCGGCGCCGAAGCACGCTCCCCTCAAACAAAGAGGCAAAAAGCCTTTAGTGTGGCGCTTCTCGAGCTGGATGCGCACCTTGCGGTTATCGGAGATGTTCTCAAAGGAGGAAATGAAAGAAAATTCGATTAAAAGCGATATTTGGGCAGCGAAGATGAATGGAATAAACCGGGTATCTACAACAAACTATCACAGCAAGTTCAAGAGAAAAAGAGTTCAGGAAGAAAGGCTGGCCAATGCCGGCAGAGCTCCGGCTAGATAACAGGCTGACGCCACAACGGCCGTAGAACAAGGTGAGTATCCACGTGACCTTCAATCATTATCTGTGGCGGTGTGATAAGCAGCTGTGGCTGGACCCGACGCCCTAAAGCGGATCGTTTTCGGCTAGCAGCAATTTTAGCGCCCACAATGTAAATTGCCCTGTAACTTCTATTTGTGGGAACTTTTTTTTCCCAAACTTTTGTTCCGACAACAAGCCATCAACCACCACCAGAACTCGAAGGCTTCAGTCTCCGCCCAACTTGCGGTTAAAGTGATTGATTTCTCGTGTTCCTCTTGAACCTCCTAAAGTGAGTTGCCTCTCTATTCACAGCTGCGCAGTTTGAATCGACCTCGAAGCTGGATATCCCTGTCTCTTCGATCGACTCTGCAGAATTGACGGCTGCTTCCACATACCTGCCGCCTTTGGGAAAAAAAAAATTCAAAGATTTCTAACAATTTTTCTCTCTTCCACAGAAACTTTCAAAATGAAGCACCTCGCAGCTTACCTCCTGCTCACCCTCGGCGGCAACGCCTCCCCCTCTGCTGAGGATGTCAAGGCTGTCCTCAGCTCCGTCGGCATTGAGGCCGAGGATGAGCGTCTTGAGAAGCTCATCTCTGAGCTCTCTGGCAAGGACGTCAACGAGGTATGATTTGATCATCCAACTGAAAATTCTTGTCATAGGCATAAACTAACAGCCTCTCTCTTATAGCTGATCGCCGCTGGCTCTGAGAAGCTCGCTTCCGTTCCCTCTGGCGGTGCCGGTGGTGCTGCCCCTGCTGGCGGTGCTGCTGCCGGTGGCGCTGCCGCCGCTGAGGCTGTTGAGGAGAAGGAGGAGGAGAAGGAGGAGTCCGACGAGGATATGGGCTTCGGCCTTTTCGACTAAGCGCCCTATTTCTAAACAGGATCCGCAAAGTTACGACCCTCTACGAATTTCGGAAAAGTCACGAGCATGTTGTGCGGTTAGCCTTTCATGGCTCTGGTGGCGTGGGAGGATTAATTGCTCATGGATGGCACGGCGGCTGTTATAGGCTGAACTGATAGGTCCAATCATGAAATTGACGACTTGCCGTTTTCTCCGAATATCTGCTCCCCTACTCTGATTGTGACGCTGGCTGCAACGTGATTTACTCTGAGTTGAGATGTTAACCATGTTATGTTTTTCTCCTACGTGAAGGATATTTGCCATATGTGGATTGAAAGACTCCATTTGTCAAGGCACCAAATGGTTTTAGTTAACCTGTCTCAAGTCAATGTACTACGTCCAAGAACTGTTTGGACTACCCTACACAGGAGGTATTTCTCCACAGGAAAAGAGTGACTGAACAATCCATATGGTATCACGTCGTGGAACAAGTGTAGGATTAAGATGTCAATATTTATTTGTCTTATGGTACACTTGTAAAGTCTGCAATGATCCTCGTTTTTTGCCGAATGAAACCACAGCAGATATTTACCCGTAAGCCGCCAAAACGATTTCTTCGCCATTCTGCGTCAAAAACACATATATCAAGTCTCCTAATCTAATCGTACAAACACAAGTAAAAAACACGAACTTTTAATTATCAAATCATAGACGGAAATTTATCCGGGCGATACGTCGCCTCGGGCGCTCCCCAAGAGAATGTCGGATGCCGTCTCGCAGCATCGAGCTCTTCGTATTCTGGCAGCGGTGAAGTTCCTGGATCGTCAAAGGTAGGTAATTCAACAGGAGGAATTTCAACTCGTAGGGGCTGTAGCACAGCTGCAGGTGGTGGACTTGGTGGACTGCTGAGTTGTTAGTAAAAAGATGGACATGACGCTCTAAAGGTCGACATATGAGACGATCGAATCGAGACATGGAATATCATTCTAACAACTTACTTGCGTATAATATCTACTCCTCTTGCAAGAGAGCTCGCCGACGGCAAATTAAAATTGAGAATAGTAGGCGTACCGTGAATTGGCCGTATCGGAGGCATAGAAACTTGTCGCACCTCTGCCGCAGCCTCAAGCTCAGCGGGATTTGATCCGTTATGCTCCGAACGTGCATTTCTGCTAAACTTCTTTTTCCAGCGTTTATCGAGCTTTTTTCTGAAAGATTCCAAGTTTGGATCATTATCATGAGTGGAAGGGCGGCGGCGGCTGCTGTGGTGGCCGGCGAAGAAGAAGAAGGCGGCGACGACGCCGACGATGGTGGAACTCCCTATGGCGATGCCAATGATTTGCGCTGTGGTATTTCCAGAGGTAGGTTGCGGTATGGGTGATTGTGTAGTTGTTTCTTTTCCTCTGGCGGGAGCTGTTGCGGTTACTGTTGTTGTTACCGTTGTTGTGATAGTTGACGCTGGGCCGCAGGACGTTATTTGTGGCTGAGCTTGAGTAGTAGAAGATGATATTGATGGGCTGGCTGAGACTGCTCAACATTGATTTGTTATTATCGCCGTACAAGCCATTCTATAACATTGGAACATACCAATAGATGTTGATGCCCTTTCATCAATCGCTCGGCACAAAGCCTTCTCACCAAACATCACGGCCACGATCGCCGCTAATTGAAAACACCGCATGGTGTAAAAGCAATATGAGAGAAAATCAGCTTTATTCCGAGTACTCCTGGAGAATGATACAATCGGTAAACATGCCGGCAAACCCGACTTAAATGAAGAGGGAAGAAGTGAAGAAAAGCTATGATTTCGGGGTTCGTTCCGATCTCAACATTAAAAGAAAGATATCCGAATGGCCATGGCGCCGAAACGGATGTAAGAAAGCAGCAAGCCAGGCGCCGACTACCCTGTTTCTCCTCATCGGAGAGAATGGAGAATACCTGTAACCGTGGAGGGGCCACTTGATGGCCTTGCGTGATCTTGAAGTCAAGGGCGGATGAGAGGTAAGATGCCGGATCGGGAATACTGGGATGCTATTAACCTTGGGAGAGCAAGATTAGAGCGTTGGCCGCCTTTGTCGCCAAAGATTGGTTCTGCCTGATGCTCCGAATCTGCATCGGATACACCTAGATATCAGTGAAACAAGTCTATATAACATATGTAGCAAATGCCAAAGCTTAACTCAGTAACTGTAGAGTCTGATTATGGATGTATGATAGTCTATGAAGATATCTGAGTATTAGATAATCTGCCGCCACCCCTGCTTTCCAACACTTGCTTCTTTTCCCTTTTGTTTGCCGCTTTCGTTATAACCTGGCTTGGTGGTTGGAGATGTGGCAGACAAGGGGTCTCGTTTGTTTACCATGTCTAGTGACAAGAATCTCTTTTGCATAAAGAATCCGACAGGCAGCGCCTCTACGTAGCCTGTGTATAGAAAATTTTTATTGCAAAATCCCCTTGGGCCAGCTTTATCTTTCTTCAACTCTATTTCTTAAGTCTAACAGCAACGCTACGGCTATAGCCGTATTCACTGTGTTTTTGCTTTGACCTTGCCGCCACTTGGTAAGAGGTCAGTTTCCCGTAATAACCTCCAAAAACACCAAAGGTAGCAGATGGAGAAACCTGCCGCGCCTACGCCGACGTTGGCGACAACCCATAGATCTGGTTTGCCGGGTGGCGGTACGACAAAAGCCTCTAGGACATGCCACGCCGCCATGGTGACATAAAAGGTGCTTTGTAGCAGAGCTGTGCCCCACTGGACAAGAGCAGACTGTCCTTCCTGGAACGGTGCACTCCAGGACGTCGGAGGGAGGCCTAAAAGGTATGCCCAGAGGAGAGTGAGGGCTGTATAAGGCACCCTTAGGTCGACTCGGTGTAACAAAGGGAACATTGTCCAAGCTCCAAGAAGGTTGGCAAAGCCCACCCAAGCACGGACTTCGCCGCTCATCCCTTGTTTGCCGGCTAGCAGTAGCGTCATCGGCATCAAGGGCAGAAGGACGCTCTTCTCGTGGACCTGCCAGCTGAAGAGAAAGAAACCCCATGCGGTGGCTGCAAAAGCCAGCGGAAGAGCCGATTTTCGCGGGCGTAGGAACAGCACAATGTTGGGAGGGATTATGGAAAGAAGAGTCATCCCGAGTGCGGCTTTCTGGAGGAGTTCCACGGGGAAATTGCGCAGCTTGATGACGGCGTTGAGCGCGCACCAAAAGTTTGCGACTTTGTCTTCGAAAAGGCCACGGGAAAAGGGAAAGACGCGATGAACCATCTGGACTAGCTGCTCAACAATTGGGTAGTAAAAATGTTGAGTATCGATATAATTGGTGATGAATGAGAAAATGGGAAGTGGTGCCGCAGCCCCCTTAAGCTCGGGCATAGCATCAATGCCGCGATGCTTGTCGTAGAGCACGCCAAGAGCTAGGGGCAGAACTAGCACACCGAAAGAGATGATGGTGACTAAAGCGATGCCAAATAACCTGCTGGGGTTGATGCCGGGGGTGATGCATCTTCCCAGAAGATACGAAAAGACACTAAAGGCGTAGTAGAGCGCCATCTGTTTAAACCCAAGGGCGGCCACAAAGAAGACGGCTGCCCACATGTACCTCTCGGCGAGCATACTCGACATGCTAGCCACGACGAAGCCAAGCATAACAGTGTTGTACTGGAAGTGAACGTGGTCGATGAGAATAGTCGCTGGCTGCATGAGAATAGCCACAAGGGCCAGGTTGCTCGTCCAATTATTCACCCCATTGAGCCGGCTGAATCGTCGCACAAAGACAGTGGTGGCAGGGACGAAGATGAGGAACTCGGAGACAATGACTGTCGCTCTCATAAAGATCTTGAGCGTTGGATCGTGGGAGCCGCGCGAGGACACCAAGGCAAACCACTCCGGGTTGATCCAGCCTCCAATCTTGCCCAGGGCCCAGCTATGATACGCCGTGAGAGGAGGATAGTCGAGCCCCCACCACTCCAGATCGTGGAAATACCATTGAGATATCGGAAGATGCGCGGTGATCTCCATCCAATGGCGCTGGGCCTCGTAGTCGCCAAACAAGGGCGGTCGTTGGAATCCTGTTACAGCCCGCCGTCTTCTCGTCAGCCACTGATCTGAGCAAAGTAAACAATCGCATAGCCGTTTCCGCAGGCCTCACCAGAGTATCCCCAGAGCCCGGCCGCCCATCGAAACAGCCCTACCACCATCAGTATCAGCGGCAGCACCTCCCATTGGGACGAGGACGTGCGCGCCGGCCACAGAAAGGCTGCCAGAGGGAACGACGGCGTGCGCACGAGGGCCTCGGATCGCACCCGCACAGGCTTGTCGATGTCATTGTCGGAGTTCTTGGGCTTCCGCCGAGGCTTGTGCGGCGCTGGGCTTGAGGACGGCATTGTCACCGCATGGGACGAAGACTGAGGGTCGCAATGCTTGAGATTCTCGCAGATGGAGATGGACACTTGGAGCTTTGGCGCCAGGGCATCTCCATATTGGGAAACTGTAGTGGATAGTGGAGCTGCAGGGAGTTGGAGGTGCCTGACTTACAGTGCAAAGGGCGCCGTTACAGGGCAGATGGCACTATAACGACCAACGACCTTGATGACTGGGCCACAGAGACCGGCAGATGCTCGGAAAGACGGCCACGCCAAGCCGTTGTTAGCTAATCATTACGTTGTGTCTCAACGGGCTTTTCCCCATGGACTTTTGGAGATTTTTGGTGGGGGCGAGCAAACTCGATTGAACAAACAACGCCAACAAAGCCTTCATTGTCCTCCGCACGCTTTCCTCGGCTTTTGTCTTCGGCGCAGGCGGGTTTCTCTTGCCTTGGCCGCACTGCCCTGGAACGCGAGTTTCTGCCGAATAATGGCGAGGAGGTAAGGTAGCCTGGCTCAAGTACTGCTCTGGTTGGCGACTGCGCTGCCCGCTCCAGACCCCGTCAATGCCCTTTTGCTTTGCGACACTTGATCGCCGCCGAGATCTACCAGATGGCCATGTTGCTCCGTACCAGATTTGCTGCCTCGCCGCCATTGCGAACGCTGTACCACGGTTTGTGGCCCTGATTGACTCGGCATGGCTGCTCGGCGCCACTCTGTTTGCTAACGATCCGATAGCCTCCAGCTGCGCGTCTAGATCTCGCCAGGCGTCGCAGAATTGTGCCTATAAATCCATGTCGCAGGCGCTGCGCTCTTATTCCAGCGCTCCTGCGTCCTCGTCTCCCAAATTCTCATATCACATCGCCGCGTCTTTCATCGCAAAGGACCGTCCGTATGACCCGTCCACTCACGTATTCCATTTCAACCCGTACAATCGAATCCAGCCTCCCCGACATCGCCGAAAGTCCTCGCGGCCCGAATCCGGCCATGATGCCTTCTTCGTGAGCCGAGTTAATGAGTCCGGGTCTGTGGCGCTTGGCGTCGCAGACGGAGTGGGCGGCTGGGTGGATTCTGGAGTCGACCCGGCTGACTTCTCACACGGACTATGCGATTATATGGCTGCCGTAGCATACGAATATCCCTCCGGATCCGATGCGCCTCTCACAGCAAGGAAACTCATGCAAAAGGGATACGAAGCGGTATGCGAGGATCCAAATGTGCCCGCTGGCGGCAGTACGGCTTGTGTTGCGATTGCGAGACCCGAGGGCGTCCTCGACGTGGCAAACCTTGGCGATTCGGGCTTTCTGCAGCTGCGACTAAATGCGGTGCATACATCCTCCGAGCCACAAACCCACGCGTTCAACACTCCGTTCCAGCTTTCAGTAGTCCCGCCAAGCGTTGCTGCTCGAATGGCAGCCTTTGGCGGATCGCAGCTTTGCGATTTGCCGCGGGATGCTGATGTGACACACCACCACTTGCGCCATGGAGATGTGCTGGTCTTTGCTACCGATGGCGTGCTGGACAACCTGTTTAACCAGGATATTCTCCGGATCGCTAGCAGAGTCATGGCGACGAGCGGCGCATGGAACATGGCTGCCAACGAGGCCGTCACCGTAGCTGATTCTCTGGACAGTCTTACGGGAGCTCCCTATGAGAGTAAGGCAGCGGATGGCAAGACGAAAAAGGCCGTGACATTGCAAAGTCTACTTGCGACTGAACTGGTGCAGGCTGCCAAGCAGGCAAGCGTAAACACAAAAAGAGATGGGCCATTTGCCAAAGAAGTAAAGAAGTACTATCCCCATGAAAACTGGCATGGAGGTAAAGTCGACGATATCTGCGTTGTCATCGCCGTTGTCTCAGAAGATGCGGCCGGCATCAAAAGCAAGCTCTAGAGTACCGGAGCAAACCGATCCGCAATATGGAATGAATAGAATTTAGACATGCTCAAGGCAAGCACATGGACTATATGGTTAGATGGAGATTGGATTGGATTGGACGTATAAACGGGATGAAGACTGGGTTATTTTGCTAGTAATTCGTCGCGTTGAGTTTCACGGTTGTCTAATTATGTACATTATGTAACAAATAACTAAACGAGTAGAAAAAAAAAAGAGCAAATACAATGAGAGTTTATCCATTCGTACATTATTAAACTCTGTACCTAGAGAAGTGTGCTGTAGCGTCAACAACGAAACGATTCAAGGTTGGAGGCTGGTTGAAGTTTTATGATGTCATCGACCTGATGAGTTAACGATTTACCCTCTCATCCACCGTGAAAACGTCGTCTTCTTTCACAACAAAGAGCGCTTTGAGATATCAATGCTTTTTACAGGGCTATAATGAAGGAAATATATCTGGTAAGGTTGCTGTTGGCTAGTGCGTACTAGAAGCGTTACGATCACTAACAACGATTTTGAATAGGCCGGTGCCGCAGCGGCATTCACAGTCGACATGCTCGTATATCCTCTCGATACGCTGAAAACGCGCTATCAGAGCCAGGACTTCATGCCCAAGTCCGTAACCGCCTCAAATTCAAAGCCTCTGGCCGTGCGCGGCCTGTACCAAGGGATAGGGAGTGTGATATTGGCTACTCTTCCAGCAGGTACAGCATAATGGCGTCCCTTGTTCTCATTTACATACTGCATATTTATTGCATGTAATCGAAGAGTAAGGGTAAACTAACCTTTATACTTGTCAGCTGGAGTCTTCTTCGCCACGTATGAAAGCGCAAAGGGCATATTCGGGCGGCATTTGCCTGTGCCTGAGCCCGTGGTCCATTCGTGTGCCTCATCGGTCGCCGAGATGGCATCCTGTCTTGTCCTTACTCCAGGAGAAGTAATAAAGCAGAACGCTCAAATGATACGCGCCCAACCTGCGGGATCAAGTCTGCGCAACTCCACATCGTTGGCGGCGTTCCGTCGCATAGCTGGAGGGGGAAATATGGCAGGGGGTCTGTTTTCGGGATACACAGCGTTGGTGGCACGCAATTTGCCCTTTACGGCGCTCCAATTTCCCATGTTTGAGTACGCAAGAGGGCGTCTATGGGACAAACGGCTGCGTCTTAGAAAGGACCAGACGAAAGGCGTGCTGGAGACGGGCTTGGTAGCCGGATCGAGTGCGGCAATGGCCGGGGCTCTGGCTGCGCTTGTGACAACGCCGAGTGATGTGATTAAGACACGGATGATGGTGAAAGTAGGCACTGGCGATGAGAGGAGCAAAGTTCAGCGGCATCGCAGGGGCGCAATTACAGTTGCGCGAGATGTCTGGCGTGAAAAGGGGTTCCGGGGATTCTTTCGTGGAGGAGCGTTTCGCTGTGCTTGGACGGCGGTTGGGAGCGGTTTATATCTCGGCATGTATGATGCCGCCAAATTATGGCTTGGAGGTGAAGAGGGAGACTAGACAGGCGGTTGGGAAAGGTGTTTGAGTATTTTTATGGAGTATTTTCATGGAGTACTATAAAGTATTGTTGTAATCTAGCAAGAATTTCGTATTCATTAAACTATCTCAGACTAACTTAGTACAAGACGAACATAAACATAAACATAAACAATTCCATTATAATGAAAAATTGCGCACAAAAGTAGTACCAAATACCAAACACAAACGCACACACGAGAAGAAAAGCATGCAAATACGTGTACCCAGCTTTCACGACGACAGAATCTTGCAGCTTGTCGGGATCGAACTACTATACTGAGCGATAGTACCTTTGTCCTTTCTCGGGCATTTCTGGATCATGAGTCCAAGTCACTGCCTTGATGGAATCGCCGCCATATTTGTCGGGATGAAAGTGTAGAATATAATAATGTGGGGGGTATCCAGTAGGTTTGTCGCCCGCTACCATCCCGTCCCAGTCTGAATACCAGGAAAAGGTGTCATTATAGAGGTGCCGTAGGATAAACTTTTTCATTCCGTTTGCAAACTGGACTGTCATTCCAGTTCGAATCGTCCTCTCTTCTCCTTGACCAGGGGTTTTGTCGACAAAAGGTCTCACTCCTTCATACGTTTCAGGCCACACGATGAGAGTTTTTCTGTTATCAGATTCGTTTGAATATACCCCCATATACTGCTCAAGAGGACGACTGCAGAAGGCCCAGAAATCATTTCCTCTGACAAAATTGAAACTGGTCACGAGATCTTCGTGCTGCTTGTGTGCATTAGCCATGCTCATTTGCACTGAGAAGAGATTTAGGTCGCCGCCCAAGAGTGTCTGAAGCAGGAGCTGCCCGATCCAATCAGCGGCATCATTCGCCGTCCTCGTATTTGTCAACACTATGACTGCAGATTTCGTTTCCGGTAAAAGGGCAACAAAACAGTTTGATCCGCAATGCACTCCCTGATTCCAGTACACTTTGGTTGCTTTGGTCTGGCCGAGTCCGATCATGGGCATCGGGATCAGCTTGGAGTTGGCCCCAAGGCCTTCGAGTCTGCCAGGTAACGTGGTAGTTGCCCAGCCTGCAGCGTAGCTACATGTGCAAGAGATCTTGTCCTCGTTCGGTACCCCTTCCATGGACTGAAGGGGGCTAAAAAGCAAATCCACGTCCGGGAACGCCCGTTTATAGCCACGGTCATCGGGCGCAGGATCCCAACTTTTATCTGCGGCCTTATTGAGACCTATGCAATATTTTATTAGTGCGTCAACGTTGCTCAACATGCCCCTTGCCGCATTTGGCATTGTAGCCTTGTGAAGACAGATAATCTCTTCAGCCGCTGCCTGCTGTTCACGGTATGTGTTGAAATTGTGACGATCAAGTCTGTTCTGCTCAGTCATATTCCATTTATCTGACGACAAACGTTGAAGGCGTTTCAGGCGCTTCTCCTTGCAATAGGAGACCAGTGCCTCGAAGTTATCATTAGAATACCGTATATCCGGCTTCAAAGCAGGTAAATCGGGCGCTAAAACGGCATCGAGGGAATCTACACGTTGCGACAGTAGCTGCCCGCCCCGACGTCCGACGTGATATAGCTTTGAATAGTGACTTCCGTATCCTCCTCTATCCGTATATACATTGCAGGTACAAGGCATTCCCAAAGGCCTCAAGATATTGGTTCTAAGGTATCGATCATACCCTTCAGGACAGTATTTATGAACGATTTCTCCAAGTAAGGTGTAGTTAATCGCGCCGTGAATAAACCGAGAGCGTGGCTCTGCCACGCGCTTGAGACTGTGATACGCTCTGATAATCTCATTTTCGAGTAAGCTGACACGACCACCGTATTCAGTCAAGACAGACTCAGCCGCTTGAAGCCCGGTGCGATGGCCAAGAAGATCTGCAATTGTTGTATTGTCAGAGAAATCAGCGTCTGGATGCAAGAACCCTCTAAGGTGGTGTGAGACCTTGTCATCGTAGCGCAAGATGTTTCTATGGCTCATCTGAGCCACGACAGCTGCTGTAAAGCTCTGGCTTAAAGCACCAATGGGATACATGGTAAGCGAAGTGGCTTTGCATTTCTCTTCAAGGTTGCTGTAGCCAATGCTTTCTTCCCACACTACCTCGCCTTCATGGACGACAGCAGCAGACATGCCAACGATTCCAGTGATGTTGCAAATTTCCTTGACTTTGTTTGTTAAGTCGGCCTTACTCGTTGTTGAGCCGAAACCCGTAGGTATTTCTTTGTCCGGCTTCATCGTCTCGTCCCACCTATATGATGTCAGCTTTTAACGTTTCATAAAGAGAAAATATAGATAGAATGACCAACAAATTGCTAATTTGCTATCTTTCTGAAGTGTTGATATTATACGATGAGGATGGCTTACACCAAGTAATTTACAACCTGCGACCACGATACGGGGGGCATATATATACTTTAAAAAACATTAGTTAAAAGAAAAAAAGTTTCATTCATATTGATTACTTAATTCTATCATTAACAAAGGGCGATAATAAATTTGGGATCAAAAAATGCAACAAAGGATCATTAAGAATTGATGCGAGGCTGGTTAGAATGAAACAACGTGTTCAGTGCATACTTTGGAAAGATTTCCCTTGATTCAAAAGCAGATTATATAGCAACTATTTTTGGAATCTTGTGCTTAGACTACATTAACCTCAAGCTCTTTGAGAAAAGAAAAAAAAAAAAGACTATGTCAGTGTTTTCTTTGTATATGATCATCAAGAAAACTCGCACAAAATAAGTATTGATAGGGGAGCAAAGGGTGCAGTTAGGTCATTTGTATCCTGAAATACTGAACAACGTTAGCAGAGTGATTGCCAGCGAGTTGCGGTCCTTTCAAAGTTGCTAGTTCACAGGATGATTTCTTTGTGCGTTTGTCCCGAGTCCTTTTTTTCACACAATATCTAAAAGAGCTTCCGTAGCTCGACGAACCGAACATTATGATCTATCAAATGCAACTGAAAAGAAAAAACAGATAATGTCATATACAAAGGGAAATGGAAATTAATAGTTTAAAAAGAAATACCACCCTCGAATATTTTCTCACAGTCTACCTTGAGCTCTATCCGCAACAGCGTAAAACTTGTGGCTTCATGCCAGAGAGATGACACTACCTTGTATGGAGTGTTCTAAGATGTCATTAGTGGCATGAAGCTGCAAAGTCGCCATCGAAAGCTTTGACTCGCGCATTAAGCTTTACACTTAGGCTAGTCGTGTTGCGAAACCACTTCTGTATCTCCTTGGCCTTGTCGAGAGCTGCTTGTGCAGCGATACCATCAAGATGGAATCGCCTGCGGATATCTAGCTTTACGATCGGATGAACAGCAACAAACCCTTCATCATCGATCATGAGGCAATTTGAAGACGGGTCAAATAGTCTAAAAAATGTTAGCTTGATTTTCCACGGGCTGAATCATTGTAAGGCAGGCATGTATAGACGTACGATTTTAATTCTTCATAAATCTCTGCTGGCCACATTGTAAGAGGCGTCGGGAGGTCGAGTATAACCAGTGCGCCTAATTCAGGCAATGTACTTGGATCCAGATTGAATAAGGCTTGATCTAGAGCCTCGCGCGGTAGCCTCTCATATGGCCAAGATGGTAGATCCTCGGAAACTTGCCTATGGTCTAAGGACCATATATCTGGAGCAGAAATGTTGCATCCATTTAGGGCATTGATAGCATCAAAGCTCGTTAAATCGTCGTATATAAGTAGCCACCCATTATCTATGTGTGTTAGACATTATTGATTTGAAAGGGAGGTGTTTTGATTGCACTCACGGGTAGCTAGCCACTGCTTGGCCAAGTTACCGAGATCCTTACCATGCATCCCGGGCTCGACATCTAGCCTCAATATCCTCGCAATCTCGTCAAGCGACTCTTTCAGCTTGATTGGTGTTTCGGCATTGAGCCAAAAGACCGGCCCCTCCCATTGGCAGGCGATCTCGAGGGCGAGCTGCGTCTTCCCTACCCCAAACATGCCATGTATAACGCAGACTCGAATGTTGCAATCTGACGCCATGTGCCCGGTACTCAAATGATGCTGCGCTTTAACAATCTCCTCATCCCTAGAGTAATACTTGACTCGTCGATTTAGCGGTAGCATCTTTGCATCAGGCCAGCCTTTGTGCTCTTGCATCATGTACCATTTCGATGGACCTTGGAAGGCCGCCATTGTCTGAATCTCGCAACGTATTGCGTGGTTTCTCTGGTGCCTTGCGTGGTCTTCCTGGCGCCTTGAGTGGTCTTCCTGGCGCCTTGCGTGGCCTCTCTGGTGCTTTGCGTAAGAGACTTCTCTCTTGACGATCTTGAAGCATTCCATTAGGTCGTCCATGACTTTTTCCATGTCGCGAGACTTTTTCCCACCCCAAAAGAAACCACGGAAAAAATTAGCTAGAACAAATGGATTAGTAAAAGAATGTTACGCCCTTCGTGTGTCAAACTTGTCATACCGGACGCAGACTTTTCCAGGAAATTTGCTGCGCGAATACATGTGTCCAAGTAGGCCATGTACATACTAACGAGAGCCTTATCGAGACGAGGATACCTTATGAAATCTTTTGAATATTCGATAAATAGCGACAGGGTATGCGTACGAGTGCCAATGAGCTTCGCAATATGTCCCAGGATCTTGTATGAATGCCCAGCGCACTTCGGCAAAGTTAGCCAAGTTGACACCCGCCATGGAGGTAAAGAGCTCAGTTCAAAACTTACTTCCAAAATTAATTGGATTACACCCCAGGTGATTGAAAGTCCCAGTGCATTCTTGGTGAGGGTATTAAGACCATCTGTGTATGCCTTGAGCCCCTCAACGACTGGTTTAATGGCGTTCATGAATTTGCTGCCGCGCTTCTTCTCGTATTTCTCTTTCAGATGATTGATATAGATCTTGCAGGTGTCGGCCGTCAGTTCTTGTTCCAGGCGCCGTCGATTCTCGTCACTGATTGGGGTATCGTGTTCTTCCTGGAGCTTATGGTCTCAGTTACGCTGATTTTGCGATAAGCACATCCAACCTTCCATGCAACTTATGGTTCCCCTGTGCCAAAGAAATGACGAAGAGCAATAGGCAAATGCGAAATGCGATGGCAATTGCATAGAAAGTTGACAAAAAAAAAACGGCAAGTATAACATTCGCGCGCATCTAAACTGCCTGGCGTATCTTCCGTCCATTTCTCTAGCTTAAATCTCTTAGCTTAATAAAGTCTCTTTACAAGAAATGTGTGAAGTGAATTATAGATGAATGCTCAGTCAGGCGGGTAGTGTTAATTTGGTGAGAAAGGTTTGCTCGGAACTGTCGTCTGCGTCTGACTCCCGGCACCCACTGCTACCATATATCTATTATTGGCTCGTTGTTCGCATCTTACGCTCTACATAGAACAGTTTACTTGTTTTCACTACGAATGGAAGCCCGTGCATTTAGTTCCATACGTTGGCCAATACACCCCTGGCTCGCGTTTGAGGATATCTGTTTGATGGACCAACGGATTGGCCTGAGATCAAAAGGCCCCGGAGACAATGTAATGTGAATCGGGAATGTAGTTTCGCGCTATTTGTCTCTGAAGTAAACACTGGCAGTCGATGTACTATTCGCAGCTTATGCGGACACGCTTTCTCTTCCAGACCTTTACCCGCGAGCTTGGTAAATTACCTTTCGTATCACGAGAGGTCCCTAGATGTCAAGATTACAGATGACAAAATACATGGATGGACAAACACATTCTGCAGTAGTATGATGACAGCGTCTGGTACTCTAACTGCCTTCTAGATATGTCTATTCTAAATCATCTTAAGTTTGTATTGATTGAGCTCTATTCACGAAGAAAATGTGTATGCTACAGGCCGCTGATGTACTAGAATCTGGGAGCGTTTGTAGAATCAATTCTTGTAATCATCATATTCCACAGCATCTTGGTGAATAATGGTGTGTTTAAAACGTGTAAAGGTGAGTTTGCCGCATTTGCAGTCTACGGTAATAGGTGGGTATCTAAGGCAGCTCAAACAGTTGAAGTTACAGTAGCATACAGGATCTAAATAGATCACTGAGGTGATGTGACTTGGACATAGTATTGTTAAGATTCTGGTCGGCTTATTCTCCCGTTCATTGCCTGCTCAGATTATTGATGCAAGGTTGGCTGATACTCTCCAATGTAGAACATCTACAACAGCCTGATATTACATCCCGCATAGCTATCGCCAGAGCCTCTAGTACAAGGTAAGACCCCGCACCCGGGTGTATATGGGTAGCTTTCACTAGCCGAGTGAATGGCACTCGTATAACTTCAATAATATTCGATAGGCTAGATATTATCAAGTCAGGCGTATGAAAAAGGAGTTTACTTTTCACTCTAGATATTGCCACCAATTTTCATAAGTGTCCCGACACTCCTAGCGCTTATAGCTGTCCATAAAAGGTGGGCGATGCACATGTAGTACGATTATTTCACTGGAAGCGGAATACACTTTCGTGCTGCCATGATGTTGATAGCAAGAGCATAATATGGACATGATCGTGTGTTCATTACATGCCCTCAATGCATCGTGAATATGTCTGTGCTAAGGTAGGAGAGTCGATGTATAGTCTACAAGCTCCTTCTGATACATCAAGTAGAGGCTCTATTGTGGTGAGATTACTGAAGCTTTTGTCGCTGCCACCTCTCGCGATGCAGTGCGTGAATCTCCTGATCCAACCCAGGAATTGGCCCTTCAACCGGTACATGTGGACCTACATCGTTTATTGGAAGACCTGCAACAGCGCCCCGTTTGACGTTTGCCTCGTCCATCCACCTCTCGTACTGTTCCGTGGAAGAAATGTACACAATGCGGCCCAAGCCGACGTACGCATGCGCCGCCGCACACATGGCGCAGTGTTCTCCCGACGTATACACGGTAGCAGACGCTCGATCCTCTAGCGCTAGGTTTTGCTGTGCCCATCGCGCGATAGTAAACTCAGGATGCAGTGTTGCATCGGCCTTTAAATCTCCCTTTTCGCCTGTGACGGTGCGATTGCGATCTTGGTGGATAATCTTGTCGTTTCGATCTACTAGGACGGACCCGAATGGGGAGTCGCCCGCCTCAAGAGCTTCGCGAGCGAGATTGACGCAAAGTCGAAGAGCCTCCTGGTTATGTGATTGTGCCATTTCTTCTTAAATAGAAATGTGGTTTGACGAATCCTGTGAGCGAAGAAGCTAAAAGTGAAGTTGGACTTGAAGGCATAACATTTGAGTTGACGGAAAAAGGCTCAGACGTTGTAGTCGCTGTGGGCCCTATAGCTAGGTTTACACTGCTCCGTACTGCCTATGTATGACGCTGACGAATGATGTTTGTGGCGTTTGCAAAATATCCATGGATCTTAATTTCTTCTCTATGAGTCTAATGGTAGTCTAATTACCATCGGAGCCGTCCCCCAGCCGAGCTCCAGAGACGAAAGTAATGGGCCACAACGGCTGTCGTAATTTTATCTTGATTTAGCGGTGTCGCTGAGATAAATTGCAATGCGCGTGACAACAGAACAAGTTAAACAAAGCAGTGTTGGTAATAGATGCTTCTTGATAATTTGAATTTTAGCCTCTCTTGCAGTACACGGCCGGACTAATAGTGCTTAGTGAACTGCGGATTACTGCGTCACGCTGGATAACCCTGCATTGTGAACAACAAAAATGCCAGGCCACTAATTTATCTTAATGATGAAAATTAACGTAGATATTACTTACTACACGATTGAGCTATTTTCTCGTCTTGAACATAGGTTCTACAAGGCTATACTATCGTCACACAGATTATGCGGTTGTTGCTTTATTCTTTGGAAACAGTGATCGAATTTAAGTGGGCAGTTGATCTCATCATATGTATAACTACCATGACGAAGCAGTCATCTATCGCCTACATAGCTAGCCTCATGTTTTTGCCCTACGAGACGAATGCCGCTGTACGCGATAAGCAACATAGGAAGATGCTTCAAATATGTGATCACGCCGTTGATAATTAACAAACTCATGGTGTTTCTGCTATACTTTCCCTTTCGGGCTACAAAGACTAAAAGAGTAACACGGATATAGTGGTACCCCCGCTGCGGGGCTGTAGCGCCCTGGTTAGTGCATATCAGCTTCCCCTCGACATTCGAGATCTGGAGAGGGCAGGCCACGACGAATCTGGCTGACTGCCCAACTTACGTCAGTCCTCTCGTCAAGCGCTGCTTCACACGGACGCCATCGTTATTGGCCGTCATCGGAAGCCTCCCCACTCTTTGCCAGCGCCCTCTGGTAGCATGAATGTCTTCGAATCAGATGTGTCTGTGGCGTCAGTGCCTGACCTGGCCGTAAAGCAGTATAAAAGCCCATGAGAAACGAGATCCGAGATCTGGGAATTGGAAAGCTTCCATCCACTTACACTGCGAATGTAAGGATCCAGTTGCCTCACTCGCCCCCTAATTGTCACAAGACTCTAGAGCATCATTGTTTCTTTGTTATTCTACTTGTGCAACCCGTTACAATGGCACCTCCCACTGCCACTGCCACCTTGGAAGAAGAACAGCAGCAGACTGTCATCAAGATGAACGCTGCCGCTGTCGCCCCGGAGGAGGAAGAAATGGAATCCCAGCTCTCCAGCCTGAGCCGTGGCCCCAATCCTCTACAAGGTACCATTTTCTGCATCTACATCATTATTTCTACATTATCTGAAAAGCCTTGGCCTGCCTGTGCCCCATCGATATCCATCTTCATCCCCATTCAGAAATCATGTGATTGCTATCAACTTTTTGACCCAAGCGCCCATCTACTCATCATTATTTAGCCTATCTTCCAAGTATAGGACAGGGAGGCCTCTGCTAACCGCCGGTGTGCCAGGCATTCCTACTTTTCCCTCCTTTCACGAGCACCGTAAGCACATTGTGTTGCATATGGCCGCCGTTTTCCGCAACTGGGCTCGCCATGGTTACACGGAGGGTATCTCTGGCCACGTTTCTGTCCGCGACCCAGAATTTCCCGGTCTTATCTGGATGAATCCTATTGGCAAACACTTTGCTCTCATGAATGGCAGTGATATGCTCTGCCTAAGAATCAGCGATGGTGAAATCGTTGGCGGTAATAGAGTAAGTCCTTAATCGGCGCAGCATTCGTGTCCGCTCGCTTGAAGTGTTAGGGCTAATTTGACGCCTTCAGTCCCGTCCTGTTAACAACCCAGGCTTCTATATTCACTCCGAGGTACACAAAGCACGCCATAATATCCACGCCATCTGCCATGCCCACACCATCGCCGGACGTGCTTGGTGTGCCTTTGGCAAGCCACTTGAAATGATTACTCAAGACATTTGCGACCTCTACGGAGTGCTTGCTGTGGATACTGAATATGCAGGAATCGTTACTGCTGAGCAAGAGGGGAGGCAGATTGCCAAGGCTCTTGGACCCAAGGGCAAAGCTGCCCTGCTGATCAATCACGGTATCATCACTGTGGGACAGACTGTTGACGAGGCTTCTTTTTTGCTGGGCTTAGTGGAGCGCAGCTGCGAGATCCAGCTCAAGGTTGAAGCTGCTTGTGCCGGCAATCCCAACTTGAAGAAGAGTATTATCCCCCATGAGCTGGCAATGAACAATTATAAGATGGCGGGCGAGAAGCACTGGCTTTATGAGGAAGCACAGCCCGACATCCAACTCGAGATTGAGCTTGCGGGAGAGGTCATCTCGCGGGGCTTGGATGATGTGAAGATTGATACCCCATAAAGATGGCAGAGAAAGCCGACCTCTTTTTCTTCTACGTATGATTCAGATACAGTTTGCTCTGAATATCCATCTTGTGAAACTCGTGGATAGATGTTTGGGCATGTGTGAGAATACTCCATACAATATATGCGATTTTTGATCACAATCTAAAGTGTACTTTGTACGAGACCTCTCTTTAGGCGTCGGATATAGACTGTTGTCCATAAGATGGGCTCTTTCCGGCCACAACCTTGTCTCTGCAGAGCGATTGGTTAGTGATATTCTAATTTGTGTTGGACAAGAACCTCCTCGCATGACAACGCATGGGTCATAGTTGACAGGGAGAGGCGCGACATTTAGAGGGGCACTCTAGATCAGCATTCTCAAGGGATGCGCTTGATCATCTTTCAGAAGCTCGTCAGCCCTTTTGATAGCACAAATTTCGTAATTTGTCTGAGATGTAGAAGCGCTATTAGTCGCAGAAATAGCGTGGCTTAGCTAGCTATGCTGGAGCAGTCATATCCATTTTGGAAATAGCTAGACACAGAAGTGAGAAGGGAGCGACTATTAATGGATGGAAAGTGTTTTATGGTTCTCTTTTATTCTTTTCGACGTCTGTAATGTTCGCAATTGTCGACTGCTGACTTCTCGTTGTAAAATTTTGTCCTCGCTTGCATTATCCACCAAATATTGTCTGCTACTTGGCCAATATGCCATTCACAACTCCCTCATACATTCCCAAGCTTCCTTTCGATCCCCCGGACTCTGTTCCAATCCATGAATTTCTGTTCAGTGGTGGAGACGAGTATGGGCGTTACCCAATCGTGGATTCTTTACCGCCATTTACTTGTGGCATCACTGGAAAATCTCACTCTGCCGCTAATGTCAAGGACCGTATAGAATGGCTTTCGGCTGCTCTCGCATCAGAATTGGGCTTTGATGTCAATAATGGGAGCGAGTTTGACAAAGTCATAGGACTGTTTAGCTTCAATACAGTATGTATTTGGAATTTAGATAGCTCGTTCACCGACTGACGTGTAAGCGCATCAATTAGATCGATACTATGCTCGTCTCATGGGCAGCACATCGATTCTCGGGAATTTCATCACCGATCAGCCCCTCATATTCGACAGCCGAGCTCACGAGACAACTCAAAGCGGTCAAATGCAAAGCACTTTTCACATGTGCTACACTATTTCCCACAGCCCTCGAGGCGGCTCTCGCGGCGGGCATTCCCAAGGCTCATGTATACTTGCTGGAGATCCCCGAGAAAGCGCTGAAAGGCGCCAATGTGCCATCGGATATCAAGTCGGTTTACCACCTTGTTGCCGAAGGGAAATAGCTGGCTCCTCTTCCACAGTTGAATTGGCCACAGGGTCAAGGTGCCCGTCAGGCGGCCTTCTTATGCTCTTCCAGTGGAACATCTGGGCTGCCAGTGAGTATTTTGTCCTTGCTATTGACGCTATTTCACATAAAATCTTGGTAAATCTAGCATATGTCGCCTAGAAAAATGTTATGATCTCACATAGAAATATTATCGCAGATACGCTGCAACTCAGTATATACGAATCAAACTACAAAAGTGGAAAGCCAGAGTCTTTACTTGCTGTACTCCCCATGAGCCACAGTTACGCCCTGATTGTTACAGGGCATGCTGGAGTGTATAGGGGCTACAATGCAGTTGTGTTGCCAGGGTTTGACCTCATTGATGTGCTCGAAGCAGTACAGAAGCAGCACATAGAAACGCTTTGGATGGTAAGGACGGATCCATCTCTGTTACCATCCATTTGGAATGAAAGCATGCTATAAACTGGGCTAACATGTGAACAATAAGGTTCCCCCGATGGTCGTGGCCTTGATTAAGAACTCAGAGATTACTGAGAAATACAATCTCAAACACGTCAAAAGTACTATAGTTGGCGCATCAAATCTCACAAAGGAGGTCAATGAACAGTTTACTCACCTTTTCCCTAACTGCCAACTTATCCAGGGGTATGGCCTCACCGAAACTTCAGTAGTAGTTTCCATGCAAAACAGAGCAGATATCATGTTTGGCTCTTGTGGCCACTTTATTCCAGGCTACGAGGGCCGACTGGTGGATCGAGATGGCGAGGAAGTGACGGAGCTAGACACGCCTGGAGAGCTTCTTTTGCGATCGCCAACAATAATGCTGGGATATCTCGATAATGAAAAAGAGACAAAAGAAGCATTTACGAGTGACAAGTGGCTACGAACCGGTGACTTGATGGAAATCCGTAAAAGCAACGATGGTCATGAACATCTTTTCATCGTCGATCGAGTCAAAGAGCTCATCAAAGTTAGGGTGAGTGAACTACCGTTACCAGAACCTGTCTCGAAACCAATCTACGTTTGGTTCGGATACTAATTCTTTTTTTTTGTTCAGGGTATGCAAGTTTCTCCGACCGAGATCGAAGCTCTTCTTTCTAGTCATCCGTGTGTCGCAGATGTCTGTGTCGTTCCACTTCCTCACGACATCGCTGGCGAACTGCCACTCGCGTTTATCGTGCGGACACCAGCCGGCAAAGAAGAGGACGAGCGCGCACTGAAACAGAAGCTCCACGAATTTGTTAATGCAGAGCTGGCAGACTACAAGCACCTAGCTGGAGGTATCGAATTCCTTGATCTGCTACCCAAGTCTGCGAGCGGAAAGACCAAGAGGGGAGAGATGAAGGAAAGAGCTAGAAAGATGGCTGATTTGAGCAAGGCGAAGAACACACCCAGAGTGCTACAAGTCTATGTATATGAGACGTCTTCTGACGATGATAGTGATGATGACGAGTGAACATCTTATGATTTACAGTTTACTATATGGTAGGCTAAAAAAGGAGGTATAGTAGTTAGTTCTAAATTAAAATGCCTCTTCTGGAAGCTTCCTCTTTACAATTTTTTATCTCGGTCAGCGCTCATACAAAATTGTCGGGCGTTGGAAGTTTCATGCCAACATGACCCCATATATTGGAGAGGGACGATGATGTCAACGTACGATTTTCACAAGTTTTTGTTCAGACATGAGACATTTCAGCGGTATCGTAGCATTACCTCTGGTGGATTGCGTGTTCCAGTCGTGATACCCACAAGAGACAGCTGTAGGAAGACCCAGACCACCTTTATCTTGAGACTTATTACAAACGAGGCTGCCTAGAAGCCAAGCAATATTCTTAAAAGTCGGCTAGAGATTCCTTATTACTGGACGCAGCCCTTCATGTATGAGGATCTACAGAGCCAAAAGTATAGAGAACGCTTTGGTCAATAGTTGAGCTATCATTGAATCCTATCCTGCTAAGTGCAGTATTGTTACTATAATGTGCAGCTAGCATCAAAGCCGTACATGGCAATATTTCTGGTTCTTTTCGCGCCGCAAAGAAAGCAAAGTTTTCTACAGAGCTTTGTCCAATGTTACGATGAGAAGTATTCGAATCAATAATACGTTAGTGCAATAGACATAATAATTAATAATGAAATTCTTTCTTCGTTTCATTTCGCGTAAAATTGCTGTTGCATGTGCAGCTCTCTCCCTTGCATCATATACGAGTGTGTGTGCTTCAAATGACCTGCTGATCCTCTTCCCCAGTCTGCTCACAACGTTTCATACATATGCCCCTCCATTAGCAGGTGGCTTTTATGAGAGAATACAAATCCTCTGCAGACATCCAAAATGCTTGGATGAGAAGCATTGTGGCGCGGATGGCGCATTGCGCTTGACATCCTCTCAGACAGAATGATGGAATGCGACATTCATCACGCCAATCAATATCATCATCGGTGAACTTGCATCATGCTTCACTTCCCCTCTGATTCCTGTCATATTTTGTTTGATGCATGTGCGAACACAACTTGACCGGTTATGGGGGCAGGCTTCTGACATCGGCGATAAAGATGCGCTTCGGGCTGCCGTCGAGCTATCAAATCGATGGGCTGATAGTCTATACTTGGATCTGGATAACCTGGGTTAACAAGATTGCTTTTAGTTATAAGTATTTGAGACTTACTAAAAGACACTAAATTGTAAGTGTATATAAAATTAAACCCAGATGGAGCCTTTTGTATAATATTACACTTATATGCTGTATACTAGGGAGAATATCCGGTGTTATCCGCCGTAGGTGGACTGCATTGGCCAGGGAGAAGTGAGACGCGAAATCAAGTGTCTCAAACTATTGAACTGCCAATCACTTGAATGGGGGAATAATGCTAGTATGGAAACGGAGAAAGCGTCTCCAACAAGAAGCAAACCAAGGGGATGTACGGCAGAATTACGCTTTCTCGCTAGTACGATCCCTTTTTGGTTCAAATTGCGATATGGGCAATTATATCTAGGGCAAAAAAAGAAAGGAAAAAGAAAGGCCACCCTGTATCTCAATTTTTAACAGCAAAGTTATTCCTGTCTATCTTCGCTTGCTTCCTTCGGGGCTGACTATATCCTCTGCAACGGCAGAAAATCTTCTCAAGACGTTGTACACTTACTGAAACTTACGGAGCAGAGAGCGGAAATATCATGAAAAATAACAGAATCGAATGATAGAATAACGGCTATGATTGTGTGTTAAGCCCTGAAAGAGCTCAAGCATATCAACGGCGACAGCACACGAAGTCGTAATAAAATACTCGCAATGGAGCCTCTCGATGATGCGCCGCCACCAATCGCGATAGTCGGAATAGGTTTGAAACTCCCAGGCGGTATCACGACAACGGAACAATATTGGGATCTTCTCATAAACAAAAGGAGTACGCAGACACAGGTCCCGGATAACCGATATGGCGCGCACGCCTTCGAAAGCAAATTAGGGACACCGGGCACGCTGAAAAGCACATACGGACATTATTTGGAAGGCGACCTAGAGAAATGGGATGCATCATTTTTCTCTATGAGTAAGAATGAAGTTGAGAAGCTTGATCCACAGCATAGGCTGCTGCTTGAGGTCATATGGGAGTGCATGGAGGCTGGTGGACAGAAGCGTTGGCGTGGCCGCAATATTGGCTGCTATGTTGGTGTATTTGGCGAAGATTGGCTGGATCTATATGCCAAAGATCCTCAGCATTTAGGAACGCACCGAATCTTGACTGGAGGTGATTTTGCCTTGTCAAACCGGGCTTCTTACGAATATGATTTGAAAGGACCCAGGTATGTGTAGAGTAAGACGTTCCTACCAAGGGTTGTTCCAAACATTAACATGGAAATAGCATGACTATCCGCACTGCGTGCTCGTCTTCACTTGTCACACTCCATGAAGCCTGCCAAGCCATCTATACTGGAGAGTGTGAATCCGCCATTGTCGCTGGAACTAGCCTTTTTCTTTCGCCTACTATGACTATCGCCTTGTCTGAATAGGGGGTCCTCTCACCAACGGGATCATGCAAAACGTTTGATGCCAAAGCAGACGGCTATGCTCGCGGTGAGGCAATCAATGCCATCTTCATCAAAAAGCTGGAGGACGCTATTCGCGATGGAGATCCGATCCGCGGTGTTATCAGAGGCACAGCCACCAATTTTGACGGCAAGACTATTGGGATTACTAACCCCAATCAAGAGGCTCATGTAGCTCTCATGCGTCGAGCCTATGAAGTGGCTAAAATATTTAATATTAGCGACACTGCGTTTGTTGAGTGCCATGGGACAGGAACACAAGTTGGTGATCCCATGGAGACCGGGGCCGTTGGCCGAGTGTTTGGCAGTCGAGGCACATATATTGGATCTGTACGTGTTTTTCCAACCACAAAGTTACTAGCAAGACATTTATACACGACAGGCTAACATAATCGTTTCCAGGTGAAACCAAATATTGGCCATGGAGAAGGTGCTTCCGGCTTGAGTAGTTTGATCAAGGCTGTATTATGCCTGGAACATGAGACTATTCCGCCACAAGTAAACTTCTCCAACCCCAATCCAAAAAGTAAGGGCTTACGCTGATACCTCAGTTCAACAATGCTGACAATATATACAGTCAAATGGGACAAATACAATTTGAGAGTTCCAACGGAGCCCACGTCATGGCCAAAGGACCGCTTACAGCGTGTATCCGTAAACTGCTTCGGTGTGGGGGAAGCCAATGCTCATGCAAGTCCTGCCCGTTTAATTCTTTAGTTGCACCCACTAACAGCATAACAGGTAATCATTGATTCAGCAAAGTCCTACATCTCACAAGAAGAGGCGCTGCTGGACACTGGCCCTCAATTGCTCGTGTTCTCTGCCCACCAAAGTGTCTCCTTGAAAGAGAGAGCCGCCGCTGTATTTAATTACGCAAAACAGCATCATGGCCAATTGGCAAACGTCGCATATACTCTAGGATGCAGAAGAGACAACTTGGCTCAGCGTGCCTTTGCCGTCTACGATGGTGTTAATACTCCTGAGCTCTCTCCTATTGTCAAACCTAAAGACTCCCCTCGGGTCAATTTTGTCTTTACTGGGCAAGGCGCACAATGGGCGAGAATGGGAGCCGATATTCTTTCTCCATATCCCATATTTCGTGACGCCATCCATGCAATGGATGCTGCTCTTATGAACCTGCCTCATCCCCCCAAGTGGACAATAGAAGAGGAGCTCATGCGCCCTGCGGAAGAAAGCAAGATCCAACAGCCGGAATTTTCACAGCCAATATGCACCGCGCTTCAAATAGGCCTTGTGAACCTACTAAAAGGCTGGGGAATCACTCCTGCAGCTGTGGTCGGCCACTCTAGTGGCGAGATGGGAGCTGCATATGCAGCCGGCGCCCTGACTCTAGAGGAAGCCATCATTATTGCTTACTATCGCGGTCAAGTCACTCAAAATTACGGTCGAGTTGGTGCAATGGCAGCCGTTGGCCTTGGCCGCGAAGCTGTCGTCACGTATCTTCGAGAAGGGGTTGTTATTGCTTGCGAAAATAGCCCCAAAAGCGTCACACTATCAGGAGACGTTGAACGCCTGGACGAAGTCGTTGCTCTCATAAAGGAAGATTTACCAGAAACCTTTGCTCGCAAGCTGAGAGTTGAGAGAGCCTATCATTCGCACCACATGTGTGAAATTGGTGGTATGTACGAGAAGCTGTTAGATGGTCTTGTGAAGGATAAAAAGCCTTCCGTTCCTTTCTTTTCTAGCGTTACCGAAAAGCAAATCAAGGGATCTGGTCAACTGGGACCATCCTATTGGAGGCATAATTTGAAAAATCCAGTATTATTTTCTCCGGCAGTGCAGCTCATGATGCATTCCGCCGTGGAAGATGCAGTGTACCTAGAGGTTGGTCCTCACGCTGCTCTATCTGGTCCCCTACGAGACATCTTCAAATCCGTCCAGATTTCAACTGCATCTACTTATGTTCCCACTCTAATTCGAAATGAAAACGGCCCCAAATCAATACTCAGCTCCCTTGGGCGACTCTACCAGGAGGCTGTCCCTGTTAATCTTGCTGCCACAACAGCAGGTCGCACCGTTCTAACAGATCTTCCCAGCTATGCATGGCAACACGACACTGCTTATTGGTATGAGAGCCGAGTTTCGCGCGATTGGCGCCTTCGCAAATTCCCTCCTCATGAACTGCTTGGAAACCGTATCTTGGAGTCTGACGACTTGGAACCTACTTGGAGGAACATGCTCCGTTTGGATGATGCTCCCTGGGCTCGAGATCATAGGATTCAGGACGATATTGTTCTACCTGCTGCAGCTTATGTCGCCATGGCTATAGAGGCTCTGAGACAGCTCAATGGCGGTGGCGAGATAGATGCATCTCTGAAGCAAGTGGAGATCCAAAATGCGTTAATTCTGAAAGAGCAGCAAGCACACGAGATTATAACACACTTTCGTCCTGTCCGCATAACTTCTAAACTCAGTTCTATATGGTATGAGTTTTCTATTTTATCGTTCAATGGCGCCTCTTGGACGAAGCACTGCGTGGGCAAAGTGAGATCGGGCAAAGAAATCAGCGCTGGTAGTGAGGATGTTGGACAGCAACCGCGTCAAGTTTCTACTACTGGATGGTATCGTGTCATGAAGAAAGTAGGGCTGAACTATGGACCCGAGTTTCAGGGCTTATCCGGCATTTCAGTCTATCCTGGACGCCGTGCTGCTGCTGCCACGATCAAAAATCGTGACCCAATGCTTGGTCCTTACTATCCCCTGCATCCCAGCGTCATAGATCTTGTGCTCCAGGCGTTTACTGTTGCAATTGCCGACGGATTGACTCGACAACTCGGCCAGCTTTGTGTGCCATCGTACATTGATGAGCTATACATTAGCAATGGCCAGCCTGAGATGCGGCTTGGCACTGCTGCTATATCAAGCGCAACTGGGGCAATTCGCGGCTCAGCCACTATTATGGCTGATAAAAAGGTGGTTTTGAGCTTGCGAAATGGAGAGTTCAGTCCTCTGGAAACAGGTGATGAAGATAAGACCGGCCCTATGCCAGCTGCTCATCTGCACTGGAAGCCTCATGTTGATTTCATTTCGCCAAATAATCTCATCTATACAGTACAACCTCTGCCAGATGTAGATGAAGTGGCAAACATTGAGAAACTGGCTCTTTTATACCAGCTATCTATACTCCAACATATTGAACAAGCACAGGTTACCCAGAGCTATGCATGCTTCAACGAATGGCTCATTAAGCAAAGAGCAAAAGCTCTTGAAGGCAAATATGCAAATGTGCCAGATAGCGCGCATCTCGCTCAACTTAGCCCAATAAAGGCCAAGGCCGATATTGAACATACAAAAGAATATCTTTTGCAAACTGGCTGCGCCAGGGTCGCTACCGTTCTTCATCAGCTTGCCATGGGTGCAGAGGCTATCTTCCGGGGCGAGCAGAACATGAATGATGTGCTCGAAGACGTTGGTGGCTTGCATAGCCTATATAACTTCATTGACAGCCGAAGCGACTTCTCACCTCTCTTTAGCACGCTTGCTCATGCCAATCCAACAATGAGAGTGCTAGAACTTGGAATTGGAGCCTCTGGTGTTTCCGTAAAGGCATTGGAAGCCCTCGTTAGCTCAGCTGGTGAGAATTACTACAGCACGTATTTCTACACAGCTCGCGATGAGAGATCTCTCGATATTGCCAGACAGAAGCTAAAAGGATATGAGAATGTAGAGTTCAAAACTCTTGATCTCGCCAAAGATCTCACATCGCAAGATTTTGAACTTGCATCTTTCGACCTCATCATTGCTACTAGAGCTTTTTATCGCTGTTCTAACATTGAGGGCTCTCTCAAAAATGTTCGCAAACTCATCAAGCCAAATGGCCGACTACTTATTCAGGAGGTATTGCCTAATGCAAACTTTTACAACTTTATAATGTGCTTCTATTCTGGACAATGGGAGGTAAAGGAAGGCGACTGTAAGGATGAGGACTTGTTCGAGGCATATCAGTGGGATAGTCTCCTTATAGAAGCTGGATTCTCTGGCAGTGAAGGCTTGACTATGGACAAAGACAACATCATCATGGATATTCTTACCACGGCAGCTATGCAACCACAGAACTACGGGAAGGTCACTCTTCTTGGCCATAGCGAATCCGAAGATCATACACAGTGTCTCTCCGAACTTCTCAGTTCACAGGGGTATGAGGTTGGGTTTCGCACGCTCACCCAAGAGCCAGATCCAGATGCAGATGTCATATCTCTACTAGATCTGCATGACACAATGTTCTTTGAGATGAGTGAAAACGCATTTAATGCATGGCAGCGTTACATTGGAAAGTTTCCTGCTGGAAAGGGACTATTATGGGTGACTGGTCACGCCCAGGTTGGGTCACAAGATCCACGATACGCCACTACAATTGGGGCAACTCGCAATATCAGATCTGAGCTCTCACTGGATTTTGCGACACTTGAGTTAGACTTGGATAAATTTGATGCGGAAGCAGTTCTGAGTGTCTTCAAAAGGTTCCGCAATAGGGTCAAAGACGATGAGTTTGATCCTGATTGGGAGTATGCCATTGTCAATGGCAGTGTCATGGTCCCGAGATATCAGTGGATAAATGCCGAAGAGCTCAGCAGCAAAGAAGCGCATGTCGAGTTCAACTCTCCGAAGAAACTAGAAATTGCACGCATGGGCCAACTTCAGACTTTACGGTGGATAGAGGATGAAATCATCCCGCTGCAAGCTGATCAAGTGGAGATTGAGCCCCGTGCCGTCGGTATGAACTTTAAAGACATTCTTGTTGCTATGGGTATTGTTGAAGGCTACAAACCGGGTCTCGGTATTGAGTGTTCTGGCATCATCCGCAAAGTTGGTGGTGGCGTCAAAGGCTTGTTACCTGGAGATCGAGTCATGGCTATCGGCCACGGATGTTTTACAACAAACTTCATTTCCGACGCGAGCCTTGTGGCCAAGATACCCAGTGATCTTAGCTTTGAGGAGGCGGCTACAGTTCCGTGTGTTTATGCTACAGCAATTCATGCTCTTATTAACCTTGGTGGGCTTCGTCAAGGCATGTCGGTTCTCGTTCATTCAGCTTGTGGCGGCGTTGGAATAGCAGCACTTAACATCTGTGAAATTCTGGGTGCTGAGATCTACGCCACTGTTGGAAATGCTGAAAAAGTTCAATATCTAGTAGATAACTTTGGCATCCCTCGCCAAAACATCTTCAACTCCCGCGATTCCTCGTTCTACGAGAGTATAATGGAAGCCACTAATGGCAGAGGTGTCGACTTGGTGCTTGATTCTTTGTCGGGAGAGCTTCTTCACGCATCATGGAAATGCGTTGCCCCATTCGGCAAGATGCTTGAGATTGGTAAACGCGATTTCATCGGCCGAGGACAGCTTGGCATGGAGATATTTGAGTCAAATCGGTCGTTTCATGGCATCGATATGTCCCAAATGGCCGTGGAAAGACCGGACATGTGCAAAGAAATTCTACAGCAGTTCAACAAGTACTACGAGCAAGGCGCCATCAAGCCTATATCACCTATGAAGCGCTTCGAGGCAACTGATATTATCGAGGCCTTTCGATATATGCAGAAGGGGCAGCATGTTGGTAAGATTGTAGTCTCCATGCCAACAGATGGATCCAAATTACAAGTTGCGGCAAAACCTCGTACAGCAAAGTTCAAAAGCGACAAAACCTACCTGTTGGTCGGTGGCCTTGGGGGCATAGGCAAATCTGTCTCTAACTGGATGGTACAAAACGGCGCTTGATATATAATGTACTTGTCTCGATCGGCTGGAGAATCTGACCAAGACAAGAGATTTGTCCAAGAAATTGAAGCGCAAGGATGTGCGGTGCAGGCTATTAAGGGGAGCGTTACGAGCTTGCAAGATGTTTGTCAAGCAGTGAAGCAGGCAATGAAGCCGATCGCAGGCGTCTTCTTGATGACAATGATTCTAAGAGTAAGTCGTGTGCATATAGCCTTCGCGTATGACCTCATTTATTAACATATTTGCATAGGATCGTGGCATCTTACAACTCTCTCACGATGACTGGTTCACAGCGGCTGGACCCAAAGTTGACGGCGCCATCAATCTTCACCAAGCTCTAGAACATTGCGATTTGGACTTCTTCACCTTATTCAGTTCCATATCTTACGTTGTGGGACAAGTGGGCCAAGCAAACTACTCGGCAGCCAACGCATATCTAACAGCATTCACTCAATTTCGCCACGAGCAGGGACTCCCAGCGGATGTACTAAACGTCGGAGTTGTAGACGACGTAGGATATGTCGTTGAGAATCCAGCTCTGCTTGACCAATTTCGCGCCCTGAGCTTCTACACTCTTGAAGAAAATGAGCTACTCGAGGGCCTGACGTATACGTTATCTCACCAGCACCCTGCACCCTCTTCTTCGGACGATGGCTTCTACAATCCGTCTGAGCTTGCTATTGGTCTCAAGAGCACGAAGCTACTGTCTGATCCTTCTAATCGCTGTATTTGGAAGCGTGACCGACGCATGGCCCAGGCACATCTCCACGACGCTGGCTCATCTTCCAGCAACGGAGGCTCCGAGGACTTTGGCCAATTCATAAAGAGCGTCCACACCACTCCTTTGCTGCTCGATACGCCGAGGAATGTTGACTTTCTGACAAGTCAAATCGGCTTATGCATTTACAACCTCATGTCACGAGATGTAAAGGATCTGGACTTGAGTCTTAGCCTCATCCAGCTGAGTGTTGATTCGCTCGTCTCCATTGAGATTCGCAACTGGTGGCGCCGCACGCTGGGCGTTAGCATCAGCGCGCTTGAGTTTATGGGTGCTGGAAGCATTACTAACTTGGGCAAGTTGGCTGCCAAGGCCATTAAGGAGGCCCACGGAGCCGCTTAAAAGTTCCCATGACACGGGTCGTTTTGGAGGGTTTGGACAGTTTTGGTCTACGTCGGATCGGCCCGGTCCTTGAGTGGCTTCCTGAGAGCTATTTGGGAGTGTATTGGGTTGAGGACATGGGTGGTGCTGTTGGAAGCAGTCAGCTTCAACACCTTTGTTTATTCCTATTGCCATAGTATGCTATCTACTATCTAGTATTTCTACTACTAATAACATTTTCTTTATTATCTCTTACGCATAATCCAAATCCAGTCGTCCCATTGTCATATTCATTTGGACTGGCTACAATATTTCCTGCTCTTCTCGAAGCCAATACAACTCGAGACAATCACAAGCTTGTGTTGAAACAAGCGGTGAAGCCTTCGCTTTCTCCTCCTTGTATAATACCTTGCATCCCCCATAATACGCCACAGCAATTGCGTGGACGAATCCAAGCTGAATCCGCAAACATCGTGCAGCAAGCCTCTTTGCCACGTCGTCTGAAGTGACGTTGAAGGAAAATCCTGGTTTCACTTACATGGATGCAATGTAATGCAAAGCGGGCGACGCTAGTACAAAGTACATATTTAGATACTCCAAATATGCTTATAGTAGAAATATTCATGCCTGTAAACCGCGCTACATATTGCTTGCATGCATACAAGCGCTGCAAAGCATGCAAAGCACTCCAGAGCTCAAACACGCTCTGTCCAAGGGTCATACATTAACTAGTTAATGTGTTTGAACGCAGCCAAGACCTACAATCAGAGAAGTGGTATGTGGCAGTGGGCTTGTCACCAATCTTATCTAATCGTTCAGGGTTTTTGCGATGCCCCAGACGTGAAGCCTTTTCGAGCCCTTCTGCTCTCTCTTTTCTGTCACGAAACGAACATTGTATTAAAAATTGAGCAAGGTAAGCATACAAGTAGACAATTTGTTAATTAGAAATTTCATTTCTCCTTTGCTGTGAAGCCTACTGTTGCCATGCTTACTGATTTCATATTCCGTGATATAATGCTGTGAAATAATCTTGCTATACCCCTCTCAGATTTGATGAGAAAAGTTACTAGGAATCTGTAGATTCCGTAAATAAAGTAGAAACAGACAAAACAAATGCATTCAACTATTCTAGTCAATAGCTAAAATGGTAAAAGATCCCTTTCAGAGTTCATCAAACATAAAGGTATGTATCGAAGGCCAAGGCAGTTGAAACGAATCCAACCTTGCCAATCCATTGCCTCTCGCCTGAGAGCTAACATCAGCCTCAACAAGGGACATGAGAAATCCCTTTTCTGCACTCTTGCCATCTGCCTTTTCCAAGATCTTGTTTTAGGTCCGGGGCAAGGAAATTAGGCGGGAAAATCGGAGACATGGAGGGGGCCAGTAAGCTATGCAGCGCCCACATAGCTCTGAGACCCGTTGGCCTAATGCGACTAACGAGATCGAAGGTGATCACCCGCTTCCTTGTCTAAGCACTACCCCCCTAGTGCGTACATTCTTTTGGCCAATCCTTGATACGTATGACGTCTCTCTTTACTGGTTGGCACCAGGGAGATACAGAGGGATTTCCATGGGGAGTTCTTTGTGTGGTGTGAGAGAGTCGATGGACCCGGATACATGCGTTCTCTCCACAGGCTTGCGAGTGAAGAATACAAGCATGTCGCGATGAGCCTCCTTGGTCTCGTCAACGGGATAAACTGCAGACAGGCTGTGTTTACGCTCATGGTCGACAATCATGAGAGTATCAAGCAGTCTCTTGTGCTGGACCCGTGCGAGCAGGTGCTTGGGCTTGATCTCTTCCAAGGGAATGCCCGTCTTCTCATCCATGTCGTGCATAAAGGTGGCGGCGCTGTTGTCCGACATGTTGTAGCTCCCCAGAAAGGTTGTCATGGTATGGTCGACACCATCAGAGTGCACACCCTCCAGTGCCGGCTCTCCCAAAATGTGGGGGGTGGTGACAGTACGGAGGTTAAACAGGGTGCACACCCACTTGTTGATGCCATACTCCAGCTTGGGACGGTGGGCAATTTGCACGCCGTGGATAACCATAGCCTTGAAGGCGAACAGCGCTTGGAAGACTGAGTTGAGCTGCAGTTCGTTTTGGACCTCGTCAAAGCGGCGAATGGCCCCAGAGTCGTAGCGGTTGAAGTCCTCCTCAACAGTCAGGACAAAGGGCTGGAATTCCAGGCGGCGTATGGTGTGGGTGTCAAAATCAAGGCAAAAGCGGCTGTTGCGAGTCAAGCGGAAAGGCAGAGTAGGGTCGTGATACAAATGGTCTGAGACTTTCTCCATCTTAGGGAGGTCGGCCTCATTGGCGCCAAGGCCCAACACAATATCGATCATGTCAGCAGACTCGACGAAGATGCAGCGATCACGGAGGTATTTCTCGCGGAGCTTCATGATCTTGCCGACAGTCTCGTAGAACCTTGGATTATACGCCTGCTCCCTGACATTAAGCTGGGTGTAGCCTTCCGGCTGGGGGAAAGGCTCGGCGAGAAGTTGTTGAGGCTGCTGTAACAGTTGGGCCATCATGGGGGGAGGAGGCGGGCCATTATTCAGAGGTGTCTGTGTGGCTATGGCCTCAACGGCCTTTGCCTTGCTGGACTCGTGAAACAACCGTTGGCTGCCGCGGTTGGTGATGGTAGGCGAGGAACGAAGCAGTGGTGCCGAGGCACGGACTGCACGTTGCGCATACCTGAATGTAGACATGATGGTGAAGATTCAAGGTGATGAATAACAACAGACGGAAGTTTTTAAAAGTTTGGTTTTGCTTTTTTAGCTTTGTAAAAAGCAAATGGACTTTCAATTTTTGATTTCAAAAATCTTAATGTTCAGGAGTCAGTTCAGGAGTGGCTCAGGATAGCCCCCTATCAGGATTTGTAAGAGTAGCTCAGGATAGCTCTCTGTCAGGAGTAAAAAGAGTAGCTCAGGATAGCTCTCTGCAGCAAAAAGAAATCAGGACTTTGAGTTTGTTACGGCTCAGGATAGCCCTCAATAGTAAATAAGTAAACAGAAAGAAAAAAAAAAAGTTGAAAGCTGCTTGTCTGTTTGTCAAATGTGCTTCTACAAGAGAAGCGAAAACGAAAAGGAAGCTAGAACAACTCCCTTCTTAGGACGTTGATGTTGAAAATTGATGGGTGAAGAAGAAGAAGGAAGAGGTGAATAAAAGTAAGATAAAAAGAACACAAACGTGTAAACTTGTCTTGTCTCTCTGTTCAATGTAATCTTTGGAGATGTGATGGGCTATAAGAAGGTGGGAAACACCTCTCTCTTATTCTCGATGGGACACACTCAGCAGTGAGGAGGTTGTGAGACAAAACGGCTTATGGTGGGAAGACGAAAGCAAGGGAGAGATGGTGTCGATCAATCTCATTAAGCACCATGATGCTCGGCTTGAATCCTTGCGGGTAGTCCTGCCGTGGTAGTTGTTGTAACACCGCTTCATAGGCTCCGCAAAGTTCCTGAGCAAGACACGCTGCAAATAACTCGGGCTATTTCTTTCAGCCAGCCTCAGGATATGCTAGTGTCGTATTTTAATGCTAATCAGGATTAGTTAAAGACGGGTTTCTTGTTTACGCGAGACATTGTGCAACTTCTCAGTCTTTTAATGCTGCAGCTTTTTGCAAGCACAACCCAGGGGCAAGAGTCGGACAGCCATACAGTGGTAACTCTAGCTACATTATAGCCTATATTTTGGCATCATAGGCCATTCAGTTCTTTCCGGTCTTAAATTGAAGAATATAGTATTAAATTATTTGAAGAAACGTGATGAAAACCAGGGACTATGGTATATCCTACTCGAACCATGTTGAAGTGTTACGAAGCGAGTCTCTCTCATCACGAATACGCCATGTGTTCCACCCTCTACCTAAAAGGGTCAATAACTTGTACTCTGCATGTATATCAAGTAACTCTAACAAATCAGATGCTGGAAACGCCCACGTATGCTACACTAAATGAATGTTATACCAGGATTTAAACACATCATACAATTCACATGCTCCATCACACACCCCGATATAGCGATATTAACGCGAGGGAGTATGTATGCAGGCCTGTCTTACAGTAGCTTCGAAAACAAACCAATAGATTTCCTTGCCGACAACAACTCAGCCGGTGGACAGGCAGCCGGTGAACGTTGCTAAGTTGCGGCGTGCATTAGCTTGTACGGTATGCAGTTCTTAAAGGAGACAAGAGCGCGTCCGAAGCTGAAGGCCTCTGATGCCCGCGGCTACACCACTAGACTAGTGGCCAAGCCGGATCACCAAGCGGCATTCCTCGAGTATGCTATTTCCAAATGGAGATTGAAACGCGGGTAATATCACTTTTCTTCCCGAGTAACACAGCGCACTGCTCCTTGCCCAGGAGCACATGCTGCAGTAGCTCGGGGGCACGTAGTGGCTACTTGACCGGCTAGGAAAGAGTCCGAGACACAGTACAAGAGAGTCATTCTGCTACAGCGTTTTCACCATGGCCCGGTCCTATATGCCATGTAAGACCCGATGCGCCAACATGGCATTCTAGCAAGGCGTATGGGAGATGCAAGGACGGTGCGACATCTTGGTGCCGAGGAGAAGCGACTCGCAGTGGCTGTCTGAGAGAAGATGTCGTTTTTTTGGATGAATGTGATGCCACCGAATGGATGCATTCCAAAGCCCCAGGTTGGCGCATAATTTGGGGGCTGGGGTTAAATTGGATGAAGTTGCTTTTTGCTGCCTTCTCCTGGTTGGAGGGGCCCATTGGTCCTGGGCGCTGTGGCAGGATTGACAGCATAGTTGTACAGGTATATGACGCTGCGAATTACACCTTTGCAACCCGAGGCATATCGAGAAGTTGTTTTCAAAAGGCCAAATGCTGCTTTAGGATTGCTCTGCATTCACTGCATCAGGAGGAGATACAGCATCTTACACAACGAAGCTATGACGAAGTTGGACTCAGCTGCTGTGATACTAGTAATAAAGCGTCGTGGGCATAAGTGTGGTGTAGTCATCTCAAAGGCATATTACTATAAGCTCGAATACTAGTATTACATGTGCAGATGCTCTCATCCAACGGGTACCTAGCCGGGTCACTATCCGTTGCCGCCCTCACCTTTCTCCATCCCTCACCTGCGTGCTACACCATCACCACCTGCATGTATCTCTGCCATACCCTCACAAATGTAATCACCGCCATCAGGGCCCACGCCTCTCCTAGCTCACCGGTCGCCCCGCTGTTGAGGAACTGGAACTTGGCCGCCTTTCTCATGCTCATGGTAGAGTCGGCCCAGACAGCCAATATCTCGCCAGCGGGCATCTCATTCGCAGATTCGTCTTCGGCTTCGTCCTCGTCCTCATCCGCACCACTCGCAGCTACACGCCTTAATTTCCACCCGTGCTTCCATTCGTGCAAATCCTTGACCTCCTTGCGTCCTGAGCCCACCCACTCGAACCTCTCGACACGTCGCGTTGTTTTCTCCCCCTCTTGGGCTTGCACAACAGCTGCAAAGGAAAACACGTCCATCAGGCCCTTGCGTCGACGCGACATCTTCTCCTCCAGCACTTCTTGGCCCGGCCCTAGAGGCGGCAGTGTGACGGCGTTTCCCATCCCCGACTTGCCAGTGTTGCGCACAGCGGCCAGCGGCGGGTGTTCCAGAGTAGGGCCGTTGTATATGATGAGATCCCCCCACCAGCCTTCCGGCAGGTTGAAGGTGTAGAGCGGCTCGGAAGAGGCCTCGCCGAGAGACAGCTTGAGCTTCTTCCAGGACGGCTCGTAGTAGAGCTCAAAGGTGTTGGGGAATGTAACTCCGGCAAGCGTGGTCTTGTGGATTTTCTGGTGAGCCGCTTTTGACTCGGCGCCACCCATGGTTGCTAGTATAATGGTAGTGGTGCTGGTACTGTAGTTATTTGTGGTGGTGGTGTAAATGAGAGACGCAATTGTAGCATCAATAAACCCGGTCGAGTTTTCAATTCACATTATTTTCATGAGCCTCGCTCTACGACCGTGACTTTATATGTTCGTTACCTGTTCCATCCTCACTAGTAAGAAAACCCTCAATTTCAGCTGAGCTCCATCATAACCACCGAATGCGGTAATACGTAGCGCTGTGAGGCGATGAGCCAGGCAGGATCACAGCACAGCCACGCTACATGGCCAATTGCGTCACATACTTGGTATCGTCACAAGAATTTTAAAGATGAAGGTTAGGGATAGTTGGTAAAATGATCAGTTAGCTTGTATTTGATCAAACGATCCAACAATGCACTTCATCAAGGTCGGATGAGGATTGCTGGGCCACATCATCGACGAAATGGGCTGATGCTTATTCAAGATCAAGTTTCGGGTCGTTGACGCCAAAGTATCATAAACAAAAATAGCTACAATAAAACTATTTGGCTTCTCTATCTTTTACAACGCAGAATCCAGACCCGGGATGGATGTCTCTAGGCGCTCTTCGCAGCAGCAGCATCAACTGCATCCGCCATCTCCTTCATGTTCTTGAATTTCCACGAATATGCCACCCTCTCCTCATACTCTTTCGGATCCCCGCCCATGACACTCTCAACTTCCTCTCCTCGCTCGATCCACGCGCTCACTAGTCCAACCTGCTTCGCCGGTACATGGTCGTGGTGCAGGCTTTGTGCCGTATGCAAGATGTCTTCCTTCTTCACCCCTAGGTCCTTGTCGCAGTGCTCAATGAGATATCGAAAGTTTCTCAAGTCGGGTTTATACGAGCCAATTTCCTGCGCCGTGTACACAGCGTCAAAGGGAAAGCCTAGAAACTGCTTCTCAAGTGTGCGCTTGAACGAATCGAGATCCACGTTGGAGATGATGACCAGTTTGAAGTGCTTGTGCAGCCGATTCAGGGCATCGAGCGTGTCTGGGTAGATGGGCCAACGGCCAACGCTGTATCCAAACTCGGCCTTGGCCTCTTCGTCGGCCGAGACGCCTAGCTCAGCGGCAAGATTGCCATAGGCTTCAGCCAGAACTTTATGGTAGAGGTAGGTCGGATTGGCAGTTTGGACGAGGCCCTCGTGCCGGACTATGGCGCGAAGCAGTCCGAGACGGTCATTCTTGAGAGGGTGCGAGTCGTCAAGCTGCTGATTCAAGGGCTGGAGGTTGTTGTAAATGCCCGACTCCCAGTCCACAAGGGTGCCGTAGCAGTCGAAAGTGAGAGCCTTGAAAGAATCAATGGATCGTGTTGTCGTCATTTTCTCTCTCTCGACCTTGAGTACTATTTTTTCTCCTTCTTATTTTGTTATCTTTCGTTTCAGAGGATGTTGGAAAAGGAATATGTGGCCTGCCTTAAATAACCGTGCTGAAAGTTTACGACGCGGGGTGTTATGCGGGGCAGCTTCAAAGGGCGCTTCATGACAGCAGCTATCTAATGTATCTAATTGGAGCTTCAGGCACAACCATTGACTTTCTGTTAAGATGAGTGATATTGGACCATCAAGAGTCTCAAGAGTGGAAAATCTTGGATATAACTCTGCAAGCTTCTCCTTGCTTACCTTTTGCTAGTTAGGTGAAGCTTGTGTGCAAATAGAATATCCGGGACAGACAGTCGTATTTGTTGATCGCGGCTCTCTTTATTATTGTCAAGAAATATTCCATATTCACGAAACATGATGTTACAAGTCAGAATTTCCATGGATCATATTCCAAGTCGATTATCACTTTTCGGAAATCACTGGCGATAAATGTTCCCTAGCATGGCATATGGGCCGAATTAATACGAAAAAAACGTATAGTAGTTTATGCAATCTATTCAGTATGAAAATGGCCTTGTTTGGTAGCATCGTCTCTCGGATAATCAATTGCCTTTGCTACCTTCCCTGCTTGCGCTTTTATAAGTTTATCATTAAAATTGACTCAAACTTCATGATCCACGACAATGCTACATGTTGGGTGTTTGTTTAGAAATAGTCCAACGCGGGCTTGCTTCCGGAAGCAGGCTTTGAAGAGCCGCCAATACTGTCTAAAATCTCCAAAGCCAGGTTAAGCCGTGTTGTCACATCCTTGATCTATATACAAAGTTAGGCACATACGAATCGCATTGTTTTCCAGGGAGGCAATATTCTTACCCGCGTGTCGTGTGACTTTTCAAACATTTCATAGTGGTTTGAGTGTACATCAATTACTGCTCTGATGAACTCTGGTGCATTGCCCGCCCAGCCTAGCGTCCGATCGTTGCGATACTTGTCTATTATGAATGGCTGAGTCCTGCCTTCAGGAAGAGGCATGGGCTCAGTACACCGAAGCAAGACTGTAGGCGGCGTCATTAGTGATGCCTTCTCAGGCTGTGAGTCCTCCAACAGCTTATACTGTGGTACTTCAATGGGTGACCAAACTCCGTTGAAGGGCTTATAAAGCACTTTCCCCGGTGGAACAGAATAACGTCTTCCATCGACGCCAAAGAAGACGAATTTGCCATCGCATGCAGGCCTGTCCCATTTGGGCACCTCCCAGTTCTCCAGCATCTCATCGCAGCGGTCGAAACATTTTTGCACGGCCTCTGGGATATTCTCAATGACTGGGTCGTCAGTAGGTCCCTCTTCCTGGCTGTATGGAGCGTGATATGGCGTATCCATCATAACGATACCCAAAACCTTGATCTTGGCTTCAGGGTCCTCAGCCAAGAAGCGCGCAATAGCCAGAGACAGAAATCCACCCAGAGACCAGCCTGTGCCAATGAACAACATAGAGACGTTAGTCTGATGGAACGCTATAGTTATGGATTACAACGCGTATCAAGACCAGTCACCCAGCAGAAACCACGCTGGATAACGAGCACAGGTATGGAATAACACGCGCCGCTGATTCTGCACGTACCGCCTAGCAAGATATTACCCTTGATGCCCGCATCGTTCATGAATCCGATATACAGCCGCGCCATCTCATCCATACCGCCTTCAAAGGCACCTCCGTCGAAAAAATGGGGGTTATGAATCGCCCACACGTCGCGATAGAGATTTCCCAGCATGAAATAGCCAAACGTTGTGCCGCCTCCATCATGGATCAAGACCAGCGGTGGTGACGGATTTGCCCGCTTATACGCCGGCGATATTTGGACTTTGATGGGGTTGGGGCCGCCTTCGTACATTGTAAAGAACTGATAACTTTTTTTTAGAGATACTCTATAAAAGGGACAGAGTATAGAGCATTAAACAATGGCGATGGGTGAACCGACGAGCACACAATGTGCATGCTCTAAACACGTATGTCATCAATCTCATCAGGCTCTCCGCAGCTGCAGCCCAAAGTGCTTCTTCTCAGTCTTACGTCCCACATCACTAACCGGACGAAAGCTATTCCATCCCGGTAGATTCTCTCTACTAAGGAGCAGCCGTCCCAGTATGACAGCGCAAGTTATGTAAGCCCGTGCTCTCTAGATTACAGAGTCCATGATCAGAAACAGGGATGTGATTGCGGGTGGGCTACCATGATAGAGCTGTTTGGGACCCGGCGATGCGGATGCGGTGATCGGATGGACGGGAGGTCCGCTATAAACGGGCTGGAATCAAGCTTATTGCATCCACAGGGGAGACGCTCCATTCTGACGGGAGTCTAATTACGACGTACTAGTTTCAGAGCAACTGGAAAAGTCTTGGGACCGACAAGCATGCTGCGCTGCTGCCAAAGAAGGACTGAATGACGATAATAAAACACGAACTGTTTTTCTCATGCCATAGACAACAGGACATGTGTTTTATCGCTAAAGTAACTGCAGTTGTGCCTACATGTAGGTAGTAGCAGTGGCTAATACTTTTAATTTCCGTCACCGCCAGCCACCTCGCAGGTACTGAACACGGCAATAATAGCGGGCTACAAGTTGATAGACAAGGTGAACCATACAGTACACATCGTCCCAAGAGTCTAAGACTCATACTGCATTATACGTGACCGCTATCCGGCTTGCCAATTTGGCCAACACGGCTGAGCTGAACTAACCACTCCCCCTTGCTGCTATTTTGTCTCAGAGCGGCGTTAAGTGCGCATTTCGCTCGGGGACCGCTCTGGGTAGCCAGTAACAGCATTGAGATTTGAGGCTTTCTCTCCCTGCCTAAGAAGTGAGCCGTCTCGCACGAATAGTACTTTGCATTTGCGCCCTCTCGCTTGTCCCACGTCCACTACTTGCATTTGCATGTACCTAGAGGCAAGCGAAATTGCCTGCGCTTTTGCCACGTTCTTAGTGCTATGCAGGGAGAAAAGGCACGAGCACAAGGAACAGGCCGTCGCCACGCTCCTCGTGCATATACGAGGTTGCATTGCATCTCATTTCGAACCGCGTCCGCCATAGGCAAATCTCGGCGGTCGGAAGCTGGACGAAATATGGAGCAAACCATAAGATTGACCGGCAGAAAATAGCCCGTAGTATGATTGAGCATGCAATACACCAAAATAGCAATATTATAGTACCAGTAGCACCTAGTAGCAGAGAATCCTGGGGCATAGAACAGGTCGTTTTATTACCCGAAGAGATCTCTACCTGAGCGAGATCAAAATGAGAGCGATCACTTTCTGAGCTAGATCAACGCAAAGGGATAGAGATAGAAGAAAATAACATGCCATCCATTCCTCTTCATTTCTCGCCCTAAGCCGTATTCACTAGTCATTACTCAGACTGCATGTCGCCATCTGAGTAATACAATACATCGCTGAGTCTGCGGCTGCGCTTGGTATTAAGCATACGCCGAAGGGAGCAGTAGAGTGGGATTAGACTGCCGACTGCACTATCTCTTACTACATGGCTCAAATAAGAGAACCGGAAAAGAGGTTACAATGTCAATTTAGGAGATTGAAAAACGCCCTGGTACGTGCCGGCGAGCTCCAGATCATGAAAATGTACATTGCCTTTGCATACGTAAAGATCTTGCTCTTCAAAGTAGATAAAAGTACTCTTGAAGTTCCAAAAATCGTTTATACGTTAAAAAATAAAATGATAGTGCTCATCAGCAACAGTATATGTATGTCTCTTTGATAATCGCGCTGCTTGTCTGTCATACCCCAAGGCAGAGTGTTGTGTTTGTCCGCGCAAAATGAATCATGTCAGGTTATAATAGGAAGTAGAAGATGGTACATCTAATGCAAGACGTATGGCTGCGTCTTATTCTCTCCTTGTGTGTACCTTTTCTCTCTCTCTAAGGTCGGTATATGACTCATATTTGCACCAATGTGAGCTCTTCTAGATGAATCTCTACAAGTTAGATGCTCTGATTAGCGTACAGCATTGATACGACACCCGATGTAGTAGGACTAAACATCATCGATAACAGCTAATGATTAATCGCTCAAATAAGGTGGGTACCATGAGAAATATTGAGCAAATTGAGGCTTTGTGGAAGAAATTATGCCTAAGAAATCCTGTTATATATTAATATTATTAAGTAGCTATGAATCACTTCTTTTATAACTCTTGAGAATCAATACATGGTTTCAACCGCTGAGTTCAAACACTAAACTTTGTACCACCACTCTTGGCAAGACATATGTTTGCTTCTGCTTTTGCTGCTTCTATAACTAATACTGATGCTATTACTGCTCTTTTGGCTCTTATACTGGTCTTGTCGGCGATTTACCTGACACAGGGCCTAGTGTCGGGTACGCCCTATGATCTGAAGTAATAAATACATGTAGTAGCGAAACAATGTCTTGTAATGGAAATAATCCAACAATTGACATGTACCGATGAGAATGTTCTTTTCTTGTGTAAACGATGGGACTGTCCGTATATATAAAATCGATTATGCAGCACGCGGCTTTGTACTTGCTGCCCGTATTATTAAGTATGTTAATCACGATGACATGTCTGTCATCATCAACATAGCCAACGCAGATGGCCAAGATTAAACAGCTACTTATTTCTGGGATCTCAGAAGTCAATCACATCGGGCCTGGAATGGTTCAACGAATATTGGCGACTCACCTTCTACGCTACATTAACCCTAAACACCGGCAAGATATTTAAAGATGACAAGAAGAGAAAGGGTATGTTTCATGCCAGTCAACATAGCTCCTATCGGTAGATAGGTTCTGCTCATACATACCCTAAGTGGTGTTTTTCTTTTCGACTCTGACACAAAGTATATAAGTGAACTCTGTCGAATTAATATTAGTATGTAAGTCAAAATTGCGCTCGCTCACCATTATCGGAAGAATCGAGGTTTATACGCGGAATATTATACTACTGATTTTTAGATATCGCCGGCATATACTGATTTCTATTGTGCGCTCGCAGGCCAATCAATTCTATTACTTTCTCGCCTAAACACCGCACGCGCATATCTGAATGAATTTCTAGATAACCCAATATTGAAGCATTCATCTCGAAGTCAATTTCTTACCATTGTAGGCTGCAGTGTTGGGATAATGGCGTGGCGTCGGCTGAGGTCTTTTCTTTTCTCTATGGCGGGTTTAGCAGCATAATTTTACTCCGATTCTATAAGATAGATAGCCAATATGAGAGGCAGACATTCATATATTGTTGAAGTATAGAGGCGACGTTTCTGTCGTGAAAGCTAAACCCTCACCACATACTCAAACTGTACGTTGGCGGGCTGGATTGGATATCACAAGGCTCAGCTCATAGAGGTCAATATATACACCAAGAAGAGCTGTGAACTGCGTCTCCAGGACAATAATTAAATTGAGTATATAATAAGTATAGGCTTAAAGATATTTAGCCTTGGTTTTTTTTTTCCAGCTCCATGCTAATAACCAGAGACTCCCGTTGCGCCGCAAACCTGCCTATAAGCGCTTCACACCGATGTCCTTGTCCGCATAACACCTCGATGAAACAAAGAGGAAAAAGAGAGGATTTCTCTTAATTTTATCGGACCATTAACTTTTGTCAAAGAATTGACTAATTGGGATGCTTCCAATACATCTTGTCTCTGTACGTATGCACGATCAGACAGACGATGGGAAACCAGCATTTCTTCAGACTCAAATAAAAAAATATTTTGCCGAAAAGAGAATTTCACTGTCAACAAGTATTTTGTGCTTGAGACAGCTTTGTAGAGCACATCAAAGGGCTGGACATAGCCATAAGATGAGATCATTGGCTATAGGAGGTGTGATGCCTGTAGGAACGACCTAATGAATCGCCAAGGCGAATAGAGATAATCAGGGTTGCTTTTGAGTAGTAAGTCCAAAGTTGTGCGTTATTAATTAGAGGCATGCTCCGATAATCTGTAGCAGTTGGTCGTTGGGTATTCGTCCTGAGAAGTTGATGAGAAGAGTAGTTGCCAGTGCCGTATTCGAGCGATCTCTCGCCCACGGATTACGGCTGTTAGAAGATAGGGCCATCCCCAGAGCCCAAGAGTTGGGCAGCTTTATGGACGTTAGAATCTCTTCATCAAATTTGATAGGACCATATAAATTTACTCACCTCATCTTGAATGGACCGCTTCAACTCAACAAGGGCTTCAGCAGTGGAAGCTGGGTTAGTGATGTCGTGTAAGTCTAGAAGAGGGGTAATCTTGGCCATTAGAGGACTATGGGCGTTAACAGCCTCAGACTTGAGCATAGACTCGGCAGTTTTGAGTATTTCCTCTTGGAAGCCACGGCGCTCCCATGCGCTCCATTGCGTGGTTGCTTGGAAGACGTTGTCGATGACTTTGGGCAGACGCCTGTTACGGCTCAACCGCTGCTCGTTGGCGAGTGGAGAGGCTTCTACAAAATTGCCACAATAATATGCGGTTACAAGGGCATCAAAGCTTTCAAAGCCAGCTGCTCGAACTTTTTGCATTATGCCCTCCATCCGCTCGTCTAGAGAAATATTTTCCACAGCTGGCTGAGGAATCGGCGATATGGTACTGGAATCGGGGCCAGTAATCACAGGACAGTCCAGAACTGCGCTAGGAGTGGTAGGTGCCGAGTAAGGGGTTGCGTGATTGTTGTTATTCTGGATGTTGTTGTTGCTAGGTGTAGGTAGCGGCAGCGACTGCACTTTCGATATGGCACCTGTTTTCCATTCTTCTGCATTGGTATCAAAGGAATACTCCATAGCCTCTGCATGAGTGGGCGAGAAGGCATCGACACAGGAAACTTGCTCAGCTTGGGTGATGCTTTCCAAGGCTATATCCAAGTCGTCAGCCCCCGTGGCCCTTCTCGCCAGCAGAGGGCTAGAGGTATCAGGCTGAAACTTACCTTGGGAGGGCACGCCACTGCTAGAAGGGTATGGAGGGGCGAAGTTGAGCTGCTGCTGAAGACTATTCAGGCGATTCAGCAAGTGAGTCTGAAAACGCAAACAGTCGAGAATAAACTCATGAGGCACTCTGTAACTTTGGTCTACTATCGGTTGGCTTGGTGGAGATAGTAGCCCCACGGCATCTGGGGAAGTCTGTGTTTGTGGGGGTGGACTGCTCAGGTCATTGCCAGGCATTTGCGGGAACATGGGCTCAGTCCCATCGGCAGCGGGCTTTTCATACACGGCCGGTTGCACCGAAGAAGGCATTTGGCTTGAAGAAATTTTGTCTTGGGATACAGGAGAGAGGGGAGATTCGATGCCGGGCATCTGGTTGATGGCTGTAAAGCCGCGAATCACTTTTGGAGAAGCGGATGAATCGCCACTTTCGGCGAGTGGCAGCTGGACTTTGTCTTGCTCCTGGCTTTCTAGACGGGCCTGCAGCTCACCCAGACGTGCCTTCAAACGGTGGCCTATTATATCAATATGTCAATGGTCAGTAAAGCGTATTTCATGTTCAAGCTAGCCCCTTGTCTTATGCAGCAGCCAGTGAACAAGAGTGGAATTGAGAAGCATAGAGAGGGGAACAAACATACGGTATGTTCTTTGAGCAACGCGATTCTGTATCTTTTTCTTCTCTTTGGGGTCCTGCACTTTCGTCCAGTCGTCCTCTTCTCGCATGTATACCGGATACTTTGGCAATATTACCTGCTTGTTCTTCTTGGCGGGTGGTGAATGAACGGGAGTTGTCGTGATGTCTGCCGGATCAACTGTTTCTGGAGGCGTAGAGTATTTTGCGACGACTTCTAAAGACATGGGCTCTGGCTGTACCTGGTAGCTCGAGTCGCGTGGTGAAGTTGAAGGAGATGTCGCCGAGGTAGAGGGAGCTGAAACTGAAGCTGAAGCGACTGGAGGAGAGGCTGAAGAAGATGAGGAATAGTCCCAAACGAGGGTTGCAAAGGACATATTGTCCGCCATTGGGCTATGTGGCAGAGTAGATGGTGTAATGGTATCAGATGAGATGAGATAAGATGGATATCTCGAGAGATTCTAGAGGAATGATGTCAATGAGATTAGATACCAAGTGGAAAGCGACTATAGCTGATATAAATATGGGATCTACAATCTGGGATCTAGAGCTGTGATGCATCTTATACCATGTAAATGGGGCGATAATACTAGCAGCCGTTCATCCACCAAACATATCGAAGCTTCCGCTGCGCTGCCGTCTGGCGTCTCAGGCTTTCTGGCCTATCAGATCCATCCAAGCACATGTACTCAGGCTTCCTATACGCAGTGTAGTGGCAAAGACCCTGTTGCTTCTCTTTTCCTGAGCACACAGCAGCACCAGCATCAGGCATAGATCCGCGGCCCATGGTTCTCAGCCAGTTAACGTACGCTGTACCTTGCGGCCAGGGGAAAAAGACAGGGGGCGTACATATAGCGAAATGACACCCATCCCCCCCTACATAGAAAGGTGCGTGTTCATCGTCGTCGTATGTATCCGCACGGAGAGGATTACTTGCAGGATTGATTGATTGCTACTAGCAGATCTACTAGAAGCATGAATCCACACCCTCTTCTTCTTCTCATAGCCAAGCAGGCACGACATATCCTTGCCCAGAAGGAGCCCTGTTTCCCAACCATCACGAATGGGGTATTCATTCATAGAAAAGATGTCTTGTTGTACGTATTGGATATACGACCAAGAGTTACTTTGAGTTTGGTTGGTAGTACATGTGCCTACCTCGGCATCTACATTAGTTCCCATATCAAGTGTATACTGCTCATGCAGCGAAACAGGAGAGCACTTTTTTTCTCGTTTCTTGCTCCAACCACCTCGTTGGGCATCCATCTTTGCTGGCAATGGAGTGGCGGGCAGGCCTGGGCGCAGGCACAGAATTAGAGCCTGCAGGGATCATGGATATAGTGAGTAGAGTGGCCTAAACAGCTTGAACAGGGCACTGACTTGTAGCTGTCCGTGCTGTAAACCTGCATATGCACTTACATCCTGCGCATCAGCGCCTCCAGTGAGGTGTCCGAACTAGCAACTTCAATGTATGCCATCGGACGTAGCCTGGCATTTAGCAGCATCCCCTGGACGAATGCATCTAGAAGAAGAGAATATCGAGAATATCAGAGAGTGATTTAGGTTAATATCATCAAGAGATTTTAATTTTTATAGAATTTTTGGAGGTTGTGCCATTGGGGGGGATACACTACTCAGCAAAGTAGGGACTTATTACATGGCATGTCATCAAGACTTCAATAAACATAGCATAGCAAAGCAAAATAAGAACTGGCTCTAATCTTTACTTGCAATTTCCCCTCAACTCTCTTCTGCAATCCCTCTCTTGAACTTGGAATTGATACGTTCATTTGCACATCCAGCTCTCTACCCAGTAAAAACTGGACGTCTAGGGCCATCTGTTTCGTACGACCCGTTTGCCGGGCCATTGGATCAGCTGTCACCGGAAAAAAACAAGCATGTTCTGGTCCAGCTAGCCACTCAATTTCCACTTACATGCTGTCTCATATCGAATCTCTTCCGCCTTCCTAAGCTGCCAATCCCGGAGCCCCTTCCGATTCAACCACACCGCCCCATAGTCCTTGCACTTGCTCCTTATTATCCCTTAATGTCTTATTGGATTGGGTGACGCCGTAGCCGCTCGGAGACGCTCGTTTCCGTTAGCCAAGCAGCGAGCTGGCATCTTCCTGGCACAATGTTTTGCCAACTGCATGTAGCAGCGCTAGCGATCTCTGCGTGTGAGATGGCGACTCATCTCCAGAACTCATCGTACATATCCAAGCCTATGGCGTAGCCAACATGAGATGACGGCCATCTGAAACGACAGCATTCATTCCTCTGTCGCTATGCCATTGCAGAAATGGGTGCCGTGACGCAAACCACACACTGCAATAAGATGAGTCCTCTAGCGACCAATGGGGAAGCTGTATTACCACTTAATCTGCCAATGCAGCGCTTGGTTCTTCGGCTTATTAGGGAGGCTTTATTCAGTTATTGCGCAACCTCAGGCAGTGCCGCTGTCAGCCACCGGCTGTCTATGACTCCCGGTTGCACAGCAGAAGACGAAGGATGGGCATTCACAGCCAGTTATAGAAGCCCTCCTTTTGCCCAATATATTCCGTCCCCGAAGCCACGACGGGGAATGCAAGGTGTGGACGGAGTGGGGACTTTTGTGCTCTGAGGGCTTTCAGTCAGTTCTCACCAGGTTGGAGACTTTGGAGGCAAAAACATGCCACCTTGAGACACACAAAGTAGGTCATTACTGCGAGAATCGGGCCAGAGAGAAGGGGGGGAAAAAGAGAAAAAAAAGAAGAAGCGTTCAAATCTCAACTCTTGCATCTCCCAGGCTCTCTGCTCCTCTAGCTCTCCCCTCACTAGTGTCAAAGGCACATCCTTGACGAGCCACGGATGGTGCCTGGAGATTTATGGGTGGTATCACAGGTACGAGTAAAAGGTAACAGCCCAGCTCCTCATCTGAAGCAGGCGTTTCCTGATTAATGCTAGAGTCAGGGTTACGGCATGAGAAGCTCCGAGAACTGGAACTAGGATCTGGCATGGAGCCCGCGGGAGCACCAATGTCCGTCCTGGTGTTTAGGTTCCCCTGCTGCTTTTTGTGGTTGGACCAAGCGAGGTGGGGAGTATGATAGTTGTCTAAGAAGGGTAAGACAGCCAAGAAAAGCGGCCTTGGGGTAGACATCAAGGTATTGCCGCCGTCTAATTATTGCTAGTGGCCAGCTGAGATGGCGCGATATTTGGATAATTGGATCTTGGTTATCGTTTACATGCTAGTAAGAGAAATGCCTACATGTCTAGTCTCTTTGATTAAAACTAAAACGGAAGAACATGAATAAGAGGGAAAGCGGGAAAGCGGGAAGAAGAAAGAAGAAAGGGAGGCCTACTGTAGGGACAACCACAGCCCGAGAGAAGTGAACAAGTCTTGAATCACCAAGTGAAGTGCCACCACACCCAGCCTCACCGAAAATACGCATGGCTAGATTCCAATGCGCACCCGCACTTCGTGAGCATCGGGTGCGCTGCTCGCAGCCGAACAAGGATGATCCAGATGGAACTTCAAGGGATGCCAGCCGAGGCCCACCAGACTTGGCGGATCTCTCCTATAGCAATCGAGATCGCTTAGATGCGGCCGAGCCGCCCACTCTCACCGGCTGCTAGACCAGGATGCCCCGGCTTTCCATTTGATTTGCTCCTCTGCGGACTTGGTCTCAATGTCTTTCGTTCACAGCGTATATCGTCTCGTACAGCTTCTATGTCCCTATTCATGTGTGAAGCGAGTGGGTCGAGGATGCAACGTGGTGGAAACGAGGGCAAAGAGGCTGCTTGCAAAATGGCCACTGGCGATCCAGAACGCCGCTCGTGCTTTGATGTTGCTGTCGCCGTTGCGCTTTTCCACTTCTTGCTACTAGCACTCGGCAGCAGTATCCCTTTGCACAACACTACGGTTACCGTCATCATAGTGCAATTGTGAGCCTGTATTTGGAGCACTAGCGTTCGAGTTTATGCCCTTAATCCATGCTCTGAGGCGAGAGGGATCAGCACAGCACACCACGATGATACCCCAAGGGAAAGGGGAGATTCCTGATCCCCGCTTAGAAGCCGCTACGGCATCAGCCGCTCCTCTATTTAACTTGGCCCCGTAGTAACAGTAACACCGAATCCACCAACAAGCAGCTAAGCCCTTTCTAAGACGATCATCTGTGATAGCAGGGCCAGCTCAGCCAGCCCCAGCTGGGTATCAGTTCCGGCAAAGACAATCCAAGATGCTACCCCTCAGGCCGAGGAGCGAGTCTCAGCAACCTTGTATGCGGTGGACAAGTGAAATTAATCTCAGCACCCTCGGCCGCTTTCTGAAGTTCTGACTTACATGGAATCTACGTTACAGATTGGCGAGGGAGAATTGCACCTTTGTCTAGGACTGCTGGTGGTTATTAAGAAGAGGTTCTGCTCAGCATCATATACAAGAATATGATTTTCCGACTCATAACCCGTTCTTCATCCACGTCGCCAACCAAAGAAGAAAATTCGACTTGCCAATCCTTAATTCACTTCGCTGCCAAAAGCATCTCTGTTATACAGATTTAGTTGCAACCACAGCGTTAGATGATCGTATTAGTCGAAAACTAGCAAGCTAGTAACACCTTTAAAGGCGTTTATGCTGTCGTTCTCTCATCCTTGTATAACTGTGGACAAGCTAGAAAATGGCTGGCGTAGTGACGAGGGGAGATCTAAGCATCGCTCATTCGTAGCCAACGACGTAGCCATGTCGTACGCCACAACTTATAGATGAGAGACATTCAACAACGGCGATGGGCGGTAATGCGTGGCGCACTGATGAGAAGCACCCTGGGAGTCTCCTTGTTTTTTCCTTCTCACGCCATCGGTGCCTAGAATCGGCCGACAGGTACTCAAAATGAACTATCAGGCCCCCATTTGTATGTAGTTACTGGTGCGGTAAACCGTCTGAAGGCGATACCTCTTATTAATACGTTAGAGTAGAATGCTTAACGGCTACATTCGGGTGCAACTAAGCCCCCAGCGCCAAGAAACACAACACCATAGCTAGAGATCCTTCAAAGCTGAGCTTCTCATAGTCATTAAAAGAATGACACTAGACTTCTCGCAGTTTTCTGCCCAATCTTGTTGGCCAATATAGCAATTTGCTACTCTCATAATGAGGCTTGCATAGAAGTACATGGCGAAAGCGTTCTGGGCAGATATGTCCATGTGATGGGCAAACCACGAGATATAGACACACATCAAGAGCTGGAAATGGAGTAAAGTATGTTTTCCAAGGCTCAATTTTTGCCTCACAATAACATGCTCTCTCCACACCAGTGTTATATTGCCCATTAGCACTAAACAGTTGGAACTTTGGAGTGGGTAGCATCCTTCCCGCGGCAACCTACTTCTTAGCCTAAGCTTGCAAGCACATATGCAGCCTTCATATCTGCATCTATATTCCTTGACTCAAGGTCCGACGTGAATGTATTAGCGAGCGCTGAATCCCGACACTAGAATTGTCCAACGAGACGGAGGGAGGCGGACCCCGAGACTTGGTCTGATGCCGTGCCGTACAACATCCTTGCTTCAGATATAACGTGGAAATCATGCAATAGCATGAAAGAATTAGACTAGAACTGTCTACATCTATTTGTAGCACTCAGATGCTACGCCTACAGTAAGAAACTGGTCTGTTATGCAAGTGAGTGTAGCAATTTACGAAAATAGCCAGACTTGCATTTGCGGAGGCATCACTCATATACAGCCATTTCATTTCTTTTTCTATACAACTTAGATAACAAAAATTTGGCAGTTTATTTGATCTCTCCACTCCGCTCCCCCTTCCTCATGACAAGAGACAATAAGCAGTGAAGGGAAGATGCACCCTTCTAATAGCTATTGGGTATCAAGCTGGTGAAACAGTTTAATATTTTAATGATTTCTTCCTGTTCCAACACTCTGGTAATTCTGCAAGGAAGATAAGACAGGTAGAACGATCAAAGACAACTTGAAGCTACTAATATTACTAGTTCCGCTATGGCTGCCAGGACATTCGTATGCCATATTTGCATATTGACTCTAAAATGAGCATAAAGAGACGTCAAGAGAGAACAAGAGGAGCGGATATGGGAGACTGGTGCGAGGAACTACTTCTGCTGGCAGCAATGATGTAATTAAATAAATTATGAGCGCTTATCTTCCTCTTCAGCTACATGCAAACGTAGCTCTTCCATTGGACCGATCCAAATGGGTGTATGTTAAAACACGGAACCTCCCTTTTTCTGCTCACAAGATGCCCAACACAAACGCTAGGGAGGAGCCGTGGTTTAGTTGATTCACGCCTTGAGAGCTTTTTGATTCGCTCAAAATGGGAGCTAGGATCTCACGTTCCTGCAGCTTAAACACCATTTCTCTCATAGGATGGGAAGTTAGCCATGAGTGAAATCTTGTATGCAACATGCTGTGCGACCAAGGCTGTTCATAACTGAGCAATACCCCTAGACGAATATGGCTGAACTGATGGATCGATAACTTCATGCGAGACTAGCCAACCCTATCCATCTGTTTACAAAAGAGATATCAAACTCATGGGGAAGGTAAGCCTAGGGAGATGTTACTTATCTGAAAGAAGAATCACCGCATATCAGGCATCTATCTGTTTGTATTCCGATGTGTCAATACATGTATCTATGGCCAATTGTAGCTGCCCGCGGTCCTCTGCGGGATTTGATGGCTCTTCCCGGCAGCACAACGCTAATTTGCCGCCTGTAACCCATACGGGGTGGCGCATCTCATTTCTCGCGATCGTCGGAAAGCTTGGATATCCAGTGCGGCATATCCTACGCCTTCGGTGCTACGCCTGGAACTGTTATGCGCACACAACTGGGCAGGGATAGCTACTGGTGATCCTCTTTGGCACATGTTTTTAGCTCCGAGATGACCCAAAACGTTGAGCTAATTCACTTGCAAGCAATCTAAGATGTCGATCTGATAATCCTTCTCCATGTAAGCGAGTTTTGCGTCTGGAAAGAAACAAGACCAAGTGTACACTCCAAGATTAGAGAGACACATGTCACCTGGCATTAAAGCCGGTATCAATCCGGATTTGAACTCGTTCAAGCGGCAAGCGAAACTGCGAAACTGCACAAAACCAGGATCAAATAGCATCAGGTGTCACTCAGCGTTACCCGCAGCGGACCACATGGCGAAGGAAAATGCCGATACCTCTATATCGGCAGATAAAATATGGAGAGGCTGCAGTACTTACTCGCACCCTGTATTCTATACTCCGCCAAATTTACATGGACGCAGTGGTACTCTGTACCTTGTGACAGGTGAAAATGTTCCTCTGCAATGTGGCCGCAGCTCTTTCGGGTCAAGCACATATGTCGATCATAGAAAAGAGCAAGAAAGGATCAAAAAGCAAGGGATTGCAGATCTAAATGGATACAGAGCTTATTAAAAATCCATTTGCTAGATGCTAGATGCTAGATAAATCACATATCAAATGTGAAATGCGCAAGTCTCGGGCTGTTTTTGATCAACCTTTATGATCGCCGATGTCTGAAACTAGTCCCATCCAATAGAACCGCCCTTTTACATGAGCCAAAACCGGTCATGGTTTGGAAACGATCGCAACCTGGAGTTATTTTCTTATTTTATTCTTTTGTGCAATCATGTAGCGGAAAGACGCGGCTTGCCCTCCAGAGGCAAAACATGGCTTCCAAGCAAAAGCCACCACTTGTGATGCCTACTTTGAGCCAAATGCAGATCACATACTTCGTACAGAGCGGTAACTCAGCCTCTGTGTTAGTATAAAACAAGTAGTCGTTGGCTCAACAAATACAATCCACAATTACGTCCTACCCATACCAATATCAGAAGGGTGCCAGCCTAATGATGTTGCTCTACGCACCTCTGTTCATTCGACTCTACCCACCGTCGCACATCAAGCATAATCCCAGTATTGAACAGTTGCACAAACTATAACCTCCGTTGCACTGGGCAAACGTCCAACTTGTAACACCATTGCCTTTCATAGATCCTGCACAGCACTTACTTCATATAAGCTGTGGTTCAGAGTTCAGTAAGTGCTACAAACAGACCTCTTTTGCTCATGGATAGAAGTTGAAGATTGGATGAACGACTCTCACCACAGCTCCACTCACACTGATTCGGCTCACCGCACCTGATGCCGCTGCACAGACTATGGCCACGAGTGGAAATCGTCCATAACCGCTGTCAGGTAGGCTGCCGTTTCGGTACTCGTTTAGCCCCTAAATTATGAGCTATTGAGGTTTTATAGAAGATCCATATCACTGTTGCTTTCTCTCCTTTATTGTCTCAGGTAGACACAAAATTAATACGTCCTCTCCCGAGACAGCGGGCGAGCCGAGAGACCAGGACTTACTGGTAATATATTAATGCCGGACTCCAAATCACTGGTATAATTTTCCTTTCAATAGCTTCTGCGCTGAATAAAAGATATTTCGTGAGTCTTAGTACTTTCAAGTCCTAAATACGTGGAGTTCACTCGGTGCCTAATTTCTGCAAGGGGTAACTTGGCCGCCACCTCCTTACATCCTTCGCTGCTAGACTTCTATCCCTACAGACATTAGAGGCTACCAGGGCAAACTAGTGCTCTCTCCAAGGCTTCTAATTCCCTCGGTTACTTGGAGTGGCGTCTTCTTCCCTCAATAAGCATTACTTGTAGTACAGAGGCTGGAGTTTATGCTCCGCCATCTTGACGAGTAATGAAACAGCCTGTTGGGGAAATAAATAGGCCATACCATAGTGGAAGAAGATGTTATCGGAAATGATCGATATAAAGGGCAATTGGTTATTTTCTATGCCTTTGAAAACTGCTCATAGCAAAAATAGGCTCTTCTCCCACTTTGGTTATTCTCTATTTAATTTATGGAGCCCAAGAACACTTTATGATGCGTACGGCCTGAGGTTTGCTTCTATTGCATTACGAAAAGTTTAGTAATCGGAGCTAAAGTCATAAACCGATGCTACCTGATAATAGCATGACTTACTAGCTAGCTTTATTACTCTGTGATATTGACGTATCAGCTAGACTTGGAGTACTACGAGTATGTCTTACTACAAGCGGCGGGGGCTCAAGCAGGTGGCGTAGGCCTGGGCTTTTCTTACCAAAAGAAACTCGAGATTCTGGCGGTAGTTCTTGTCCTTTGGAGCAGATCCCCAGTTACAGTCGGGTTCCCAGTAATAACGCAGGGCTAGATGTCTAGATGTCGTGATGCTGTAATCTGCATATCATCGCCTAGGAAACCAACTCCATGCTCAGCATCCAGCCACCGATAAGGTAGTTCCACTACAGAATAACCTCCAAGTGAGAGGAAGGTAAGGCATTACTGTTCTTCGTGTGTAAATTAGTTTGGCTGAGAATGTATTGGAAAAAACTTGGCTACTAGCGCTACGCTATATAAGACACTTCGTTCAGTCGAAAGAACAACTTCATTAGAGTGAATCTTCTACTATTGCCATAATTTTGCATAGGTAATACATTCTGTAAATGCAAATTTGCTTCCCTTACCCCTCCCTTCGTTTGAGGGGATGATATGGTAGTGCAGAAGCCCGCAGTAAATACGTCTTGGGAGAACATGCTCGGGAAAAGGACCACATGAAGGCAAAAGGAGCCCGGCCATCTTGTGTATTCCGTCGAAGTCTAATGGAGTCATATAAATGTAATAATACGTAATAAATCCTTGGTGTAGCTGGCATTCTAGCTTTGTGATCGCTTTGCGATGTCGGCTCGTGCGTCACTCCCCTCGTCAATGACCATGCAATGGTCTCACCCCAGTCAATAATTACTACTAAGCCGAGCTGTCATGTAAACGTTTCGCGAAGAAATCAGGCCACTTTGAGAGTGCTTACCTTGCTAACGCCGATACCAAGCCAAGATTGTCTATTGATGGCGGATTACTCTTCTTCCCCCTTACTTCACTTAAGGTAGGCTGTCCTGTCCCTTCTTTTATAAGTATACTGTCTTTTCAAGCTCCTTTCTTGGTCTTCGAATACCCATCATTTGTTTCATAAATTAGCTTCAGCTTTCTCTGCGATTGGACGGTAGATAAAGCTGCGCTGAATCCAGTGTCCGGTCAAGATTCGACTTTGCTGGTTGGCTGAGTAAACGAGACTGGACGCCCCATACTGACTCTCACGACATCCTTGTTGCAAGGTGGTGTCCTGCTCAGAGGGCTTATTGGAGTTTGCAAGGAGACCCCTTTACCTCCTCTGTAACGAGATGCATCTGGGGGGCTACGGGTAATCGCACTTACTGTCTTCCACACCCTCTTTTTCGTCATCCGCTGCGCATCCGAAACGGCGAAGACGGAAAGATCCCGACAGCACCCTATTGGCATCAACAGCGGCTGTATCGCTGAAACTGGAAACTCGCAATACGATATAGGATTGCAAGATTGAGTATAGGTGCTTTTCGACGAACTATTACCTTTTTCTTCGCCAGAGGCAAAGTGGATATCAATACCGGAAATGAGGTGCGAGATAGTCTCCAACTTTTGATCTGACTATTGATCTCAAAGCACTGGCTCGCGCTTCATCCCCGTTCATCCAACGTCACATAATCTCTAGCCACCCCTAAGTTGATTGGAGATATTGCGCCATCTCAAAAAATCACCAGAGTAAACATTCCTTTCAAAGGCCAATCACAATTCCTGGAACCAGCAAAGATCTGAAAAAGTAAAATTGCTACCTGCAAACATATATTGCCATAATCGCCTCCCGTCTCGTCATCAACATCTTGAGCAGGGGTATTTTGGCTGTTATCGACTATTACCGCCGGACCTTCGGACATCCGTTCAACTGACCTGTTTCAACCACACCAAATTGTTCGCAAGCCACGAAGAAAACCTGGCAGCATATATGCAAAAGAAGTGTGGCACCAAGTCTGGAGATACGGTTTTCTCTCATTACTTACGGCGAGATTCTCGCCACTAATTGCCGCTAGTTGTGAGTTGCGTAGCTACTCTCTGTCTGACAAGGAGCATTCCAACATTTAGGGCTTTTTAGGACAGCGCCTGGGCAACTGGTAGCTGATCGTGCTCCAATAGATGCCGCGCCGGAAAACCTCCAACGCCTCGCCTGAGCCCCCTGCTGTGAGATTTTTAACCCCCCTGTTTCCGAACCTTGGTTTTTGTTGAGAGTTTACTTCATTTATTTGGCATGTGATCACTAATTTTAGGCTTCTGAAAGAAAAAAGGTCCAATCTGGGCCACCCCTTGTCGGCCATGCGCGGGAAGAATGGTGAAGAATCCCGGCCACATCTGCCGTGGACAAGGTGGTCCGTTCTTTTCTCATCTCTTTGCTCTCTTCTCCATGCCCTGCTTTATCATGATCGTGTCTTTCTACGATCTTCTGCATATCCCTTGTGGCAAAAAAATAATACAGCTGACATGAACCCTTGTCGGGCTGGCACGTTGTAGAGAATAGTGCAAAATGTTCTCACTGTGTCGCTGGCCACCACAGGTGCGAGGACGTATGTGGCCCCTCTAATCATCGTTGTCACTGTCCGCATTTGATATTCTTACTATCAGATTGCCCCCAACAGTATTCTACGATTTTTTACAAAACTCCTGCTGAGCACATCTTGTACATAGTTGCTTGTAGACAGAGATGGCAAAATCAAGCCTGCAGCGCGCGCCGTTGCTGCTGCTTCTCTCAAAGTGTCCCGGGGCGAGGAGGTCAGTGTTTCACTTACGGAATCGGTTGCTCGAGCGCCCTCTCTCTTTTCATAATCGTCATTGGTGTGCACATTGGAACGCCAGTTGCTTATTGAGCCGACAACTACAGAGCATTGCTTGCAACAATAGTGTCTACTCCTCTGCCCTTTACTCTATTTGGTGGCTAACACTTCTCGTGCTGCTCGCTACTAGGTTTCTGAATATGAAGACTTGGCGGCCAGATATAACTTGCTTGCTCGCCGAGAAGCTAAACGAAGGGCTCCGCCGTCATCTGCCTCTACGTCAACTGCAGACGCCGCCTCTGCTGTGAGTACGGATGCTCTAGCGGGACTGATACGGCGACAAAACGAAATCCTTCTGGATATCCGGGCGGAGCTGAGCGCAATGCGCGAGAGGTCTGGCGCAGGGACGCCCCCGGTGGAAGATTCAGATGTCCATGACGATGACTACGACCATGACTCGGAAACTGGGGAGTGATTTGTATTTGCGAGGCTTAGCTCAACTGCATGACGAGATGCTTGGCGCAACGTCTTATTCGATAATGGTCGACATGGAATATGTGTAAAGTGTCCGAGAGTGAGAATGATGGCATTGGCTTGCAATGTTGTGCTTTTGTTTTAGGGTTTTAATATCTTACTTTGGGTAGGCTTTGTGTTTTTTTTTTAGCCATATACGACCAAGTATTTCGACGAGTCAAAGATATGGACTTTCCGAACTTTCTAGTATCTCTTTGTCAACCGTCACGAACTGTAATAAAAAAAGTGTTATCTACTATGTTCGATGATTCTTCCTATTCTTATTATATGCCGCACAGCATCACAACTTGAGAGTATGGAGTGCGCATATATAGACTGGAGCTGAGCTAGGCTGCATGCATGGAGTTGTGGAGTATCCTCATGTAGGCCCAGTGACGTCTCTTAGAACTTGGGGGCAAGACTGTAAGCACGTAATCGAATATTGCATGACGCGAACTTGAGGGAATGTCTTATACTGGCGAATGAGCCAGGTTAGGACAAGATGCTCCGAGTAAAGCTAAGTGAGCTGCTGGTTTGAAGTTCTCAAGGCACTAGAGTATATATAATCGATAGGATCATGCCAGTCCTGGATGCATCCCCTTGGCTCTAACGAAAATGTAGGCGAGCTGAACATCCATCAGCATAACAAATCGGGCCAGCTGAAAACGGTGTGGTTTAAGATTGGCGCGCATAGCCGAGTCGGTATGATCTTGAAGAAGATTATATTAGTTAGATCAGAGAACCCAGTTATCCTACTATGCAGGGCGAGTGATTGACGGAGGCCTTGTCGAGTATGTCATGCGTACCGAAGAGGACGGCTATGACGAAACAAAGTCTGGAGCAGCTGAAGTCTACTGTTCCTTTTCTATAGAGTAACTGTGAATATGGCATTTAGTCGAAGTCTATTTCTTATCTTGTACTCTCATTAGGCTTGAATGCCAGCCGTCTACCTGTAAATGTATAGATAAGAGCACAACAATGTCTGGAATATTAGTTGCCCAAATGGGAGATTACTGAATTAGGAAATCTGCCTGACAGTTGGGCCAATGGCAGCGCAAGTAGTGGAGCCAGTCGGTCAGCGAAATGGTAAACTGTAGTGTCTACTCTTCGCTGCCATGAGACGCAAATTCCCGACAAAGCGCGGTAAATATGAAGTAAGTAGACATAAAAAGTTTTTAGAATGGATAGTACTATGCGTAGCATGTTTGATAGCACATTAGCCTGAGCCTGGCATTGCTCGTAGTGCGCGCATTCTGTTTGCTCTGACTTCATCAGAAGCTGAACTGACAATTGGGAAGAATTCATGTTGGGTATGTATATAAGCGCAGCTCAGATATATGCCCGTACCTAGTACGCCAAAACCAAAATTTATAATATAATACACAGCAAGATTTACGGAAGGGCGGAACACCATCGCCCACTTCGTTTCGCCAGCCCACAGAGCTGCGTATCAAATGTGACACCAGCCAGAGATCCGATCAAAATTCCCGCCGTTTCTCCAATCCCAATGCTTCCAAGCGCAAATTCTGCATCATTTTCCGAATGCCGGGTCAGATAGTCCATAGCCGCTCCAAAGATGTTCATATACGTCATTCCGCCCAGCCAGCCGATGGTAAATAGGCTGCCAAACAAGAAATACGCATTTGAAGTTAAAAGAAACGCCGTGTTGAGAATAGCAGCCGCAGTGCAAAAGACCAACAAGGCAAAGATGAGTCTTGTTCTCCTAGTGCGGAATAAAAGAGCGGTTGAGCGAGCCAGGAGATTCCCAAGCTGGAATGTGAGGCCATGTGCGGTTGAAAATGCTGAATAGCGTGAAAAAATGGGTAGCATGATGCTGGCGCGCGTTGTTCCCGGAGACACGAGGGCCTGGACTGCGGTAACGAGGAGAAGAGGGTTTATACAGAGCCGAAAGAGTTTGTTGCCCAAGAGATGCATATTGCTATGGAAGCGTACCCAAAAGCTCATACTTGTGGATGGTAATTCTCTAGAGAGGAGTGAGAGCTTCTGTGTTTCCATCTCAGACGAGAATTCGCCTTTGGGTGTCAAGTTTTCTAATTCATATTGTATAGGAGGTGAAGGCAAGAGTAGGAAGTATGAGGCCACGATACCCAAAAGTAGGCAGTAGGCATAGCCTATGCAGTCTCGCAAGACCATATTCGTATAAAGCGTTAGAACGGTCGGCAGTATGTCGCGCAATGCACTCCCGGCTGCAATTCCAGTTCCCCATCCAGCCAAAGCCGTCTTGCCATAAAGAGATAGCTGACTCGAGAAGAAAACTCTTCCAGTAGCAGCGCTTGCCGATGCAAGTATCGCAATTAGCGTGCGAATAGGCGCTATGACATTTGGAGGCGAGGCTTTGGTGACAATCGTAGCTAAGATCCAACAATTTGCAACAAGAACTGGCCAAGCCCAGTGCGGTACATAGTACAAGGCATGTGGAAAGAGAAGTTCAACGGCGAGAGCTGGAAGAAGCTCTATAACCAATACAATAGGCCGAGGAAATGGTATGATGAGATAAAGGCCAGAGAAGATGATATGGGGCAGAAGAGTGTTTGCAAAGCCTATCAATTGATGGATATTAGCCTGGAAACAGCGCCTGATATAAAACTTGTATGGGTTGATGCCTCCATCGGCAAAACGCTTACCAAAAATTCCAAACGCAGAAAAGACCCGTAGATTATATCCAGCAGAGGATATGGACACGGGCTTTTGAATGAATGACTTTGCTTCGGGCATACTGAAAGTGCAAAGTCGAAGTGAGTCGTATTAGCAAATTTGGCGGTGAAGCTGCAGCTAATCAAGGCCGTCGCATGTCTAGATATGTATTTGCTTCTTCTCCCTCGAATTTTCTTTTCAATTCTTTACCAATAGTGTTATAGTTCAAGATCAAGCGTCGCCCTGCAAACGAAGAATATGAACTCAGTCTTAGATGGCGAATGCAGTTGAGATTAACAATTGCCTCGTCTCACTTGATGATCTTGTATTGATCACTTCGGCAACCAAACTGCTCTGAAACGCAGCAACTCTTTGGATCGTATGAGGCACATACACACTGAAAAGGAGTGACGTTGCGTGGTTTGAGGCTGACCCCTTAGAAGTTGAGTCCCGCCCACGTGGTAGCGCGCCAGTTATATCTAGGTTCACCTGACTCGATACCGCAGACACCAAAATTGAAGAAATGACCAAAGATTTCAGAGTTTCTAAATCGGAGGGATAAGGAATCGAACCTCTTTTTAAACGATGTAAAGAATATAAAAAAAGGAGAAACGATGGTGACGCGTAGTCTCTTATCTTTTTCTTGCCTCTTCTCATCCACTCGATGGAGATGCCAATCGCTTCTTGATTTGGCCGTTTTACTGGAGCGCAAGACCCACGTTTGCTACGGGCTATGAGACTCGGACCTGCGATCAGCGGCAAAGACTCTCCGGATCATCGGTAGGACTTGTTAGGAACAAAAAAAGGAAAATCGATCGCTTAATCCCCTTTTCTTCACATGTTCTCGAAAAAAAAAAAAAAAAACTATCGCCAAAGTGATGCATCGCTAGTCGCGGCGACTGCTACCTATTTAGTAGAGACACTCAGTGCCCTCGCCTCATTCAGCAAAGGCTCTTTTACTACAGTTCCAGTAAAAGAAACATGAAACGCACACCTCCGGGATATTCTACCAGCATTTTAGACCGGCCGAATTCTAAAACGGATTATCGCATCTTACCAAACAATGAACATCAGGCCATGGCCGCCAGGGCCACTGGCTTCCGGCGATGCTCGCAGCTCATGTGCCGAGGCGTGATATGGCAAATCATATTCTTGATCGCTTTGACCATCAGCCTGTTCTTCTCAGCTCTGGTAAACAAAGACAATTCCATTTCTCTTTTCTTTCCATTTTCTCGAATTAGAATTAACGAGCACTCAGTCTGCATCCAATCATATGCGATATGGTCCCTCTCCCGAAGACAGGGCACCATCCTCCGGTGTCATTGGTCGACAAGTCATTGAAGCCCTCGGCCCCGTCCCCTCCAGAGATTCCGGTGGTGAGCGGCGGCTACGAGTCTTTATGCCAGCCGATTCGCCTCACATCAACCTTTGCAAAAGCGTCATGTCAGCAGTCGCTCTAGGCTATCCCCTGCCGACCCTGTTGAACTGGAGCGGCGAGTTCAACCACCCCGAATGGCACTTTGCAGGGAGCCACATTGCAAAACTTGAGAGCTTGCTCTCTGCCATTGAAGAGCTCTTGGGACAGACTGACTTGGATGGCGGTGCAGACGAACATGACTTGGCTGTGCTTGTCGACGCATACGATATATGGTTCCAGATGCCCCCGTCGGTGCTGATTCAGCGGTATCATCGCCTCAATAATGAGGCTAATGAGAGAATACGACGAGAATGGCGGGGAGCGCAGCAAAACTCAACTTCTGACTTCCCAATGTCTCCCCCAGAGCAGTCCATCATTGTCACCACCGCCAAGGACTGCCAGCCAGACTGGGAATCCGGCTCAGACCCCCATTACGCTCACTGGCCCCAATCGCCCATGCCGAGTGACTTGTACGGACAAGGCACCGACCAAGTACTACCACTGCTATTCGACCCAGCGCGCAAATACAAAAACATCCGGCCTCGCTGCATCAACAGCGGCATGATCATGGGTACCATGGGCGCCCTCCGCCAAGCCCTCCGGCGCTGCAAACGCAAAATCGAGACCGTTGCCCGCAGCGGCCGCCAGCTCTGGAGCGACCAAGCACTCCTTGCCGAAGTCGTTGGCGAGCAAGAGATGTGGCGGGAGTGGATGAGAGACCTAGAAACCACATGGGACGGCACCATGTCGAAATACGACTTTTCAACTCTCAGCCCAGAAATGCGCACCATTGCCGCAAAAGCGCTTACAGGCGAACAGTTCGAGTTCGGCATCGGACTCGATTACAACTTCACCACTATCCCGGCAACTTGCTCCTCCGAAGAAGACGGCAGCTTTATCAAATTCAGCGATGAAAACGCCATACGGGAAGCATCACTCCAAGCCGGCGTGCCCAACGGCCCGCGCATAACCACTCTCCCCGAAGAACTCACAAACCAAGCAGACACCGAAAAGGGTCCTCTCTCAAACATCCTATGGGGCAACGTCCCTCTCTATACAGATCTCTTCTTCGGCGTCACCCCAGTGGGCATCCACCACAACGCGTACATCGACGGCCTCAAGCCAAAACGCTTAAAACAGTGGTGGAGCAAGATGTGGTTCTATCCCCTACTCCGAGAACTAGTAATCGCGCACTTGCAGAGCCTCGAGACAAAAAGGCCACTTCTGAATATGCCCTCTCGGCAAGATAGAAAAGCAGATGTAACGTATTGGCCACCAGGCATGCAGAGTCACGTCAAGCAAGTGACCGTGTTTGAACCGGCGACTGCTGAGAAGCCCGCCAAATTGACGCCGATAGACTGGGACGGCATTTGCCAGAAAGGACGCACGCCATGGTATGATGAGCTTTTCGGTGATGATAACGGGCCTTTACAGATTAAATAACTAGAAGAGAGAATTCCTTTTTGAATAGTATACAGCAAAGGCACCATAGGATGAAGCAATACTTTTGGTTTATTTCATTTCCACTTGTACCAAATCGGATGATGCGGTTTGACGTTTAACAAAGTCCAATTCATGAAGCAGCTCGCGTTCTTTAGCCACTTACAACATGCGATGATGAAAAATGAAATCATCTGTCCTTGTTCCGTTGCATATGGAAAGCCTATGTACCCATTTCCTAACTACTCCAGCCCTTGATATACTTCCATCCGTCTCATTAATAATAATCCTACATCATACCATAACCCACCCGCTTAATCCTGAAAATCACGTTGGACGAAGAGAGAGTCTCTCGAAAAATCTCAAAGATACCCATCGAACAATCTATCCATCCCGTCATTAGAGTATATATGCCACCTCTTCGTTTACCCTGACAATTTCGCAGAGACTGCGCAACAGCAGCACATCTGCATCCTCCATGTCCATCTCCACCACTTTCTCTCCCGCCGCTCCACTTTCGGACATCAATCTGGCGGCCGCAATAAGGCGTCGTATGCACCGCAGCAGCTCTGTCTGAATGTTTCTGATGGCCATGTCCTGGCTTGCAAAAGTACCCACTGGGCTAGCACTCCTCCCATCATCCTTGCCCCATTGCGTGAAACTGTTCCTTTTTGCAGAGCGAACAGATGCCGCCGAAGTCACGGTTGTTGCCTCGTTGAGACCAAGAAGAGATGCTGCCTTTCTAGGAATATCATCGCCCTGTAATTCTATGGGCGAGCATGAGCGTCCGGGGGCCATTGGCGCCGGAAATCGGGCAACAAGAGCAGATATGTAATTGTAGGCGACAATGTGGCAATAGAGTGCTTCACAGATGTAGTCAGAGCAATTGCCAAATATATTCTTGATTGATGCCCACGGCTTGGGAGATTCCAGGGAGCTTGAGCTAGGTGATTGCAGGTTATTTGCACCACCAGCGGCATGCGGATCGCGCGTCTTGAGAGGCATCTGTGACCCTCTCTTGACAACTCTTCTCCACAATGACTGTCTCGATGGAGTAGTTGGGAATTGAGGGCTGGGAAGAGGAGAGGTATCTGTTGCAGGATGTCTAGCCTTCCTGGAGTAGGCTCGGATTGTATCAATAGTTAAGCTGGATGAGTCGAGCATCGTGTCAGGAAAACACGCCGTGTTTACCCTCAGGTTCTCCATGACATTGGGTGGTAGGGGAACTACACGAGCCAGCTCATCGCTTTGAAAAGGTAACGAAAAAAGCTGCGCGCTCCCGTTGAGCCACATTTGCACACTGGGGAGAGGCGACGGAGGGGGTGAGGGGCGGATGTAGACACCGTCGTATCTGGGCGCCTGTTTTGTATCGATGCAAGACACGAAATGATTGTACTCTGGCGTAGCACGCTCGTAAGTCGTTGACGCAGCCTCAGCCGCGTGACTGCCAGCCCGTTTCTTGATCGACGTATTGCTTGTACGCCGGGAGAGACCACTCTCGGGTGGATACTGTGGGCTCTGTAACGATGGTATGGAAGGCGTACATTGTGGCATAGGCAGATAGAGGCTTTCTGGGCTGTCGGGATACCGCATCTGCCCAGGGTACTGCGTTGAGTTAGGCCGCCACGTCTGTGCCATCGAGTTGCTCAAGTGTTGCCCTAGCGGTGGTGGCGCGATACCCGAGGACCCTGTGACTGAATGCGCCTTTCGATGCAGATATTTATGCGTGCTTCCGCCTACAGAAATAGAGCCACTGCTGGCTTCGAATTCTGGCGGCGTTGGCGGCCTCGGCGAAAGGTGAAGCACAGTGCTATAAATCCCAGCCTCTTCCCTGTACTCGTCTTCAGCGTCTGAATCAGCTTCGATCCAACTGCTATCATGCCGGGAACCCTCAGATCGCGATATTGGCGATATGTTTGATGAAGGGGGCTTCTCGTTTGCCAACTGCAGCTTCGATACTCTCTTGTGTATGGACAGATGCGGTACCAGAAATGAGGGGGGCTCTGCAGAATATATCGATGAAGTCTCGGTCTCAGTTGCAGAGCAGGAATCAGATGTCATGTCGTGTAATCGGTCGCTTTCTTGCTGGTCAAGGAAGGATACCATTGAGTGTCGCTCTTGGATAGATCCAAGAGCCTGGACGCGTAGATGAGCGGACTGATATGGCGAAAAAGTAGGCCGAAAAGGAACCGTAGCGACCTTTGGCTTGTCCACATGGCCATTGAATGACGAAGCAGTAGGCGGAATAGGCGGTCCAGCTGTCATGCTTTTGGCTTCAAAGATTGGTGTGGATATTTCCAGGTCTCGGGCAAGTAGTTCTGGAAAATAGTCGTCCACTCGCTGCTCCAAAGCTTCGTCAGGTAGCTGGCTATTGAGACTCGAACAAGGCGATGTCGATGATAATGTAAGTGGCAGCAGACCTTTCATACTTGACACTCTTCTCCGCGTGGCCCTGGCCAGGGTGATCTTGGTCGGTGCGCTCCTAGAGCTGTTGGCAGACTGTTCTAGAAAACAGGTTGGCGAAGTGGCTGTTTGCAAACTAGTAACCGACATTTAGGCTACGTCAATCCCGACTCAGCCTGGGGATGGCAGATTTATATCATGAGAGGGGATAGACAAGCTAGTAGTAAATCTATCAGAGTTTCTAAATCCAGATACCGGCTGGTGAGCAGTGGTAGTGGTTGAAATTCAGGGCTAGGCTGTTGTACGAGACGACTGGCGGAAAAAGCAAGACACAGACAGAGTCAAACACAAGGGATGGGATGTTGGCAGCCCAACTACTACTAGTAGTAGTAATAGTACTTTGTACTCTCTTGCATTTCAGAGAGTTTGTGGGAAGAGATGATGGGCAGGACGAATGGTTCGTGATAGGAAAGTTGTTTCAGATGGTATTGAACAAGTCAACTTGCCGAGAAGCTGAAATCCGATGCACTGAGCAACCGGATGAGGGGCCGATCTAGCACATGCATATGTACCAAAAAAAAGTGATATCTCAAATGTCGACTGCGTATAATAAATGGTACTGCAAGGAGCCTCATTGCGATGGCCAAAGTATGGAGACTTTTGAGAAGGGTGACTACACCCTAGCTAGTAGCACAAGCAAAAGCCATATTCAGGGGTTGGCGCGGACCAGAAGAAAGATGCAGCTCCAGTTTAGTGTAGGCCATTGTTAGCCTATGGATTATTGACTTGGAAGGGAGAGGCGGACGGCATGTTGAGAGTGAAGAGAAAATGCTAGGCATCACCAAGCTCCAACTCGTCAAGGTCAAAGCCCAGGCCTCTATCTGGCTAAGACAAACTCCGATATTCGACCACTGTTTCGTTCTAGCACCAAGCTCAGGTCGAGGGAATCTCGCTTGTGCCGTCTTCTTTAGCACCTTGCGTGTTTCGGCGTCCGATTTTTGCTCTGCACTTTTTCCTGTTTGCAGCAAATACAAGGGCTGCTAGCAAAAAGAGCGTCGAAGTAAGAGGCCCTGGAGGCGTACCATGGCCGTCAAGACGGACCCACGTCACTTGTATCATGGCCACTTTTTAATCTCCTCTGTGGTTTCCTGCAAGGGGGGGTATGCGAGCGCCTGCAGCTAATAAGTAGCTATCTCTTTTGGTCATAGTCGGAAGACTCTTAGACAGCCAATGCTTTCGGGAGAAGTGGCTCGCCTCGATCCGTACCAATGATGCTTGCCATGTCGTGCCCGGATGAGGATCACGAATCAGAGTTCTTTCGGCTCAACGGTGTTTTCTGTTTGGAGAGCAACAGTCATCTCCTGAGGGCTAGGGAGCTACAAGTATATTCATCGGAGAGCTAGAGCAAGGCAGTTTCGTGTGACTCCAGCTCCGCAGCGACAGATAGGGAGTACTGCTCACTAGTAGAAGTAGTATTCGTAGTGCAAATAGGTTACCACCCAGCTAGTGAGTACAGATATCCTTGCGAGTAGCTGTTTTCTTTCCTTTTTTTGCCTTTACTCTTTGCTCTCCTCTTCTTTTTTCGTTTCTTTTTTCTTTCTGGCCTGAGAGTGGCGTGAGGAGCGGAGCTTTCCAAGGCACGAAGTAGCAGCTAGTGCCTCCGGTTTGTCTTCGCAATTGCTTCGTGCACGCACAATTACCAGGTCCGTGAGAGAGATGGCACCTATGGGTGTAATTCACAGTATTAGACAATACTACGCCAAAGTCAGCTCTCTGTCGGTTTCGTTCCAGGGTTGATTGTGGTACAGAACACTACTCCGTACCATCTGAGGGGCTGAGGACGCTGCCCCTGCACTCCGGGTCTGTTGTTGGCCGCATGCAAGAAAAAGGAAAGAAAAAGTAATTAATCAGAGCCACGGTCTCGACAGGCGAGTGGCAGGGTTCGCGTCGTATCCCGTGCCCCCCGAAGACCTTGCAATGACGGCCCAGCAGCCTCTCGCTGAGGAAATGCTCCAGGTCCGGGTATGAATGCATATGCAAACCATCATGTCGAACCATCAGGCCAGTATCATCAGCTCCTTAACCGGCATAGAGGAGCTGCAGTGCTGCGGAGTCTCGGGGCATCCACCACCACATGGTCGCGCTCTGGGCAGCGACAGCGAGCTGAGCGGAAGTTGAGCATGTCATATCCGGAGACCCCGCAGATCCAACTTGGAGTTAGATTAGGTGCACGATACTACGGCTCGGAGGGGTCATCCTGGGTCAAGGGCGAGACAGGCCACTAGGAGCCGGGCTTCTCAACGCAAGGGACGCAAATGATGAGCTGGCAGCCGATAGTCGCTGTGGCGATATGCAGGGCGCGGCCTGGAGCTGGGCTCGTACATCGTACTCGCATATGCATCTTGGATGGGCCGGTGAGACGCCGCATCACAGACAGATAGGCAGAGGCGGAGATGAGGTTGAGAACGCAATAGTCTGTGGCCGGCGAGAGGCGCAAAGCAGGGAGAGCCAGGATGGGCCTAGCCAGGCCTGCTAATCAGATAAGTCGCCTACAGATGATCGGACGCTGGTGGCTAGAGGCCCGCCAAGGGGCGCTAATAGGCGGCATCAGAAGGACCCAGAGGCTCTGAAAAGGCCTGGATCCGATGGGCTGCTGGAGTTGGGCGCCCCAGATAGCGGGTCACCGTGCATTTCCAGCTAGACGTCAAATTTCGCGGATTTCTTCCAACGGCTAGTTTTTTCTTTGCTTTTTTGAAGCTGGACCGTGAGATTGAAACTCATACCGCAACCACGCGACCAGACGTAAAGCTGCTAGGGGCACACGATATCCGAACTCCGCATCTACAGCTGAATTACTAGTGGGCAGGCCATTGGCATTAGCATCTCCTTGTCACTGCTTTGGCTGCCATTGGTGATCTCAATACCAGCGAGGATTGGCATCAGTCTAGGCCTGATAGCCAAGGACTTCAGAATAACAGTCTGGGTTTCAAGTGCCCGAAAACGCCACTTTTCAAGGTCCAGTCATCCCCAGGGCATACCCAGTCGCCATGCTATCAGACGAGCTCTTCTCTTCGGTGTGCGGGCCACCCATAGCTGCCAACACGGCGATATCAAAAGACGTTGGCATCTACGCACACACACTATCACCCACGTGGGCTGTCAAGTCATCCTTCAAGAAGAGCTCGGCACCAGTTCACTGTTTAGCTATAAGCGATTCTCATGTGTTTGCTGCCCAAGATCAGAAAGCTCATGTTCATGTCTATTCTCGAGCCCGGGGAAACCAAGAAGCTCTTGTTCCTTTTCAGGAAAGGATAAGATGCCTCGCTCTCGCTGGGGACGTTCTTATTCTAGGTACAGCTGAGGGCCGGTTAATACTCTGGGAAGTATGTTTAGTCTCCTCATTTTCTGCTCTCTCTCTTTGCTTTTGCTTCAATGATTCAGTCATTTTTCACATGGCGAAATGCCAGGGTGCTCGCCTATCCGTGTCAGATATACTAACATGGAAGTCTAGACTTGTACAGGGCGACAAATCACAACGCCTCCATGCCATGTGCAGGCCGTTAGCTGCATTGCCGTATCTCCTAGCCACGTGCTGTCAGCCTCGGATGATTCTAATGTCAACGTGTGGTCCCTGCCACGTCTCCTGGAGGCTGGGCAGGATATTGGCCATGAGCCTGATAGGACCTTGTCCAACCACCGAGCTGCCGTCATCGACCTTGTGCTGGGTCCAGGCTCCAACCCCGAGACGAGCCTCTGCGTATCTGCAAGCAAGGATAAGACCTGCATTCTATGGAACTACCAGTCAGGCCAGGTCCTGCGGACGCTGTTGTTCCCTACAGCTCCTCTCTGCATATCTTTGGATCCTTGTGCTCGAACCCTCTACGTTTCTTCCGAGGATGCCAGCCTCTACCTCGTTGAACTGTTTGGCGACAAGCCCCTTCTGGGATCCCGCAGTGCTGAGCTAGCATCCATCGTTATGCAGATCAACTCTCCCTTGGGAGTGGCCGATGAAGATGTAGGACCTGCCTCCTGCATGACAGTAAGCCATGGCGGTACTTCCATCATTACAGGCCATGTTAAGGGCAAGATTCTCAAATGGAATCTCGTTGATAACAGCCATCCCGCGGAGTTGGCAAATCTCAACGCATCTGTCACCAATGTGGTGTTTGCCCCTTTCCTTTCAGAGAAGAAGCACACTCAAGCTGTCACTGTCGTAAAACCAAACCAGTCTCAGAGACAGTACACTCTAACGACTCAGCTGGAGGGAGACTTGGATCATGATACGAGATTCAACCAGATGCTTAGTGCCAACGGCTTCTCATCTGAAACCATTGCGCAAGCCTTGGCATCGTTTGCTGCCTCTGGAGGATCCAGCTCATGACCTGTCAAAAATTGATAAATTAGAGGGATTACTAAAAGTTATTATGCGTCAATGGAGAACATACCCCGAGGCTGTTTCAATACTCTTGCCAAAGAGGCGAACATGCTTGCATTACATCCAAATCTTACATAGACTTCTGACTCAAGGTGCACAAAATAAATGCCATCAGTGCGAATAAGGAATAACCAATTTTTCTTCGCAGATATAACAATCACTGCATTTGAACGACTACATCAACAGAGAAAAAGTGATCAATTTGCCACGCCACCTGCCCATATATGGGGCAAACCTCGTAGTTTATTTGCCTGCTGTGGACGGATGACAGCTGCGCAGGTCCCATGTTAAACGTACTACAGGCATGTTTAGGATAAACACTAGTAACGAATCTTACTCAGAGTAGTACATGGCCGCCCAAGGCCCTGAATCAGACAGCCCAGCTGAATATACCGGATGCCTTCGGCTGTTCGGAGACAGCAGCAGCATCCACTCGGTCCAAAGCTATCAGCGGGCGACTCTCAATGTTGAAATTCGCCGGGCAAAGCTCGGACGGGGCTCCCGTTCGGAGCAGGGATTTCTCCGGCCCGACTAACACCGAACCGCCCGCCGTCATTATCAATGTTTGGTGTATGCGGAATGAACGCCCATACTTGCAATCGGCAACAACACATCACCACATCACCACTACACAATGTCTTTAGTCGGCACCTTACGGGGTGATTTACCACAGCAGACGCGATCACTGGTAAGTCGATTTCTCCCGACGCGAAAGCGCAACAAGGGCTGTTGCCTCGGCGAGACTACATATTGCTATGGTGGGGGATGCATGAAAACAGCAATATGGACGCTCACAAGCTTTGGGCATGGCTTGAACTTTGGTATACACTCAGGCTAACTGTGATTGTCATTTTAGTATCGACAGTTGTTGCGCCAGAGCAAAGAATTCAGCTCCTACAATTTCCGCGAATATGCGAGGCGACGGACCCGAGATGCTTTCCGAGAAAATATTGCGGTACAAGATTCGCGCCAGATCCAAGAGCTGATCCAGAAGGGGCTGAAGGAACTCCAGACGATGAAGGTATGAGATGAGGCTGCTCTCTGGCGTTTCTTCTCGCGAGCAAGGTACTAACGGCCATGACAGCGACAAACCATCATTGGACAGTTCTACAAGCTGGATCGATTAGTAGTGGAGGGCGGACAATCGGTATATCGCTCCCTTTCTGAGGCTTGCAATGTTTTAAACGCTGACTTTGATGATTCAGGGCAAAGAAACCGGCCATTCAGGAGAGATATTAAGGCAAAAAGACACAGGGTGAGTCTAGACGCCCTGGACCATTGGAGACTGCCGAAATCGCTAACAGATACATGTATAGGCATGACTGATTACGCAACGGATGCATGCATTAACGACGAAAATAATCACGGGCGGAATGATGGCTGTACAGTAGGATGGCAATGGGCTTGTACATCATACATATACCACTGGAATATCGAGAGACGACTTTTCGGCTTGGTTTAGGAGTATTGCGGGATCGTTATGAAACAAATATTAGACTACTACACTACAACAAATCTCAATTCTGGTTGCGACAACTCGCCGGTGTCCAAGTTGAGCCTAATGGGGCAGATTATGATCATCTTGTCGCTACGAGCTCGACGTCTTGGCCCTACGGGACGTCAATTGAGGAGATGTGATGAGATGGAGTTGCGCTGGAATTGCATCATGCTGCTGGGTACTCGCCAGCTATTACTACAGCGATCACAGAGGCCTAGAGTGCTAGAGATGGTACATACCTACTTATAAGTGCCCCATCTCGAGAGGCTGAACAACGTTTAAACTTGATTCGTCCAACTCCAAACTACTTGATTTAAGCAGTTCAAGACGAGTTGGAGACATCTCCCATTGTCAATTACCCTCAATTACAAAATAGCTTATCACAGCAAAGCACAGCCATTCTTGGCATTCATGGATTCTAGTCATCTTTCATGCGCTGCAATCTGCAAGAGGCGCACTACGGCACGCTTATGTCATCATTCTGCAACACCTCTAATTGGCTGCATGCGCATCGTTTTCGCCAGTCAACTTCCGGGTCGTGTCCCGGTCGTCAATTGATTCGTCCTAGACATTGCAGCGTATCAGACGATCCTCGCTCCGGGCGCATCGCAAGACGCACGACTTGAGCATCCGCCCTGCTATCGCGCTGAATTCCGCGCCGCTACGTCACAGGCGAGGCCGCTTTCTGCAGCAATCCGTGCAGCGCAATGGCCCCAGGAGTATGTTCTGGTCGCGATCAAGACTGCGCGACACTCTCGGCTGACAAGATCTTCTAGACAAGACGCGCTGGCCGCAGCGGCTACGCCGAGCACGACGACTTTGAAGGTTTGCCGACACTGCGCTCAACCCATGACGCGACAGCAGCTGATAATCGCAGGTCTTCCCGTCCGTCAATGGCGGCCCGAATGGGTCAACGTCGCGCCTCCGGTGCAGCAGGAGCAGCAGCAGCAAAACGACATCTGGGCCATCGAGCTCATCCACGGCATGCCCAAAGATGCGACTCTGCTGCCGCCGCACACGCAGGAGCTTCTCCGCGCTGCGCGTTCCGGCCGGCTATACAAGCGCCCGCACCCAAACGAGGATGAGGAGGCGGATAACGAGACCAGCATGCAGGACAAGCTCGAGAAGAAAGAGGAGGATACAAGCGCGCAGGGTTATCAGATCCGGGTTTGGAAGCAGCTGCCCAAGAATGTCGAGGCACCGGAGATCTCGCACCTCGCTAAGCGTAGGAAGAACACCGTCACCACGGCGAGCCGAACGATAGAGGAGAAGGTCCAAGGGCCGACGGTGACCAGGGCCACAGTCCGGCGGATGGACGCAGCTGGAAACCCGTACACGGAGGAAGTTACTCTGTCCGAAGGCCAACGGGTAGACGGCGAAGTCATATCAACCAGGGTCGAGGCCATCCCCGCGGCACAGCCAGATACCTATGCTGCCATGTCGCAGGCAGCAGCCAGGAGAAGGCCGCCGCCACCGAAGAGAAAAGCAAAGGCTGGGCCTGGGCGAGGCAAGAAGAAGTCAAGACAGCAGCCCTCTGCAGATCAGCAGGCGGCCAGAAGTGTGCCTGCAGCGGCTGGAGTCGCAGCAGCGATCAAGACTGAGAGCAATGGAGGAGTCGTAAGTGTCTCGCTAAACAGCTGCTGCGTCAACTTGAAACTAACTTTTTTGGAATGTAGACACTCGCACAAAACGAAAACGCGCCTCCGAATGTGGATAGCGAAATTGGCGATGGCGAAGGCGACGGGGATGAAGAGGAGGATGATGATGAAGAGGGCGACGACGGTGACGAGGGCGAAGATGGAGAAGAAGGCGAAGGCGACGAAACTGGTTTTGTCGATGAATCCATTCTAGATGCTCCCAAGGATCACGATGAAGAAATGGCCGATGCGTCTCACATAATTGAGAACCCTGATACTGAGATGCAGGATGAACAGCCGGCGCCAGAAGAGCCAGCGCCAAGAGAGCCCTCGCCTCCCAAGCCAGCAAATCCTACACTCGAACTACCTCCGGAGAACCCTCTTTCTCTGCCGATCAAGCACGAAGACACGCCTCCTAGGAATACCGTCATCGTGCCCTCTCCATCCGCGCCATCGGTGAGCACCGAGCCCGAGGCCGCAATTGCTCAGCCCTTTTTGGATTTGCCTGTTGTCGATAACACAGCCGACTCTACTGTCGCTGAGCCGCCTTCAACAATCGTTGGAGAAGCTCCTCAGGAGGCTATTGAGCGAGATATTCCGCATGATGAAGCTGCCCTTGAAAGAGCCCTTGAAAGACCCGTTGAACAAGCGGCTTTGCCTCCTCCTGACCAAGTAGGCAATATCTCAAGCCCGAGGGCTGAAGATGAAAGCTTCCGAGCCTCTGATGAAGCTTCCAAGGGACAAGACAGCGTCCAACCCGATGCCAGCGTCCAAAGACCGATGATAATGCATCAGCTGTCTACAATGACCGAGGATACCATCAAGCCGGAGGACTCAGTCTCGGTAACAGCTCCTATGCCTGGATCTGGGGCACCTTCGGAACTTGGAAACGTATCAGTAGATGATGGAAAGGAAGAGACTGTAGCTGCAAGCACAAGGGCTGAGTCAACTGAACCGCAGGTGGTTGCTCCTGAAGCAGCTGACGATGCTCCTACGGCCAAGGAGGAAGAGGACGAGCCGGATCTGCTTGGAGGTCTGATGGGAGAACTTGATCGCCAGGCAGCTGCGTCACAGCTACTGGAAGAAGTTATTAAGCCCGACACCACGTCCGCCCCCGAGGCTGAACCTGAGAGTCCTGTTGATACAACACTACCTGACGTTGCTGAACCTGAAGGTCCTGTTGATACAACGCTACCTGACGTTGCTGAACCTGAAGTTGAAGCTGAGCCTGAAGCTGAGCCTGAAGCTGAGCCCCAAGTTGAACCCCAAGTTGAGCCTGAAGCTCAGCCCCAAGTTGAACCCCAAGTTGAGCCAGCGGCTGAGCCTCAAGTTGAGCCTCAGGTTGAGCCAGTAGCTGAGCCTCAGGTTGAGCCAGTAGCTGAGCCAGTAGCTGAGCCTGAAGCTGAGCCTGAAGCTGAGCCAGTAGCTGAGCCTGAAGCTGAGCCTGAAACTGTGCCTGAAGCCGAGGCCGCACCGCCCGTCACTGAAGACGACGCCATGCACGACATCCCGCAGCCAGAGACACTGCCTGAGCCAGAGCAGGAATCAAAACTAGAAGATGAACCAAACCCGGAGCCAGAGTCCCAACATGAGCTAGAGCCAGAGCCAGAGTCAAAGCCAGAACCTGAGCCAGAGTTGAAACACGAACCGGAACCTGCGCCTAAATTAGAGCCTGAAACTGTGCCGGAAGACGAGCCCATGGCAGATGCAGCTTCGCCAGTGAAGTCAGAACCTCCCGCTGAAGAAGGACCAGGAGAAAAAGCAGACCCGCCGGCCAACGCATAAATTAGCTTCATGGCTTGACGCCATTCGATACGACACCCTTTATGCGCACAGAGAGATTTATCTATATATATATGCAGTGGTGTTTCTATTCACCGGGTCCTTTAGTATTGTCTTATCAATGACATTGACGTACGAATTATCTTTACAAACACGAAGAGCAGTCTGGAGATATTTGCGGTGACTTTGTTGGGATAACGTTTCAATCTTTTTTTCTGTTAACACGCTATATTTTTTTATCGAATTATGTTTTGTTATGATGGAGTGTATGAGTTCTACCTATCACCGTACGAGCGTTTATAAAAGAATACAATATAACTAAGGGCAGGGGAGAATTACAAGTCTTTCTTCATACACATGTCTATATATCTAACCTAGCACAACGCCTCTTCCTTCTAGAAATGAAACTCCCATCTGAATCACTGACTAGGTACTGGTACAATGTGAACGGGGATCCCATCCGCCGCATCAATCTGCCCATCCGCCGCCAACCTCGGATCCAACGGCGCAATCTGCACTTTTCCCACCTTCAACCTGCCCACCCGCCGGCCATGCATCTGCAAGCTCGTCGAGTGAGCATTGCTCAGGCCCAAAAGACCCGCGCTGACGAGCAGCAGCGCCATGAGCACAATGGCGCCCGCCTGCGAGAGGTTGCCGCTCAGCGAGGCCACCATGTACACGATGAGCTTGGACATTGCCTCGAGATAGCCCTCCAGCGTCGTCTTGGCCCGCAGCCACGTCTCCGTCGTCACGGCGCGCAGGTCGGCGTCCAGGCCCTTGAGCACGACGCGCCGGTTCTGGCCCCAGTCGATGGTGTACTCCGTCATGCCCGTGTCCTCCCTCTTGAGCGAAAAGGGCAGCGGCAGCGAGGCCTTTGAACCCGCCACCGCAGTTGGCTCTGGCGACGTGACTGGTACAGCCACAGGCACATCCTTTGCGGGCGGAGGAACAGGTGTAAGAGGCGCAGGCGGCGTAGCAGGTCGCGAACGCTCCTTGATGGCCCAGATATTCGCCAGCCGCGACACCATGAGCGCAATGATGAAGCCCAGCCCCCACCAGTCCTGCAGCAACACCATAAACACAATCGCCGACACCGTCAGCAGCGGACTCAGCAGGTACAGCACATGGCTCACCCAGTCCATCTCCAGCACCTCCCTCACATGGCTCTCGTGATCAATCTCCCGCAACTTCCTCAGCCCGCGCTGCTGCCTCCTCTGCCACCTCCTCCTCGTATTATCCCTCTTCCCAGCAGCCTCATGGCCCAGCAGCAGCGACAGCGACGACGCAAACGCCAACACGCTCCCGCCAAACCCTTCACCCGGGTCCATCTCCACATACAGCGTCACAACGCCGTACTTGCCCTGCCGCTCCCACAGCCGCCGTAGATACTTGACCATGGCCACGTTATTAACAACGTAGTGCTTCCCGCCGTCCAGCGCCATTGACAGCACCGGCCTGCCGGCGCCATACTCGGGCGTTAGCGAGTCCGCCGCCTGCTGGTAGTGCAGGCCCGGCGCGAGCACAAAGGCATCCAGCCAGGAAGAGCCGCCGGCGATGGCGGTGCGCTGGGCGATGGTGTTGAGGTCTGCGAGGGCGAGGAGGCCGCCTGCGGAGAGGGAGAGGTTGGGGATGGGCGTGGCGGTCCAGGAGGCGATGAAGGGGTGGTTTGGGTCCATGGAAGGGGAAAAGCGAAGAAAAGACAGACTTGAACGAGTGTGTTTAGATGGAATGAGTTGATGTCAGATACAAAGTTGAATAGCACGTCAGCTCGTGTAAGTCGCAGACAAATCCATCACAAGCAAATATATCAAACATCTATTACAAAAACCAACACAACGCCAATAAATAATCAAACCCAACCAGTCAAGCATTTAAAACAAGTAAAAAGAGCCCTCCAGGCATCCCATCACACTTCAACCTCTCCAAACCGCAGCGCCCGTTTTAACTGCCTGCAGCGCATAACACAAGGCTCACCTGGCCCAGGCAACAATCATTTTTCATCTCTGCCATGATGTAACCCCACGCGGCCGATTCCTCACGGGACCAGCGAAATGATGATCGTGGTCAAAGGCTGTCGGCTGATAGGATGAGCCTATGAGAGTCTTTTAAAAGGGTAGGGCTTTTTGGGGGGTGCTCGTGTGGATGCGAGATCTTGTGACATGAACTGCACGGGTTTTATTACAAGGGTGTGGTTTTGGGATCGCGGGGAATTTGGATCCTACCCTGGACTTTGCCGGAAACCTGGAGGTTACATGGCAGTCAATTAGAGATGGTGATTGAAGCATGTTTATTATTAATCTTATTATTTTCATTTACTTTGTTTCTCGCTTTCCCGAGAGGCGGATCTCGCACTTGCACTCATTGCCGATGCTGTCACATATCAGCCAGCTAAATCAAATACACACATAGTCAGACTGTTGCCGGCTCCTTTCCCGCCCACGCTTCTCTTACAGATCCCATTCTTTCCAATTCCACTGAGTGCGTCCTCATCCTCTCAACTGGCGTCACTTGACCATCTTCAGATCCCTCTGCTTCTGTGCCTCCTTCTTCTCCGTCTTCTTCTCCATCATTCCCCCCCTTTCCCCCTTTCTCACCCTCAGTAGAGTCTTCATCATCGCCTCCTTCACCACAGTCATCGTAGCTTCCCATAGAGTCTCCTCCACCGCCTGTTGGACTTGTTCCGTCTCCACTGCTCAGTTCTTCATCGGCATCCTATGCTCCGGCAAACTCAGGTGAGCGTGAGCCGCGCACGTCAGTGTCAGAAACACCCGCCGGCCTACAGCCACGCAGCAGCTTCTCCATGAGAAGGCGCAAGACAAATGTCGTCCACCACTCCGCAGTGTAGAAAATGCTCACATCGTAGTCCTCGAGGCGAGGTGTCCCAGGTGTCCCCATCCATAGCCCGCCAGGTAGCCGCAAGGTATAGTCGATTGCACTCGCGATGCTGTCATAATCTCCCCGGCGATATGGGACCACCCCCGGAGCCTGATAAAGAATCGGATTTACATCTGAGACAATGGGGCGTTTATTGCCTGTCGGCTGGCAAACAAAATACTCTAGGGCTGCCGTCATGGGACCGCCGGGAGCAAAGGAGAAAATGGCTGCATCGCTGCATCGTACCAGAGCATGAAAATCAAGCTCTGAAACACGACCTTCACACCATATAGACTATATAGGTTGCGTATATTCGCTCAAGCCAATCAAGTTATCGAATATACTGTAGTCTTCAAGGGGATCGTTAGCCCTAGATGTGCATACTACTTGTAATAAGATGGCGGATTCCCCCCACCAGGCCACCTGTTCCAGCAATCGAGAGTATCCTCTCGATACTTCTCTCATCTCCGCCTGGCTGCTAGGCGTGCCGTACGAAAAGATAAGCGCTCTGTTTTGGAAAGCTCTTCTTAGAGTCTCGCACCGTTCGCTGACTGCTTCGCTTTGTGCAACTGATAGGATGCCGGATACATGAATCCCCATTGGAAGACTGTAGCATGAATCCATAGCTCGAGTTGCCCAGTATGATGGCCGATCTGAGGATTTCTGTTCACACCAACTACTGAAATCCACCGTGTCTTGGGGCTCCAGAAAGGTGATGATATTCGATCCAAGGATACCTTCAACGAATTCTCCGAGCCGCCCTGGCATCTCAAGTATACGACGGCAGGGAGTGTGCATGGAAAATGTGACATTTGCGTCCGGCAAGCGTCGTCGAAGAAGGCGAGGCAGCATCATCAGATGATAATCATGAACCATGATGACATCTCCCGGCGTGTATATTTCGTGGATTTTGTCGAAAAAGCACTCCATCACGAAGTAATAGTCGCGCCATATTTCCTGAGACTCGAAATCGGTTGACGAAAGTTTATCGCCGAGAAAATATGGGCAAAGGACGTTATCAACAAGCCGCCTCCATCTGGTTTGCCTCCTCAAGAGGACTCCATCTGCTGAAAATTCCGACAAGGCCGCCAACTAGATTGGCACTGTTTTGAGACCAGCATGGTACAGCTGCCGTTCAAGCCCTTCTTTGTTGCGGTAATCGACGAGTCCTTCGTCTTCGGGTTCGTTCTGTGGCGGAAGCGGATGATCACTGCCAGGTGTTTCAGAAAACTCAACTTCTTCGATTATACTCTCCAGGCATATCGTGTCTTCATCACTGCCAGATGTTTCATCATACTCAACTACTTCGGGTGTACTCTCCAAGTCTAATGTGTCTTCATCACTACCAGCTGTTCCGGAAAACTTTACTTCCCCGGTCCAGCCAACGATGATGTGATCCCAAGGAGAATATGGAGATGAGAGCTGATTCAAGACGTCGAACTGAACCGAATGATCATGGCGGTTGCAGAGATCTACTCGCTACTTGGGTCAGCTCTCGAAATCCCATCCGGGCTATAATGATTCCTCATGAAGGAAGAGAGACTCGAAGCATGCGTACCCAGTTGTCTCTTCCTTTTTGAACTTGCAGTCTATAAGGAATGGTAAATGTGACAGATATAATTCTGCCACTCACGTGCAGCGATGATACATGGTCGGAATCTTGCTCAGAAGAACCGTGGTTGCCTTCAGAGCCGGAAAGCGATGCTTTAGACGGCAGTAATAGGTCGGAATCCTCGTCAGAAGCAAAGAAAACTTGACCGGAATTCCAGGGCGAGTGGTGGCCGTCCATTTGAGGCTTCGATCGTACACATGCAGGTAAATCAGGTAAAGTTTTCTGCCTGACAATTGAGAATGCTGATAAATAAGCTGTGTTGATGAAGACGGAAGAAAGTGTCCTGAATATTGGGCTTGGCCAAAATATTGTCTATTTAAATTCGTGTGTCCCCTTCAAGGGAAGGAGAGATGAAGACAAAATTCTCTCAGCTGCTTCCGTTCGCTCTAGTCTAGTGATTGCTATCCATCAACATAGGAGCCCCTACTAGGCAATAAATCATGTCGATTATTTACATGCTAAACTTACATCTAGATATCCTAATAGTTCAGCTTCGTGTTACTGATGGCTTCTCATCAGCCACTGCGGCACAGTCTCCAATGCCTGCAATTCAAGAGTGCCTTCACACAGCCACCACGGCCACAAAACTCTAAGCAAGTCGACCCAATCCGTCAAATCGTCACTGTGTTGTCATGGGCGAAACTAAATTGCCCGTTTCGTATAAAAGGCGGCACGAGCCACTACATCTCGCACGCTGTGGCTCGTCGTGATCTGCTAATAGCACCATCACTCAAATCTCGGTATTTCAAAGAGATAAACCAAAGCCGTCGTGTACCACCTGTCATCATGAACATGAACAGAGCTGCCGCCGCCGCACATGCCGAGGACATGCATGGCGACCACGTCCTCCAAGGAGGCCATGCCATCTTGAAGGAAGACACGGATCCAACGGGCCAAGAGTCGACCTTTTCCGACGCTTCCCGCGGTGGAATGAAACAATCGTCTGGCCTCGAGGGCACCAAGCAGGGCGACTTGCAAGCAACCGCTGGTGCAAGTGGTGCATTCAAAGAGACCATGAGGCAGGAAGCCTTAAGGCATGTAGGCCAAGCGTAAGTGCAGTTGTCGTGTTTGGGCTGACTGATTCCAGGGATCAATTTGACCAATGAATATCCACATACATGGCCCTGATGGGATGGAGTAATAAGCAGCAACAAGAGATTGACAGTCATGTAGCATAATAGTAGCGAACGAGAATGATACTATCTGTATGAATTTAACTTGATATCATCAGCTAAACAACGTGCAGGCATTTACATGTGAAAAGCAATTTCTATATCCCAACAATTCCCCTCATCCAACGCAACCACTTGGCTCCGTTACATGAGCAATCTCCAAGCACCAAGCAGCAATGCCGCAAAACCGGTGCACACGCCCATCAGCCACTGCAGCGTCTGGAACTTGACCTGCTCCAGCTTCTCCCTCAAGGCCGCCACCTCCTGCTCAATCTTGGTCTCCGTCTCCTTAATCTTGAGCTCCTGCCCGACGGCCTCTTCTCGAATGCGCCCCTTTTCCAGGTTGAGGTCAAGCCGCACGCTCGCCTGTGTCCGGCCAATCTCGTCGCGCAGCCGGCTGCTGAGCTTGGCAATGTCGTTTGTGAGGCGCTCGTGCGCGTTGCGCGTTGCGTTGGATTCGGTGCTGTCTGCGGAAGCCAGTTCAGAGCGCAGTTTGGCAAAGTCCACCTTTTGGGTGTAGGTGGTTCTGGCGGCGTCTTCGCGAAGCACCATGGTTCGTGTTAGGTTTTGGATGCTGTGGCAGATATCAATGTTAGAATCAACGGTCATGTTTAGTAGCTCTTGTCATGGATACGGACCTCTCTTGAATGACGTCGTTGAGAACCTTCATCATGGCAACGGACTGCTCGTCCGTAAAGCCCTCATCCTTCAGCCGCTGGACAAACTTGAGCGTATCAAAGTGATGCTCGCGGCATTGCCGAGAAGTCGCATGGAACCCCCTCCGCAAGGCTGGCGCTTGTGTACCAATGTATCGTCTCGTAGAGAATCTTGTGCCGAAAGCAGGCACTGAGCTGTGGATTGACTTTCGCTGGTTCGGTTGAAAGGCAGCAAACGATTGGGTAGCGGTAGTTCGAGTTGCTGAGAGCGGCGCAGTCCAGCTGATGCGCGGGAGCAAGAATCGCGGCAGCGTCTCGACTGCGACGAGGCCGGTGACGGCCATTTTGTGAGCGACGATTGGCTGTTGGCGGTTGTTTGAGCTGGGAATCAAGAAGGCGGAATGCCACTATCAAGACAATAGTATGGCGTGGTGCTTCAGGTCTCAATGGCTAGCTTCGGATAATAGTTTGACGTGCCGGTTGTCGGCGGCGAAAACGATTTGCCGATTCGAGCTATGGCAGCGGTAGCAGCTTTTGGACTTGGACACAAATTGGCTGCTGGATGGATTGGATTCATCCCAATCAATTGACGGCTTTTGACTCTTTCAGTCTTTTCTTTTCGTTTACGCCAGCACGCTGCTTGCAATGACACTTACAGTATATTCTTCGTACACAGCGGCATCGTCTCAATTAGCCCCTCAGCCTAGTGTGAAGCTTGGTTTTGCAGCTATACCAGCACATAAGGTAGCACAGAGCTTGGAATAGCTTGACTTGTGGCCAACAGATTATCTCATCGCATCTCTATCAAAGAGTTTGAGCTGAGCCCGGCTGCAATGGCGCGTCTCCTTGTCAGGCCCCACCTGGGCTGGCCTACAGTAATGGCAGATACCTACGCTGGCAATATTACGATGAGACAAAGCACAGCCTCAATTGCCTATTGAGGTCAAGTTATGCAGCCAATGAAGGCTTCATATCAAATTGAATCGAATCATTGAGATGCCGTCAATTGACTGGCTCTTCTTAACCATCTCCGCGACAGGCCACCGTTGATCCATCCATCCACATCATGTCTAGCGATACTCGCTCGGCATTCAGCAACGATCAAGTCGCCCTCTCGGAGTTCGGATTGTCCGCTATATCCGGCTCCCCGATCAACCTGCTGATTCAGCCACTCTGGCGCCGACAACAGCTCCCTCGAACCCCGTTGCCTAGAGTCCCTGACTGATCAACCAACGCGAGAGTTTCATCCGCCAACCTCGCCGGAGTAGGGAGTCCCAATCCCGGCTGCGCGACTCCAACTCACCACTGCAGCAAACCTGCGTCGATCGGGTTTGGACAATCAGCTTCGGCAGACATTCGCTTCGCTTCGCATCCCACACGCAAGACAATGGCCCCGGCGCCGCCTCCGCCAGACTCTGTCTCAGTCGGCGGCATCCCAGCGGGCTATGGCCGCTCGTGCACCAACTGCTCGCGCGCCAAGTGCCGGTGCATCTTGAGGCCGGAAGGAGGCAAATGCGACCGCTGCCACCGCCTGGGCAAAGAGTGCCACCAGATGGTGACGTCGCGCAAGCGCGTGGCCAAGAGGACGACGGCCTCGAGGACCGCGCAGCTGGAGGAGAAGCTCGATGACCTGGTGTCGATACTGCGGGCGACGCAGCAGCAGCAGCATCAGCATCATCAACATCACCATGAGGGCCATCAACCGCCGCCGCCGCCACCGCCGCCACAACAGCAGCAGCATCATGTTCATCTCCAGAAGCAGCAGCAGCAGCAGCCCCCTGTGCCGTCTCCCATGAACGGCGCATCCAACTGTGAAATCCCTTCGTCAGCATCATCCGCTTCAACATGCCCGCCCTTTATCAGCCGACTCGACTCACTGGCCGACGCGGCAACAACATCACAATCACAGACACATCCTTCCAACCTCACACCACCTCCGCGCCTGTTGGACAGGCTTCCGGAGCCAGCTCCCAGCGAGGCCGAAGTGTATCTCGTCAAGTTTCGCCAGTGGCTCGAATTCTTCCCCTTTATGCATCTAAGCCCCGATCTCACGGCCGAGGCTCTGCAACGGGAATCTCCTTTCCTCTGGCTCTGCATCATGAACGTCACGAGTATGTCCATGACGCAACAGGCCATGATGAGAGACAGGCTGCGTCAAGAAGTTGCGCAACGGATGATCCTCAGTCACGAGCGAAGCATAGAGTTACTTCAAGGCTTGATAACTCTGATATCATGGTAAGATTTGCTTCTAGTTGAGTAGTATAAGTGGTTGGTGGCTGCGTAATGCTAACTGATGGACTTCTTAGAGCGGCCATGAATGCCGGTGCTGCCAACAAGCCCTTTCTTACCTTGTATTCACATATATGTAGCTGTATCATCTACGAATTGAGTCTCACCAGATTTCCCAACGAAGAGCAGTACTCGACGGTCTGTTTCAAAGCCTGGGGAAGCAAAGCATCAAACTGCCAACCCAAAAACCGTACAATGGAAGAACGGAGACTTGTGCTTGGGTTTTGGTTCATCACATCTGTGTAAGTGGCGCAACTGTTATGCTCCCTCTTTGCATTATTAGAGATCCATTCTAACAATCTTCCCCAGATGTGCGGCCTTTCTCGGTAAAATGGAGCCACTCGTCTGGACGCTACACATGCAGGAATCGCTAGAGGTGTTGGAAAGTGAAAAGGAATACCCATCAGACGAAACCCTAGTCGCACTAGTTAAACTCCAGCTCGTTGGAGAGGAAGCAAGAAAGCTCATAGTAAGCGATTTTGTCGGGCGTGATTTTGGCAGACTCGACCCCGATAAGGCTCCCACGTATGTCTTCAAGCGAAATCTTCTCTGCCAGCTCCAGAAGATTCGCGAAACCTTGCCGCCTGGGGCAATGTCCAAGGGTAAGTCAATCAGCATTGGGTGATACAATATAGAGCTGTGCTTACTTTTATTCTGAACAGCGGTGATACAATTGCACATCTACAGCACCGAAACTCAAATCCACTCAATCGGCCTCTTTGGCGGGACAAAAATCCCAGACTCGCCGCGTATCGACTCCATGTACGCGGGCCTCCTCGCTGCTCGGGCCTGGTACGATACCTTGTTTCTCGTGCCACTCACGGATTTTGTGGGCATGCCATTCTCCTTGTACATTGAGCTTGCGCAGATCCACGCTCTGCTATACAGGCTCACGACCATAGATGACCCTGCCTGGGACAGGGAGATTATGCGCAATACGGCAGATCTCGGTACCTATCTGGACAGGACCATTGACCTGTTTACCAAGGCAGATGCGCTTTATCCCCTAAGAGGCGGACCCGAGGATGTATCGATTTTTGGGAAATGCACAAAGGTCCTTCGCAATGTGCGCTCAAGCTGGGAGCCAGCCATATCACAGAACCTAGGGGGGCTCCCAACGCCAAGCAGCCAAGTTGTTCCAGGCGCTCCGCCGCAGCATACTTTGCTGGTCGACCACTCTATGATGCCAGATCCGGAATTGCCTCCAGACTTTGGTGACATCAACTGGATGACACAAGTATTTGGACCCTGGGACTTCTAAGGCGTGTCAGCAACGTCTTTTCACGGATTGAACGTAGGGGATGTCTTTCAGTACTCTTACGATAAAGTGATGTGCAATGTCATATCATGTATACAATATCTAATCGTGGCATGAGAGGCGCATATATGGCTCTTTGCGCTCAAACTTTTTAATGGTAGGATGGATGAAGAGTATGTACCAAGAGGAGGATGTAAAAGCAAGCGGCTGATTTAATTAGGGGGTTTCCTTTGGAGTTATAGAGGCGTGTTTTCTTTGGGATTTGAGATACATGACACTGGCTGGCGTTTGCTTTAGATATATATCGATTTGATAGCTGGAGACGCTTTTTAATGCATTCTCAGCTTGGAGCGACAGATTGACGACATATATAATGGCTCTAGGCTTTGAAGGTGGATGTTTTTAGGATTAAAAGTCTCCATTCAGATACAATTTGTACAGATTTCGTCGTGAGTTGCGCGCTTGGGTAAATCGTCCCATGTACTGAGGCGACATGATCAATTCACTTAATTCCCCACGTTTGTTACGGCGTATTCACCGCAATCTCTCCGATTTCACCAACCCCCCAAAAATAAAATGGTAGATAGACAAGGCTACCAGCGCTATAAATTGCCGAGCAGTGTCCAGGAACCATACTGTCACATAACGACTCTGCTTGATGCTGACTTACACCACGTCTGGACAAACTCGCAAGTCTCCGGGATAATTTTCTATTCAGCAAATCCACCCAATTATGACAAGTTGATGCTACACGAGCTCACATTGCAGCCTTTAGAAATAATTCAAGTTTCTCCGCATCACAAACAAATGACCACGGCCATTCTAATAGCCGCCTTCTGGGGAGATCCGCCACCGGCGTGTCTCTTGCTATGGGTCTTGGTCTCCGGCGCGGGCTGCCCAATACGGAAAATTGCTTGCTTCCACTTGGAGATGCAACTCCCACGACGGTCTCTAAGGCATAGTATTTACCTACCAGGGCACATATTTATATATATGGATAGGTTAACAATGACATATACAGTTACTATTACAAAGAGCAGTCAATTCAAATAAAAATTAGAAAAATAAGACTCAACTGATAATCACTAAAGACAACCTGGAGGGCGCACTTACAACCCCACGTCCGGCTCCAAAAAAAAAAAAAAAAAAAAAGGTTCCCCGCGCTACAGTGAAAGTTACCCCGCCGAACGCGGCTTCGGGGTGCTTTATTGCGAGTTGAACCACATCCATCCAATGCGATAGAAATGGAGACGATGGACATCTTTGCCTAGTTCTTATCCTTTTTTTGTTCTCTTTTCTGGTTCTTTCTTTTTGCTATTCTTTTTTTGTATTTCCTTCTTCAATAGAATTGCAATTTCTATTCTGTTCCGTTTGAACCTCTTGATACCCCTCGCTCTGGTGCAATCGCATCATCTCTTCCCACTTTTGCCAAATCGCATATAGAAAACACCAACAGACTCTCCGAAACATCTCCCACAATGAGTCGCACCAAGGTCCTCCTCCTAGGCAAAATTGACCAGTAAGTCATCTCAACCTCGTCAGATCCCTCTTATATCACAGCTAACAACCAATCGCCTTCCAGCGCCCACGTCGCATGGTCCACCATCTCCGACATTGCGGAAATCGTCCAGCCAACAGCCACCAACAGGCAGGACTTCATCGCCGAGTGCCAATCCGGCGCCCTGGACGGCGTCTCCGTAGCATACCGGACGTTTGATTCCGCAAACGTCACTGGCCGAATCGACAGCGAGCTGCTGGACGCCTTTCCCAAGAGCCTCAAGTTTCTGTGCCACAACGGTAAGACAACATATCAGATATACATATACACATGTGTAAAAAAATACTGACTTGAGCCCTTCCCAGGCGCCGGCTACGACCAAATCGACATCCCCGCCTGCACCGCCCACTCCGTCCGCGTCTCAAACACCCCCACGGCCGTCGACGACGCCACGGCCGACGTCACCATCTGGCTGCTGCTCGGCGCCCTGCGCAACCTGCCCGTCGGCATCAAGGCCCTGCGCGAGGGCAAGTGGCGCGGCTCGCCGCTGCCCCAGCTGGGCCACGACCCGCAGGGCAAGATCCTCGGCATCCTGGGCATGGGCGGCATCGGGCGCAACGTGGCGACCAAGGCCCGCGCCTTTGGCATGCGCATCCGCTACCACAACCGCCACCGGCTGAGCCCGGAGCTGGAGGACGGCGCCGAGTATGTCGACCTGGAGACGCTGTACAGGGAGAGTGACGTGCTGAGCCTGAACCTGCCTCTCAACGTGAGCAAAGAGACACATCCTTCTATCCAATTGCATGGCTAACAACTCGCAGCCCAGCACCCGCCACTCCGTCGCCGCCCCCGAGTTCGCCCTCATGAAGCCCGGCATCGTCATCGTAAACACCGCCCGCGGCGCCGTCATGGACGAGGCCGCCCTCGTCGACGCCCTCGCCTCGGGCACCGTCTCCTCCGTCGGCCTCGACGTCTACGAGAACGAGCCCGAGATCCACCCGGGCCTGCTGGCCAACGACAACGTCCTGCTCGTCCCGCACATGGGCACCTGGACGCAGGAGACGCAGCAGAAGATGGAGGAGTGGGCGATTGACAATGTCCGGCTGGCGGTGACGCAGGGGAAGCTGAAGAGCATTGTGCCGGAGCAGAAGGATTTGGCGTGAGCTGTTGAAGAGAATAGAGTGAATTGAAATAAAAGCGTGTTGAAGGATGTGGTTTAAATGGGATGCTGTTTTAGCAACGTTATAGATGGATTCTACAAATGAACAAGTGCATCATAGATGACCTTGAAGTCTCGCAACTATGGCATGTTCAAACCGATAGCACCCAAGGTGAAATGTAGCAAAAAGAACCATGGATACTTCTTCATTATCAGACATAGTCACACTGTCACATTCAAATAAAAACATATTTTACTCAGCCAGGGCTAAAAAACTGCCCGCATATGTATTCCACATTTTCTATAGCTAGTAAATCTCTCTTCAGCCGCGGTTGACGGGCCTTCTCCAAATGTGCCCATCTCGCCCTTTCCGAGCTTGAGCCCATCTGTATCATGCGCTATGTTTTTTTATATTCGCATATATATCCTCTCGCCATGGGGGGAATCATCATTAGCAAAAGTAAATTTACCCGACGCCGTTTTTGTTGAAAAGGCCAGTTTCTTTTCTGCCCCACCATCCGCCCAGCGAGAACTTCCAAAAAAGAGTCCATGAGGAAAGAAAAATATCAAAACGAAAACAATAAAAAAAAAAAGAAATACCAATAAAATCCCATGGGCTTTTATTTTATCCTTGCCCATTTATATGCCCCTTGCCGGTTCATGATGCTGTTGAAATCACAAGTTTTCCCATTATCCGGGTCATAAATCCGGAAGGGATGTCGTTACACGTAGGAGTCCAGTTGAAGGATCCTTTGGGTATGAATACATGAAAAATGCTTAGTAGCGGTAGCTGTAAAAGGATTTGTTAGTACACGTCTTCATCAATAAATATTCATGGATAAGAGGTAGTGCTTACATCTCGGCCTTGTAGGGACCCTCGACAGTAAGACCGAGGTACTCAGCCTGAACAGGGGTGAGAGTGGTCAGCTCAGCCTGGACGTGAGCCAGGTGCAGCTTGGCGACCTCCTCGTCCAGGACCTTGGGGAGGACAAAGACGCCGACGTCGAGCTTGCCAGTCTTGCCAAACTCAACGTACTTGTCGGCCCAGGCCTTGTCGGCGGCCTTGTACAGAGCAATCTGAGCAAGGACCTGGTTGGAGAAGGAGCAGGACATGACAAAGGAAGAGTGGCCGGTAGCACAGCCAAGGTTGACCAGACGACCCTCAGCCAAGAGGATGATGTGGCGGCCGTTGGCCATGGTGAAGCGGTCGACCTGGGGCTTGATGTTCTGGACAGACTTGGCGTTGGCCTTGAGCCAAGCAACGTCAATCTCAATGTCGAAGTGGCCAATGTTGCAGACAATGGCGTCGTTGGGCATGGCCTCGAAGTGGGCGCCAGTCAGGATGTCACGGCAGCCGGTGGTGGTGACGAAGATCTGGCCAATGGCGGCGGCCTTCTCCATGGTGGTGACCTGGTAGCCGGCCATGGCAGCCTGGAGAGCGTTGATGGGGTCAATCTCGGTGACGAGGACGCGGGCACCCATGCCGTGCAGGGCCTGGGCACAGCCCTTGCCGACATCTCCGAATCCAGCGACGACAGCAACCTTGCCGGCAATCATGACATCGGTGGCACGCTTGATGCCGTCAATCAGGGACTCGCGGCAGCCGTACAGGTTGTCGAACTTGGACTTGGTGACGCTGTCGTTGACGTTGATGGCAGGGACCAGCAGCTTGCCCTCCTTGAGCATGCGGTACAGGTGGTGGACACCGGTGGTGGTCTCCTCAGAGACGCCGAAGCAGTCCTTGAGCTGCTCGGGGTACTTGGAGTGGACGAGCGAGGTCAGGTCGCCGCCGTCGTCGAGGATCAGGTTCAGCTTCTTGCCGTCCTTGAAGGCGCTGAGCTGCTGCTCCAGACACCAGTTGTACTCCTCCTCGGTCTCGCCCTTCCAGGCAAAGACGGGCACACCGGCGGCAGCAATGGCGGCAGCGGCGTGGTCCTGGGTGCTGAAGATGTTGCAGCTGGTCCAGGTGACCTCGGCACCCAGAGCAACGAGCGTCTCGATGAGGACGGCCGTCTGGATGGTCATGTGCAGGCAGCCAGCAATGCGGGCACCGGCCAGAGGCTGGTCGGCGGCATACTTCTGGCGGATGGCCATCAGACCGGGCATCTCGTTCTCGGCGAGTTCAATCTCCCTGCGGCCAAAGGCGGCCAGGGACAGGTCGGCGACCTTGAACTTGTTGGCGGGAGCAGACATTGTGAAGGAGGGAATTGATGAGAATGCGAAGATTTGGGTAGAGAAAGAGATGATGGAAGGAGGATGATTTGAGGGAGAGATGAGGAAGAGGAAGAGAAAGAAGTAGGAAAAAATTGATGGGGAATGCCAACTGTTAAAAAAAAAAAAAAAAAGCTCCGATGAATGCAGTAAGGCCCAGAGAGGGGAACAAATCCGTTGGAAAGCGGGCGGTGAGCCTAGAGGGGTAAATTTTCTCACCAAGCGGGGCAGATTAGATTGGGACAGGATTTTTGCAGCTTGGACGAATGAGAGGCGCGGCTGGATTGCACGTCCAGGGCAGAATCCTCCTCAATCCTCAGCTTATGGGTAGGTTTTTTTCTATAGCACCAGTTGCTAGTGCTGTTAGTATTAGTATTCGTATTCTGCCATGCACATGCACATGCCGAACAAGACAGACATGGCCACGTCTCATATAATGCGGGGCTTTGGGGGACAGCAGCCCGAGATGAGATGCGCGGCATTACGGCCTCAACAGAAGGAGTGCAGAATGTCTATTACTGGAGATACAGACTAGGAAATAATAAAAGTGTATTTAGCTGTGTGTTATTTGGGCATCAAAGTGCTAGGGACACTCAATTTGAACTCGCATTGAGGGCAAAGATACAGCTGGACCCCCCCTTTGCGATATTTTGCATCACATCAATTCCATCACACACAACCGGAAAGCACTGCACAGAAACAAAAGGGCAAAGAGAGAAACAAATCGTAGTGGTATCTAACAGGAATTACAAGTCTAGGCGTAGGAATCCATACTGCTAGTAGTTTCAAACACTCTCATAAGACTCTCTTGTCGCTGCAGATCTAGACCAGAAGTACTTTATTATAGTCCACCCAAACCGGAACGCCGCCAATGCACCCTGCCGCCAATAGTCTCAACCACCAAAAGATCAGTTCAAAAATTCTTATTCATTTTTAGGTTTTAGCGATGCTGCATTTTACTGCGGCAGCAGGTTCTCCCGCACGGCAAACATCTTGGCGGTAATGTTGGCCGTGAAGCCATCCACCTGCTTGCTGTACTGCTCAACCTGCTTGGCGTTGAGCATGCCCTCCAGGCGGCTAGGCTCCTGGGGAAGCTTGAACAGTCTCTGCCACTCGTCCTCCGGCAGCAGGGGCTGCTTGGCAAGTGTGCGCTGGGCGTTCTCGGTCTTTCGCTTGGCCTGCCACTGTGTAATCTTGGTCTGCTCACGCGCCAGCTGGCGTTGGTAGAACTGGAAGTTGTTGAGGTCGACGTAGTGGGACTCGATGCTCTCGAGCAGCAGGTCGCAAGTCTTCTCGAGGAAGGGATCGACTGAGAGATCCAGGTTGTCGATGGAAGGGTACAGAGGCGCCTTGATGCGGTCGCTGTTGAGGTCGCTGAGCGTGGTGGGCTCCTTGAGGTCGCTGACGGCAGGGGAGGGCAGCTGGTGGAGGAAAGAGGTAAGGAGGTGTGAGTTCTGGACCGTGATGGGGTACTCCTGGAGGATGTCACGGAACGACAGCTTGGTCTTTTGCAGGCTGTCCGAACTTGTCAGCACAATGCCCATATATGATGGCTCAAACTCCGTGACTCGTATACTACTCACCTCTCAGTAGTGAACTTGCCCTCCTTGTAGACGTTCATGAAAAGGTTGGTCAGTCGGTAGGCCTTCAGGGCCAGAGTTCCCTGTGAGCTGCGGCTGGTGTCGTAGACGAGGGCCACGGTCTTGTCATTGTCCTTCTGGTAGTGGTGCTGGTTCTCGATGAAAGCCAGGGTGACAAAGTTGCCCATGGTTGCACTGGTGTACCATCCGACATTGTTGGCATCCACGTTGACCTCCTTCAGGTGTCGGATCATTTCGCTCTGGTAGGTAATGTTGCTCTTTGCGCGAGGGGCGGCAGCGGCAGCATTGCTCGCGTCGTTCTGGTGGCTGTCGGAGGACGAGTTCTCGACGGTGGGGAAGGCAAAGGTGTTGGTGATCTCCAGCGTTCCGTTCTGGTCCATGCCCACCAGGGAGCCGCTCGCCACGGTCGGGAAGATTGAGGAGCAGTGTCTGGCGATTTTCATAATCACCTTGGCCAGGCGTCAGTCTTCCTCTTGCTCTCCATCTTCATCAGGAGGGGAGGGTGGGGCAATTCGAGCTCAAACTCACCAGCGCATCGACCTGCACCGCCTGGAAAGGCGCATCTTTCGGAACTTCGCTCATCGTGGCCGTAAGTTGGGAGTCGGAGGGGATTGTGGCGAGAGTCGAGCCGAGGTTGATGCCGGTTTCGAGGCTAAATGGTGGCAGCTTCAGGAGCGCTCGCGCTGTTGTTGTGAATATCGAACTTTTCGCCTACCAGATTTGTGGGCGTTGTGGGTTCGGGGCGGTGAGTGACGGCAGAATTCGCGAGAGGGTCAAAATGAACCTCCAAACTACCAGCGCGAGGCTGTCAACCTTGCCAGCTACATCTCCAGCAGCTCTGCTCGATTTCACAACAACAAGCTCTACGATTGTTCCCGACGACATATATAGTCCTAAATAGCCGAATACACTCACATTGCATCACAAACTCTCACAACGTCTCAAACAACATAGAAACTCGCCGCGCACTCAGGAGTCTAGTGCCACGGCTGTGCCATCATCATCTTGCGCGCTTCACTGCGATTGTTTTCCTTTTGTCTCATTATGCAAGTATAGCTTTATTTCTCTATTTTACAGTTCATTTACCATTTTAAAATGCCAACATGATGCTCGCTTGCCGCATGGTATCCTATATAAAAAAAAATCTCATGTTTTCAAATCCAATCATATCCTTTTTGCTCCCAGCACCCATGTTTTTTCCCGAATAATTTTGTCCTCGTGTCTTTCAGAACTCATCAACCAAGCAGAGTTGCTACGAGAAGATGGCGAATGCCAATCTTTCTCATTTCCACCAGGAAATCGACCAATCATCCACGTTGTCTCGGATGGTGAGTCGGTGTTGGTCGATGTTATAATAGGCATATTGATGCCTAGTGACGCTCACCGCCTTTCGATGCGCTGGCCCTCGACCACCAACCATTGCTGCCTCTCTGGAACACCACACGCACGTCGACAGATTCTGGAGCTCCTCATCAGGCTCGCCAAACCAGTATCTGTTTCATTGGTCAGCGTCACATGACAAAGGGCGAAAAAGATCGTCTCTCTTACTTCAGAAAGCCTCCACTGGCTACGGCTTCGGCATGAGCCGCCTTGTCCAGCTCGCAAAGATAATCATAGTCGGTGTACGTCAAAATCTTCGAGCGGAAGGCGACAATGTAGAATGAAATTTCCTTGAATTCCTTTCCGGATTTCTGAGACAGGCGCTTCACTTCCGCGATAACCTCGGGCCAGTTAAAGGATTCTTCATACGGCGCAGTGGCATAATCCTCCCGAATTGGCTTCAGAGTTCGCAAGGCTTTTGCCAACAAGCCAGCCTCGTGAGAAACGGTCTCCAGGTCAAGCAGATGAGGTCTCTCTGAGTACGGCGACTTGAGGACGAACCGCTCTTCGTCCAAAGCACTCAGCTCGCTGATTACTGGCGTGGCCTCCTTCGGCAATGAGGGCACATCAGTAGGCTGCACCAGTTCTAGTTGAGCAGCCATGATGATCGAGTGGAGGCTGATTTGTTGGAATATGCTTTTGAAGGGAGGATGTGGCTGTTAGATGGTTCACAGGTTCGACTACCGACTCAACTAGCCTTTGTTGTGGAAGATGGAAAATAAAAAGAAGGAAAAAGGAAAGCTACACATGTGTGGGAGGCCAAAACGGTATTTATTAGCGGTGGCTGGCTGGAGGTGACACAAGTCGAGCCGCCTTTACTGCCTGCCGTCCACCGTTCCGGTCTTCGCACGTCAATACATCGCAGATCCGAAGAAGGGCTAATACACTACGGATGAGCCGCAGCAATCACGAGATATCTTACCCGATGATGCCACATTATGCCGCTGGCCGTGGGGTATGGACCCAGAGACATCCGCGTACCTTCTCTATTCAGGGGCCAAGATCGATTGCGTGACTGGTCGTGGCACTGATGAGGTGGCCCGTGGTTGAAATTTCGCAATACTAGATCTACGAAGGGAAACGTTTCAGCTTGAACGACTCGCACAATTTGCAATGGATAGCCAATTGCATTCCGGAAGCTTCTTCATGGACCTAAACCGCCCAGAAATAGACTTTTTCTTATAAGTCCTTGGTCTCTCCTCTTAGAAAACTTCAGAGATTTTTCAACACCCTGAGAATCTTACTCACCAATGGGCTTTTACGATTATTCGTGCCAGGATCCGAGATTTTGCCCCGCGCTACTACGGTCGTCATCCCTGGGCGACAGCGGCATGCCTTTTAGCGCGCCACGCCACGCATGGTCTGAATGACACCATCTCAGTGGCACCCAACCATGAATCAAAAGAGCACATTGTTTGGGCTTAAAGGTCTCCGTCTTGGCAACAATGGCTCGTTTATAGCTGCGAAATAGGACAAGAGGGGGTGAATGGGGTGAATTTAAGATGCAACTCGCATATAAGGGCCAGGACTGGACTTGTACCCCGGGAAAAAGAGAAGCAGGAACTGAAACTTCCCTGTCACTTCAGTGCTAAATCGTGGAGGGTCTACCCCGAGAGCCGACCCAATAGCCTAAACCGTCGTCTTTTGACAGATTTCCCCTTCTTCTAGACCCAATTTTGGATCTGCCATTGGCCACTTAGAGCCCTACCATTGGCCATTGCAAATTGCCAGCGTCTGTCGGTGAGAAACCGAACCAGCCGGGATCGCCGATGCTGGCGGTACGGAACTTGGACCCTGGAGATCAGCCCGCCGACACTATATGCGTTCATTTATACACTGGCGCTTCGTATGGAGTGCATACGTTAGTTTTTATGCCAGAGATTTACGGCCGAGACATTCGGATCATATGAAAGACGCACACTGTGACGTATCTGCTTAGTGTTTTTTTTTTCTTTGTACCAAGACAAAAACTATCTCGGCCAGGGACTGGTGATGGACAACGTCGGCTAAAGCGTATGGAGACTATCCATACCGATCAATGTCCGCGGTGGCAACTGATGCTACTCGCACAAATACATGAGCACCCTTTGAAACAAACTGAGGCTTTTTCGAGGCCGTTACAGCCGTACGCGGATATGCTCGCCCAGATAGTAAACGATGGGCTCAATGATGCCACGCAACAACCCATTAGCCGTCGGAGTTATGAATTCAGGGTAACGAGATGTAGTCCACTGAGGGATATAAACTCTGTGCTCAGCACACTCTGTCGGTTGGTTTCATTCCGAGTTCGTCAGTCTACCCAATGCAGTCAGTAGTGCAGTTCCAGTTTTCTCTCTTTGCCTATGTGGATATGATGCAACAAAGCCTATTTCTTTACGACGCAGCCACTTCTTATAGGAAGTACTACCTAGTGTGCTACGTTGGCAGGATTTATTAGGAAGCCTGCATCTCCGTCTTCATAACTCTATGAAACTTGTATGTCTGTGTGGATGGTACGAGGCCTATCAGCTTACCGGCTGTATTGAGAAGGTATTAGTATTACAAAGCATCGACTCTAGTAAGCCAGTCTGCGGCGTGTAAGAAGATAGGGCATTAGCTAAGCTTCTGATTACAATTACGAAGATGCAATTACCTGAGTCGGAATGCCACTCTTACATTTAATTGCATCTGTAGTGTCACATCCTAGCAGCTGACTTACTTGTACCTCTTCACCTTATTTTTGGTTTGTACTCCTAGCGTTTCAACCCTTGATGCTACTCACGAGTTCTGAATATATGCCTTTGGCAGGACTATACTACTGTAGTATAAGCGTAAGATGTACAGTGTCATGACCCAACCTTTATGGTCGTAACCACGGGGGCCCCGGGTAGGTTGCCCCGGACTAACTAAGGACTGACCTAATTAATGAAAACCGGATCTAGTAATATTTCCTAGATCCCCAGAGGATCTAGAGAATTCCTCTAGATTTAACCATGAATTTAATAATCTTTTATAAATCCCGCCTAAATTAACTAGATATATAAGTTTACTTTTTTATGCTTATTTAAATAACTTAAATAACTAGTTATTAATATAGAATTAAGATTGCAACACGCTCTGCACTTCTACCATCTAGTAACATTATTTACTATTGCCTATATTACCTATTAGGTTTCTTAACTGCTTTACTAATATAAACCTAGAATTATTTACTAGGTTTATTCCTTAGGAATTTACCTTATACTAATTATTTAATATATAGTTTATTATATATTAATAACTTTTATTTAAATAATTACTAGACCTTATAGGTAATATAAAAATAAGGATGTGAATATTAACTTTTAGTATCTTAGATAATAATACTAATTACAAGAGCTAAGCTTTAAGTAATTACTAATTAAATAATATATTTAAGTTTAAAAATATATTAGCAGAAATAGCTTATAATTAGTAAAATATCCTAATAAAAGCTTTTAAATAAGAGCATAAATAGTATAAGTAATAAGAATAAAGCACTAGAACTTATATAGAAAATATAAAATATATAATTTAAGACTTATATATGTAGTATCTTATAAATTAATAAACTATTATATAATATATATAAACTATTAATAACTTATAGCAGTAGCTTAATAACCTACTAGTAGTAGCGCCCTAGGTGGCCCCTGCTATAACACTTACTATAGCACTTATAATAGCACTAGTAATTCTTATAGATAATAAACTAAAACTAAGAAAAGTCTTAAAAATTAAATAGCTAGAAAAGTTTAATAAAAATATTACTAAACTTTACTAATTCCTTAATAAATTATAAACTTACTTTAAGTATTATTATTTAAGAATATTCCTAGAAGATAATTTAAAAAAAAGAATCTAATATATAAGAATATATATTAAAGATATAGCAGCTAATTAGTTTAAGATACTCTTTAAGAATAAAAAGAATAACCTAGCTTAGTAAAGTAAACTTATAAAAAAAGTTTTTAAGGGTTATAAAAACCTTAAAGAATAACTAAAAAAATTCTTTAAAATTATTAATAAAGCTTAAGAAATAGAAAAAAAACTTTAAAACCTTAAATAAAAAGAATTATATTATAAATATACTTTAACTTTTATTTAACTATTTAGTAAAGTTAACTAGACTAAGGAATTAAAGAAGAAAATATACTACTATAGTCTAAAGTTAAAAGTTAAAGATAAAATTTATAAAACTAACTAATAAAAAACTATATTTACTGCATTTACTTAAAAAGCTATTATAATTAATAATTAATAATAGGAAAGAAAGTAGGAATAAAGGAATAAAAAAAATAGCTAGATTATAAAATATTAACCTTAGGCTAACTAAGGAAAGAAATAAGAAGATTATATTACTAAAGATAATAGAACTTAATTAAGAAGAATAAATATTAATACCCTAAACTATAAGAAGTTTAATAGAACCTATAATACTTGCGGTAAGAAAGGCTATAAAAAAGTAGACTATTAATTTAAAATAACCTGTGGATTCTATAGTAAAAAGGGCTATAATAAAAGCTATTACTATATAAAAAAGAATAAAAAAAAATCTAAGACTATTAAAGATAAGGTTTAAATAAATACTATTATAGAAGTCCTATATAATTACTTAAGCTGGATAGCTTACTATAATAACTTATGCCTTATATATAAGAGTAGTAAGAATAAATTAGAATATTATCCTAAGAAAATATAAGCTAAGAAAACCTATAAGATAATAAGAATTAATACTTTTAATTTCTATAATTAAGTCTTAAGTAAAAAGGAAAACTTAGATTAGGATAAGGACTATAAGTACTATAAAGCTTATAAACTATAATATAAATATAAGGTTAAAATCCTTAAGTTATAAGATATTTATAATTATAATATTTGCTATTTTTAAAACCTAGATTATAAATATTAAGAATGCTCTAATTATAGATCTATAGAAGGATTTTAGTATAATTGCAAAAGTAAATAGCGCAGAAATATAAAAGTTATATATAAACTCTTTAAAAAAGAAGATAAATTAGCCTAGGAATACCTTAAAAAATAATATGAAAAATGTAAATAAATAGGATATAGTTACAAGGAACTCTTAAATAAAGAAACTAGTAAAAATAAAATTATTTATAATAAAAGCAAAAGAATTAATAAAAATATATATTTTTTTATAAAATATAAAAACCTTTATAAATGTGAACTTTATAAATCCTAGGATTTTAATTATAATTATAATAGATGTAGTACTTGCGGCTTATGGGACTTATAATATAACTATAGTAAAGTTTTAGATGCCCTAGTTAAGGAATATTACTAATAAGAAGAATAATAATAATATTTAAAGGAATACCCTTTAGTATAAAAATATTTTGCTAACTATAATTTATTATATATTATTCTACTAAAATCTTATTATTTATTAGATAATAGGTGTATAAAAAGCCTAAGATTTAATAAATATTATAAAAATAATAATTAAATGCTATGTAATACTTTATATTATAGAATATATACCTTTAATAAACTTAAAGATTAGTATAAAATATAAGATTATTATTTATAGAACTTATAATACTAAAAGGATTATTTCCTTAACTATAATATATAGGATTAC